GTGGTTTGAGGGGAGTTTGCTGATATTGGTGGGTTTGGAGGATGATTGATTGCGTTCTGCTTGGGTGGTTGGAAATTGCGATGGAGTTATGAAGGGTTTGTGCTGTGGGAATGGGATCTTGTCGCGTGGACATGCGGTGCGGAATGATATGGCTACTAGGGTGTTCTCGTGATCGAAAGGAGAACTGGAATCAAGGCGGACAAATAAACACGAGCATGGTAGTAAGGAAATCCTGAGCTTTCGATATGAGAATGACCGGCGGGACAATACACTCTCAGTCCTCTTGAATACATCTAGAGGCCTCGCTCTCTGCAAAGTTCAAGAGATTGAAGCCGTTAGAACCCTTCCAACTCGCAGAATGGCTCGTTCTCTACTGAAGAGAGCACTTGGGACCGCAGCTTTTCTCGCCAATCTCTCATATCAACAGCCATGAAAATACAATCCACTCTCCCCACCCACACTCACAATCATCCCACAACACCTTGCCTCTGCCGCTCCGCTTCTTGCCGTATAACACTCTGCTCTCTTTCATACTGTAAAAGCCTCTCATCGCGACCTGGACTAGGTGTCATCCGAGCCGTAACAGACCGGGTATTCTCAGTCCCAAACCGAGGTAGACTTGATCTTCTCCCTGAAGAAGAAGACTCCTCTGGACGAACTGGACGCAGACTAAATCGATAATCATTCACAGGTCGACGCTTCAAATTGCGAACTTTGGCCGTGTCTGTAGTTCTTCGCGATCGTCGCGATGAGCTTCTACTTCGAATTGTCTCGGGTGGGACTTGTCCTCCGGCTACTAGCAAGACTTCTCTAGCGTTTTCAACTCGCTCTTCGGCGAGAATTTGGAGTGCGATTCCCTCTCGTGAACATTTTGCTGTGTAGGCTGCGTACCTTGTGGGAGTCATGTTGGTGAAGGTTAAGACGTGATCGACTTCGTTGAATTGGCCTCTTAGACTGAGCTGTTCTGCACCGAGTTTTCTTTGTAACGTCTCTAGGTCAAGTCGAGCTGTTGTGTATCTCTGCACCAAGTCTTCCAAGGTGGGCTCCTCGAACACTGTCTCGTCGATATCCGGACGAGCGGGAGAGTTTAGATTATTCGGCCTGGAGTCTATCGGAGGACTTCTCGTGCCATCGGATTCTGAATCACCTTCTTCTCGCGGTAACCTTCCCGCAGAATTTAGAAAAGGTTCCAAGATTTCTCGCATGGCTTTTTTTTCAGACTCTTGAAGGTTCTCTTCCCTGAGCGACAAAGCGGCCTGCTCTGGTAACAACTCCGATTCAATATCTTGCTCTTCTTGATTGAGCTCAGCGATTCGTGCGGTGTTGCGATTACGAGTAGCCTCGCTGCAAGTTACTGAGCTTGCTTTTAATGCGAGTCCGCGCTTCTCAGATCGTACAAGGACCAGCCGGTATTTGAGTTGGTGAATTGTCTTTCGACTCTGCACGATCAAGGCGTATGGACTGACCAGTTGTTTCCTCATATTGACGCAAGCCATTCTAGTCATACACCAGTTCTCCTTGAAATCTGCGTTCAGACACAGGTTGAAATACTGCTGACTAATCTGGTACCTAAAAACCCAGGGGGGAAAAAGGGTCAGCGCTGTCTGATGAATCGTTAAAGCGTGGGCTGGCAAAGCTTTCGAAGCTTCGGCAGTTCAAATTTATATACTGTTCATGGGAAATACCCCCCCGACCCGATATCTGCAAGAGAGATGTGTTTCACACTGTACTTACACTTGCGGCCAGAGCTGATTTACAGTGTCAATAGCCTGTTCTAGGATAGCTGACCACTCTTCTAGCTCTTCCTTGGTATCTCTCATTTCGATTGCGATTCTTGGTAGATCAGAGGTCCACTTTGTAGTGACCTCGACATATCCAGCTCCAGGTACAGCCTCCTGCAAGCGGCTTAGTCCCACAGTATTTCTATCCAACACAAATTGGTAAAAGGTCAGCATAGCACGGTTCTTTTCGATATAGTACTTCAGTTCCTGTATCTTCCGCAATGGGATGTACAGCCGAGCTAGTAGATCAAGCATGCGTATCCCCAGGCTAGCATTCCTCGGAGTAGTTCTTTCGTCATACACTACTACTGCATCTCGTAGCCGTGTCGTCGTCGTGGAGCCTTCCCCTGTCCTCCTCCTCCTCCTGCTGCTGCGAGAGCTCGATCGCCGTCGCGTTGCGTTGGATTTGCCCACTCTTGCAGAAGTACCCCTCCACGATCTTACTAACCATTGAAAACATCTCAGAGGCATATTATGGTGAAATGAAGTATCGGTTTCGTGCACTTTGTAATTTGGAAGACATACACATGGATGCCAAAAATCTGCCTTCCTAAGTTTGTTCTATAACTTAACAAAGAGCGGCTTCCGTTTGCGGTAACAGCATAAGGTACTTTATAGACAGCTTCTTTGTATAATTCAGGGGAGGCAGGCGACGCTCTAACGCCTAAAAAAGATCGGATTTGGTGTTTTTGTAGCATCCCTCACTAAGATTCTGGGTCCGATTGCGCTTGGTTCATTGACGTAGTTACGCCGCTACCAGACACGGTAAATCGAGAGAATCTAGCCGCCTCCCGAGAGTATTATTCAGTGATAATAGCGCAATTCTCACAGCACACAGTCCATGGCAAGTCCATGCATGAGAGCCGCTGCCCGCACGCGGACATGTCATCACTTGCGGAACCTTTTTGAGCGACGGCGCATGTCCAACCAACAGCAGAGAGAGGATCCGACTTGGAGTAGTACCTCTCATCATATTCATGTTTCGATTGTATGCAAACAGAGCCAGCGTGGGTTTGCGCGCCGCCCGGCGATCTATCTCACGGGAGCTCCATGGACCACATGATTATTATTACAAGGCTTGGACGAAATTCAGGGGCGCTAAGCCAAGATCTCACAGAGAAACCTCACAAACAGGGCGGGCGGGCACTGCCAATCAGACCGCTTCCCATGTCCCTCTGCGTTTTTTAAATGTAACGATTTCCATCAGAGTCTCAAACGCGCCACGACCATGGTACCCGAAGCAATAACAAAAGTTGTGGCCTCACCCAAAAAAAAAAAAAAAAAAAAAAGCAGTCATCTTACGGCCTGAACAGTCCTCGTACGGCAGATGATCCAGATATGAACCCGCACACACATTGCTTAGCCATCAAAAATCAATACCGTGTTCTTGTGTTGGGCGTAATTGCACGCTAATCTCCCTCGTATCCTCAAACCTCCTCCATGTCACTCACTACAGTAAGTCGCGCTGACTCCGACCTCGCCGATCACAATTCTCATATGAGATATTCGATAACCGGTTGTAGTTGGAGTGATGGTGTTTCTTGTTGGCTGTATCCTGGTCTCCAAATTCCGGGCCACGCTCTGCGAGGCGCTTCCTGCCAGAAGTACTGGTCACGTCCCATGGTGCGGCTTTCGCCAGCCGTGCCTTGGAGGTCTCCGCAGTCCGCGACGTGGAGTCACCATCGGTGGTGTCATGGCTTTGAGCTGCATGTGGTTGTTGTCTGAATGAGTACAGGTCCTCGGGATGGTGGCGACGGTCGGTGAAGTAGTCCCGAGACTCGCGACGACGAGCGCACTGTTGATGTGCTGACGAGCTGCTGTTGTTGTTATCGTGGGGGGGCAAAGTCTCGATTTCTGGCTTGCTTGTAAGGCTGCAGACTGCGCTGCGCTGCAGAATCGCTGACCTCGTTGAACCCACTAACAAGTCTGGGAACTCTGCCCCCCTTCTCTGGAACCGTGTCAACTTTACTGTTGTCAGACAGAGCGTTGCGGATGGAATTGGTCCCTCGATGATGAACACGAACTCCTCCCACTTGATCGTCGCCGAGATGAGTGGAAAGTCTTTGAGGTGTGTTTGCCATCATGTCCTCTGCTTTCTGCGCGGACTCCCGAGGGCGATACTCTCCTTCGCCTCTCCGCGCGGCGGGCGACCGGTAGCCATGAAACGATTCAGTGATATTCTCACTGATATTGAATCCGTCCCACAGGTAGTCTCGCATGCCATCGGCAACATAGGCATTCCTCATCAGGAAATGGTAAACATCCACGGCGGAACGATCTGTCCATTCACCGTCCGCCTCATAGATGGTATGTGTGAGCTTGACGCGGCAAATGTCAAAGCAAAGCATGGATCCTGGATACTGTTTCTTGTCTTTCGTGTATAGAGCGTAGGGCGCGCCGTGCGGAACTTTCTCCGAGCTTCCCCCAGCAAACACCGGAAGGTGGTTGAGCTGTTCATCCCTACTCAGCGACTTGTACCCATTCTTTCCCTTTGATGTGAATCTTAAACAATGGGCATATCCATCCCGCGTGAATAAAACGGCCAGTTTGTACAACTTCTGGTGGCCCGCATCTCTCCGAGTCGGTACGTAATTCTCATGCCCGAATCCGATGGAACTGTCTTTCAGGGGCTCGAGCAGGTAGGCTCTGATGAACTTTCCGGGCCTACACATAGCTTTGATCCTGTCCTCTGGCCACTTCTAGGACTCGCGCTCCTTCTCAAGCACATTCTCGATGCCAACTTCTTCTGCGGCACACCCGAGACCAGTAAACACTGCAGCAAACGCCTGGGCTCGAGCAGACCCAGCGGCACACTGGTTGATCTTCTCCAACAAAAGTTCCACCACGCGCGGTTGCAGGAAGTCTTCCGAATCTGCGTTCTCAATGGCCTCGATAAGTTTGGCCCCCCTTTGCTGATCTCTCGACGTCCGCGCCAAACTGCATTTTTTGTTGATTGCTGGGAGTATTTCCGCCTTCATCCTTGCAATTCGCTGACGTTCTTTCGCGGTGGCCTCGTCAATACGTTGCTGTTCTCTAGCGATGCGCTTCTCGTCACGTTGTGCTGCTTCCGCCAACGACTCGGCATCGTCATCGTATATCAGCCAACTGTTTTCGGGTGGGCCAGTTTCCACAGCTCGGTCAGGATGCTGGTACTTGGACGGGTGACGATGAGAAGCCATGCTTCTGGTTCATCGCGCGCAGAATGCGCGAGGTTGTTGATTGTTGGCTCTTGTTGGCTGTTGTTGATTGTGGGTAGGGCGATTCACCAGTCCGACCAAGCTTACTTCAATCCTCTGGATGGAAGAAGTTTTGGGACTCGGATAATGCTGTGAAAGATTCAAAGATAGAATGAGAACTCGACTTCGAGGCTGGTGGGGGCATGGGAGGCAGCGGGGATCTGCACTAGAGCGTCATTCTACGAGTGAATACAGACGAGTTCTTAAAATGGCTAGAGCTTTCTGGGGTTTTCGGTAGCTCACGGGCTCTCCCACCAGCACGTAAGTTGAACAATATCAGACACTGCACCCCTGTCCTGCTGACTCCTTTTCAGGCCGTCGAGAAAGGGATGCATGCGATGGGGTGTCTGAGCAAGCACGGCGCTGCCTCGAGATAGACATGTTGTCTTGGAATACAGCATCTCAGCCGTACATCTCGCGGTAAGTACTGATCTCTTAATCGAGACATTCATATTCAGTTGATATGCAAGCGATCTGTTTACTATCACTGCCTGCCTAGGGACAAGCTGACAGAATGAAACAAGAGCTGGTGCCAAGCTTTGTTGAGGTGTGGAAAATTTGTTAATCGTATATGGATTTTCTCAAAACGAGTGACAAAGAAGGCTGCTTTGCTGCTTCAGGCTCGGCTCAAATCTAGTCTCCCTTTGTTCGTCTAGTCGTGTTTCAGTGACACAGCAATCATTCCGCTTAACTCCAGTCTCCACATGTACTGCGTCTGCATCGGATTGCCGTCTGATCCTTGCAATCTCCCTCAACAGAGTGAGCACAGAATATGCTTCCCAGTTGGAATTGAGAGTTCCGGCACGATGTGTATGCGAGCCGGATACATACGCCCTGGTGCGTCTTCCACTTCGATCCCAAGGCCCACTTTCGGCTTCAAATTGCGTCCAGCTCCTCGAATTTGAGATTCTCAGATTCTGGGACAAGAAGCAACCGTAATTTCGAGAGGGCTGTTTGCATTKCAGACCACACGCCAGAACATTGATCTTAGGACCAAGAATTGCGATATAGATCGAAGCTACGCACGGAGTTTAGTAGACTCTGCACATTGCAACTTACTGAGAGCCGTTGAAGAATCGAGAACTTTCACTTCTGAGGATTCACTCACTTGATTTGTAATGCAGAAGCTTCTTAGCAATCAGGCTAGTGGATATATAGAGGTTGCCATTCACTAGTCAGATAGGCAAGCAATCAAGTCATCAATTTTCACAAGAGCTTGCTTGGTTCAGGCGCAGGATAGATTTCGCTCGAGGAATTTCTTCTATAGAAAGACAGCAGGCGAGCTCCGGGTAAAGGAGCTCAGGGGCTCGTCTTGGCACTGGACTATCATAGAATCAATAAAGGAGCTCGAAGCTTTGGAATCACCCCTCCAATATTGCTCAAGGTTGGTCGGATTGGTGCATACCTCATATTACTTGCTTTCATTCAAGATTTTGCCTCGACCGGCATACATTGATACAGAGAGACAGAGCTGAGCTTCGTGAAATTGAAATTGGACATGATCTGGACCAGAAGCCTGCAATGAAAAGATGCAAAGCAAATTGAGTGTGTACCGGCGATCTTGCGAGAAGAGGTGGGGGGCAAGAAGTTGAAATACAACGGGAAGCAGGCTTTCAAAGAGAAACCACATCGCGCAAGGAGGACATTCACAATCTCAGAGATCTCTTGTCATTGCAGCGAATCGATTTGGAGGAATTGTGTGGAGTCCAGCTATTGGACTCCTTCAACCTTTGAGTTAAATTTGAAACGACTGGAGGTTGAAGAATCGAACGATTCGCAGGATATCGATTCTAGAGCTTCGTACTTTTCTGATCGAGTAGATGACAAGCAGGTTTTCTTCCGGAAAGGTTTCAAATTCTTTACGTAGAATGGAGAGGCCGGTTGGAAATTCTTCAGGAGTTCGTAGCGGACTCCCGACATGATTTTCGTGATGGAGATGCAGACTATCTTATCGCTTTCGACAACTCCAACCGTGTACGCTGGGAACGGTACGTTCTGTCTTATCTAGCGCTATTAATAGCTGATGTGAGCATGGCAGAATAACGATTGGGAGAACTGGCGGGGGCGTTGAAGGCTATTGGGTGAGACGATCCAGTGACTCCGAAATCGTTGGCACCTTTCTAGTTCACGGTTGGTGGTGAAATTCGTGGTCAGCGTGATGAAAGTAGCAGTGGTAAGACTGACAGCGAATCGATCTCATCGCAGGTTCCAAGGCTCCGCGGTCGGAGGGTAATCGCGTCCTACACGCAGGAGAATTTAAAGTGGAGTTCCGCAGCGGCTACAGCTGGTAGATCGTGAGAAATTTGAGAAACGAGAGAGAAAAGGAGCGGATCCAGCATTTCGGCCCTCAGAAGGCACGAGTATACATATTCTGAACCAAAAAATTTACTCAACAGAGTCGCTGAGCTCAACGTCCAATCGCATCGGCAATAATAGAAGAAGATTCGAGGAACGCATGAATCAAGAAAATCGAAACATTTATTGCCAAAGTGCGAGTGAAGTCCAAACGAACCTTCCCCCACCTGCCGATCTTCCGCAGAAGTGAATATGAGCAAGTGAGGAAGGCGCTAACAAGACCAGAAAAACACGCCACATCGGGCTGAGGAAGTTTCATGGCTACAACAACTTTCCATAGCAAAGAACAACAAAGATGCTTCTTCAGCTGGTCTAAACTTTTTCCCGCCTGTGTCATGGTGTGATACCATACCTCTGAGCAACGCCATGTTGAATGCAAGGGTATTCATCTAAATTTATCTTTCCCCGTCCCATCTCCATCTTCTACAGCGCCTGTCATTCGCCTACCGAACACCGGAAACAAACACCATGCCACATGTCCATCCCACAATCCTCACTCAATAAAGCACACGGGTCCGGATCCTGCTGCCGAGATCCTCCAAGTTCTGATACAGATTCTTAATCTCGCTGACATTAACATTGGAGATATCCGCCATCAGGTACGCCACATCGCCTCTCGAGTCCGTCATTTGCTTGTCCACATTGTGGTCCGCGATGATTTCGTTGACTTTTCGCAGCACACCGGGGACGTTTTTGTGGATGTAAATGACACGGACGTGGTTTGGTTCGTCGGTGGTGAGGGAGCGGAGAGCAACTTCGGGCATGTTGACGGCGCCGTGGGTGGTTCCGAAGTTGACGTAGTTGACGAGAGCGGCGGCGACTTCTGATCCGATGGCGCTTTGAGCCTCTTCGGTGGAGCCGCCGATGTGAGGGGTTAGGATCAGGTTCTTCAACGCGCAGAGCTCTTTACCCCAGCTGTTGAGTGTGTCGTTGAAGTGAGGTCCGTTGCCGCCGGGTTCGTTGGGGTAGACGTCCAGTGCTGCGCCGGCGAGTTTGCCGTTCTGCATATATTTGATCAATGAGGGAATGTCAATGACCGAGCCACGAGAGGCGTTGATGAGATATGAGCCCTTCTTCATCTTCTCCATCTCCTTCTCGCCCAGCATGTTCTTCGTCTCGGGGATCTCTGGCACGTGTAGAGTGACAAAGTCTGCGGTTTCCAGCAGAGCATCGAGGGTGGGCATCTGTTGAGCGGTTCCCAGACCCATGATGTTGACCACGTCGTAGTAGATGACCTTCATGCCCATGGCTTCTGCCAGCACCGACAACTGGGCTCCAACGTGTCCATATCCGATAATTCCCAGCGTTTTTCCTCGTGCCTCCCAGCAGCCATTGGAGACCTTGTTCCACACACCATTGTGCATCTCGTTGCTGCGGTCGCCAATCTGTCTTGCCAGGGCGATGATCTCGCCAATCATGAGCTCTGCCACGGAACGGGAGTTGCTGAACGGCGAGTTGAAGACGGCGATTCCCTGCTCGGCGGCGAATTTGAGATCGACCTGGTTGGTGCCAATGCAGAAGCAACCAACGACGATGAGGTTTTTGGCATGCTTGAGGACGTTGGCGGAGAGCTGCGTCTTGGAGCGGATGCCGATGACGTGGACATCCTTGATCTTTTCAATCAGCTGGTCTTCGGGGAGGGAGCTCTTCAGCGCCTCGACTTGGTAGCCCTGTTTCTTGAGAATGTCCTGACCGGTGAGGTTGACATTTTCGAGCAAGAGGACCTTGACGTCCTGGGTGTGGAAGGGCTTGAGCTGTTTGTACGACGTCTTGGGGGCGCCGGTGAAGCTTGCGGGCGGGCTGTTGAAGTTTAGGGTGGGACTGGTGGAGAGGGAGGTGCCAAAGGAATTGGTCACGGCGCGATCGGGCGCGCCTGGTCGTTCGGGTATGTCGATGGCGGGGCTCATCGTGTGGTGGAGGTGGAGGTGGGGGTGGGGGAATTATGCGCGAGGAAGTGCAGCGGAAGTTGAGGAAGTGAGGTGCGAGGGCGTCGAAGGTGTTTACCGGGAATATTGGAGCACAGGAAAGGATTATAAATGTCGTGCCAGTCCTGTTCGCCCAGTGAGTAAGATTCGTATGATGCAGTCACCTTTCAATGGATGAGTCGGACCGCAAAAGATCTTTTRTCCGAGGCCGATCGCGCTCGTCAGAGTGGGAGATGGCAAGCGGGACGGAAATGGAAGGCGGTGAACGGGTGGACGTCCGATGTCATTTTGCGGCATGTGAAATGGTGACATGACACGACCATTTCCACTTCATTGATGAATGCTTTGTTCTTGGATGCAGACCGATCAAAGAATCGGCATTGGAAACATTTCGTGGAGAATGCTGGCTGCATGTCATTCGGCGCCCAGTCGGACTCCAAGATGCGTCATATGCGTAAAATGCCCGGCCGATCACGCAGGCATGGTTGTTGTGACTGACATTGTTTGAACGCGTACGATGCAGCCGCTGGGCGAAGAGGTCTTCCATACGGGATTCCACCCCAGGAGATTCCTTTGCAGTACAAAGCCTATATGTCGTTGGACAAGATCACGTAGTGAGGAGTACGGCTCCATCCTCAACATACTATCCTTCCGCCGCTCCTTGAAACTCTCGCATAGAAGAGAAGAGAGGGAGCGAGCAAGGGACCTGTGTCTACCAAAGGAATCTAGATCTATAATAGCCACATCCAATCAATAGTAGACCATGCTGAACGATGGGACAATTCACTCAAGTCAAATTTGCAGCAGCTTCGACCATTGAAGTCTTTGTAGCAATCGGCTGCGCACTCCTTGCTCTTACGCAGCGTTGAGGTAGGTAGAAAGATTGGGGCCAGATAGGAAGTTTTACATGTATATCATTCGCATTCTAGGTGAAGTGCTCGTTGGTTTGTTCCAGTGAATTTGTGAGAACCATTTTCGAATGGTTTCGTCAATGATCACGATTAACCTTACACGATCTTAGAGAGAGCATTAGAACGAAACGGAAAATCGGCCCAATATCCACTTCAACCATGGCCCCAAGACGTGCGGTGAAAATCACATTATATTCTGCATGTATCAATCATCTGTCGACCTTTTGTTACTTTCACAATGCTGCCCGGCGCCGGAAGGGATAGACATCACTACCCCAACCCTAACCCTAAGAACACGCTGCAGTAATAAACATTGAGCATATTGAGCTCTATGAACGCTGCACCGAACGGCCTCTTTCAAGACTTATGCCAGACCCGGAGAGAGGCGCACTTCAGAAGGTATTACCAAAAGGAAAGATTCGTCAGAGCATTGCAGGTCATCAACATAGGCGACAAGCAGCTGTTTGCAGAAGCGAAGATGAAAGTTGAAGCTCTGGCGGTCGCGTGACCAGGCTGATAGTTTGGCCACGGAAGCGGAACCATGCCAAAAAAAAAAAGAGGTGAAATCTCAAGTGCTGGCGTCATCTAAGTTAATTCCATCCAAAGAAAAGAAATAGCAAAAAATTGATCACTGTGTATCTTGTACACTGACTTTGTATAGGAATAGCCGAAGGTGGGGCTCGAACCTGAATTGAATGTTAGGATATGCGATGGTGTGAATAGAGGCATGTGATGTATGCTTACCCACGACCTTGAGGTGATCTTTGCAAGCAACTGTGTTGCTGTATAAGAGCCACACGCTCTACCGATTGAGCTACCCCGGCAGGGGTTGTATTTCATAGCATGTTACTGCCAATTGATGGGGACTCAAAATTCAGATCAGTTTGAGTAGGTTGGTTTGCTGTTGACCGAGCATGCGCCGTGATTTGTCTTGCTGGGAATTCTGCGAGGTGCCGTGGAAGCTCGGGCTTGTGTTTCGGTCCGGTTGTCGAGTTTGGGTCACTTTCTGGCTAGGTGTTGTAGCGGAGTCCATCCTCGCCCATGTTGGCACAGCCTACGTCTGGTGTGTGTTGAAAGTCCGTTGAGTCTTCAGACTTGTAAGTATAACGACCAAGGATGAGGTTCTGGACTTTGCCGTCACACAAGTCGAGTTGCTGCCAGGAGTACAGCTTTTTCCAAGACGTGGATTCGTGCAGATGCGGTGTAAGTATACGAATGCAAGGAAGCCCATTGCGTTCTTCCATCGGCTCCGGTATCATGCCAATTCCAATAGTGCTCTTTCGGCCTCATAGCGTTGGGTATCGATCAATAGGCGGTGGAACCCGCCGTTGCTATGGGACGGACCTGCCTCCGGATGGGGGTCTTTGACTGCGGCCCGACCAGGGCACGACCAGGGCATCGCGGAGAAATGAAGCATGTGCCCCTGTATCATCCAAGCAAGGCTGTCAAGTACAACACCCGCAAGGGAGTTTCCTTGATTGACGAAGAGTTGATGGGAGATGAAGATGGCGGTGGGAGCTGGAGCTGGTGGCACGGGAGCTCTTGAGCTCTGAAACAGAACTAAGCCGGATTGGTCGTCAAAGTAAACATTCAGTCCAACTGTTCAACAGATCGCCGAAGCCCCAAGGCCTGACGTCGTCGCCGACATGCGCTGACATCGCAAGCTCCAGCCGGACCACATGCACATTGATCCATCGCTACAGTTGACGTTGACACGATTGACTATCCTGCCATACCACCTACTCGCCCTCCATCTTTGAGTTCTCGCGGAGCTCAGGCCCATCCCATCTCCCAGGCGCACAACATATCAACATAGCAACGGACCCGCGACCCACACTCTTTCGCGACAGCATCCAACTCCCCCGACACTGCACTGGACATGCACCGGACGACGCAGTAACACCTTTTCTTGCAGCCCTTTCGCCCAGCAATTTCCTCGCGCTGCAGTCATGGGCATGCCCGGTGATCTTCCGCGCTTTCCCYGCTGGTGCAAGGCGACGTATTCTTGGGGAGGAGAGACGAAGAAGGACTTGGGCTTCATCGAAGGCGACCTGATTGAAGCGCTGAATGCCGGCGATGGACAGTGGTGGATGGGCCGTCTGCGACGCGATCCTCGCGCAATTGGCCTGTTTCCCTCCAATTTCGTCCGAGTGCTGGAGGAGTCCTTTACACCCGCGCCGAACACCCGCAATGGCTCATCCACACAGCAGTCCTCCAAATTGGGAGCGACGTCGGTGAGGAACAAGGCCACCTTCCGGAAGCCATATCAGGCTTACGAAGATGCGGGCAAGCGCGATAGCTCGGGCAGCATGGGAAAGGAAGGCACGCCGGACGGAGAGGCAGACAAGGTGAAGAAAGAGAAGAGCAAGTTTCGCCCGTATTCCAGTATGAAGACTGCTCAGGCGCCGACGGGGACGGTGAAGAGAACTCCCCAAAGTACTGGACCAAGAATCCCCGATCCCCCTCCCAGACGAGGCGCATCACGACGGCCTCGGAGCCCAATGCCTCCAACGACTGCACAATCGCGTCTGCTAGTATCCCCTTCAGCTTCACCCACACCCACGCCGGGTTACATTCCATATCGTGCTCCATCTCCTCAGCCAAGCTACCGTGCGCCTTCGCCTGCTCCCCCACGATCGCCGTCTCCGCTGCCATCTACATATCACGATGGTTCGGCGTATCCCCAGATGCTCCCACCATTACAGCAGCCGTCGCCGCATCCCTATCAGCAGCAAGACTACTATGCAAGAGGGCCCTCACCCGCGCCATATGAACCTGCACACTACGAAGAGGAAGACATGGGCTCTTCGCCGCCTCCTCCGCCGCCGCCTGCTCATCGCGTGGCATATCAGCCAAGTAGAGCGCCGTCATTGGAGATGGATCCTTATGGAGATGGAGCATACTCAAGGAACGGTAGCCACACTCCAATCCCGCCTTCTCCCGGTGCGGCCAGCCAAATGACCCCGTCACCTCTGCGCGCCGCCATGAACGATGTCATGTCGTCTTTGGACGATATGCAGTCACCATCAAGAGGTCCACCCTCGGATGTCTGGTCACCAGATGAATTTGATGTGGTTCGATCCAATTCCCAAGCTCAGTATCGCGCACAATCGGCAATGGGCTTCTCCGCTCATGGTAGCCACATAGATCGTGCTCAGTCATCGTTGGGGTTCGCGACACAGGACCAATCCCATGGCTATGAGCCGAGAAGCAAGACACCGTCATTACCTTCCTCAAGAAATGGCCCGACTCGTGTCGGCGACTATGCAGATCATTTGGAGCAGCAACTACGTCAATTCGCAGAAGAGCCTCCTCAACCACCCCTGAAAGGCACACAATACGCAAAACGGCCGGAAACCTCGAGCAGTGACTCCAGCAACAGCTCCCCGGGACATAACACACACTCCCAGCAACAGCATCCCAAGCTCCGACATCAGAAATCTGCATTCGAGCTGGGACGTGAACGGCTGAATCGAACATACACCACCAAGACCAATGCTACAAACTCCACAGAGAACTCGTCTGCAACGCAGAGTTCTACCGGCACTCAGATGACCAGCCATAGCATCATGTCGGGGCAGTCTGCGGGTGCTTTCAGTGCGACAAGCGCTGGAAGCCTCGCGAGACGCAAATTTGGTTTCGGGAGCCAGCACAGAAGAGGCATCAGTATGGTTGACACCAAATCGACAGGCGATATGATTTCCAGCGTACGCAGCACGACGGCTAGCGATAGTATCGGGTCCGGACCGAGCTACCATGAAAGTCATGCTTCTTATAATCAAAGACCGTTCACGCCCACTGCAGACTGGAACCAAGATCCGATGGAGTCAGCAGGCGTTTTAGGAGGCCTGAGTTCACCCCAGTCCAAGCGTAGTGGCTTCTTCAAAAGGATGATTGACTCTGCCAAGACGACAGCAAGGACCGGAGCGGCAAATGCAAGGTCTACCATTGGAAGCAGCACTAGTCGACCGGGTAGCCGCGCAGGAAGTAGATCTGGCAGTCCCACCAAGTCGATGATTGGCGGGAACGGACCAACTTCGATTGCTGGTGGTACTGCCTTCCGACCTGCCACTGCACCTGGAGGAGGCGCCGCTGCCATGGGACTTGGTGGAGGCGGCGACTGGATGCAGGTCCGCCGGGATGTGAACCGATCGAATTCATTAAGTCAGCGGGAGAGGGACGAGAGAGCAGAGCGTTGCGAGCTGCACGATCTTCCAGTCCTGCGACCAGTCGATCTGCTTCTCGAATTGACCGAGGGTAATGAAGGCCTAGACGGACTTGCAATTCACGAGCCAACCGACTTTAACCTGCCGAACCTGGCTTTGGTGGACAAGAGCACTCGGTTTATACAGAATGTCCCTCCCATGGTCAGTGCAAGCTCTTTGGCCCAGACGTATGTCTGTCGGCCTCACAGAAGTGATGTGCAACGACTACGAGCAGTGTTTACTTGGGTTGCCGAGCGCATCACATGGGAGGACGACTTTGAGGGCCATATCGACACAAGACGGGCAATTCAGACCAAGCGTGGGTGCAGCGAAGAGATAGCTTTGCTGGTCAGCGAGATGTGTATGGCCGTTGGTCTACATGCGGAGGTGGTGCAGGGATATCTCAAGGGACCTGGCGAGATCCTTGACTTGGACATTATCTCCACACCGAATCATTTCTGGAATGCTGTCATCGTGGATGGTGAATGGCGCATCATGGACTGCGCTTTGGCCAGCCCGACTCATCCACGGMGAAGTGCGTACAGCTCTGCCAGTAGTCAGGTCGCCGAGTCCTGGTACTTCCTCGCCCAGCCAATGGAGATGTGCTATACACACATTCCTCTCCATCCGGAGCAGCAGCACATTGTCCCGCCCGTGGATCCTGAGATCCTCATGGCGCTTCCTTGCGCCTGTCCGTCATTTTTCAGAAACTCTGTGGAATTGATCGATTTCGATACCAGCATGCTGCATCTGGAAAATCTGGAGATGGCTCACTTACATGTCATGGTGCCAGAAGATGTCGAGTGTGTGGCTGAAACCGAAGCTCGTGGATTCGCTCAGGATGCGGATGGTGACTTCTTCGAAAGCGGCGACATGGTCACGAAGAGGGCTTTTACGCAAGCTGAATGGGTCGGCGGTCGGAAACGTTTCACTATCAAGGCTTTGCTCCCTGGTGATGAAGGGCGTGGTGTGCTCAAGATCTACGCTGGGAAGCGAGGTCTGATGCACACCATCAAAGACAACCCGCATTCCCTCGCCCTGACCATGCCGCTCTCCCACGCTGGACAGAACCCACCATATGATTTCGCCACGAGGCATCCGACTCCGCACGCACAGCGACATGATTTGTACATCGCTCAGCCGMAATGCGCACGCTTGACCGTAAACAACACCTTTGTATTTTCCGTCCGCCAACACCCTTCCTCGCTCTCGCGCTTCACGCCTGATACATGGGGAGGAGCGAGCAACGGCCGGCCTCCGAGTCCAAACCCCATGATGAGACCGACCAGCGCCATGAGTATGGTCTCATTCTCCGCTTCCCAGAGTGGGAGCCAGTACTCCGAGGGATCGTCCAACTCTGGCCAGGGGATGACATCTGCTCAGCAGAAACCTGCCAAGTTGGCAATACAGAGTCCCAGTCAGAAGATCATCCGCTTGACAAGGAAGCAGGAGCATACTAGTAAGAATGTTGAAGAGGACGGGGGACTGACGACCGCTTGGGAGACGGTGATCAAGATAGGGGAGAGGGGGATGTGGAGGGGACTTGTGCTTGCTGATCGGAGTGCGAGATGGTGTGTCTTTGCGGAGTGGGAGTGTGTGTGAGATGGGAAGAGTGTAGTTCTAGGTGCATTGGGACTTTTGGAGTGCAGCTTTTAGCCAGGTGTTGGGGTTGGATTTTGAGGGACGTGACACTGCTGTAGTATCATGATGAAGTATCGAGTACGATGTTGGAAATGCACCCCCTTATTGAAAGCTGAAACCCGACGCTAGAACTTCGGGATTTTCGATGAGCACAGACCCGAGACCAGAATATGTTCTTCCACCGCACTACGGAGGTCAGAGTCAGAACTCCTTGCCGGGTAGGTGGTGTGATCTTGGCGCGCGGGTACAGCCGTCTGACCTCATTTCAGAGGTCTTAGATGAATTAATTAATAATAATGGCCTGTTTATAGCCTAATTAAGAAGGTGGATAATATAGAATAGCTCCTATAATGCATAGTAAGTAAATAGCTCTTTAAGTTCTTAATATTAAACGTAATAGCGTATTACCGGACACACCGCATTAAATAGAGGTAGAATAAATAGTATAACCGTAGTACTAATTAAGCAATAGGATGTAATAAGGATCCTTAGAACAGGTCGGATTTACGTGCTAACTACTATAGAGTAGCTATACGAGCTACTACTTACGCTCTACGAGAGGTTAGTAAGACATACGCTTAAGTTAAAGCTATAACTAGTTTAAAGGAGCGATATTGCCGGTCTATATAYGATAAGGCTCGGCGGCGTAGATTCGATAGTACTGCCTTTAGAGATAAATACTTTACTAATAAACCGCGGTCCGGACGTCTAGCTATCGTAACTAAGGAAGCTCTAAGTAAGGTAACTACTATAATAAACGTTAATCGTAGGACAAGGTCGCTTACTACTACTATAATTAGTTATTAGCTTAGAGTAGWTAATAACCGTAAGATATTAGCCTTATCTATATAGAGATTACTTTATAGAGCTAGTTACTATAAAGTTAAGCGTAATACAAAGCTAGGACTTACTCCGGCTATACGTAAGAAGCGACTAGCTTAGTGTCTTAAGTACTAGCACTAGACTCTTAACGATTAGCGGAAGGTATTATAGACAGATAAGACCTCTATAATTTACGGCCTACGACGCGGAAGTAATCGCGTATAGCGAACAGCCTACGAGACTAATAATAGCACGTATTATAGTAATCGCTTTAAAGGGTTCTTAGAGTTTATGTTTTAGGGCTGCTTCTTATACGATTATAAGGGACCTTACTATATATAGGTAAAAGAGACTAAATAGGAAGTAGCTATAGCTAAGAAGGATATTATAGAGCGTAATAGGGTGCTAGAGGTAGCTACTCGTAAGCTGTTTAAGAAGGAACAAGATAAGGAAGATCTAAAGCATAAATTAGCTAGTTTGTCGATTAAGGACTAAGGATTAATACGAGCTAGTAAACCGCGTAAATATCGTAAGCGTATAAGGCTAAAGTTCGTCTTTATAGAGGCTCGTAGCCGGCTCGTTCGTAAAGCGACTATAGGTAGTATCGACTAGTATCGTTACGAGAAGTTTGTTCTCGTGCTAAAGTTGCTGCCCTTTATAAAGGAATACGGCCTAACCGTATAAGAGGATAGTACTAGAGCTTATATTACTTACTAGCTTAACGAGCTGTTTAATATTTACGACGTTATTCGGCTACTATAGCCTAGCAACTCTCCGGATCTTAATATAATTAAGCCTACGTAGTATTAGATAAAACGCGCGATATAAACCTATCTAGACTTCGAATCTAGGCCTAAATTACCTAGTATATAGAAGTAGAAGTAGGAAGAGATGCCGTAGTCTACCGTATAACGCTAGATCCGGAGGATAATACGATATATTCGTAAGGTAATTCGACTCGACGGTAGTAACGAGTATCGTAAAGGAGCTAAGGATAAGGAGTATAAGCGTCGAATATTCGATAAGCGCTAAGTTACTATAGAGGATGCCGCTGTCGTTACTTCTATACCTACTCTATCTCGTAAGGCGTACCGGTTAGCTCGAATAGCTATATAGTAGGCTAAATTAGAGGATAGCGATCGAGTAGAAGCTATAAAGGCTACTATAAAGGAGGCTAAACGGCTAAGGGCGAACGACCTAGCGAAGAAGCGACGTAAAAAGATAAAAGCTCTAAGGACTTAAGTTGCTACTAGAGCAGCCTTACCTACTTAAATTACGGCTGTTTAGAAGGATAATAATTAGCGTAGAACTCGATTAGCAGCTACTACTATAGGAAGGAAGAAGATAGTTACGTTTATAGAGCGTTTAGTATAGTTATTACCCTTTAAGAGGTTATTATTATAGGAAGGAAGTAAGGTTAAATTAGAGCTATAAAAGTCGTTAAAAAGTCGTTGTTTAGCTGTTATTATAAAGCCTAGGTAAATTTTATCTAATCCTATAGCATTTAAGTTATAGTATACGTAAAGACATCTATATAGGCCTAAATTAAAGAGCGCATTTAGCTCTACGATTCCCTTCTTATGTTTGTAACGATAGGTGTTGTAGTTATAAAGGTATCTAAAGAAGAAGAAACCATATGCGGGTGTTAGTAATGTGGACTTAACTACGGACGAACTTCGGCCGAAAAGCGACCCGGCAAGGAGTTCTGACTCCGACCTCCGTACCGCGCGTCAGTGGATTGCAATTCAAAAGCCAAGGCATGTGGATCGGGACCACAAAGTCGTAAATCACGCTGCTGCAAAGGATGTGTTGGAAGAACTTCATCGAATCTATTGCCTATTCGTCTTACATTGGCGAGCATTACTCTGTGATTACAGTATACGACAAGATCAAATCACTCTTAATATGCTCGACTGACGGACCAACACAAAGTACCAGACTGCCACGGGACCAGCCGATCTAAGCAGGGCTGTCACAGTAGTGCAGTCTGCACATTAGCTCGATATGGCCGAAAGACCGTGCGATTGCCTACTATGGCTTCTATATATACTAGGAGCATCGCCGGCCTGATGTGACGCTCCAGATCCTTCTCTACTGTCGTTTCCGCTCATCATGCTTTTTATTAGCCGTATCACGGCATTTGTTTCTTTCGGTGCTGCTGCTTTTGCTGCTGGACATCCTCGGGTTGAAATTCGGAATGGGAGTATCAAGGGAAAGACTCTGACTATTGCCAATGCTACTGCGAATGCTTACTTGGGAATTCCTTTTGCGAAGCCACCGAAGAGATTTCAAGCTCCTGAAGTTGCGGATGTCATTTCTGGAGAGTACGATGCGACTTCTTGGAAGAGCAGCTGTATGCAGACTGGAAGTGGAACTGGTAAGATTGCATGTTGTGTTGTTTGAGAGAATGTTGGAGTAACTCTCTACCAGGTCTAAAGCAATTCACCGGGAATACAAGCATTCTCGACGAGTTTGCCATCGCCGCTTATAACGCCACCAACAGCGAGGACTGCCTCTATCTAAACGTCTTCGTGCCCCCCAACGCAACCTCAACCAGCAAACTCCCCGTCCTCTTCAACATCTACGGCGGAAATCTCCAAGCAGGTTCCGGCTCGCTTGCAGTATTTAACGGCGTCCCATTCGCAGCCCACCAAAACGCCATTGTCGTGACATTCAATTACAGAGTCGGCGTCTTTGGCTTCACTCCCTCTCCGGAGCTGGAGCAAAAGAATCCAGGATTCCTCGACCAACGTCTTGCTCTTTCGTGGGTACACAACAATATCGGGTCTTTTGGAGGAGAYTGCGATGCCATTACGCTCATGGGGCAGTCGGCTGGTGGGTTTTCTGTGAAGCAATTGTGGGCGAATCCTCCCACACCATTACCTTTCCGAGCGGTGATTATGGAGAGTCAGAGTTTGACTGCTCCGATTGATGGCTGGCCTGCTTTGACGCAGTTGACGAATTGTTCTACGGCTATTTCTCCACTCGTAAGTTCTGAAAATTCGCAGAGAGAGGAACATACACTGATTAGTTTATAGGCATGCGTCCAAGCAGTCGACGCAGACACCCTCGTCTCCCTCTCCCGCAGCAACTCCCTCTCTTTCCCACCCACGGTAGACCACATCACGCACACCGATCACATCGAAGTCGCAATCGCCCAAGGCATCCCCGCTAAAGTTCCCATTCTAATCGGCACAAACGGCAACGAAGCCGCATCTCTYGTGCCCGGTCTAWCGAAAGAACAAATCAGCCCATTATGGGCCATCACAGTGGGTTCCACGACTCCATCTTTCGATTCCCTTTACAACGCTACTGTGGATACTTGGGGCAATCACACCGCTAGCCATATTTACAACCAATATGGTTTTACTTGTCGTGCGGAGATTTTGTCTACTCGGGCCGCGGAGAATGGATATCCTGTTTGGAGATACTTTTACAATGCTACGTTTCCGGAATGGGATGCTTATCCCGGGGAGAGTGCCCATGGTGCTTTTCACGGAGCTGAGTTGGCGTTGCTTTTTGGGACGTATTCCCGTAATGGAGGCGCGACAACTTCCAGGGCTGTAAGTTACATGCATGCAGAAGCATACCATTTGAAAGTACTCTGGATTTTAAGCTGATGATTTTCTGGGTGATAGGAACGTGTCTCGTCCTATCTTCAAGACACTGTTGGAAAGTTTGTGAAAGATCCAATTTCTGGACTCGGTTGGCCTGCTGTCAACTCCCAGCCGGAGTATCTCTTGAAAATTGACAATCAGAGTAATGAGGGTACGGCTGATGTGGTCATCAGTAATGGAGTCATTGATGAAGACTGTGGACTTTTCAGCGGTTTACAGATTTCTACTGGGGTTGTTAAAATCTAGAGGAGTGATATTGAATCACCGATGGCGTGCAGCTGGAGGATCACTTTCAGTCTGTGCTCGGGGTGAGTCAGGCATTCCTTTAGACACATGTACAGACTTATACTCTTGTTGTCATTCTTATCCAGGAATTTGACTTTCTATAACTAAATGTCGTCTCATACTGCGGATTGTACTGGATTTCTGGCCGCAAACAATGTTCTAAGCACAACCGAGCTACTTGAGCAAATTCTCCTTATCCTCCCCGCCCAAGATGGAACAACTTCGTCTCTTTGCAATCAATTATTTGAATTAAAACGGGTCAACCTGACCTTCAACTCAACGATCAAAAGATCCCTCGGACTCCGGCGAAGAATGATGCTCGTCCACGATGATGAAGGTAACGAGAGACGCCCCTTTGGCCTCGAAGTCGCATGGATACAACGAACCGGACTTTTACCATTTGTGCGAGATAGCCATGTGTCGAGCGTCAAGGATGTGGTCAGCGTCAGATTTGGGCCGCGAAAACGTTGTGTGCTTCTTCTCTTGCCTAAAGAATGTACCAAGCCCGGTGACCTGACCAGGTCGTGGCGAATTCGACCCATTACTCCGCGTTCGCCTGTGAATTACTCGTGGCGGGATATGAAGCTCTGCAGCCATCCAAGAAAAACGGAAATTTATCTTTACATGACCGTGGAGCCGGGCAGAAGTTATTTGAGCCTGCTGGCTTTTGATCAGGGAACGGAGACTCTGGGGATACTTCATGATGCTGTGGATAAAGTGCTCAGTCGTAGCAGAGATGAGCATCTCGCTTATATCGATGAGTATAGAAAGATGAGGGATCTGATCGAAAACCCAGCACGTCGAAGAGCAATATTTGAGCCCGAGGCACTCACACTGAAGCAAGTCTTCCGACAACATCGTCTTCAGACGGAATGTGGACGTACCGTTGGATCTTGTGCTGTTTGCGCGTGTGTTGGACCAGGAAGACATATCCAAAACGTCATGCGAAGACGTAGTCGTGCTCTTACACAGTCCGGAACACTGCCGGGTCCATCATCTCAGGCAAACGACCCCGACCAATCTTCTACTTCGTCGCTGCAGACCACTCTCGCTTCCCCTTTACAACCCCTTCATACCCCACAGCCTCCGCAAAGTCCATCAGGAATCGCCAGCGCGCCTCCTGAACCCAACCATACTTCATGAAATCATTGGCTTTCTTCGGGAAGAAGTCAACGACATCGAGAAGAGAGGCATCATGAGCAGCGACAAAGAAAATATCATCCCTGACATCAGCTTCTTGCAGTTTCTCAATAGTCCGTATAGCCTCATCAACGTCATAATTCATCTGTACTTGAGTCTGTCTAGCAGGTTCATAGATCGTCTTGGAAGGATCCCYATCTCGAAGAATGCAATCGAACATATGCCCCGGACAGACCGATTGTGCCAGAGAAGTAAAAGGATGTGGCGAGATCTCCTTTGGGATTGGAAGGTACCTCGAGGGTCGCAATTCCCCTCCGTGATGTACGGCATCGCCGCCCATGAGTATGAAACTAGGAGGATGCGAGGTGACTCGCGCAAGAGCACAAATGTGACCAATGGCATGTCCCGGACTATCCAGGAAATAAAAAGAACCATCTCCGAAGTAATCGATTGCATTCATCTTGCCAATCTGGAGCCCCTGAGAAAATTCCAGTTCAATAAGATCCCGGCCCGCATAATTGGCTTCGAGAATGGTACTCTGAGGGTTCGTGGGATAGCCAGGTAACATGGCATTCTTGAAACCCGGTCCAACAATCAGAGCTGTCGAGCTGTTGAATTCTTCGGGAGCGCCTGTGTGATCGAAATGATGGTGACTCCAGACTACAGCCTCGATCCCGCTTACATCCACGCCGTGCTCTTCGAGAATCTTTCGTACGCTCTTCTCCACGGAAATTTTGTATCCTCCTTTTTTAAATCGATCTTGGAGGAAGGGGGTGTGATTCCACCAGTCGTGTCGGATTCCCAGATCGAAGATTATGGATCTGTTTAATATTGGGTGGTGAATTAGGAAGGAAAATGCTGGTGTTGCGAGATGGTCGTGGCCTTTGATAGGTGGCTCGAGAAATTTCCAGGCTTCGACTCCTAGGATGGAACTTGTTGTGTCTATGATTGACACGTTTACGATGTTGGAGGATGGAGGGATATTGAGATCTGGAGCTATAGTTGCCATGATAAGGGTATGAGGAAAAGCTCACTGCAGGAAATAGTAAATTGAAAGTGTAGTATTAGTGAAGACCAAGCTACGCTCGCCTATCTATTGACCTCGGCTGAGCCATTCTCAATATCATTCCCTCTGGTGATCGTCAACGATAGTGGCGCTTCAATCTTCTTCGCCATACCGTCCGATTATGGCAGTCCTACGAGGAAGGAAATTACGACCACATGAATAAACTCACATCTATCGTTGCGAATCACCGCCAGTGTGACATAAAATCCACTGCAAGACCAAACACTACGATCCTCTCATCTCCCCAACGCACCAACACTGGAAGATTTCCCCATCCGTATGTACACAGACTTCGTCTCCAACCAGTCATCCAAGCTTTGCACCAAGCTCTCCCTCCCCATTCCCGACTGTTTGTATCCACCAAAAGGCATATCCCAAGCACCAGTCGGACTCGTGCAATTAACACCCACCATCCCAGACTCCAAACCCTTGGCCACTCGCAAAGCTCGATCGAGGTTTTGGGTGTAAACAGCAGCATAGAGACCATWCTCGGTATCGTTTGCAAGCTTCAGAACATCTTCCTCGGATGTAAATGTATTCACTATCGCTACAGGACCAAAGACTTCCTCTTTGGAGAGCTTATCAGAATCCGGATGATTGAGGAAGATTGTCGGCTTGACAAAATTCTCAGAATTTGTCTCGGGAAGTTCTAAATCGATATCGACAATCTTGCCTCCAGATTTCCTGGCTTCGTCAATGTATTGCAGAACAGTCGAATGTTGCGTCTTATCAGCCTGTGGTCCAGAAGTAACAGCTTCATCAAGAGGGTCTCCAAGTTTTCTAGCACTAGTAAACGCAACAAACTTCTCAATAAAGAGATCGGCGACACTTTCATGTACGTAGATCCTCGAGTTGGCCATACATGTTTGTCCAGAGTGAAACATGATACTATTCTGCGTCTCCTGAGCCGCCTGCTCGAGATCAGCATCTTCGAACACGATGGCAGGGGATTTGCCTCCCAATTCAAACACCAGATGTTTGAAATTACTTTCAGCTGCTGCTTTTTGAATTGCACGGCCCGTTCGAACGGAACCGGTGAATGATAGCGCTCGGATACCCATGTGTTTGGAAATTGCTTCGCCGGATGGAAGACCGTGACCATGCAGGATGTTGACCACACCTGGGGGAAACCCAGCTTCGTTCAACATTCGAGCGACCAGGTCTGATGACAATGGAGCCTTTTCGCTGGTCTTGAGGATGATGGTGTTGCCTGCAGCGAGAGCTGGAGCGAGCTTTTTGCTGAGGAATACTAGTGGAGCGTTCCAAGGGATGATAGCTGCTACCACGCCATATGGCTACGATGTCGTCAGTTCCCGACTTGCTTTTTCCTTGCGAGCTGCATCAAGTACATACCTGTTTGAGAGAGACGTTCATGAAACCTGGTGTGTTCAGYGACGAGGTACCGAGTGCATACGCCGCTTCTGCGAAATATCGAAAGTGCGTGACTGCATAATGCCCATCGAAGTAAGTGCTGATCTATATCGATCATGTTAGCCCAAGTTTCTTCCTGAAGTGAGAGGCGAACTTACAGGGCGACCCAGAGACAGAGCATCAAGTTTCGCCAACTCTGGTGTTGCATCGGCAATCATTTGAGCCAATTTCGCGAGTGGTTTTCCTCGCTCTTGTGGCGACATTGCTTCCCATGATGGTTGTGCGGCTTTTGCTGCTGTCACTGCCGTATCTACATCAACAGAGGTAGCTTCGGCGACTTTGAAATCAGTCAGTAAGATGTCCAAGTCTCAAGAGAGAAGGAATTTGAACCAACTTTTGCCAACCACTTCCCCGCTGTAAGGGGAGCGTAGTTCGAAGGTGTTGCTGTCAGATGCAGGAACGAACTCGCCATTAATGAACAGGTWCGCCACAACTGGCAAAGATTGGCTCATTTTGTTGATGTCGCAATGGTGTGAAGAAGAGCAGTCAAACGGAACGGTACTTGCAGAATTGCTTGGTCGTTATTGTAAGTTTACAGAGTATTAGGTACTCAATGACTAACTTCCCCGCCGGCAGCTCATCTGATGATACCACCACGGCATGGAGTGATGTTGATCATCTCAGGGGGTACAAGATAGGAGCTCATGCAAGCCCCACCTGGTATCGCCTAAAAGAATTGAATCATCCCCACAGTATCCACATATACAGCCTTCCCTTGGCCTGGCCGACTCGGCCGCCTACGGTACGATAAACTTGTGCACAGTATAACGTACCGAAATTGTGATTATGGTGTGCACAATAGCTAGCTACCTAGAGATGAAACTTGAAAGACAACACATTCTCCTGCTCCTTCTCAGCGGTCGACATACCCGCCAATCTCTGAGATCTCCTCCTATTGAGTACCGCCAACAAAGCAGCTGCGAGACAAACAAGTGCAAGTCCAAGACAGCTGAACGTCACCCCGTTCACCATTCCGGTGAAGTATCGAGGAGCCTCATGCTTGATGAAGACATTACTTGACACGAGATTTGCACAGTTGCCAAAACCAACCATCCAAGCCATACCAACGGCCAGATACTTTCGACCTCTGAGATTGGCACTTAGCCAGGCCATTAACAGTGGCATTTGAGGAATACTGCCAATCGCCATGAAGAATAGAGCGGCATATCGTACTCCTGTGATACAAGTCAGCTGTTGGTGTAGACTATACATTTCGTGAAGAGATAGTATAGTACCTGGTGCAGGTACCCAGATCATCATGATGATCCAGCCTACGAGTTGGCAGCAGATGCAGGATAATACCCAAGGAAAGCGGAGGTCGAATTTCGAAGCGCCCCATGTCACTGAAAAGGTCACTACGATGGCTGCGCCCCAAATTGGCATCGTCATGAGCTGGGCTTTGGAAGATGTCCATCCCAGTTCTGTTAGAATGGATGTCATGAAGGAAGAGATGGCTGCTGCTGTGAAGTCGCAGCAGAAAAAGCACATTGTGAATAGATGAATGCGCCAATCCAGCAGGACCTAGCCATGTGTCAATAGGAGAAAAAGGACGGTCTGGGAGAAGAGAAGACTTACCTTCCAAGTTGAGACCTTTTCGGCCTCTGATCCCTTCTCTTCTAGGCCTCGTGAGGCATGGAGCTTAGCCACAAGATAATCGCGTTCTTCCGGTTTGAGGAACCACCGCTGTGCCTTTTCCGGGAAGTTAGGACAGAAGACTAGCGCTATTATTCCAAAGAATACAGTCATAAGACCCTCGATGATGAAGATCTAATCAAGTATCAGCTTGCAAATTCATCTCTATATCGGTATTTCATAACGTACCCATCGCCAACCCTCATAGCCGCCTGTGCCATCGAGGTTCGTAATGGCATAGGCGAGCAAGCCCGAGAAGAATGGACCACCCAGGGCAAAGTTGAAGAAGGCTGCAAATCGAATGGCTGCCTCGCGCTTCGTGTAGTACATGGAGATCATGTACGCTGCTCCAGCTGGTAGGGAGGCTTCTAGAGCTCCCATTAAAAAGCGGAGGGCTAGCAGGCCGCCGTAAGTTTCGGTGAGACCTTGACACATTCCGAGTACACCTTTGAAATGTTAGAATTGTGTGCGAGCGATTGGTTGATTTGATTCCCACCAAGGATACAAGTCATGCCGCCGAGAAAGTAGTTTGGGGCAATCTTGCCTAGAAGAATGTCAGATATGCGTGGGAAGTTGGGCATGTCAAATTGCAGAGGTATGAGACTTACCCATGTTAAGAATGAGGTTACTTGGTACTTCTGCCAACACGAATGGGACGTAGAATATCCTAGAGGAGGAAGAAGAAGACGTCAGAGACTCCATTTGAAGTTCATSGTGGACAATAACCTGCAAACTCACCAAAGAGCGGTATTGTAACCGTTTGACGGCATGTCCAAACCTGCTTCAAGTCCCTCGATCTTTGCGTTGGCAATATTCGTGCGATCTAGGAACATCTGCATCGACTCTTTAGCTCAGCCACCAAAATTATGAGATGGAGCTTACAATCATGTACAGCAAACCAATGGTTGGCAGTAGAATAAAGTCCCGCTTCCACATGATTCTGCGTTCAATCTTGACATTGATGTCAGAGTCCTCGAGAACGCCATTGTCAATACTACTGCTACCAGCAGAGGTAACGACAGCATCCAATCGCTTCTCTTCGGAGTTGAGATCGGAGCCCATGATGGATTCAGTGATCCAATATGTTTGTAGATGGAGTGAGGAATGGCTCCAAAACCGGCTGGGACGACCATGTCCTAGATTTCTGGAGGAGGGAGCCTCGGTACCGTCCTACGAGACAGCCACACCAGACCAACACACGTATCAACGATAGCAGGCATTATGTAGATAGTACCATGTGAGATAGGGCGTAGCTCACAAACTTCTCCGGAAACTATGAAGATCTTCTAGCTCTAACATGATAGGGACCCCAGCTTGCAGCGGCCAAGATGCATATTGACCCACACCTTCGGCAGGGCAGACAGGGGTCACGATATGCAGCCCGCTCATGTCGCATATGATCAGACTTTCCAATGTGAGACAATTCGAACAACAGCAACGGCAGTGATACTTTTACCTCAGAGCAAAGATGTCGATCCAAGCACCCATAAGCCATGTCTCTCCACGAGCACGGTTTGGCCTGATCATGTGCGCTATATCCCCTTACAAGAAAGAAGTTGAAGTATACTAACAACTACTTGACAGACCAGCTACCAATACCGTCGTGGAAGCTGAATTCAACCGCATGCTAGTACCAGGAATATCATGGCATAGCGGACGCATCGAAATCACCAACCCCAACCTCAGCACCGACGAAGCCATGATTGCCTTTTTAGAAAGTCTACGCGTTACCATTGAAGCAGCCGTCAAGAGTGTATTGCACTGTTTACCAAGCTATCTAGTAATGGGTAAGTAAGCTCAACACATACCCTTCCCATCCTCTTGCAGACCCAGCAGCAGCTAATCACTCCCCTCTTCCACATGCAGGAATGAGCGCAGAAACCTTCTGGGGCGGCAAAAACGGCGCCTTAGAATTCGAAAATTTCATGCACGACATCTCTGGCCTATCAGTCACAACCGGCGCCCACGCAGCCGTTTCCGCCCTCCAAATCTACGGAGCCAAGAAAATCGCCATCATAACTCCTTATCAAGCAGTAGGCGATCAACAAGTCGTGGATTTTTTCCAAGGAGTTGGATTTGAAGTCCACGCCATCAAAGGTTTGAAATGTGATTCCGCGACTTCTATCGCGGAGGTATCTCCCCAGGTTATCAGGGATGCTTTTCGAGAGGTGAATTCTGAGGACGTGGATGCTTTGTTTCAGGCTGGGACGAATCTTGCTGCTGCTGGTGTTGCTGCGGAGATGGAAGTTGAATTGGGGAAACCGGTTGTTGCGGTTAATACTGCTACTGTTTGGCATGCGTATCGGACGAATGGGATTTTGGATCAGGTGAGAGGGTTTGGGTCTTTGCTGGCGGAACATTAGATTTTGAAGATGGATCTCAATATTTCAAGACTGGGAGATGAGTTTTCTTTTGAAACCGCCTTATGATACATGTTGTCATATCAGTGCAGTCTTTGAGTGGTGTTTCTTGTTCAACTACACCTTTACTTGAGGCAGAGATGTCGACTCCCTCTTCTCTCGCAGCAGAGATGCCGACTCCCCCGTCTCTTGGAGCGGAGATGATGACTCCCCCTTCTCTTGGAGCGGAGATGTTGACTCCCCCTTCTCTTGCGTTGGAGATAATGACTCCCCCTTCTCTTGCAGCGAGGATGATGATGATTCCACCCTCTCCTTAAACATAGATGCCGCCTTATCAACATCGCCCTCCAAATCATGCCACCAAATCCAATGTAATCTTCGATTAGCATTCTCCACAATCCCACCCATATCCCCCCCAATCCCCGGATCCCGCCAAACATACATTTCCCCAGCCTCCTGACTAGTCCTCACAACCTTCTGCGCGCGTGGCCTCCGAACAGCATCATAAACCTCAAACGCCATCTCCAATTCCCTCGGATTTCCCACCAATTCCAAAAGTTTGGCCAAAACAACCGCATCCTCCAATCCCTGTCCAGCCCCAGCAGCTTGTCCAGGAGAAGAAGCATGCGCGACATCCCCGACCAAACAAACTCTCCCTTTCCAATATCTCGGAGTATCAGGATGATGAAAAATCGGCCAGCGAAGGGGACTCGCCCAATGCAACAATTTCACCAATCTTTCATCCATCCCTTGTAAATCCCTCCTCATTTCCTCTTTGGTACACGCCACAGCTTCCTGTTTCCCCTTCCACTCCTCCCCATCATCTTTAATAAAAAACACAAAATTCTCCTCTCTCCCTTTCGAAATCGGATAAATCGCCACCCCTTTCCCCTCCCCCATAAACCACTTCGCATCACCCGCATGCCGTCCCAAAATCTCTTTCGCATCCTGCATAGGTAAAATCCCCCGATAGATATACATCCCACAATACTTCCCCCTAACCTCCTCCTCATCTTCATCCTGAAGTACAACCCCCCTACTAAACCCTTTAATCCCATCACAACCAAGAACAGCATCAACAATAATCCTCTCCCCATCCTCAAACCCCACCTCAACCCCTTTATCTCCTAATTGCCGCATCTCCACAGCCCTCTTCCCAAAAACAACCCCCCCCTCAGGAATTAAATTTTTCATAACATTTAACAAATCCCGCCGATGGGCACTACATCTTTTAAATCCCTCCCCTCCCACTCTACCCCCCTCCCACCCTTTAGCTTCCCCAAATCCACTTTCAGAATATAAGGCGTCAAAAACACAATTTTCAAAACCTGGAGTACTGTTTCCTGTACTGAGGGATTCGTAGAGGGTGAGGAATTTGGGGGAGATGAGGGAGATTGCTTGGAGGGAATTTGGGCCTAGACCTATTCCTGCTCCTAGGGGGGAGAAATTTGGGGAGGATTCGTAGATTTTTAGGTCGAGGGAGGGGGATTTTTGGGTGTTGGAGAGGGCGATTGAGAGGGCTAGACCGGTTATTCCTGCTCCTAGAATTGCTATTTTTAGGGGGGGTTTTGGGGGGGTTTCCATTGTTTTCTCTTTTTTCTTTGGTTGAGGGGTTTGGTTTGGGAGGGGTGGATGGATCCTTAGCGATGTTTGATGGGATGTGTTCTTGGATCCGATTGTTTTGAGTTTCAGTTGTTGTTCTTAGGCGACGGGTTAGATGTGTAGATAGAAGAGTAAGTTTGTGGCAATTCTAGGTTGTGAATGTGTGTTGATTCTCGTCGTTGAATAGTAGATAGATAGACGTGTGTACCTAGTGGTCTCAGAAAAATCGCCTATTTCGGCCAACGCCGCCGATCAAAAAGATAGGCGATGAGATCTACCGGAACATTGACCAAAGACGTGCACTCCATCTCGGATATAGGAGAGAGGAGAAGAGATTACGCGCTACTCTATGCCACAAATACTACGAGCGATTTCATTATTATGCTTGATTCCTATCAAATCATGCTTGACTTTTATCTAATCGTCTTTGATTCCTCATCAAATCGTGCTTGAATACCATCAAATCATTCTTGACTCCCATCAAATCATTCTTCGTTCCCACTAAATCATCCTCAACACCCATCCAAATCCCACTAAACCCCCTATCCTACCCATCCAACCCATACTCCCCCAAAATCTTCCCCCCAGCAATCTCCCCAACCAAAAACCCCACACTCATCGTATGCGCACTAGGCAAAACAGGAACAACACTCAAATCCACCACCCTCACCCCCCTAACCCCAAAAACTTTGAAATCCCCATCCACGCAAGCCTCATTAGAATTCCTCCCCATAGAAACCGTACCGCAAGGATGCCAGGAACTGGATAAATTCTCCTTGATATATTGTGTGAGAGATTCGTCTGAGGAATCGTTTTTGTTAGGCCAGGATAAGGGACGGAGGGTGTTGGAGGCGAATGTTGGGGCCGTGAGGTAGGTTAGGAGGGAGCGTGTTGCGAGGAGGAGAGTTTTGAGGTCGAGGGGGTGGGTTAAGTAGGAGGGGTTTATTAAGGGTGGGATGGTTGGGGAGGAGGATTGTAGAGAGATTGTGCCGCGGGATTGGGGGTTCATGAGGAGGGCTATTGCCGTTAGGGGAATTTGATTTGAGGGGAACGGGGCGGCTTTTTCGTCGTCGTTGGGGGTCGGAGGGGCTGTGATGGCGATTTCCCAATGTGGGACACTGGGGTGTTGGAGGTGGGATTGGGTTGAAGGAGAGAGGGATTTGAATTCGGGGGTTGAGGGGAGGTCGGGCAGTTTGAACCAGCCTTTCATTGAGGGGATGCGGTGGGTTGGGGGGACGGGTGGAGTGGGAGTGTCGGTGTGGAGGAGGATTCCGGCCGTGGTGAAGCAGTGGTCTTGGAGACCTTTGCCGACGCGAGGGAGAGGGTGTTTGGGGTTGATGCCGTGTTGGAGCAGCTCTTCGGGATCGCCGATTCCGGAGAGCATGAGGAGTTGAGGGGTCTTGACCGCTCCGCAGCAGATGATGATTTCTTTTTGGGCTTGGTRGATGTGGCCGTCGAGGTCAATGACTTGCAGGTCCTCAGTGGAGATGCGTGCGATTGTGGTGTTGGTGATGATGGTGAGATTATCGGGAGGATTGTCAAGATATGCACTCGCTGCCGTCACGCGTTTGCCATTGAGGAAGCACGCCGGACTGATTCCAAATCCGATGGGATTTCCCGAGTTGAGGTCGAGATTTCGAGGCCAGCCGACTTGATCGGCGGCAGTGAAGTTTTGATGGATGGTCGGACTGGTGGCCTCTCCATACGTGAGATCCACCGAACCATGACCTGCGCCTCTCTCGGGTAGTCGAACATAGTCAGCATTAGAGGGATGGAGATCTTTATGATATCGCTCGATACGACTCAGGACTTGCTTGATCTGCGGCCAAGAAAAGGCTTCATCATCGGCAATGCGAGCCCATTCGTTGTAGTCTTCTTGAGAACCGAGCACGAAGGCGGAGAAGTTGATGGCCGTGCTGCCACCCAGAACCCGTCCACTACTGTAGTCGATTGGCCTTCCGAATTGTTCCGTGGTTTTATGCTTCCAGTTGAGGGGAGAATTCGGCTTGAAGGCGAGGTGGAAGCGTTGGGACACATCCAGATCCTCGGCAGCAATGCTTGACCCTCCAGCCTCGAGGAGTAATACGGATGGTCTGCTGGCCGACCGGGCGAGTCTTGAAGCCAGGACGCTCCCCGATGTGCCACCTAGAGCATGTTGGCTTAATGGATTGATGGATGGATTGATGGATTGATAGGGAGGGAATACATACCGCCAACGATGACAAAGTCGTACGAGGCCATGTCTGTCATGAATGATTTAACGAGATGGGAGGGATAGTATGCTATCACTTACCTGGACATTGGAAGCTGGAGGCATGTCGCTTAGTTGCCCGTCTAAGGGATGGGAAGGATATCGCTTAGTTGCCCGTCGACGCTCGCCTAACTTCATCATCCCCTCACCATTGATATCGCTGGATAGCAGGTGACATGCCATGACTACCTAGGTACATGCCATGCAACCCTCGCCATCGATAATGTACCAGTAGTTGAGATGACAGGCTTCCATTCAAGACACACGCTCATGCTTGTCGTGGAGGGAGAGGGAGGCCATGGGAGGGTATCTTCCCGCGGGGAAGCTAGCATGCCGTATCTTCCTTCCAGATCATGGCATACCTCGACATGTAGACATCTTTGACTATCTACCAACCAAACTTCGACCCAAATTCAACAGCAAGGCATTTGATGAGGTCGTGGTGGAGAACCGTGTCGAATATTGATGGACCTAGTTGATTCCCACGACTTTTCCACTCCAGAATTCCTCCTCCGACGTCAGCGCGTAAACATGCATTCATTCACCTGCACCCTTCAACATTCCTTCCCGATCCATGCCGTCCCGAAGCGCGTGGAGCACCCGCGCTCTGCGCATCGCCGCGTCCGAGCCTCATGTCTGTCGAGCATGTCGTTCTCAGGCCCGGTTCAGCTCCCGAACATCGACACGTCTGTCCCCTCCCTCTCCCGTCGACATTGGACCTGCATCCCGGCGAAGGGTACTGGGGAAGTCATGGCGGGACATCAAACAACCACGAAGGACTATCCGTCAATACGCCGACTCGCTGGCATCTCGAACCGCCATCAATGCCCCCTCGACGGTCGCGCCCTCGCTCAGGCATCTCCACCAACAATTGCTGCTCTTGCAAGAAAAGGCGAGCTCCCATGTCGATTTGTCCCGCATCCAGCTGGCCATGAGGAGTTTGGAGGGGGAAGATGCCGTCACTCGCATCGCATTTCTGGGATTGGGCGCTCGAGGGCAACAGGCGGCGCGGAAGGTGGTGCGAGCCTTGTTGGCCGACGCATTGGGCGAGGAAGCGGAGTGGGAGAGGAAACTTTTACGGGTGGAAGACGGCGGAAATGTCCTCCTGCGATACGGTGAGGCGGGAGAGGAGACGGGGGTACAGCGGCGGAGTAGCAGCAATGCCGTCGTCGAGGAAGTGCGACTGCCGGCTCCATTTTTGCAGCGCTACAACGTGGAAATCCTCATCTCGGGATGCAACTTGTCGTCTTCGAATCTCCCCGCCCACGAGCTGCAACAGAGTCTGCTTGATCCCGCATTGACTATCCCCGGAGCTGGTCGCGTGGGCTTTGTGAGATTTCCCGTCCACAAGGCCGTGTTGGTGGCAGAAGGGGTGGCCGGCGCTGTGGACTTCGGAAGACTCCCATCTGGGGTGGTGGATGAGAAGAACATACACGCCGTCCTGAATCTCCCTCGACGGGATGAAGATGCTCCTTCCGATTCCACCGCCGTCATCGATGTGGATCTCGCCACCCACGCCCTCTCCCTCTTCCGCACCAGCGTCTCCAATGGCGCCCAATTCAGCGCCGAGTGGCAGACAAGCCGCATGTCCACCCTGACCTCCTGGATCGCCGCTGCTACCAATCCCACAAGCAATCTCAAACTCGCCGCCAGTGACTTGATCTCCAACATCACTTCCCACGCCAAGACGTCCATTTCTGCGGCAGAGTCGGCGGCTCATCTCGCCTCGACATCCCTCACCATCCCCGACGCCAAACGTACCTCTCTCCAACACGCCGTGGCCGCATGGTCGCAAGAAGCCCACCGCGATCTCCAAGCAAACCTCTCGACCGCCCTCGTCTCCCCGACCTGGAACCGAACAACCTGGTGGCGACTCTTCTGGCGCATCGACGAAGTCTCCCTTTCCGCCTCGGATGTCCTACGTCGTGCATGGCTGGTCGAAGCAGAACAAAGCCTCGCATGGCTCAGTGGTCGTGTGGTCGAAGCAGGAGTCGCCACGGCCGAGGAACTCAAAGCAGAACCCAACACCACCACCCAACTCCTCGACCCCGTCTTGAAGGATGAGGTCAAACAGTACAAATCTACCCAACGCGAAGACGTTCCCGTGCAGAAGATGGAAACCGTGGCCGAACTCATGCAACTGCCCCCAATGCTCGCCAGAGTCAAGCAGGAGAGTGGAATCGATGCCATGTTCGACCCGCCGTGGCCGCAAACCATCCATCTCGCGCGACAGCAGATGCTCCATCGCGTCGTCCCCAACATGCATCGCAGAGCGCAGGTCTTGATGTTGTCGAGCCTGTCCACTATTGGTGGTACCGCGGCGCTGGGTGCGTGGTTGTGGGTGGCCAGTGGAGGCGTGGCATTGTACGAAGCGGGCGCGGTGGCGAGTTTGGGACTCGTCTGGTCGCTGCGACGCTTACAGAAGAAATGGGGCAAGGAGAGGGAAGAGTTCGTCGGAGTGGTGCGGGAGGATGGGAGGAGGGTGCTGGGGGATGTCGAGGGGAGGTTGTTGCGCATTGTGCATGAGGGCGGGAGAGTTGCCGTCCGAGAGGAGGATTTTGGAGAGTGGACTTMTGCGAGGGAGGCTGTCGAGCGGGTGGAGGCTGCTAAGGAGGCGGTTCTTAAGGGGGATGTGTAGGTTTTATATTAAGTGGTATGATGGATGGATGTTATGCTGGAATACGGAAACAGCAGCAGAGAGGACTCGGGGATGTGGGTCTTTGGAACCTATGGTTATGTGAATATATATCTTCTTCATCCCACTCTACCCTCTTTACTCATCAACACTGGTGAAGATTATGATCTATCTAGTGGGTGGGGTTCGAAAAAAGAAAACAATTGTACATACATACAATTTTCCATCCTCGATAACATGCACATGATTCCGAAGCCCTATCGTATTTAAATAAACATGTATGTATGCCTCACGCTACTCGTCGAGATTATCCAAGAGGTTGGTGAAGTTTTTTCTAATCGTCCTTGCCTGAGGTGGTAGGTAGTTGTAAATGCGACCTATCTCGTGTGGAATCCGGACGGTTTGGGTCGGAATTTTATCATTATCTTAGGCTCGAGAGACAAGTTTCACTGTGTCTGTTTCTGATCTCATCTCATCTGATTTGATTTGATGGTAGGTGAGATGRGAATGGTCGGTTTAGATGAGAAGTATGACACCTAGAGTCGTGTTCTTTAAATGGGAGGATAATGGAGTTTTTGGTGGGAGAATTAAAGGGAGGGATTACGTATGGTTTTACTGGGATTGGGGAATGGAAGGCATTTATGTTGTTGATTAATAGTGGTGTTATAGGGGACTTTCCTTCGGCTAGAAGATTAAACTGTTAGAATCATCGCTAGGGACGATAAGGAAGAAGGGTATAGTAGAGGAGGAGTAGGAGGGAGGAGGAGGAGGAGGATACTTTTTCTAAAAATTGTAGTGTTAAAGWGAATGGATCGGATGAGATAGTAGGGTTTACCGTACGATGTAGTCGTTATTCGCGAGATTCTTATAATCCAAGGACTAGGACACCGTTTCGATCGCTTAGCGATAGCCACCTATCCTCCATAGCGCTTCGTACTATATCAAAGCTCGATAGCGGAGACTTGCACTTTATTAACRGGGTTGGTACTACTACGGTAGGTTTGATCCTTCGGATCCATTAACCGGGGAAGCGTAGATTCTAGGGTTATGCATTAGGGAGATCTCTCGCTAAGCACATCTCGCCGTAGCTGTGCATAAAACAAGCATTTATTACCTTGGCTTTTAACGTTACTTTGTTAGAGCACCTTTACGCAGTAGCGCTCATGTACGAGGCGTGTAAGATATACCAATGTATCACGTTACCTAGTCTTAGTATAGTAGCGCTTTCGGATGTGGTGTCGATACGTATACGACGATAGAGGAACGGTACCTATGACGAGAAACATCCAGATTCTCAGCCCGATCCTCGAAAATCTTCGTGTACCTGGTGGCTTCGCTACACATATACCGATTGGGATAATACAGATTTGCTTGGCGTTCACGCTGTGTTTGGTTCGGAGACTGCCGCAATATCTATCGTCTCCCGCGATCGAGTGATACTATGACGGCATTTTCAATATATAAATGTTTGGTATTCAACTGCCAAACATCCTCCTAAACTCATCATCTTCATTTCCGAGCCCAGAAATCCATTCCTGTACTGTTCATCCTCGACCATGGTTTTCGTCCCCTGGAGTTTCGTCTCCCTAGCCCTAGGAGGCATGTTGACCGTCGTAACAAGTACTGCCGTCCCGCTTGTGAAACGCGCAGGCGGTGTCAACTGCGACAACAGAATTTGCAGATCATTCTACACGACTGGAAGCGCGCAATGCTCCTCCGGATACACCAGCAAGTACCTGGAAGTCCCGGGCTACCCAGCGGGACAATACTGTGAGAAACGCTGCGATGCCGAAGAAGAGACCGCGTGACTCGCAAGACAGTGCTTCTTCAATACGGAGCAATGTAAAATGTTTCCAGGAAACACCATTTGCGGCCGCATGCTGGAGTTTTGCAAATACCCGTCTCCCCTCCCCAAAAAATACTGCAATTCCAAACACCTGAAATTGATCGAGCCCGTCGTTTACGACGATGCAACCGGCGTCTGCTCCCTCGCCAAACTCGAGGCCAAATTATTCTCGTTGGTCCTAGCAGTCGACAAGGATCCCGAGGCTACGCGCTTGATTCTGGATTGTGATGGCGTTGCACCGAAGAACATGGCATCTCTCAAATTACAGGCTTTGTATCTATCGGGACTGAAGAAGGAAGAGTGGAAGTGCTCCGGGAATGCCGTGAAGAAGAACATTGAATTCGATGATAAAGTTTTTAAGCTGGAGACTCAATGCAATGCCACGCCAGAGGATCGATTCGATGATATTGAGAAGCAATTTGAGAAGGCGTGTAATAGGATTGGCGAGCGACAGGATCAGAAACCGGAGTTTTTCTCTTAGAGATGATTAGATGGGCTTGATTGTATAACGATGTGTGCTGAGGGATTTTGGGAGCGATGGTTGATATTCCTTTGTTTGAAGAGAAGATGGCGTACATGTTTCAATCTATAAGGATACAAATCTAGAGAGTGTTAACGACGAAGGCGGAGGTGGTAGTTTGTACCGGTTAAGAGCGTAGACTCGAAATTTGATTCACGATAATACTATTTATATACGACATCGAACCTTTTATGTTTACGACGAATGTTTTTTTAGTACACGCCAAGCCGGAGAAACGTTTCGCCGTTCCAAGTGAATGTTTCATAAGACTCTTTTCGTTGTCATAACTAACGGTATAGCGCGAAAGCGGCGTTAGTCAAGCCTGTTAATCACTCTTGGAATTAATCACAAGTAATGAAGGACGGCTATGATTGTATAATCTTCCAATCAAGAACGCGGAAATTCCAAATCGGAACAAAAAAATCGCGATCGATGACTGCCTTATGTCTTATAAATCTAGTGGTCTTCGATCAGATTCACCGCATCGTAGTTTTGCTGTAAAACAGCTCTATTATAGATCACTTTTACCTAACAATCGGGCACCTTTTTAGGTTTTCCTCTTCGAGATCCCGCTTGACCGGAAGGTCGGTCCGGCACGGCAGTGCTAAGCCGTTGGATGGCTTACCCGGACCATAAAGAAGAGCTCTTGATCAGATATGCACGGTGAACAAATGCCTGCGGGATAGTGGAGCTGAGATTATTCTAGAAGACAGCCGGATTTCCGAGACTCTTTTTTTCTATCCGATTCCCCAACTTATTTGAACGAGGCAGATGTTTACCCCACTTGATATGATCTCGCATAATTATGCGTATTAGCCATGATCCATATGTGCTATTATCTAGATTTTTCGATTAAATCTTTCGATCTTGGTGGACGTAGACTTCTAGTCGTTAAGAAAGTGGAAAAGCCGTGAGATAGAAAGGAGGTGATGTTTGAGAAAATTGTTGTTTGCTACAGGAGAATCCATTCATATCTGACGGCCTCCCTCAATCCATCTATAGATGATATAGATGCGGTGCTCCTCATGCCTCTCGCCTGTGGACCGATTTATACCAGGGACACAGCCCTGGGTTTCTTCTTTCTCACTTCATTATGCGGTCTTCGTCTGCAAGCCGTTGAGTCTTCCAGATTTAGTGGCTCGAAGATTCGTCATTTGGCCAGCGTTTGTATCGACACCGGCGAGTGTCGTGGTGTTCAGTCCTGTCGCCTGTGGTGCTTGCTGGAAGCGGGTATCGAATGTTCAATCACGGTTGATAAACCTGGCAGGATTTTCCCTTGCCCTTCGCCTGAGCAATAAGTTAGCTCCTTTCTCGAGAAAATACAAACGTGTTTACACTTACATTGACACTAGTACAGCAGGTTGCCTGAAGACTCCGATTCGCGCAACCCGAAAAGAACGAATATACATCGCTGACAGCTCCATCAGCTGTGTGGAAAGCAGCAAGGTCAGCATGAGGCACGATACCGGGAATTTCGAGGATTCCGGTACATACTGTTCTTACAGCCTTTACTTGGGGTCTGGGGAGTGGCACGGATGTCGCAGCAGTATGGAGTACGATTTGATGAGCAGCCAGGCGATGATCCAGACGTGGAGCCTTGTGGGTTTGCGAAAACACTAGCACAGAGTGCAACGACGATGAAAAGCTTCATGGTAATGACTGTGGTGGTGGAATTGTGTTTGTGTGAGGTATGATGGGGAATTTGTCCTATGAAGAGAGTGCTTGAAGGTGGTCTTTGTATGTGTCGTGGGTGAGCGGTCAGGTAAAGAATCATCTTAGTTGCTCAAACGTCGCTGCTCGGCGCGTGTACAATCACCATCGACTGAACCGGGCGAACAATTTCCCTAGTATACAATCTTCCAACATTCGCATGAACGATATAGAGTCGAGTTTCAGTTGTCGGATTTTTTCTGATGCTCAACTGAAAGAGTTGCAAAAGCGTTATCAACAGCTTTTCGACTGCAATTTCTCGTTCATTAAATCATTTGAGCTGGTTCTTGAGTCGCGCTTGATATAAGCTGTCAATAGTTGGTCGCATTTTCAAAACCATCCTCTCCCATTTCCCTCAAACTCTACTCGTCACGCCCAAAGACGATGAAGCTCCTCTTGCTATACGTCCTCGCTAGCCACGCAGCTACCGCTGTGTTGGCCGTAGCATGCAGTGCCGAGCATCGCATTAATGTTATGCGGTCAGTCATGAAGGCTTGAGTTATTGTTGATTTCGCTAATACTCCGGCGTGAACAGATACATCACCGCTGCATTCAACGAAAACAACCTCTTGTTATCCGCCGCCGCAATTCAAGGCATGCCATTGCAGGATGATGCTCCTGCCTTTGGTATATACACACTTTACTGCTTCCATGTGTGTTCAATGCCAGAATCTAATCAGAAGCAACAACAGTGTCCGTCAACGGTGTTCCGGCCGTTCAATTTGGCTTCGATGCCGCTTCGACAAAAGACTTTGCACAAGTCGTTCGCCAGGCCTTCTCAAACGTCGTCTCCGAATATACGGACTTTGACAATGGAACAACTCTTATGGAAGCAGACGTCACTCTTGGTGTCCTCGGTGCAATTGACTTTCCCATATCCGCGCAGGTTCCGGTCCCAGCCCAATTCAACCTGACATCTTGCATGCTCAAGGAACTGCGCGCCAACGTTAGAGTGCCCTCAAAGATTGGAGGCAACCCGTTGGACACACCCACACTCGAGTTCATTCCAGGTCTCGACAAGCTTCCAGGCGCAAGAGAGGTTTTGAAAGCGCTTTTAGCCTCTGATGACGAAGATTTGGTTGCATAGCCGCATTATCTACATTGGGAAATGATGTGTGGAACTAGAGATAGGATGAAATAAAGATGGAACTCAAAAAGCATGCAATGACCGCTTTCGTCTTGATATCTGTCGGTGTGAAGATGCAGCGGAAATCCCCCGGTTTCAACGGTGCCACTGCATGTGCAAGATTGAAAGTCTATCTGCCATTGACGCCTTACAAAGCTGGCGCATTCACACTCTACCTGGCTGATGCTCTTAGCATTCTTTGGCTCCGGTACAGTCTTGTCAGCATGGAAGTCYATGTGCGCATCAATGGGACAGTCTCAGAATCGAGAATCGTGGGACGATCAAAACACCGAGGGACCATTCCAACTACATGAACAGCGGTGAGGGACCATTCGATCATTAGCATCAGCACATTGGATCTGATTCTAGTTGCGCGGATAGATGTTGCGTTTATCGTATCCCGTCGGATGCATGATTCTTTGGTTCCGCCGGATGTGTATTTTTGTGGATCCGGCAGATAACTTGCTATATGGGTACATCAAGTCCATCAATCAGTGAGACCGCGTGCGTGACAGCTCTGTCAATCTGGTAGTGCCATAGATTGATGCGTAGAAGTCATCGCATGACGTTGTCTCCATTGGCATCCATCGCATGCATTACATCGAAGAGTGTAGCTAGAGCTGGAGTCTTGCGTTTGTACATTATAAAACAGTGTCCGCGTTCGATTTAAATTCGGAAAGACAACCTAATAAGCCCATACAACTCAAGATGAATTCCCCTCCACTTAGTATCAGTTCGTCAACAGATCATCGAACAGAGTTGGCCTCACTACTACGCGGTCAGAAAATAGTGGTCCCGGATCTACTCTCCATATGGCCTGAATGGAAAGTTCGCCAACATCCCGACATCGATGAAATGCGCAAGAAGTCCGAGGGATGGTTCCAGACATATGTTACCACTGCAAGGAATCGAGCCCGACAGCGCAAAGTCGACAGTCCCATGTGTGCGGGAGGGACCTGGACCCGCGTATCACCACGCAAATTCGAAATTCTTTGCTCTCTGATGGCTTGGTTCTTCCTCTGGGATGACGAAGTGGACTGTGGAGAACTCACCGAAGACCCCGAAAGAGCAGAGGTATATTGCGACGACACGGTAGCATACATCAAGAGCTGCATTCAACCTGAGCTCGGGATATCCCCWCCAGCTCCAGGACGCTTTCATAATTCCGGCGCATGGTCAGATATCGCTGGAGCTATGAAGATTGGACAAACGCTCGAAGACAGAAACCGCTTTGCTGAAGCTATAATTCAATTTATCGACAGTGTCCGGGAACAACAGTCGGAGCGTCTGGAAGGGATCTCCACCATCAAAGGATATATTGAACGACGAGTCGTTGCGGTTGCCTCGACGCCATGCATCATGGTACTACCGTGGGCTTATGATCTTAACCTACCACCTCGAATCATGGAGCACGAAGCTACAAATCTCATGTGCCGCGAGATAGGCATAGGAGTATCACTCGTGAACGATATCTTATCTCTTAAGAAAGAGATCGCGAACGATGAAGTCGATTCCATCGTCCCACTTCTAGTACATCACGAGGGCATCTCGGTGCAGGAAGCAGTGAATAGGACCTTGGACATGATTCAACAATCGCACCAGAACTTTCGAGCCGCTGCGACTCAGTTGAGGCTTGCTGTGGCAACGATGAGTCTTTATGTGCAAGGCGATGTTGAGACATTGATTGCAGGCTGCATGGATGTTCTGGTTGGAAGCTATGTTTGGTCTCTCAACTCCCCTCGATACCTGCCCAAGTCTGCATTCACGGGGCAGAGCTTATCATTTGAGGTATCCTTGTGAGTGCAGTATCTCGATAGGCTATTAGATCCAAGGAACTGTAGATAGAGTCGAATATGCGAGTATACAGAAATCAGAAATAAAGAATCAGCACGTTGGAGACCAGGTGGAGAGAAAGCCTTTCGCAATATTGTATTGGTACATTTTGCAAAGCGCCAAATACCCGAGAAGTGGCGCTGATGTGTGCATAAGAATTGTGAGCTCTCCAGGTACAAGTCCGCCACAAATTACCGGAATGGGGAATTTCATGAGATTCACTTCTCGGCTAAAACTTTAATCAGCTAACCATCTTCTTGTTCTGCAATTGTTAGCGATATGAGCAGCGAAGCGGGAATCCAGAAAATCGAATCGCTTTATAAGGATATCTTCTTGTTTTGAAATTGCTACCGACATGACCAGCCAAGCGGGAATGCAGAAAATATAATCGCTGAATAATAATATGATCGCTCTGTGCCAGTATGCCTCGTCGAAGTTTGCGGATCGCTGCAAGCCTCGGATTTGCCGCTTACCTTCCTCTTTTATGGCGACGACTACAAACGTCCAAAAGGATCTTTAATACGTCATTAATGTCATCACAGAGACTCTTCGTCTTGATGGTACTATCGACCATGCTTCACGAGACGTTCTCGTCGATAAAGCACTCCCTCGCGACGGTGAGCCGCCCCTCTTCGTCCCCCAAGGTCTCTCGACTGTTCTGCACATGCGCGTCATCTAACATCATCCTCTGTAGTGAGTCGGGCACAAACATCGATTTCATCCAGAGCATTGGCTAGGGAAATTGACGTCTACGTAGCGCTGTGCTGGGGGCGACCTGCCGCTTTTGGGTGACCCAAGAGTTTGTCCAGGCGGCCAATGGCGCTTGCACAGCAGTCTTGAGAAATCGAAAATTGTGATGCGAAGGATAGAATGCCAGAGGAGCATCGGAATCTCATGAGCATACGGGATGGTGCTCAGGTCAAGTTAATTGTGTAGTCTTTCACCGGCGGAAACTGTTCGTTATATCTCAGTCGACTCACTGAATCACTTATCTCCACTGCAGTCAGTAAGAAGTCTGCGGTTGGCTTCTTAGTCTTCTGGAGGTTAAGGGCAACTCGCTGCGTGTCTGTAGAATTAAGACATTTGCAGAGTTCTCGCATGAGCATATCAGATAGTAGTACAGGGAGAATTTCTGCAAAAATGTGCGTGATGTTATTTATGCGATCTATCAAATTGCTCCTTGATCAATCAAAAATCCAATGCGTCCAACAAAACTCCCGTCCCCAAATACATCACATTTCTGAAATCTTCCGCAAACTATGCTACCTGTATCTTAGAAACAACCTTCTCACACAATGTAATCAGGGATGTCGCATTGGTGATATCCAACGTGGTGAGATCTGCAGACAAATCCTTCCGAATCCAGTTGCGAAGCTCGACAGCCGCAAGAGAATCCAGACCATAACTGTTCAACTGCTTAGCAGGCTCCATAGGCTCCGGCAAGCGTAGAATTTTTTGGAATTGTCTGTTCACAACCTCAATGCACAGATCCAGAATCTGGCTATCGATGGCCTCGGTGGCTGGTGAGCGAGCAAGGAGGAGCAGTGTCGCGAGTTCCTTGTCTACTCCATCACCGGCGGACGAATCGTCGCTTTGGTTGCCGAAGTACAGACCGCCAAATCGAGCGTCATTGGCGAGCAAAGGCGAGTCGCCTCCAAGTGGTACGGCAATACCGGTGATCAATTGAGCCTCGTCTGCTCCGGCAGKACAGGTCTTGTCCATTTGCTGGAGAATCGATTGCTCGGTGATCTCGAGCAGCAAAGGCTCGTTGATTGGAGTCCAGGTCGTAGGATCGAAGATCTGGAGGAGGTCTGTGTTGCGGCTCACGTATCCAACATCCTCTACAGCACCCAGGTCGACGGAGTTTGCACGCAGGCCGAGTGCTTGACGACGGTAAGACGCAAAGGCATCCAGGAAGGCGTTTGCTGCTGCGTATTGTGCTTGACCTCTCTGGCCCACGACTCCAGAAATACTGGAGAGCATGGTGAAGAAGTCCAAGTCCAGGTTATGCTCAAGAGCAACATTGTGCAGATTCCAAGTTCCTGTTACCTTTGGTGTCGCACCGATATGGAACTCGTCGATGGTCATGGATGTGAATATCTTGTCCTGTGGTGGAAGATAAAGTCAGCCTTTTCATGTCACATTGGAAAAAGATAGTAGTTAGTGAACTCACCCGCAAGACCATAGCACCTTGAATAACACCTCCAATCGGACGAACAGCCTTGGAGAAGGCGTTCTGGACGTCTTGAAGTCGAGAAACATCTCCAACCATGAGCTGTAGCTCTGCACCTTCAGACTCTACACTCCTGATTGTAGCTTGAGACACATCGTCAGCATAGCCACTGCGAGCCATGGCCATGATGTGCTTCGCTCCTCGTCGGGCAAGCTGGATCGCAAGACTTCCACAGAGTCCCTTCAAGCCGCCTACAATGAGGTACGACTTGTTGGGGTTTAAGCGGAGCTCTCGAGCCATTGGGCGGGCCTGCAAATGTTAGCGGTGAGGTTCACCTGGATTTGACACAAATCTTACCTTGACAACGATTTCCTCTTGCGGCTGCTTGGAGATGACAATCTTTCCAATGTGATTCGCTCCTCTCATGTATCGGAATGCCTCTGGGATCTGATCCCAAGCAAATGTCTTGATGGGGTTGATTGGCAAGAGGATCTTGTGCTCCATGAGCGGCATCAACCGGTTGAACAGACTATTGCACACCGTTAGTTTCAGTCTTCAGAGTTGCAATCGTTTTGACTTACCTGGCAATAAGCTCATCGGTGATTTCCTTGTGTGCCATGTCAAGACAGCGGTAAGAGACGTTGCGTCCAAAGATTCCCATAGAGAGGAAGTTCCTGTCCAGCATGTCCTTCTTTCCGAGTTCCACAAATGTACCGCCTTCACGGATACACCTCCAGGACTCATCAAGAAGCTCTCCAGTGAGCGAGTTGATGATGCAGTCGACACCCTCGTTGTTTGTGACGTTCATGAGTTGCTCCGCAAATTCAGTGGTTCGCGAGTTGAAGATGTTCGATGCCGGAATACCAAACTCCTCTCGGAGAAGCTTCCTCTTCTCTTCGCTACCCGCTGTGGCGAACACTTCGGCCCCAATGTGCTGGCTGAGCCTGATGGAAGCAATTCCAAGACCGCCAGTGGCTGAATGGATCAGGACACGCTGTCCAGCCTTGAGGCCTCCAAGGTCGTACAAGCTGTACATGGCACACAAGTAAACACTTGCAATGGTGGCGGCCTCTGCGAATGACATCCAGTCCGGAATGCGATAGACACGCTCCGTCGTCGCAATGATGCGGTTAGCGAAGGTTCCTTTCTCGAAGACAATCACTCGGTCGCCGACTTTGTAGTTGGTCTCTCCAGGACGAACCACGACTCCAGCACCCTCAAGACCAAGCAAGTGCTCGTTCTCTGGCACAATACCCATCGAGATGGCCAAGTCTTTGAAGTTGAGTCCTGCAGCCTCGAGCTGTACCTCCACTCTGTTCGGTCCGAGTGGAAGCTCGCCAATATCGTTGAATTGCAAGCTGTCCAGTGTTCCGATACGCTCGGAGATCAACCTCACCGTGGAGGTTTGGTCGTGAAGCTTGAGTTCCTCGAGCTCTCTTCCGTTGATGCGCTCATGTGTCATCTGGTTGACAACCGTGTTTGGCAACACCCTGCTGATGTAGACGATTCCCTCACGTTCGACAAATTCGTGGTCGGTCGAATCTCCCTTCCGCTGGACATGGTCGAGGATTGTGCTGATAGTGGATACCGTGTGCTTTCCATCCCGACTTTGCATATCGAGCGTAGTGATAGCGACCGATGGGTCCTCTGCGCGCACTGTACGACACATACCGTGGATCATCGCGTTTTCTGGCTTCGTCACTTCCATCTGGGAACCTTCTGTGACCCAAAGTTTTGGGCGAGTACTAGTGAGAAGCTTCTGGAGCGTCTCCCACTGGGCGCTGGACGTCGTTGAGATGATTGGCTTGGTGAGTTCGTCGAGGATCAAAAGTGGTCCCTTGGACTCTGGGATTCCATTCTCAARTGAGAACATGGACACCGACCAACCGTGRGCCTCAAGACCATCAACGATGGCCTTGGTCTCGGGGCCTGGCTCGTGGAAGTATCCAATTTCGATGTACCTGTTTCGGTCAAGTCAGCATGGAACAGCAAGCGGGCTAGTAGATGGCTGTGACGATTCGATACATACCGAGAATCTGTTGCGACTTCAGCACCAGAGGTAGCAAGATAGGCTTTCTGGGTGGAGTTTCCAAGGTCGATCGCCATAACTTGGCTGGACGAGAATCCTGCCTGCTCCAGAGATTGGACCACAGAGAAAGAAGGGTCAACATCAGCCGAAGACTCTTCAACGACCAAAAGCTTGCCACCGCTGGCCAACGCAGCCTGGATTGCGGCGGCTGTCTCTCGGGGGACCTGTTCAAAGCCGTTCTGCAAAGTATTAGTGAGACACCACAGGAATGGCGAGACTATGAAGAACTTACGACTCGCAGTATGACTAGATCGAAGACCTTGTCGTCCGTGGTAATCTGGGCCGGGTTGAAGAATTCAAAGGCCGCCCCGGATTGACCAGCGTATCGCTCCTGGGTCGAGACGAGTGCCTTGGCGTCGGATGAGAAGAAGACAAATTTGCGACAGCACTGGCGAACTCCGGTAGTTCCATCTAACCAGGTACTGCTGGACGTATCTGGTAKAAGACAGATCTCGGCGATCTTCGATGAAGGTCTTTTGTGAGCGAGGAGATCAAGGATCTGATCAACTTTGGGACCCGAGCTGTTGTCAAGCACTTTGCTAAACATATCCTGAGACAGGAACTCGACATCCGGTGTCCATTGGAGTCGAGTGTACTTGTGGTTGATGCTCTGGTCCATGTCGAGCTTGTGGAACCGCAGGCCCTTCACGCGGAACAACATGGCTCCTGAATCCGGCTCATAGATAGTTGCATGGCCCATGTAGTTCTTTGTCTGATCTTTTCGTCCGAGGCCGACGTACTCCGCGGATGCTATCGATATAGCTTCGCCAGTCAAAGCATCTGCTGCAGGGGAGCACACAATCAGATCGTCGATGATCGCTGGGATCAAGACTGCATTGACGGAGCTTCTGTTGCCGTTCCAAAGAGCCGGAGCACAAGTTTGGAGACAACCGTCAATTGATGCAGGGTGCATCGGGTATGGGGATTGCCTGTATGCGCTTTCTGGCTCACTCAGATCGACGATGGATCGACTGCTTCGTTGACCAGATGTGCACTCAATTCGAAGATGCTTCTGGAAAGCTCGGCCGAAACCATAGCCAACCTCGTTGAGAGCCTTGTACCAAACATCTCCGCGCGACGTGTGTCTCAGGGGAGCAAGTTCCGCGGCGGTGGCAGCTAAGTAAAGTCAGCAATAGAACCTCAGATTGTTCACCCGGTACTTACAGCTATTGGGAATTTGCTCGGTGCGAATCAAACCACGACAGTGCTCGCTCCAAACTTCTCCCGACTTGGAGAGAACCTTGAATTCATACCAAGGGTTGCCAGTACCGGGTACTTTTGTCATGCTTGTCATGATGGTTGAAGCCTTACCCTCCTCGAGCACCAAGGCACGGGGGAATGTGCTGTCTCGAAGACGGTAACGAGGGCTTTGTGGCTTCGGAGCTTGCTGTTCAGCCGCCTGTGCCTCTGTTATCTGTCGCACACCTTCAATGGCCATGGCGATGTAACCAGCGGCGGGGAACACGATATCGGGACCCATCTAGTGTGCATATTAGTAAAAGAAGACAATCAACCTCACATGCCGTTGACTTACCTTGTGGTCACGGAGCCATGGTAGATCGTCCACCGCCAACATGTTCCTCCAGCTGGGCGAATGGTATGAGGCACCCAGGATCTTGCTCCCAAGCAAGTCATGGCGAGGGAACATCCGATATCTCCAATCACGACTGGCGTCGCTTTCATACCAGTACTTGGTTGAGTGGTTCCAAGCGTAATTAGGAAGGTCCACGATGGTTGCTGGCGGTGTTGAGCTGTCGGTAGGACTGTTGACCTTGGCAAGATTGATAGGCGCTMCCGCGACAAAGAGGCGACCTGCAACCTCGAAGATTGCATTGATGGCATCTTGACCGCGGGTCAGGGCTGCGGAGTATTCTACCTTGGCGCCTCCGTCTGCGATGCTTTTCTTGATCTGTGCGATGGGGCCCGCTAGGGCTCCACTTGGTCCGATTTCGATGAGATAGTTGCATCCGGTTTTACCAGAGATCATCTCATGGAGAGCTGGGTGGAAGCGGACGGGAGAAACCATGTTGGTCTTCCAGTATTGCGCGCCTGCTTTGGCTTGTTCATACTTCTTGCCCACGACCGAAGAGTACCAGGTGATGTCTTTGGCTGCAGGATCAGAGGCTCCGTCGAGGTTCTGGTCGAGCATGGTCTCGTACACGTCTCCAATCTTGTTCATGAAGGTCGAATGGTATGCCTTTTCAAGATCAGCAAATCACTCCTCATTGGGTAGTGCAGGTTGACTTACGAGGTTTACTTGAAGCATCCTAGCAAAGTGGCCGTCCTCGACGAGGGCATCCTTCACTTTTTCGAGAGCCGATATCTTGCCAGACATGGTGACACTTTCCGGACTGTTGTAGCAAGCGATTTGAACGTCGCCGTTGTAAGACTCGAGATACTTTGCCGCAACGTCAGATCCAATTCCAGCTGCCAGCATGCCAACATCGGCATTATCAGTATCATCCTTGAGCGCTGCTTGTCCGCGGTAGTAAGCAGTCTTGATAGCATCTGCTTCGCTCAAGTATCCGGCAACATAGGCTGCGGCAATCTCTCCAGAAGAGTGACCAACGACTGCCTGAGGCGATACACCCCAGTTTCTCAAGACCTGAACAACGGCGAGTTGCAGAGCAGTCACCAGTGGCTGAGAGAACTCTGGTTTGCGGAGCAATTGAGGGCTGCGAGCTTCGGTAAGTTCACCTGGAATTCGGATTAGTACCACAAGTATTTCGTAGCATAGTGTATCAGCATTTACCAAGCAGCGACCAGGATGGTGGGTTCGGGGTGCTTTGGAGCACCCTGTCCAGGCGCTGGACTACCTCGCGGGCCTCCGGGAATGTTTGCAACAGCTGTTTTCCCATCTGTGACCATTGAGCACCTGAATGGATTAGTACTGTCTCAGCCAAAAGTGACTCTCATTCTTACCTTGACCGGTGAAAACGAAGCCGATCTAGAATGTTGTTTAGCATATATCCCAACAGATGATCGAACAATCCAACTTACTCTGGGAGGCTCGTTTCCTGGCTTACCCGCAACTAGGTTGCCAGTTTCCAATCCTTCGCCGAGTGTCTTTGTCACCAAGAAGCCACGGTTGAATAGGCGACTTCTTCGCTCTGACAACGTGTATGCCAGATCTGTCAATTGTACTGAGACCTCTGGGTTCATGAGGTGACCCGACAACCCTGACACACTCGCGCGGAGCGAAGCCTCGTCGTTGGCTGAGAATACGAGCGTAAAGGGACGCTCAGATCCCTTGGGGGCGGCATCTTCGAAGAAGTCGTCGAAGTCTTCGCTGTTGCGGTAAGAAGATTTGTGCGTTGGGCGATCGAAAGCATCAACCACGACGTGTACCTGTAGAAAGCAATCACGCTTGTCAGCTCCTGTGCTCGGAAGCATTGCAAAGAATCAGCTCATTACGTACGTTGGACCCGCCGTAGCCAAAAGAATTGACACTGGCTCTCTTGATTGGGACAACAGGCCAAGGCGTGGAGTATCTGCTGGCTTTTACTTGCAAGGCCTCGAAATCAACTGCTCAAACATTAGTACCGCCATGAATCTTTAGAGTACGTTCTTTCATACTCTTCGGGCTAGGTGTGACGAAAGTAGGATTTCCGGGGATTATTTTGTGTTCAAGTGTGAGGACAGCCTTGAGGAGACCTGAGATTCCAGCAGCTGGTTCGGAATGACCAATGTTACTTTTGATCTGGAGTTTCCATCAGTACTTTAGCCAAGTAGAGTCAGTAGCACAAAACTCACCGATCCCACCCGCAGGGGTGTCTTGCGAGGACTGGCGCCGAAAACAGAGGCGGCGCCTTTGAGCTCGGTTGGATCACCAGCCTGCGTTCCCGTTCCATGGCATTCGAGATATGTGGTGTCCTCAAGATTCGTTATTCCGGCATGGCGGTATGCTGCTCGGATCGCCTCTGCCTGAGCTTCGCTGCTGGGGCCTGGAAAAGATGTTAATGACCCGTTTCAATCAAGCGCTTGTCAGTACTTACTTGCGATTCCTGGSGTCCGGCCATCACTGTTAGTTGCAGTTCCACGAATGACAGCTCTTATAGGATCTCCATCTCTAATCGCATCGTCCAATCGTTTCAACATTACCGAGTTAATTCCTTCACCTTTGATATATCCGTCCGCTTTGGCGTCCCAGGTATGGCACAAGCCAGACAATGAACTAGCACCCTTCATAGCACCAGCTATATCGTATTAGCAGACTGATCTGGAAGCATTGCTTCTCACCAGGTCACTCACTGTCCATAACGTGCTCAGGGCTGAGGTATATGTTTGCTCCTGCAACGATGGCACCGTTGATTTCTCGAGATTGGAGATAGCGGCAGGCAACATCCAATGAGACCAGACTGCCAGAGCAGGCTTCACGACGGTATCAATTAGTGATCTCGTACATATTCATGCTGCTGTCAATTCGACCTACCGGTGTCTATTGTCATCGATGGTCCCTGTGTACTGGTTAGCATCCAGCCCTCTCGAGTCGATACGTTGGATCACTAACCTTAATGTTGAAAAAGTGACTCAGTCGGTTGCTCAGAAGTGCTCTGCCAACACCAATTGTGACACCAGAGACACGGTCTTCTGGATCTCTTGACTGTATGTCGGCATAATCTGTAACCGTCAGTACCGTCGACAGTGACAGTATGCGAAATTTCACGTACCGACAGCATATGATCCAACGAAACAACCGACTGGAGCACCGTCTAGAGCTTCCAGAGGAATTCCTGCATTTTCAAGACACTCGTATACTACCTCCAGTAGCTGGCGTTGTTGAGGGTCCATTGCAGCGGCATCGGCGGGAGAGACCGAGAAAAATGCTGCATCGAAATCTTTGGGATCCACGTTTTCCAAAAACATTCCTCCTGTATATTTATCAGCGTTACGCCCGTATGCTATATCATCCTCTAATAGAGATTCAGGGAAGAGTCCTCACCTGGTGATCGCATGGTCTTTGGCTTTAGGGAGCCATCATAGTGGGTCTTGAAGTCGAATCGTGATAATGGTGGCTCATTCTCTGCACATCTTCCTTCTTCAAGGAGTTTCCAAAGAGCGTGTGGAGAGTTACTGTTGCCGGGAAGGCGACATGCCATGCCCACCACCGCAATGGGGTCCTGTAGGTAGTTGTCGGTCATATTCGTGGATTTTTCAATTCAGTGAGAGTCGTCAGAAGATGCAATATAGGCGATAGAAAGTTTCTTGCTTGGGTTAAAGAGGGTCGATGGGGTTTGTTGTGTTTACAAAAGTGAGTTTCTTGCTTTTTCCTTCGGCGAGAGGAGCGAGGCAGTATATACTCTCAGTTCGGAGCCGCAATGCCAATACTGCTTCCAATGCGCCGTTCTGGTCCAGTTGAGCGGAGGATAGTAGATCTGAATGACGAGTTCTGGTGTCCACTGTGCAGTAGCAGATCACGATTTCAATATGCTGCATCTCGATCTGGTTGAGGCACTAGGCCTCGTCACTTCCAAGACTGTTTCATAGCGTGAAAGCTGGTAGTAGTCACCGAATCGGCGAGTTGTAGTCGGCCTTGGACTAGTGCAGAGACACGATACGGAGATCATGCAGTAGGCGTGCAGATTGATGCAGAAGGTAAGCTCTAGGAAAGGCGCTTGATTAGGGGGGCTGGGGTGGGATCACGGCAGTTAGTTGGCTAGGAATCGAGTGACGGCGTCAATGCTATTGGATTGAAGTCCGACCCATGTTGTGGTCGGATTTTGGCGCCCAGTCTAGCTTCGATAAGCATTGCAAAGCGACGCAATGAAGGCCACGTGCTCGGTACTAGAATTGACCATTTAGCAATGCCAGTGAGGTGCCCATCGAGTCGGTGATACTTACTCGATTCGCCAGATATGTCTAGCCACAGACTTCAGATTGTCTGACAACTGACATCACAGCAGATCCAATGTCAGATCCGGATGATAAAGCGTCTCGCTACGCACCTCACGCAGCGGTCGTTATAACCCGAAACGTCTAGATGGCAGACAAGCCAAGTAGACGCCAGCTACCTCGCGATCGGCTTTCGGGACTCCATTCATCGTGTTCAACGGTTCTTTCGCGAATGAAACTAGTCCCACATTGTTCTGTGGAAAAGGAGTCATAGGATTTTCAGTGGAAGCGAGATGCCTTATACGCTCAATTGTCGCATGCACACCGCTCTCCCCCTCGACTCGGGCTTTGGTATTCACAACCTTCGTTGCTCGCCCCGGTTTGTCACCTTAATGAACTCCTCCCGTCGTAAACTTCGGCTCTCGCTTGCTGTAGATCTAGTGTGGCGGCTATAGCAAAACACAGACCACTTAGTCCCATAAAAATTGGTTGACAACAGTTAGACGTATCACACTATGCTGTCCCCAGAATTTTAGTCGCAGCWCGTCAGACGCTATTAGACCATCATTCAACCACGAGGTTGTCGTTGTAAGAAGAGTGCGGCTAAACAGATCTACCAATTTCTAAACATCTCACGTACGTCAGCGCTGGATCTTCAATCAAATAATCATCAATTCAATCATCAATTCTAGCCCAAATCAGGAATGGTGAAGTTTGTGTGTAGCCCTAATGTAGAAAGCCCTAATGTGGCAATGCAGTACGTACCCTATGCACCCGRCAAAATACCCCCTATGACCTGATACACTGTCTTCATGCCTGCAAACGGTAGCGACCGTTGGCTACCATTCTACTCTTGATGGAGCTCGCCAATAATTGCCTTGGAACTATGTGGAACCCGTGGAAGCGAGGGAGCTTGACACTCGTATGCATTTGCACATCATCCACGAAGACGCTGTGGAACGTGATGTTGGCGCTTGCCAAGCCACCAGGCTGCATGAGGCTATCATCGTTGATCCCAGATCCCTGGGGATGCGCATTGATCAGGAGACCTTGTCGGACAATTCCATTGATAACAGAGGGCTCGCCGGCCCATTGAACATCTTGTCGGACAATTGAATTCCAGAAGACCTCGCCCTACCTACGATTTGTGATTGGTCCAACTCCATCCAGGACCGATCCGTACCGGCCGGGCCGGCACAAGAGGACTCTTGATACAGCGTCTTGTCGCACCGGAGTGGTAAAATGCTAGAAGACGGCAGCTAATAAACCTGGTTCCTACTGCTTCCGAGTATTGCTATTGGCGACATACCCTGTTCGAGGCTGCTAGGATTATAGCGTTTTACCACTCCGATGATGCGACAAGACGCTGTACACATGTCCATCGCTAGGCCACTCTCCAAATTTGTCGCCGCAAGATGCATCCAACGACGATGTATCTTCGCTATAGTCGTTGATTCTCAGGGCGAGATGAAGGAGCAAACTCAATGTTTTGACCATGATTTTGGTCCAGCGGGTCTTTGCACCGGAGGTCGTTCATACCCACAGGGATCTCTCAAGCATCCTAGCGCTGGCGCGTTGACAGCAATCCTGGTCCGCAGTTTACAATGTCCGGACTGTACCTAATGACACGAAGTACGAGAGATCGAGCAGTCGAGTGGAAAGAGATTGAAAAGAAATGGAACTTATCGATGCGTGGCGTTCTAGCGTCTTGTAGGCCAAATCCACTGGATGTCCACAGCAGGGTATTGTACGATCTTGAAGTCTCAAAAAGGGCTATGTCCCATGGTAGGCAGGATTGGAGAACATTGAAAAGACATACGTTCTGATTCTCCTAATCACCGTCCAAAGCAAAATGTMGACGAAACAAGATGTCGAATTCAAAACGGTCGATGGCCTCACACTTCGTGGCCGACTATACGCAACTTCCTCTCGCGCACCAGCCGTGGTCATCACTCCCGGAGTAAGATGGATTGTAGTCTTGAAGGGCGGAGGCAATCTTGCTAACACTCTCCCCATAGTTCAATTGTGTCAAAGAGATGTTCGTGCCCGATGTGGCAGAGTTCTTCCACAATTCCGGATTCAATGCTTTGATCTACGATCCCCGCACACTAGGCGAAAGTGAAGGACTGCCACGAAACGACATTGACCCAATCAAACAGATGTCTGACTACTCAGACGCCCTGTCGTTCCTCGCAGCTCAGCCGTCGGTCGACTCGTCCAAGATGGCTTTCTGGGGCATGTCATTCTCTGCTACAGTGGCACTGTGCGCTGCGGCTCTCGACAATCGAGCAAAGTGTTGTGTTGCTATTTGCCCGCTACTGGGTTTCGAATACACTCCACAAAAGCTCCCCCAAGTTCTTGCCAAGAGTATGCAAGATCGCAGCTCTCAGACCGTCGGAGGCAATGCGCCTTCTTTTCTGCCAGTCTTGACAAACGAGGGGAAGAATCCAGCGGGGTTAGGCTTCCAGACCAGTGCCGACGAGCTGGACTACATGTTGAACGCAAAGTCACGGGGAGCCCCCAACTACGAGAACAGAACTACCCTCCAAACCTACTACAAGCTGGTTGTGTGGAAACCTCATGCTGTTATGAAGCATTTACACAATCCTTGCACATCTACCATGGTCATAATACCGGAGCTGGATACCATTTCACCGCCTGAGGGACAGCTTGCACTGTTTGAGACTTTCCCGGAGCCAAAGCAGAAGCATGTGGCGCCTGGAAAGGGTCACTTGAACGTACTGAGCGGCGAAGACTTTCCGATCTTGATGGGGATGCAAGTTCAGTGGCTCAAAGAATCCCTCGGCGTGGAGTAGAACTGTCTCGTCGATACCAGAGGTAACAAATTGGCGAAATATAGATCAAATCAGAATTAGAATAAGATTAGCGCAGAACAATCATGGAAAAGTTGTCGACCAAACCGATTTCATGACGCGAGTCATCAGGCCTGAAGACCGACCTAAACATGTGCAACCATACCAAAGCTCGGACTTTCCCAATTGACTGTTCATGGCGTCTTGTGATACCAGATTCATCATCCAATCCAGTATGAACATTATCCGGATCGTCTATTACAGGTGGCTTCTGGGCTTTGCGGCCGGCTCTCCAGCCTTTCGAAATCCAAGGAGAGGATGGATGTTGCTCAAATTCACAATGACGCTCTGTATTACACCTCTACTACTTCTAGCTGCGGATACGGGCACGAGATCCTCCGCTTTCTACCCCTGCCGTTAGCGAGGGCTAGAAGTACGATATCGAAGATTCTCCTGCCATTTTTTTTCATCCGACTCTCGAGCTCTAAACTGCCGGATCTACACACTAAATTTTGGATCGGTCTCGGGTAGCTTGAGTGGACGTTTATGGTCGACTCTGATTGCCTGTCTTTGTGCACTGCGCCCTAACACTGGCTTTCTATAGCCAAAGTCTCGATCAAATCACACAGCTCCTCTGAAAAGCTCTCAGGAATCTCATGCCCGCTCGGGTGGTACAACACCGTCTTCGACTGCTTCTTGCACAACTCGACCAAACCTTCGGAGTGTCTTCGCCATTCATCCTTTGATCCGATTACATGGCCTGTTTTGATGGAGATTCTGACAGAGTCGGCCGTGCTGTAGAACATCTGATAGAAGCGTTCGGCATCATCCGTCTGATGCAAGTTATGCTCGCCTCGTAAATAGCGAGGATCGGGCATAAGAAAAGATGGCACAGTATCGGGACATCCTGGTCGAACAGGCCATGTGATGCGTGGAGCTCCAAAGGCTTCCCTCGTGTCGAGGCCATTCGCCAGACTGTGTGAGAATGGAAGTGGCGAGCAGATGAAAATGGCAAATCCAAACGGAGGGGGAATTCCGTCCACTTCATGATGTAACAAGATGGAAGCCGCTACGGCGGAGCCTTGACTGAAGCCCATGACGCCGTGGAAAGGGCCATTTGTCTGGACAAAATCGAGTACTGTACGGTGTGCTTGTGCGACTTTCTCTGTCGTTGGTGTATCGTACCAGCAGCGGTAGGGACCTGAGAAGAGTGYCGCTGCTCCAGGGGCTGCCTCGCACGACAGAAGTCCATCTAGAAAAACGAGTTCATATTCCGCAGGTAACGCTTTTCTCAAGCTGGCTGACTTCAATATTAGCTGGTGGAGTCTTGCGAGTATGCAGTAGTATCACTGACCTGTTTGTTGGTTGAATATATCGGCATTAGTGCCCATTCCATGAAGACATAGAATCCGAATTGACATGATCTGGTTCAATAGTTTGGGTACAGCGATGACAGAGAGACCTTTGGATTGACACGTCTCGATGGCGAGCAGGCAAACCTTCGAGGCGCTTTGTCCTGTGACTTCGTTTCAATAGCTCCTCTAGCGGCGGAATGGGAATTACACACAATACTACGTCACATCGACGATGGATGGTTTACATCTCGATTCGACGTCGAAGAGAATTGCTAAGATCCTACCATGGTGCCTAGCATTCGGCGGATTTCAAACTGCATGGGTTCAAGACATGGGTTGGTCAACCACGGTGTCATTCACCCACGTCACCGTGGATATGAACTACTACGCCATGCCGTGCATCCGCAACGGAAATATAGTTCAATCCCCGAGAGATTCGTTGGTTTTTCGACACATTCCYACCCTCCTCGGATTATGATGCAGAACTTCACTTTGCTAGGGCTCACCGCTACAGCCAGCATTATTGTCCTGGTACTCTACAAACTTGCTGTGGTAATCTACAGACTTACCTTTCACCCACTCGCCAAATTCCCGGGGCCAAAGCTTACGGCTGCGACATATCTCGTTCAAACATACTACGATTTATTCAAAGGCGAAGGCGGTCAATTTCCATTCGTGTATCAGAAATGGCATGATCAATATGGCCCGATCATCCGAATCAACCCTGACGAGCTCCATATTCGAGATGCAACCTATCAYGAAACACTCTACTCACCTTCAAGGCCTGTACGCAGACCAAAAGCCTTGGGCGAGACTTTCGGGGTTCAATTAGCTGCTTTCGGATCTKCCGAGCATCATATGCATCGTCTCCGACGTGGAGCCCTAAATCCCTTCTTCTCGAAACGAAAAGTCGCCGAATATGGTACAGGGAGACCCCCTTTTTGATCACGTACAAGCTTGCTGACTGATTCACAGGCCCTGAGCTCCAAAGGAAGTTGGACAGAATCCTGAGCCGCTTGCTTGAAGAGTATCAGGGGACCGGGCGGGTGCTGAACCTGAACAAGATGTGGGGATGCTTCACAGCCGACTCCGTTGTAGGATTTGCCTTTGAACCCGATCAACAATACAACTTTATCGAGAGTGCCGACTTTGAATCGCGTCTACCGGAAGCAGTGGAAGCTCTTGTTGAACCGGTTCATTGGTTAATGCACATGCCCATCGTAGCCAAGCTGGCTATGGGCTTGCCAGATTGGTTAGTGAAAGCTATGGATGCGAACATGGGCTCCGTGTTGGACTTCAAGCAGGTAATGTTGACCAAAAAATACTTATCATGATACGTCGCTAACACCCACTCGTAGGATCTTGCGAACCAGATCTCACACGTTCTCGAAGCACAGAAAAAGGGTGAAAAAACAGGCAACACCGTTTTCAGCTCGCTCCTAGACCAAAACTTACCCGCACAAGAACTTACACTAGAACGACTGCAGCAGGAATCAATCAGCTTGATTAGTGCCGGGACTGAAACTATGGCGAGAGCTTTGACTCTGGCATGCTTTCATACCATCGCTGATCGAAAGATCCTACTCCGCTTAGTCGAAGAACTGACAGAAGCAATACCGGATCCACACAACATGCCTGATTGGGACTCTTTAACACGGTTACCATATCWATCTGCTTGTATCGAAGAAGCGTTGAGATTTGCCTATGGTGCATCACACCGAATTCAACGAGCATGGCCGCAGGGCACACTTGTGAGTAGATTCCGAACGTCAGCTCTAGAAATGATGGAATGATGGAACTCACCTTTTCATAGGAATACGGCAAATATGTCATACCAAAGGATACTATGATATCCATGTAAGTTGCATCTTCAACACTACCGCACGATGAATGGAGCGCTAATCTTGGCGAAGGGATAACTACGACATGTCTCACGACGAGACCATCTTTCCGGACTCGCACTCTTTCATGTCAGTATTTTGATATATTTTGACAGTTCTATAGAAGCTAATTGCATCTTCCGACAGTCCCGATAGATGGCTAAACAACCCGAAAGCCCCAGATGGCAAGCAGCTCAGCCGCTACATGGTTTCTTTTGGTAAGTTCTGTCCGACGAACTATCCCTACCGATCAGGAAGCTTACACTTTCGTCCTCACTCAAGGCAAAGGATCTCGTAGCTGCACAGGTATGCAACTCGCATATGCTGAGATGTACATCGCCGTGGCTAGTTTCTTCCGCTCTCCACTTGCGCTGAAAATGCGCCTGCACGACACGGACAAGTCGCAGCTTGCCTTTACCAGGGATCGTTTTGCGCCTAAGCCAGACATTGGTAAAGAGGGCGTGCGCGTTATCGTCGAATGAAGATGTTCGTCCTTGAGCGAAATGTTGCAGTTGGTGGACCTTGCTTCCATTCACCTCGGTTGCTCGGCCGAAAGTAAATCCGGCTTGGCCGATTTTGAATCCACCCAGGACTTAAGGGCTACCTCTAATAATGGCAGCTCCGTTGAGATATATGGCTATGTTTCACGATGACACCATGAACTACTGTCATGCCTGTGGAAAAGACACTAAATACCACTGCCATGGTTCAATTCGAGATACCAGTCGTCCGTATAGGGCTTGGTCCAAACGATATAATGCAGATGACCATCCTCAAAGAACATCTAGTCAACATGATATCCAATATTCATAACTCGAGTCTGGCTATACGGTCTGAAACAAGCCGCCGTGCAGCACTCAAGCAGGCTTTGAAGCCTCTGTCAAGAACAGTGGTGAATAATTCCTTCCTATCGCACAGTAGCAGTCTCTATGGCACGAATGATATCGCAAAGACCAGGATCACAGAACAATGTTAGTATCCTATCACTTTGATGGGTAGAGACCTAAGAAGCAGCTTAGCACCGAGGAAACTGCCCCGACTCTGCAGAATCTCACATTTGGCTCGTCATTTCCGTCAATCTCTTTCGGCTCATCACTATCATAATCTTTTTTACTTTCTTCAAGTCAGTATTGGTCTTTGCCGAGAGGTTCTTTAATCTAGCACTGTACCAACCCTGAGACTTTCTCATTCAAAGATGCCTACGATTTGAGGGCTTCCGGGCAAAATTTATTCCTTGCTATAATTACATCAACATAAAACTATCATTATGTCACGTCCATCTGCAGAGATTGCTGGCCATATTCACATACATGCATTCAACCAGCTCAAGTCATGGACCAACTCGAGAGCACTCTCCAGAGCCACGCTGTCCAATGCCAGAAACCTCACTTTGGAAGCTTTTGGTTGAGTCGTCAACGCTACAGGGTCTTCCTGCCCGGTCAGTGGATCGGCATTAAGCTTCCCATCAGCGATCATTTCGAAGCTATCTAAGAGCCTCGGGAAGATCAGGTACAGCTCCTGGTATGCTAGCATGTTACTGATGCATATGCAAGATCCTGAATCCAGCGAGAAAATGCTAAAGATCGGAGTCTTCTTCAAGCCATCGCTCAGGACGGAATTCTTTGGGGGTCATGCCATGCTTGGGGATCTGGAGGATAATCAGTACGGCGTGAGGTACATGAGTGAGGTGCAGGTTGGATCTCGACATACCATGGTTACAAGCCCACACGGTCAGGAAACTGATGCTACCCGCAGGAACTAACTTGCCCTCGTAAACGAAATCCTTGACAGTTCGGCGAAGAAGATCCAACCATGCCATGATGTAGTGGCGAAGGATTTCTTTGACAATTCCGGCGGCATATTCACAGCTCTCGTGATTATCAGCACCACATAGTGGCTCTGTCACTTTGTAATGCTGCTGTGTTGCTTTCCTGGCATCGACCTGGATGCTACCCTTCTCCCCAGAACTCTTCGATGGAGAGTCTTGTTTCCATAATCAGTTGTGGAAAGAGTGTCTGAGTATTAGGCTTCTCCAGCGCTGAAGCTGCGAATCTTCTCCGTTTCTTGAGAGAGTCATTGTATGGTGCAGTCCCAAGGACCGTCCCTGAAGTGTCCGAGACAATCTTGTGGAAAGTGTAGAAATTGAACTAGGCAATCTCCTGGTGCGGCCCCGTGGATTCTACCTCATCCCACGCGAGTTTCGATACAAAGTCTCTCTTCCCACGGGTCCAACACGAAACCACGCAATTAAGCTCCACAAAGGCCACTTTACGCTTCCGGAATTAGTTCTTACAATCTTACCAACGAGCGAGATTTCCAAATTTTTGTAGCAAGTTTCTAGCGGGCATCATCGTCATCACCAATAGCAACGATCTATACGATTCTCACAAAGTTCAATGGTAGAATCTTCGTAATAACACAGGATCATTCCCCTTTTGATGTGGGAGGTTGGCATGGACCGTACTAGTAGTAACCCCTGAAAACATGATCTTGGCCGCTTCGTCACAATAGGCAGCATCTCGTTCGATCATCCCGATCCTTTTATTTTCTCACTCCTTTCTACTCCTGGCTCTCCAATCGCCGAGATTGCGATCTTTGCACCTCGATGATAGTTATAGAGGGCATATGTCGACCTTGTTAGTTTCACCGTAATACCACGAGTGACATAAGAGGTTTGATTAAAGGGGAGAATGATGGGAAAGTCAATAGAGGTTTCCGGCTAGGAGGAATCAGTCTGCTTAATACCATGGTAGGACATAGTCCAGATGCGGCGTCGCTAGAAAGGGGGTAGCAGCGTGGTATTCAATCCAGTGAAGATTGGTGAAGGTAGCGTGTTCGAGAGCCATAGGATGATTGGAGTGAGTCCATGGGTGATGAAAGAGTGCGGAAAGAGGCAGAAGGATTATAATTCTCAACAACTTGGGCTGGTATCGAATCGCGGTTTGCGATGCCTATGGAAATGCATATCTCACAAGATGGACACTCCCAAGGATCTACTAACTTCTWAAAGAGGCACATCCTCCAAATTCCCCGTCTCTAAAAAGTCGTACAATGCATTATCGCTCCTCCCCTCAGCCCCGAAATCAAATCCAAGTGTAGTTAGTCAAAGAGGTAGCATTGTCAGATCCAGTAAAACCCATAAGCTTCTCCCGCAATTAGCGTTATTACTGCTAATTTCCAGCCCGCTAGAAGAAGGGAGATGTGCTTAGTGTAGTATAAACGTCGAGAGTTCCAGTTGTGTTTCCCAAAATTTCGACATGCTCGAMTCGCTTCCATAGCCTCGAGGCTGATTATTGCTACTTTACAACTATCTTTAATAAAGTCTATCCCRGTCTAGCAAGCCTTTTTTTCATGTCGTCCATAGAACATATTCCAGGAGCGAGGGCGTGGTGTCAGTACGACAATCGGCTAGTGATGAAATTAATTGATATAGTGGTAACTATGTAGTTGAGATGAAAGTGCGGAGGTCCGCGGAGGTGTTGCAACCCACTTGATAAAACCTATACGGGGCGTCGGGGAAGTATCGCTGTTGTCCTCTGTATCGTCCTCGATAATGATTTGAGCGCGACCTTGGAGACGAACATCTTCAGCAAATGATTCTAGCTCATTCTGCACGACCACCCGTAGGCGTTTCTGATATCCAGCCTCTGTGCTGGCCTGTCCGAAGAAAATGTCATTGTAAGTTCCATCCACAGCGGCCTTCATTAGCCGAGAGAAGCTCCAGCTGAGTTGTCGCAGGTAACGTCGTTGCTCAACTATGGTTCCACGTGGCTCGCCAAGATGTTTCAACCTATTCTATAGTCGCCAGAGTCTCGCTCTGTTCTCCCCTACTGAAACGACCCACTCTGCTTCCTTTCTCCTGAAATAATATAATACATCAATCCCGCTTCCATCCTCGATCGCTCTGCCCTTCGGCCTCTGGAATCTCCATTTCACATGCCTTTCTATATCCCACACATAGATTGTGTGTTCTTCTCCTTGAGCGAGAAGCTTTGTTCCACCATCAACCCATTTCAGCGTCTGTACACCTCCTCGTCGATTTACAAAAAAGTTCTCAGCAGGCTTCAGAGTGAAAATGACTTGTACATTAGAAGCCTGCGAGCCTGAGAGACAGGGATTCCACGCAAGTAGAGCACGACCATTCTGGAGAATGACTAAATCCCTCACAGGGTGTACTGCGAGGCAGCCTAGCCGTAGGATTAGCCAAGTATTGCTTATTAGACAGTACTAGCAGTTTAAATGGCACTCACGCATCCAGTCCAACTTGATTCCCTCCGGGGGTACAAAGACATGCCTTTGTTGGGCGGTCCCGATGTCATAAGTGCTCACTTTCGTAGGCGTAGCGCCAGTTAACAACACGTGTTTCCCATCTCCGAAGAAACCACCACACCAATTCTGCCCATTTGTCGGGCCAATGACATGTTTGCAATTGCCTGTCAAGGCGTTCCAGATGCGGTAAGTCCGGTCCCAACTAGCTGTTGCGATAGTCTCTTCGTCCACGGACCATTCTGCCCACATGATAGCGTCGGTATGTCCCCTCATACGGCAGAATTCCATGCCTGTAGTTATGTTCATAACAACCAGCTGCGGGAGCTGATCAGGCGGACGCATGCTCCTCTGGGTTGTTTCTGGATGGGCCATGTATAACACTTTGTTGTTACGATAGCACCCCACAGGAGAACTGAACGGCGGCAGCTTGCCGTCAACAGAGCGAGGGAAGCAAGACGTCCTGCTAGAGGCAATCTGACCATATTGATCGAAAGCCCACAAGGAAAGTTTCTCATCGTTCTGGATGCCACTTTCTGAGGCCAGGACATAAAAACTTCCCCTCCGCTGTTGCTAGCCGGTGTTTAACGAAGACAAGCCTCTGGATGTTGAACTCATGAGCAGATAGTTCCGCGCACATCTCTAGCATTTCGAGGTCATACAGCCTCAGGATGGCGTTGGTGGCAAGTGCCAAGTATCTTCCATCATCCGTAAGGGCCATAGCGGACTGTCGGACGATCCCCCTGACAGGATCGTTAGAAAGCAGATCGATGTGTTCGTCTTCCTCGTCCCAGAATCGAGGGCGGCCTGGATTTGTCGCCCATGTAGCGGCTTCTCCGTCAAGATTGAACTCCGTTTCAAGGTTGAGTTCAAGATCCCTCATCATTTGTACCGGGCTATAGATTGCCATGTCTGTAATTACGAGGGGTATCTTTCGGCAAGCAAGGAAGATGTTTATCGTAGCAAGGGCAGCATCGTGCTCAAAGATTCAGATTTATGGAGGCGGTTGTCTCTGGGGTGCGGAGTCTATCTTGGCATCATCCATGGCACGATAGGGTACAGCCCACACACTGATATCTATTGCGGGGTGCTTGTATTTAGCGACACGATGCGACACGATGCGACACAACATGGGTCTGCTGGCCATTTTACCAGGGAGTCAGCGAGAAAGAGATATACCTGGTCGAAGTAGGTGTAGCTCCACGTCAGCGACGTCCATCAAGTGCGCAGCACCAGACTGTGAGTGGTTCTCTCCTGTCCAGTCTATCCCTCAACGTGGGATTCCTGTAATGCTAGCCGACAGCAGGGCTTTCCAGTCCGGGAAAGTTGATTTTAAAGTAAATTGCTTGAACAAGTCATGGCCACCTTATCACCTACTTGATCCACAAGCATCAAGGATCGTTATAGGGCGATGATGTATTCTTGCTTCTTGTGAATCCACCTCTTCGCTAGTAGGGCTGTTCGCTGCACGAACACTTGTTAGAAGCGACATCCAGGATTGTACGTGATCCAGGCTTTTAGCATACAATCCCGTTTGACGCTCTCTGGAATTTCGATCTCATTCGCACGGAATTGCTTCTTCCCGCTCGAGGACCTGCATGCAACTTTCCTATCTCCTCACTTGCTGCTCGGGCTTGAGACCACATAAACAACACCCCAGGGGTCTCGGGGCTCCGAATATCTCCCGCAATCGCGTAAAGACGCGGGAAGACAGCGAATATAGCTTGATTAGGACCCGAGCGTGAATGATGTCCCTAATCAACGATAACCGGTCGAGCCGCTTCAAACAGCAGCTTGTTCCACGGCTAGTCGGTATAGTCTTACAAGTCAAATCGTGGTTCAATTGCTTCAGTGAAGCGGCACACTTCTTGCCAGACATCCCGTGCTTCCTCTACAAGGTCTTTTAGTTGTTCCCGAAACTGTGCTTCTTTGTCCTTGGGCAACAATCCATATACCATATCCATGACGGTACCACAAACCTTTAAAATCCTAACAGAAGACGCGGACTCCTGTTCTTTCCGTAGCATCGCCTGTAACAGTGCTCGCATAGTGGACTCCTTCATGGGATGGTCCTAGGCTTGGCGTAATAACAAGTCGCGAATGCCACTTTCTTCTAGAAGAAGATAGGTCGGCTGAAGTAAATGGTATACGAAGGCACGCGACAGACGTGCTAGGATTATAACGCACCGCATTTGCTTTGCCGCACTAGTATTGCTCTAGGGCACTAGCAACGAATTATTCCAGGTGCTTGTAGTCTGCGCCAATTGAATCCAAAAGTTTGTAGTCTGTGGAGAATCGTCAGCCCATGGCCAAGAGACCAGCTTATTAAGGAGCTCCAGATCTTGCCTTGGAATCGGCCAAGTCGGCGTTGTAGAAAAAGTTTGAATAAATCAAAGAGGCAGCTTTTGCCCACACGGAATCCAGCTTCTCTAGACTGTCTACTATTAGTAACCAGAGTAAGGCAGGCTTCGGGTTAACTTACACTTGCTCATCCTCTTTCAAAGGAACGGTTATTATCTGCTGCAGCTTGTAGTTGTTTTGCATTCCAGTCAGCTCGCTTTTTATTAGACACCGCGAAAGCTTTTTGTAGCTGTGTTTTATCATCGTTGACTTGCGCTATCTCGATCGTGGCCTGTTCGAGCGCATGTTTAAGAGCGTCGTTCTTGTCATTTACAGATCTAATTGCGTTGATGAGACAGACCCTTGTTGCTCTTCTGTTGTTGTAGTATGTCTCCTTTTTGTAGATTTGTGAGATTTTCCAGTGCTTTGACCTGGTCTGCCCGATGTCTTTCGGCGGCGCTTTGCAGATCTTCGCATTTTTTTTTTTTTGGTTGCCTTCAACCTCCTGCGTCAAGGACTGAATACTAGCCTTAAGAGTCTGCTTTTCTGCCATCCACTTATCACGGTCGTTGTTGTAGTCTTCGAGAGCTTGCGGTCGATCCACCTCATGGAGCCTGTTTTGCTCGATGTTGCTTTGTATCCTTGATTCAAGCACGGGGACCTTGATCGCAACGAGGGCCTGGGAAAGCTTTGAATCTTGTTCATGGCCTTCGTCTCGTCCTTCGGTAACTTACGAATCTCGAGTGCGTTTCGTCTCTGCTAGAGGATAAACACATGGAGCGAACAGGCCTAACGTAAACCAAWCATCATAAAATTCATTATTCTCAAAATTAATCACCACCTTCCCAACGATAAGTTCCCTAACAAGGCCCAATCAAACCCCTCATTCCCTCCCTCAAACCACTCTCGTCCTCCTCCAACAACCTCTCAATAACCCTCCGATCCTTGACTCTCCAAAAAGCCCCGACAGCATCAACCAATCTCTCCCCCGTACCCACCAATTCCTCCTCCTCAATAGCCGCAAAACAAATCCTAAAAAACTTCCATCCATCCCTCTTGCGAATCTCCTCCGAAGGACTAAACATCGTCCCAGGAGCCACAAGCACTCGATAAGGTTCCGTAGTCAACCAGATCCAGAACGCATGGCTGAATCGCTCCGGATCCTCCCTGTAGATATGAAACAGAGGGTGCGATTCAAAGTGAATCTTCCACCAGATGAACATTCCCCCGACAGGCCAGTCGAAAGAATAGAGTTGTGTCTTCTCAATCACAGACCATTCGTCATCATCTGAATCCAGCGAGTTTCTCCTCCCGGATTTGACGAGAAATTTGCCGTCTTCAAGAACGTGGCAGAGGGAATTCATTCGCCTCTCGTAGTTTCCTCGAAGACCTTCGAGCCAGCGGACCCAACCATCTCCTTTCCAGCCTTGCATAACAGGTAACTTCTTCTTCTGCTCCGCAAGACCTTTGTGTTCTGGACCGAGGACTAATTCGGCGATGATGGACTGGACGAAACCGGAAGGTTGTTGGGTGCTGGTCTCTGTAATTCGAAGGATTCGTTCGATCAATTCCGGCTGGGCGGTGATCCAGCCCAGACGACAGCCGGGAGCGACGGTTTTGGAAAATGTGTCGAGGCGGACTACTCGTCCATCTGTGTCAACACTGATGTAGCTGGGGACGAGGGAGTCGAGGAAGGGATAGCCGGAGGATTTCCATTCTGTGGGACGGGGTTCGGCGTTGGCAAACATGGCGATGTCGGGGTTGAAAGATGTGTTGGAGGGCTCCGAGGTTGTGGTGGTGGTGTTCTTCGCCGTCGCGGAGGGGAATTGAAGGTACCAGTATGGGTCGTCTTCGATGATGATGATGTCGTATTTGGAGCAGAGGGCGTAGATATCTCGGCGACGTTGAAGGGAGAGCACGCCTGAAGTTGGATTTTGGCCCATTCTGAAAGTTTGGTCAGCATGTTGTTGATGAAATGAAGATCAAGCGCATGGGAGACTCACGTCACGGTGTACATCAAATGTGGGCGCTTGCCCTGCTTCGGATCCCAGTTCTCCAGCACCTCTTTCAGTCCTCCCTTGCCGTCAGCCCGCATACCTTCATCGTCGATACCCACCGGCACGATATTCATTCCTCGAGGCTTCGCAGCTTGAACAGCATTCATATATGCAAACTCTTCCACCAGCAATCCCTCGCGATCCCTCACCCAATCTTTATCTTCACTCCATTCGTTGTTGAAAGCCTGCAGACACTTGCCGAATCCATCGGTATTGCCGCATGTCAGAACGACTTCTGGACCTCCTTTGTAAGGGCAGTTTGGGTGCATGTGATCTCTCGTAAATTGGCGGATGAAGTAGTACAAGGGAGGGTATCCTTGAGCAGTGCCATATTGCAATGCCGAAGCAAGATCAATCTTCTTGACGGGATTTGGTTGCTCGATTGTGTGGGGGACTACGAGTGCGCTCTGAGGCTGACCCAGAGGGTTGCTGGCGATCTTGCTCTTATCTTTCTTGTCGTTGGACCGCAAAGACAAAGCAGCGAGCGCTTCCGAGGCAGAAGATGGGGGATCCACGGGTCGATTTGGGGTGGGTTCCCAGCGATCAGGGCGAGCGACTTTGGCTTCGAGGGTGTCGAATGGGAAGTAGTGGTTGTTGGGCAGTCCGCCTGCGAGTTGGCCAATTCCCGGGACTATCGCAAGTAGAACGTGTTAGAAGGAGTGGGTGGTTTAGCTGAGTAAGGTGTGTCATTTCTTACGTGCAAAGTACTTGTAGAACATCTTCATGGAACTGGCCTCTCGAGATGCCGTGGTGCGAGAAAGATGGTGGAGGAGATCCTTGGGGGGAGCTCGTTGGTCATGCATGTCTGCTGTTGGTTTGAGTGAATCCACTGGATTCAGGGCACCCTCAATCATTGTGTGTATATGTTCTCAATGTTGTTGTTGTTCTGTTGTACACAGACGATGGGATGAGGGGGGAGAAGGTGTTTTGCCGTCTTATCGCATCATCATCATTCATGATGTTTACAAATCAGACCCCCCGGTCCAGACTAGGAATCTAGGGCAAAGGCCAAACGAGATCTTGCCCGCCACGCCACGCCACGCCACGCCACGCCACGCCTTGTTCCTGAACCGAACCTCGGATGCAACTCCGTGCTCGATCTACCAATAGCAAGCCGAGTCTCACATTCTTCTGTCATGGAAGACCGGTCTCTTTGTGATTCGTCCTTTCACGGCCCAGAAGGATGAATAACAGTCCCGACTTCGAAGATCTGTTCGACATTAGAGCATGATCATTGATTGAGGTTTATTTCTTCAATATTGACTTTGGTAAGAAACGCAATGGCGGGCCACGTGGATGCCATCGGATCTACCGGCTGCAGATCGATCGATCCGTGGCGGGCGTCCGAGTCGAATGGTGAAAGTTGGGCGGGCCATGTCGACTCAATCTTACCCTTTACCAGCATTGATAGAGGACAAGGTACGAGAAGATATATATCCTACTGAGCACTCTGTCGTCAAAAGAGAGATGTCTACCAAGATTTGAGAAGGCTTCCGGGACCACAGGACCGACGGAAGCTTCCCGGATAATTGAACATGACAACACCACCATCTACCAGAGACGAAGAGCGGGCGTCCAACAGCTTCAACTTTGAACAATCCCACTACCACGATGACACCTCCGACGACGATGCCACCACCATTGGCCCCAATGCCCCCCTGCGACCGCCTTCCACCGAATTTGACGGCCTACGATATCCCACGGCTTCTTCCTTGCGAGAACGAATAGCACAACAGATCCCACCGAGTGTCCAACGTGTATGGCACTCCACAGTAAAATGGGTAAAAGGCCCCCAGCCACCACGGATATACACCATTACACCTTTCTTCCCCAAGATCCAACATATGCCCAACGCTCTTCTAGACCGCTACGCACCTAAAAGGATCCACCGATTCGGGCTATTGATCCTCCTCTACGCATCCTGGCTCGCAGTCTTCTCCCTCATGCTATGGAAGAGCTCTGCTGCCGCCGAGATTCCTGGCTACGGCAAGCCCTTCCGTCTAAGCTGTGCAGCGCGGTACTGGGGAGAAGGCAACCGTTGCGGCATAGACGGAAACGGCTGTCGTCCATTCGCAAACTCCACCCTAGCATTTCGATGTCCCGCCGACTGCCACAAACAAATCACCTCGCATCATCATGCCGTAGGAGATCAAGACATTCGCTACAAACCCATCCTTGTAGGCGGTCCCACGGAATCACATACGGGATTCGAAGACTCCATCCTCAACAACGCAATCTACCGTTCCGACTCCTTCATCTGCGCCTCGGCCGTCCACGCAGGCTTCATCTCCGACACAACAGGAGGTTGCGGAGTTCTAACCCTCACAGGCGAACAACCTTCCTTCACAGGCAGCACCCACCACGGCCTCACCTCTCTAGGCTTCGACTCCTACTTCCCCCACACCTTTGCCTTTCTCAAATCCACCACCACAAACTGTCCCGACCTCCGCTGGCCCGCACTAGCCCCAACACTGACCTTCACCATTCTCCTCTCCCTCTTCACAACCTCCCCATCCATCCACTTCTGGTCAATCTTCCCCGCGCTCTTCTTCCACGTAGCCCTAATCTCCGACCCGCCCTCTCAAACCACCTTCCCAAGTCTCTTGAGCAAAGCCCTCGGCCGCTTCCTCCCAGCCTGTTTCTGCGCATGGGTAACGTACAAATACACAATCCATCGCTCCCTCCAAAACCTCACGGCACAATTCGAAAAAACCATCCTCTGGGTCGGAGCAGCCTGGATCGGTGCTCTCAACAACTACACTTTCGACCGCATCCCCATTCAACGTCTCACAGCTCATGACCTCCGCGCCCAACCAGGCGCCATCCCAGCTCTCATCATCATCGTCGGGGGAATCTTCACCATCGCTCTCGGACAAGCCTGGGCGTTTCGCGTCGAGGGTCGCATGCCGAGATATCTTGCCATTTACGGTATCTTTGTCGGCTCGATTTGCTTCATGGTAATGCTTCCTGGGTTGAATTTGAGGATCCATCATTATATTCTGGGATTGGTGTTGCTTCCCGGCACGGCGTTTCAGAATCGTCCGAGTTTGGTGTATCAGGGTTTGTTGGTGGGGTTGTTTGTTAATGGGGTTGCGAGGTGGGGGTTTGCGAGTATCTTGGAGACTGATGGGGCGCTTTTACAGGGGGATCATAAGGGGAGTGCGTTGCCGCAAGTTGAGGTGCTGCGGGCCGGGATGGGGAATATTAGTTTTGGGTTTGGGGAGGTGCCGCTTTGGGATGAGAAGAAGAAGGGGGTGAGATATGATGGGGTCAGTGTGCTTGTTAATGATGTTGAGAGATTTAGGGGGTTTGGRGGGGAGGGGCGGAATGGGGCGTTGGAGTGGTTGTGGGAGAGGCATGTGGTTGGGGATGTGGAGGGGAGGGTTCTGCCGGAGTACTTTCGTTTTGCGTATATGAGTGGGAGTGCCGTGTGGGATTATACCAAGGCTGGCAAGTGGGATGTGGAGGGGAGGTGGATTGAGATGCAGGATGGGGCGAGTAGGTAGGAGAGAATGAGATATTCATTGATTTGTGCAAAAGGTTTGTATGTGGTCGGTGACATTGTGGCCGTAAGTTCATCTCATTTCTTTGATATCGTTCATCTTGAGATTCACTTTCGCTTGGCGAAAGATGAGTATTCGTTTTAGATCTTACATACCAACACGTGCTCTTACCATACAGCACATAGCTTATTACTGTGATGCTCTCATAAACCAACACTTTCTGCATCATACTAAATAGCACGTCTAGCAGATAAGATGCAACGATAGCTATGAGACGCAGTGGTAAGCATTCACTTCAAACTATGCCAAATTTACCAAAACTTTAAAAACGCATTTGAGGACGAACCACCAGAATCTTGAGGACACACTCTTTGAGGACAGACCAAAAAATGCCAGTATATAGTCAACATTCATCTCCTCTCCATCTCTAACACACATTCACCTTCAAAAACATCAAACATCACAAAATCACACCAGTCTCGATCTTCAAAACCCATCGACACTTTTTCCACACACACACATTACCAACAAACAGCCAACCAAAACACAAACCCCCTTCCAATCAACCAAGACAATGCCAACCACCACGCAGCATCACCACGTCATCATCCCCCAAGACGAAAACGCCGAATCCCACATCATAAACGGCAACATCCCCCTCCGCTCCTCCCCAGGAACTCCCCTCTCCACCCTCCACCATCCTCTCCCCCGCAAAAACCACAAAAAGAAACCCCTCATCCGCCCTCACACCCTCCCTTCTCCTCTTGCAGTATCTCTCCCAACTCTACGTCTAACAGCGCACATCGGCCTCCTACTCCAACAACAACAACAACAACACACCTTTCAAGAAGAAGATTTCCTCCAGGAAATAAAATCTCTCGTAAAGATCAAAGGAGCTCTGAATGAGCAGATTCGCGCTGTGGGAGGGTTTCAAAATTTGGCGGTTGGTGGGCTTGCTGCGCAGAGGGAAATTTTTTCGGATATGAGGCTTCCGGGGTGGGGCTTGGAGGTTAAGGGTTAGGGGGTATGTGAGGTGGAGGTTTGGGGTACGGTGGAGGGAAGGTACGGGGTGGGAGGATTTGGGTGGGGGGGGATTTGGTTGGTGGGGGGGATTGAGAGAGGGAGAGGGAGAGAGAGAGTGTGTTCTTGTGAGGAGGGTTGGGATTGGGGGATTTTGCGAGGAGGGAGGAATTTGAGGAGAAGGGGGGGTTTAGGGAGCTGGTGGGTAGGGAAGAGGGATTATGAATGGAATGGGATGGAATGGAATGAGTGATGACGAGGGATGGATGGCATTGGAGTTCTTTCTGCTAGATTTTCTGCTGTTTTATCATTGTAGTACCACCACAGAAGTATTCCGTTAAGATTCAAATCCCCATCATTGTCTTTTACACTCACTCCATCCTCTCCACAGTGTGTCGACAGACCTTCCTCACGAAAGAATCTCCAACACCTTCAACTTCCACAATAACATCAATTCACATCCAGCAGCCATGTCAACCTCTCTCGATAAATTCATGCCAAATGAAACCCCCTACCAGCTGAAGATCTCAATTTCTCAAGACCCCATCGTTTCGCCACATTTTCTTTCTTGGGCCCAAAAAGTCAAAAATTCACCTGGTAAATTCGACGGCACGCAAAAGGTTTCAATAGAGCAGTCGGCGAAGTTCCTCCTACAGCTCTACCTCCCGGTATACAATAGCTCTAGCCTGAAGATTACAGGGGACGACAAGACAACAGGCTGTGAAAGGCGGTATAGCTTCTGTAAAGAAATTGGCATTCGCGCTCTCTTCGCTGTGATTATTTGTAGCCACTGTGGATAGAGGGAAGTATCTTGATGAATATGATCAACATGTTCCCGTAAAAGTAAATCGAGCAGTTCTTGTGATCTATCGACCTAGAGTGGCACTACGTCAACTCCATTGATGATCTACGAGGGATGCAGTCAGCTCTAGAAGACGATTCCATGTATGCAACGTTCTTTGGATTATAGATACTCCGAGCGCACTTCACTTGCTTTGCCAATCTCCATCATGCAGGCTTGATGTTCCACCAGCTATACCCCTGAATTCCAATCCGGTACTTTACCTGGTGTAGTCGTCGTAGGCCTGGTTATAGTATGTGTTAGGCCGACGATATGTACGGTAGATCCGTTCCCCTTTCTCTAGAACATCTCCAACAAAGAATCTTCAAATCATAGGTTCAAGTCGATGTATGAATAGAAGTACTCCGGAAACAGGCGTTTGCCTGATCTTGTGATGCCAAAGTAAGAGTAACAAGGGAGTGGCGTGGAAGAAACGATTGGAATCATTCAATGTGATGCTAGTTGGCGATCGAGGACGCTCATAACGGGTTAGAAAGTCTTGAGAGCTTGATCGGACCATGCTGTCGTAGAAATTCCAGGCTTTTCCTCATGGCGTTGATTCAGTTCGTGATGGTCAGTCCTTTCCCTCGATACGAATTATGAGTACCTACCGCTTGTAGCTCTACTTCCCCCCCCTTCTTGCGAGAGGTTGCTGCGAGTTGCAGTCGGCTTGGGAGAATTGGAGAATTTCCGTTGGAAGTCGACGAAAGGGACAGTAATCTGCARGAAGGATGTGACGCGGTAAGCCTGCATTGTCTTGTGCCCTGAAAGTGAGTGATTATGCTGAAAGGGGACTGTATATGGTGCAGATCAGGATAATACATTAGGATGGGTCTGTCGAGAAAAGAGCTGCATAGCAATGCCGACTTTCAGCATCGCAAGCACGGGTATAAAATAAAAGGGAAGAATCGCAAACCGGGCAAACGATCATCATGCAACAGAAAAACCAAAAAGACTCCACATCCTCCTCTTGCTCTCTCTCAAGTCGTCCCTCGAGGTGAAGTAGCAGCAGCAGCAGCAGCAGCAGGAACACTCCCATCTACCCGTCTCATCGGTTTCCCATCAATCTCATCAGGCGTAACATCCTCACTCTCCCCCTCATCCTCTTCAGCCCCCTCCACCTTCTCCCTCCTCGCCTGCTTCTCCAACACCACACTTCTCCTCCTCAAATCGCGCATAAAATCCRCATTCTTCTCCCTCAACACCGCCTCGTACTTTTTCCGCACCAACTTCGCTCCAAGCCCTTTATAACTCATCCACGTCCGCACCTCCGTCTCCCCATTCTCCAACTCCTCAATCTCTATAACCCTCTCAGTCTTAAGCATGAACCCCGGCGCCAGTAAGCCCGCATTATCCATCGTCCATCGAATTCTCGTGACATATTTCCCCGTGGCCGAGTTATTTTGCGAGCGCGTCTTGAGAGCTTCGAGATGTCGGACGACTTCTTTACTCTCTACCTTTTCATTCGGGGCGAGTTCGTAGGTGAAGGTCATGAAGGTTCCGGTTTCCATTTTGAGACTGCGGGAATGGGGGTTGGGATGTTTGGTGATGAGGACGTGGGGGACGTAGGTGTTCCATTCGTGCCATTGGCGGACTTGGAGGAGGGCGGTGTAGGGGTGGATGGGAGGTGTGGGGATGTGGGTGGAGGCGTAGAGGGAGAAGAGGCCGCCGTTGGGGATGGTGGGTGTTGAGCGGGGGCTGTGATTATTGTTGTGTTAATTTGGGAGGGTTCCATGAATACTTTGCGGGGTGAGAAAAGTGTGGGTGGTGCTTGCTTACCCCGTATAAGAAGTGCTGTGGAATTGATGGTCTGTATATGCCTTTCCAGGAGCCATTTTTGGTAAGGCTACTGTGTCGCTGTGATTGTCGTGGAGATGGTCGTTGTATACAATATTAAAAGGAAGGAGACGTGTCAGACGGCGGAGAGTGGATGTTTGAGGTTGATAGTTCAGGACAGTTCCGTGCCGCCAGCCAATATGGGGAAAAAGCAAGAAAGAGGCGGGTCTTGCTGTTTTGTGCACCAACCACGATGAGCGGACGGGGGAGATTGGAGGGATTCTTCCATGTATTGTAAGTATAGTGTGGACTACATGCATACATACTTGATCGGATTCGTAATCCTCGGGGCTTGTGCTCGAAGACATGTCATCCGTAGTGAGTGGCCCCCGTCACGCCAACAATTTTCATGTGATGCCTCGTCATTTCTTTGCAAGGGGTGTTCCTCGTATCCGACCGGCGGGACTCACCGCACGGATCCCGGCAAAGGGCGATCTTGGAGATCCACCTTCTCCACACTCGTCACAAGCGGCTCGGCTTACCTTCCTCCATCATTTATCAATCAATCAATCAATCAATCGCGGCGTGGTCACGTCCATCTTTCCATCTCACTGTATCTTGACCACCAACATCGCCGCCACCATGGCCTCACCGCCTTATTCCACCGCCAGTTCTCCACCCGGCCCAGCAAACCTCTCCCTCCCCCGCCAACGACCCAACATCGGCCTCTCTCTTCCCCCCAAACATCGCAAAAACTCGTCAGCCAGCAACCATGCCACGTCCGCACATCCCCTCCGCCAAACCTCTTTCCCACCTTCCGAAGGCTATGAGCGCGAAGCGTTCTCCCCCGCAGACTCTCTCGACTCGCTAGATGACGCCGACATCCGCAGTGCCGTCGGCGAAGACACTTCCAACAACAAAAAGCGGAAACGCGGGGAGAAGCGCGGTCGAGGAAGACCTCCTAACAACCCCCGCGCGAATGCGGCGAAGAAGGCGGGGAGCGTGAATGGTTCGGAGAGTACTACCAAACGAGGAGCACCCGGTGCGCCTTCCATTGTGACGCATTCCGATGAGGAGGACGAGGATGAGGAAGCCGGGGAGAATGATGGGGAAGGACCGGGTCGCGCGGCGGGAGACTTTTCATTGCTGCCTGCCGAGATGGATCGGGATAAACAGCGCAAGTTCTTGTTCCGAGAAGCTGTTCCTCCCGCACACCAGGCGCGATATGACAGTTTCAATACGGTCAAGTTGAAGGCAGGAGAGGTGAGGAAGTTGGTCAACAGTACACTCAGTCAGAGTGTCCCGGCGAACGTGGTGACGGTGGTGGGCAGTTATACCAAGATGTTTGCGGGTATGTTGATTGAGGCTGCGAGGGAGGCGCAGGCAGAACGGTTGGCTGTGATGGAGAAGAGGCCGGACGGGGAGCCTAATCCAGCTTTTGTGAGGTTGAAGGCGATGGAGGAGCCGCCCGAGGTGGAGTGGGAGACGGAGAGTGAGAGTGGGAGTGGGAGTGCAAGTGGGAGTGAAGGGGAGGAAGAAGGTGGTGACAAGGAAAAGACGCCTCAAGATGGCCTTCCCGATGGCGATCCGGATTCTGCAGATGAGAAGGAGGCGGAGGAGACGACTGCTGTTGCTGCTCTACCCCACAACAACGACGACGGCGACGACGAAAACAACCACAACACCACCGCCACCGAGAAACCCGTCAAATCGAAGAGAAAAAGACCCAAACTCTCCCACCCAGACCCCCTCAACACCGACCTCCCCGAACACGACTTTTCCACCGTGGAACCCGGCGCGTGGAACCTGGCCAAGTACATTGAAGATTCTGACCGCGGACCGCTCCAACCGGACGACCTCCGAGAAGCACTAAGAAGGTACAAGCGAAGTCGCGCGGGTGGTAGTGTGGGTTACACGGGAATCAGTCTGGAGGGGAGGGAAAGCGTTGCTGCGAGGATGGGCGGGAGGAGGTTGTTCAAATGAGTATCATGATGACATGCGAGAGGGCTGAGTCTCAGCGGTCGAGATAATCGTCAGTCTCCTCATCTTCTGCTAGCGTTTGCAGCGATTTTCATCGATTGTTCTCGGAACTACTTCTCCAAACCTCCACAGCAGTGAATACCTTGCCTTCCTTGCAGCGAGCGTGTCTCCCATTTTCCGGAGATTGAAGATTTGAGATTGTWTTCGTTGTAGTTACATAATACATTGCAAAACTCTCACTTGCCCAGAATACTCCAGGACAAGGCTACATTGCATTTCATTGTAGCTTCAGAGTATTCTCATCCTTGCTTGGCACATCGTCATCCGGTACAGGAACGGGAAGAGGCAGTCCCTCCTCCGTAGCAGCAGTCATGACGGCTGGCTCCTCGCGGACAGGAGGATGTGCCTCGTCCACGACGACGGCAGCAGCAGCCATAGGAGCCACCTCTTGATGTACGTCCTTTGCCGGCGAAACCTCCTCTTCAACAATCAAAGGCCGAGGAGGAGGAGGACTTCTCTCCTCACTCYCCTCTACCCCTCGATCATCATCAGCACTCGGAGCACTCAACGTRGCATTCCGCCAAGCCTGCTCCAAACTCCCCGGCATCCCATCATCGGCCTCCAAGTCCGCTACCGCATTCCCTTGCTCCAGAACCACCAAATCACTCTCCTCCATCAACCCGTTCTCTCCCGCGACGTCCAACACATCTTCTAGATCTCCCACCACACTCTGCTCTGCACTCGCTTCCCATCCCCTCCCCTGCTGCTGTCTCGAAGATGAACCCCTCTCCACATGCTGCTCCGCAACTTCATACTCGAAATTACTCGAATAGATGACCGCTGCAAAGGCATTCAAATCGCTCACTTGATCAATCACGGCTAGATATTCATTTCCTAGCGTTTCCTGCGCGGCGATTCCAGCAATGGCATCAAGTTCCCCACTTCCAGCGGAGATGGCATGTGCTTGTTTGCAAAACACGGGGAGGACATGTGCAACTTTACATTTCGTCGTYGTTTCCTCCGATACCTCCACGATTCGCGGCTGTTCCACTCCTGGRGCGGGAGCTTTGAAAGCTTCCGTGGCGATTTTGTAGTCTACGAGATGGGAGAATGCGGCATCCAGTAGTCTTGTGAGGACGTAGGAAAAGGTGGGAGAATCGATGAGGTCGGAAGTTTCATCGAGCAATCTTCTCAAAGAAGGCGTGATTATTTCCGCCTCAGACATGAGATCCTCGGCAACGCGGTCTGGTGAAGGGCTCTCATCCAAATCGGAAGACATTCCTGACCGGCGGATGACAAAAGTTTCTTCCTCTTGCGGTGGGAGGAGGTAGGAGAGCCATTTCATGCTTCGTCGTTGATGCTCCGTTTCGCCTTCGACTTTTCGTCGGACTTGCATGATCAGATCTGCCAGTCGCTCGAGAGAGATATCCTCGCGGATGTTGACGCCTCCGAACACGTCCTTTACAGCAGACTGGACTCTTTCCATAATCATCTTACTTCCGCGATGGAGGAGCCACCAACTGAAGGTGAAGTATTTTCGATTCGTCTCAAAGTCATTGCCGTAGACATTGTCATAGTTGTCATCATCCTTGTTTTCCAGAGAGATGGTGGATTGTGTGGTTGATGGCGCAGCGGCGGATGCCACGACGGAGGAAAGGTAGGTTCGTCGTCCGAGGAGGTTGAGCTGGACGCGTGTGAGGAGAGTGAGGAGACACAGGGTGTAGATCAGGGTCAACGCCCGGGTGATGGAGTGGATTTTCATGTCCTGCCATAGCTGTGCCTTGCTTCTCTTGGGTCGGGATGATTGAGATCCATCTGTGCTGCCTTGTCCGACCTGACTGGCGTGGATGTAGCTTCCCGCCAGACTCCGGCCATCATCCCCCACCGTACTGGGCGGCGCCGAGGGATATTCCGAGGATGCGGCTTCGGATGCGCCCAATTTCCTCAATCGTTCCTGCCTTTCTTGTTGGAGCTGCTCGGTGATTTGCTCGACGGGGAGAGCAGCGACGATTTCATCTCTCAGGGTGGGAAGTAAGGCGTGGACGGCATAGGTGCAGTCTTCTTGGTTCTGTTCGAAGCGGCGACGAAGGCTAGTCTTTGATCAGATCCCGAAATGAATGGATTCGCATATCGAGACATGAATAAGTACTTCTCTTTGGCTCGCTTCTCCTCACTCATCCGCTGCCTCGCCTCGGAGATCTTTCCCAACACATATTGTCCCGCCAGATAACCCGCGCCGACGACCCCGGCGCCGAGGAAGAGGGCATTTCGATTGCGCCGCAGCCAACCACGAGGTCCCGCGAGCATTGCTCAAGGAAGGAGTACCTAAGTGGACTTGTGGGGGAATGATGATCCTGCAGATGGACGGGACGGGATGGGATGGGAGGGATTGGGTAGGATTGGGAGGAAGGAGCGTGTATATCCGCAAGAAATGAGTGTATGTGTCGTTTGTTCTTTCCCACACCCAGCCAGCACAGCACAGCAAGCAAGCAACCGGGCACGCGATTGCGATTGTGACGATACGATCCAGAGATCCGCCAATTTCAGCCGAGGCTCGCCGGGGCTAAATCCATTTCACGCCGATCCCGCTCGCGTCCCTCGCATTCCGGACTTCACCTCTTCTATTCATCAACAACAACACCCATTGCCATTCTCGGGGCATGATGACCTGGTATTTATGAACAGACGCTCGCGGAAAGAGGATGCTGCAGTATTTCTGGAGATCGATCATCAGCAATTCATCTCGATGGCGACACAAGACAGAGCCCATCTGTCTTGTCACCTTCAAGACCATGGATTTATTCCATCAAGCACCAGAAACCATCTCCCTCTCAAGTTTCAAGCACGTAGCGAAGGCTCTCGGTAACAAGCCGACCAGGCTCGCGAGGTTGAGATCCTGCAGGAAGCGAGACGCACAGAGTATAGCCCGGCTATTCAGCCGCATCTTCCTTCAACACTGGTATCTCTTGGGGCTCCCGTCTTCCTTCATCTCTCTCGTTCTTCTTTGAATACTCTCCATCTACCTTCCTTGCCCCGATTTTCAGAAACATCGCCATTCCTTCTTTGCCCCGCTCTCAAGAATCATCACCATCCCTTCTCTTCCATTCCATCCCATAATGTCCACCGACGCAGCCCAAGCCTGGTCCGCAGCGGCAAACAGCTATGCAGACCACGTGACCCAAGTCACCAGCGAAGGTGGCGAAGCCTTACTCGAACTCGTCGAAAGCCTTCGTCCATTTGATAAAGATTCCATCGTACTGGACTCCGGAGCTGGGAATGGTGCTTTGACCAATCTGTTAGTGCAAAAGTCGTCAGACATGTACGTTGAAATCTGCGAGTTCCCAGAGTAGACCATCTACCGTACACAGAAAGACGCGTAGTTAAACGCCTAACACCCTGTAGGTCTATAACAGCAACAGATATATCCCCCCACATGCTCTCCAACCTGCAATCCCGCTCCTTCCCCAACGTTCAAACCTCCATCCTCGACGCCTCCAAAGATCACACCTCTCAAGGTCCGTCCTTGCCCTCCCTCCCAACCTCCATCCCCATCCTCATCTAAATCTCCCACCTCCACTCTAGGTCTCGCCGCCTCATCATACACCCACACCCTCTCAACATTCCTCCTCCAATTTCTCCCTTCCCCCCAAACCACCGTGCAAGAAATGTACTCTCTCCTCCAGCCGAACGGAATCATAGGTCTCACAATCTGGTCCAAAACTCAAATTGCCTCGCCATGGGATATAGCCTGCCGGAATCTCGATTCCAAATATCTTCCCAATGATGCCTTCTCTACCGCCTGGTCTTCGTGTCAGGATCTTGAGCACGGGTTGAAGGAGGCTGGGTTCGTGGATGTTCAGTCTCGGGAGAAGGAATTGGTGATGCGGTTCGCGAATGCGGAGGCGTTTGTGGGATATTTTTTGGATGGTGGGAATCCTGCGCTGTTGATGTGGCAGAAATCATGGAAGGGAGAGAGGGAGAGTGTGAGAGGGGAGTTGACTAGAGTGGTGCGGGAGGAGTTTGGGGATGGGAGGATTGAGATGGTTGCTGCTAGTGTTGTCGGGAGGAAGGCCTGAACATCAACAAGTAGGGGAAGAAGGGAGAATGATCGTCATGAGGTGGACATCATCCATTAATTTTGAGTGAGGATATGGCGACCAGCGCCTTCACTCTCCATAGATCATCACTATTCCCAATTCTCAGCAACCATCGAGCCACCGAGATGACTTTCTTACCGCTTCATCAAAACCATGTGCTCACTTCCACCACCTTCCTTCAACACCCCAGCCTTGACCAACACCGCTTCGGTATCCTCAATCATCTTCACCCGAACCCCCTTGACATCCTCAGCAAACTTCACCGTCTTCATCCACTCCATCGCATCATCCCTCGAATAATGCATCGTGCCCGTGATATGCTCAATCGCCTCCTCCGTATTCTCCAAATAATGCTTCACCCCCTCATTAATCTTCCCCAACATCTCCTCCACACTCCCCATAACCTCCTCCCTAGCAACAACAACCCAACTCGGCCAGGGCGTATAAATCTCTCCAATCCGCTTAATCTCCCCGTTGTCCCAGAAATGCTTGGTAGTGAAATGCTCCCACATGAAAAACTCGGCCAAATCCCCCTCATTGACACCTTTTCTCAAAGCCGCGAAATCTCCAATCGGCACCACTTCAAACGGCTCCTTGCCCGCTCCAACATGCTTCCCCAACCAACCCTGTTGATCCGCCAGCACGAAACTCATCACATAACTCCCGCTTCCAATCCTACTAACACCAACTCTCTTGCCCTCGATATCCTTCACACTGCTCAAATCATCCCTCTTGGACCCCGTGGAAATGGCCCAGCACAAGGGACTCTCCACATACGTCCCCACTAATCCATATCCCGTCTTCTCTTTCGCGGCTTGGGATTTGCCGAGATCGGCGGCGAAGCCTTCTGTTAGACCGATGGCGACGTCGWTGGTTGGTGGGGAGGATTTGAGAGCTGCTGTCAGAGCTCCTGTTCCTGTGGGGAAGGGGATGAGGTCTGCGGAGAGGGAGTAGTGGGTTTGGGCGAAGTGGAGGGGCGTGGAGAAGTGTTCGGGGATGAAGCCGATGCGGAGGCGGGCAGGTTGTGCCGTCATTGTGGAGGTTGTTGTGGATATAGTTCTGTGGAGGAGGCTTGTTGGAGTTTTGGTTTTGAAGAGGTATGGTCGTAGGAACATTTGTGTTGGTGTGAGCGAGTAGAAGTGAGAAGTGAGTGAGGCTTTTATGTGAGCAAACAACCTTGAATGATGACGGGAGACCATTGAATCATGGGCATCACCCCGCGCTAGTGCATGAAAGTTTATCCGGGCGGTGAGGTGAGGTGATACCGCACGACCGTGCTTTACCGACTTCACTTTTCCGCGTTGTGATGAAGACAGTGGTAATGCAGTCGTCACCACGTCGCCTGGTAAGCTTGGACCGCTGCCGTCTGGAGCTTTTGGAGTTGAAGAATCAGGTAACACTGTGCTCGACTTTCATGGCTACCACAAGAACAGACATGTAATGTAAAGAACAATGTCCCCATAGGCTCTCGAAACCGTCTTCTCCAAAGAGGTCGTGTAGGTCTCCAGCGATAAATTAGAGCTCCTCGATCCTTCAATGCCAATCTCTCGGAGTTGCACAGAGGATTCCCTTGGCTCGAGAGAATCCTTCGTCAGCCATGTCTTCTTCAGCCTCACCAATCCCGCAATTCCATTCTCTTACGCAGAACATCAGAATCTGAACTTTCGAAAATGCCAGAACAGGAGCCCCTGACAGGAGCCCAGAATGAAGACGAGCAAACATCGTCCAGCCAACAGCATCCCACCATCAAACCCTCATCTCAACCCTCGACCACAAACTCACAACCACCCTCCCGGTCAAAGACACCACCACCAAAACAAAAAGCAACCATCATCCCCTCTCACTCCCCTCTAGCATTCAGCAACTACCCTCCCCTCTGGTCTCCCCTTTCAAAACCATCCTCCCTCCCAAAACAACCTCGAGCACCACAACAGCCCACCAGCGCCGAAAGCATCAAAGCCATTCTAAACACCGGATCTTCCACCTCCTCCAAAAACTCAATCAACCGATTCGAAGAAAAGAATCCCAGTAACCAACATCAATATCTGCAGCAACCTGATCGAAGCTATACGCATCCTCGTCTCAATATTTTCGGGAGAGATATTGGTTCTTCTCGCAGATCCTCTTGGCTTGGGAGTGGGAAGAAGAGGTGATGTGTCGTGCGTGCAGAGATGGCAATATGCGGGTATTTGGTGGAACTTGTGGGGATCTTTGTTTTTGAGACTTGTGGTTGCTAGATTTCTCTTGTCAAGTTTGAAAGTGGCTACAGTTGGTGTAGATTGGGRTGTACGACAGGTCTGTTGGGCCACTTCTTTTATCTGGGTATGGTGACACTTTTGGAAGGGTGCATGTGAAGTATTTGAGGTGTGATAGGGAGTCCATCGCCATATCTCTCTTGATGGAACGTGTGTTTGGAAGTGATAGAGACGTTCAGCGAGAAAAGAAGCCGAAAGGTCGGTCCTCCAGAGGCAAAGTCTTTCCGCTCATCCTGCCAGATATCATCGCACCAAGTCCTCTTTCATCGTGCCGAGTGGCCCAGCGTGTTGCACATGCGAGTCCAATGCCCTCATCTTGCCAAATATCCCACGACCATCCCCCATCGACCGCGACTTGGCCATATGATCAAAACGACCAATCCCTCTTCCATCTCTCGCACCGAAAGCTGYAGAAGACGGCATATAATCTCCGTGTTCGAGCCGACGACTCATCCCAAATTCTCCAGCCTCTCAGCCAGCATTTCCAGACTAGACTCACCACCAGCCCGACTCACACCCCTCACGCCCGTGATGAGAAATGACATGTCCYGCTGAAACTGTTCCAGCAGTCCTGTAAGCCTCGTCCTTCCAGTCGTCGTATCAATAAGTTCACTCAATTCTAAAATGCGAATGATTGCATCACGTACAGGGCCAAGACGTTTCGTGAGCAACAGACTAGTCTCGAGACGGCGCTCGTGGTTGGCCCAAACATTTGCCATGGCATCGATATCCTCTGCAAACTTCATACGCCGTTCCATCTCTTGGTGCAGAGTGTGAGCGGTACTGGTAAGGTATGCCTGCATGAGACTGGTGAAGCAAAGCAGATGTTGCCGAAGTTTCAGTATCGATTCGGAAGCGGCACCGTTTGACGCTTCTCCGGATCGGAGTTCGAAGAAGCGGTTATTGATTTTCTTTGAAGCACAGTAGACCTGGAGCAAGAAAATGAAGGCTTTGTTGTGGATCGCTGGTGTAGTCGATCTTRTGACGTTCTGCACTGGCCACGGAAGATTGTACTTGATCTCCAACTCTGTGAGCTTTTGCATGACTGTAGACCTGGTCGATGCCGGCGAACCCTCCTGCTTATCGCCGGACAGTGTACCGACGTGGACATTGTCTGCGTCTACACCAGGTATACCGCCGAAGATACTATGCGCCAGCTCTGTGAGTAGGAAGTGATCGCTCCACGAGTTGGAACTTGAACTAATGCCAGGCATGCGAGCAATAAGTGCATCGGCAAATGCTGAGAATGCTATGCCGTCACGAGAGAAGTAGACATACGGCAAAGCAGTAATGGCCTTGAGCAGTCCATGGTCGTTCAGCAGCATGATCTGAAGCTGAGGAGCACAATCCGTGCTGACTTCATCAATCCATGAATCCAACCGTTCGTGTAGGATCTGGGTAAAAGGCACCAGCGAGTCCTGGCGTAATTTAGCCAAGAGCGTATCAAATGACGGAGCTGGAGCAATTCCGTCGAAAACTTCTTCGCGCTCTTGGGTCAATCGCTTCATGAGCGCTCTGCTCTTGCCCAGAGCAAAGATCTTTGGAGCGAATGTGTGAAAGCACGTAGGTGCGCTCGGGACATCATCTGTTCTGTAACGTAGGGAGAAATTGGCGTGCCAGAATTCACCTAGTTCGCAGTTGTGGTTGGAGTCAACGACAAAGAATGTGCCATCGTCTTTGGCAGCGAGAAAGCCAGTTTTGGTCCAGGCAGCCACCGGGCGCAGATATGTTGCCAGACCAGCTAGAAAGATCGAAGACAAGGCTTGAAACATTTCGGGGCTGTCAGTCAGTTGGCTGAGGATGGCTTCGTCGTATAAACGGTCCAGGAGTGCGAATGGTGACTCGTTCCCAGACGCGCTTTTGATAATGGTAACCAGACGCATCAGCACAGCAGCTGCTTGGTGGATATCTGTTTGCACTTGAATAGCGCTGACGACGGTGTCATCTCCAGAGGTAATGTAACGCTGTTCAATTTTACCGAGCTGGCTACTAAATTGATTGCACAGTTTGTGCATGCAGCTCTGAATCGATTGCAAGTACGGAATGTCTTGTGGGCTGGCAATGAAGCGTCTGAGATAGTTGATGATGGTGCCAGTCCTCACGCAAATGTTCAACWCGTCGTAGAGTGAGTGAGAACTTGCAGTAGCCATGGCAGCTCGGCGGGCCAAGGATATTCGACCCGAAGGCGCGTCCATGTGAAAGAGGTTGGTCGGTAGTCCTTGCATCATGTAGACGATTTCACGGACGATGGTGAGTTCTGAAAGGACATGACCGTTGTCACGACTTCGTGCAGGCTCCCAGCTATGACGGGTGTCTTTCGCTTCGGAGAGAAGTGTAGCGTCACACTGTATGAGATGAGTTCTTGCAACTGCCGCAGTATCTTCGCCATTTAACGAAGTTGCCTGTGTGGAYGTCGTCAAGTCGGAGTCTTCTTCGAAACTGTCGTCGCCACTAGAGAAATAACCTCGCTCGACATTCTCCCATATCTCAGAGTCACTCAGTGGGTCTTCGGCGAGGATGTCATCCCAAGTCAATTCTTTCTCCACAGTCACAGGTCCGTTGGCTTGTTCGACGTCTTTGAGAATCGTTTTCTCTGCAGGACGGTTTGACAGTTCCAGCAGGAAAGACAGAATCTCAGGCATATATCTTGAGTTTGGAGGTAACTCGTCCAGGCGTGACTGAAAGGCGTTCGCAAGGTCTTCTCTGTTGAGGACTTCCAACTTCTCCGCCATCCCTTCCAGCTTGGCCTTGACGGCGAATTGATTTGTGCGAGCATGGCTTTGATCTTTTAGACCTTTGAGAGTTTGATCACGGACGCCAGCGAATGAAGCATCATTTTTGGCAATGCCTGTGATGGCCGTCACGAGACTGCCGGCGAGCGCATTCAATGTCGCTGCGTGAGACATTGCAATTCATGGTCCCGACTTGTCGGAGCATTGTTGTGTGAGTTGATGTCTGGTATTCGGTCTCGAAGGTTGGCGCTGTTTCTACCTTCAAGCGCGATCCCGGGGCGCGAGGTGTGATCGACCCGTAACCTTAATTTCCCGCGTGGGACTTAGAGAATGGAAGCTGAATGTTGAGACAATCTTTCGGAGACATCTCCTACATCTTGCCTACCCTCGTACCAACCACATCGGCGCAAATTGACACATTGATCGCATCACTGCGAATGACACAAGAGCACGGCTTACAACTCTGACGTCGGCAGCCATGGCGATAGCGAAACCAATTCGCGTGCTGGCCATCCTCACCATGGGCTTGTTCGTCTTCCTGCTTTATCAGATTTCACAGAATCCCAAAGTTGTAAAGGCACCCAAGGGAAGCGAGCCGATAACAGAGTTGATAAGAGATCCAAATCTTGATCGTAAGAAAGATGCCTTTTCTAGCTCATGAAGATCCTCTTCTAACACTTCACAGCGACTGGCGAGCCTCCCGAGCCCCTCCACCGAGTCCAAGGCGACAACTATGCGCCTGATAACGCCAGCTCCGATCGCATCAATGCAACCCTGCTCTCTCTCGTCCGTAACTCCGAACTGGATCAGTTAAAAGGGAGCATGATTGAGCTTGAGCGGACATGGAACCACAAGTTCAATTACCCCTGGACTTTCTTCAACGACGAGCCTTTCACCGAAGAGTTCAAGAGGGAGACTCGCAAACTCACAAAGGCGGAATGCCGGTATGAAGTCATTCCAAAAGAGCACTGGGCGGTGCCGTCTTGGATCTCGGAACAACTCATGGAGGAAAGCGGCAAGATCTTGGAGGAGCAAGATGTCGGATACGCAAGGATGAAGTCCTACCATCAAATGTGTCGCTGGAACTCGGGCATGTTCTACCACCACCCTGCGATGGCAGACATGCAATACTACTGGAGAGTGGAGCCAAACGTCAATTTCTACTGTGATGTGGATTATGATGTTTTCAGATGGATGCGCGATCACAACAAGACGTATGGCTTCACGATCAACATCTACGACTCCCCACAGTCGATACCTACCCTCTGGCCGGAGACGATGAAGTTTCTCGCCAGTCACCCGGACGCGCTGGCGGAGGGCAACGCAATGGGATGGCTTTCCGACAGTAAACGTCGGCCGGAGCACAACAAGATTGCCAATGGATACTCGACCTGCCACTTCTGGTCGAATTTCGAAATCGCAGATCTGTCACTCTGGCGTTCCCCAACTTACGAGGCATACTTTGAGCATCTCGACCGTGCCGGCGGTTTCTTCTATGAAAGATGGGGAGATGCGCCCGTCCACAGTATCGCGGTGGGACTGTTCGAGCAAGCGAAGAATGTGCATTGGTTTAAGGATATCGGATATCGACATATTCCATTCTTCAACTGTCCGAACAGCCCTAAATGCAAGGGATGCCAGGCAGGGAAGTTCTTTGACGGCGCAGACTTTTTGAAGAAGGAAGATTGCAGAGCCAGCTGGTTCAGTAATGTCGGCAAAGGAGTCTGGGAGTGAGGAAGTATCCTGAAGGCTCATGCGTGAGGCGGATTAGCAAGGCGTCTGGTGTTTTGATGGGAAGAGATCTGTAGAAGATATTCAGACGGTGCCTGGGCATCTGTATGTACATTTGCAAGCAAGACATGGATATGAGTCTGTCGAATCCACGATCATGTGCTCCAAGCGTTCCCCATGCGTTCAGCCTTGAGATTGACGTCACAACACAATCAGCTGAAAGCGGCGCGACACATGCCAACCACCGGCCGCACCCACCCACCACACCTCAGGCAAGACGTGATGACGCTGCCAAAGCAGTCTATCGCAAACACATCAATCTCGTATATCTTTCCACTCGAATTCATTCACATTCTAGCGCCTCACAAGCGTATCGCGTGTGCCGATTAGATAGAAGCTACTCGAAGCTTCGATGCGCATCAGCTTCATCCAAGGGCCGCAACTGCCCTCGAACGAACAAGGCTCTACGTTACTTCTCACCTCCACCAACTCGATTCGCCTCTCTCAGCCTAATATTTCCGTCTTTGCCTCTCGCTGACACAACAACCCATTGGCATCACCTCACACAACACACTCACAGCAAACCATGGTAGCCGACACAAAACTGTACGACCGCCTTGGCGTGTCCGCAACCGCAACCCAGGACGAGATCAAAAAGGCCTATCGCAAAAACGCCCTCAAGAATCACCCAGACAAGAACCCCACTGGCGCCGAGAAATTCAAGGAAGCGAGTGAAGCCTTTGAGATCTTGTCCGATCCGGACAAGAGGAAGAATTATGATAATTATGGATACGACTTCATCACGGGCAAGGCTGGTCCCCCACCTGATCCTTCTGCCGCGGGCGAGAATCCCTTCATGGGAGGAGGCATGCCTGGTGGTATGCCTGGAGGCTTCGGCGGTGGAGGTGGAGCAAGGACATTCYACTTCAGCACGGGAGGTGGGGGCGGCCGGTCCGGGTTTGGGGGATTTAGTGATCCGAAAGATATCTTTGCGGAGTTTATGAGAGGTGGAGGAGGTGGATTTGGAGGTGGTGGTGACGATGACGATCTCTTTGCTTCGTTTGGCGGCAGACCCGGGAGTGGAGGCCGGACACAAAGCAGTCCATTCGGCAGTGGTGGTGGACGAAAACGAGAGGCGGAAGTCGAGACGACTGTTGTGGAGAAGCCACTTCCTGTCACGCTAGAGGAGATTTTCAACGGCACGACGAAGAAGTTGAAGGTGCAACGGAAAACATACGATGCCATGTCAGGGAAGCAGAGCGTTGAAGACAAAATCCTGAGCGTACCGATTAAGAAAGGCTTGAAAGCCGGGAGCAAGATCAAGTACCCTGACATGGGTGATCAAGTCGAAGGTGGTGTGCAAGACCTCCACTTCATCGTCAAGGAGAAGGCACATCCTCTGTTTGTACGAGATGGAGACGACATCCGCCACAACATCGACCTTGGCTTGAAGGAGGCTCTCACTGGCTGGAAACGTACCGTGCAGACGATCGATGGAAAGCAGATCTCCGTCTCGCATACCGGGCCCACTCCACCAGACTGGACAGAAAAGTATCCAGGCTCTGGAATGCCAAAGAGCAAGTCGCCGAACGTGAGAGGGGACTTTGTGGTGGGTGTCAAGATCAAGTTCCCTACGGCTTTGACTGCAAGTCAAAAGGAGAAGTTGAAGGAGATATTGTAAGAATGGTACTTGGTTGGAGGAGTTTCTTAGCATGGAGTTCAAGGTTAGCAAGCGTTGCATTGATGGGTGTTTTACAGAAAGGGAACGCTGGCAACGGTTGTTTCGCATGGCGTTCCAGACGGATTATGATGTTATGATAGCATAGACCTAGGTCAAGGACAAAGATGTCTGCAAAAGTGTCTTCCATTGTGATGATCTCAATACCAAACCTCCACTTCAACATCGATCCTAGCTTTCGAAACACGACACTGCCAACCTCCATATTTCGCCATTGGCACAATCGCCACTCGATCCCCCTCTCCCAACTTTTCAATCCACTGTCGTAGCTCCTCACTCACGCCCTCTTCTGACCCTTCCTCATCATCTCTACGATACTCAATCACAAAATCCTCCCAATCCCTCCCCGCAACCGCATTATGTGCCAAAACCGGCCCTCGCTCCAACCCCTGCTCCCCAAACCTCCTCGTCGCAATCTCAAACCAACTCCAAGAAGCAGTATTCGGGTCCGAAGTCCAGCCTTGATCTCTTCCCGTGAATTCCAAACGTAACCTCCGGATTCTCCCGCGCGATGATGCTTCTGGATTTACGGCGAGATCTTGAGGTCCGAGATATTGCAGTGGAGGTGTTTCAACGCATGCTCGTGCTGGGGGACCCGCGGCGCTGCGGGCTATGGTGTTTAGGGGTTGGGTTAGGGAGGCGGAGTAGGTTATGCTGTCGTAGGAGGCGTGTTGGAGGATTTGTTTGAGGAGTTCGGCTGGTAGGGGTTGAGGCGAGGCGTGATTGAGGAGCGAGATTGTGTGGTGGATGTCGGTTGGGTTACTGGGGTATCGATTGGTATCTGGTGGTGTTGGAGACTGTAGATTGGAAGACTGTGCTTGCCGCGAGGTATTCTGTGGGACATCGCTTTCTTGTTGGTATAGGTAGTCGCGGGCACTTGTAAAGAGGGAGCTGATATACGAGGACATTGCTTCGCTTGTGCTTGTTGGTTGAGATGGGGATTACGGAGGTGGAAGTCAACCTGGAACCTGGCAGTCGTAGGGGGATCATCTTTCTACCGCATTCTACCTTTGTCTACCCTACCTATTGCACCGCGCAGGGTCCATCGACGTCACCCATAGAGAGCTACTGACACTACGTTCGAGGTTCAAAATGTTTCACGATTGCTACCCATCGCCCCTTGTTCTCACAGAATGATGGCCTTCGATGATGAAACTCGCATCTACCTCGCATCAATAGCAGCCAACATGGCCTTGGCCCTCAACGCCCGCGATCTGGATCGCAACTCCCCAGCATGGCGATATCTTGCCCCTCACTTTCTCGCTGGTCCCATTCCTCCTGCGATTCAGAAGAAAATCGGTGTAGACGAGTACCTGCAGCATCTCTCAGATATGTGTACAGCTTATCCCGAATGGAAACTTCGAGTTGTGGACCAGGATGTCCAACAAGGGGGTGTCAAAGATTATGCGAGTGTATTTACGAACGTGGAAAACCAGGGAGTTCCACCTGGAGTCGTCTGGCAGAGCTGTGCAATCTCCGAGTTCAAGAATATCGATGGTCAATGGTTGGTCGTTGGGTTTAGAGGATTCTCTGGAGGCCATGGACAAGGCACCATGTTCTGAGATGCAGGTGGGGGTTTGGGAATAATGATGTCAGAGCTGAAAGAGCTGCACATCTTCCTACTTACAGTACATATAAGACGGCGGGATGATTCACTCTTGGAATCTAGCTCCGTATAGCGAAGAAGGACCACACCTCCACGACTCCATGACATGTCTCTCGACGACTCTACAAGACCGCGCCTCCAGTCCTTGGCAGACGGTTTCATGCAAGCGATCAATCAACAGGACTTCGACCGCTCCTCTCCAGCCTGGCAGTTTCTCGCACCGCAATTTCAAGGAGGACCCTTCCCTCCGGTCATCAAGACCAAAATCGGAGTGGAAGAGTGGCTCGAATACCTCTCCGACGTACGCTCCTCCAATCCGGAATGGGAAATCCATATCTTAGATTCAGACGCTATACCAGGCCCGTCCAAGAATTTCGCATCGCTGTATATCAATGTGGAAGTTCATGGTCTCCCCGTCGGCGTAACGTGGCAAAGTGTAGGAGTTTACGACTTTCAGTGTTTTGATGGCGAGTGGCTTGCGATTTCTTATCGAGGATTCTCTGGTGGTCAGGTCGGGACCTTTTGATTGCTGCTTGGTGACGAATGATGTCACTCTCCTTACAGGGATCCGAAAACGGCTCATTTCGACAATTACAAATTACCTGGTACATACTTATGTGACGACATGGAAATGCTGCCGATTTCAACAGGCGTCCCGTTGACACAAACATGCGAAGATGCCCCTCGATTCGGAATCGCAGAAACGTCTCCGGAATATAACCGCTGGCATTGTAGAAGCCACCAACAACCGCAACTTCGATCTCAACTCTACGCCTTGGAAAACATGCTTCGCACCGCAATTCCTGGCCGGACCTTTCCCACCTACCATGCCCCAGAAACTGACCCTCGAGAAATGGCTGGATCACCTCGCTTGGGAAGCCAGTCAGGCTCCGGAATGGAAGATTGAGATTTTGGATTCCGATCCTGTGCCTGGTCAGACGAAGAATTCCGCTTCGTTGTACTTTAACTTTGGGGCCACTGGAAGAGTTCCTGATGGGATTCAATGGAGGAGCGTGGGCGTCTTTGATTTTCAATGCTTTTCGGGGGAATGGCTTGCGATAGCTTATCGCGGATTCGATGGGCATGGAGGAGTTGAGATGTTCTGAGGCAGGTCTGGAAGTCTCTCGCACGATGCCCGGGACATGAGTATGGCTTGCTCATGATCGTTGTTCTTGATGAGGGATTGACTCGTTCGAAGTCAGTGATGTCCAACCACATCGGACAGGCTCTGCAGTTAACGATGTGCCGTTGCAGACTGGATTACGTTAACAATCCATGGTGGTACCCGTCGCAGTTTCAATTCCCAAGCTCCTTGGATAGAACTATCCCATGGCCGGCCTCTCTGCCCTTCAAAGACGTAACCATTCCCAAGGTTCAAGCTCAGTGCCTGGATTGCTACTCTGGCGGCTGGAAGAAGACTGCCTACTTTCGCAGCGTTTCTGTGTCGTATCGCGTTACAACCGGACACCGGGATGATCGGGCTAAATGCTCTTGCCAGCTTGAGATGTGCGTTCACCGTATGGCAGGGTGGCGTAAGGGTGAAAGGGGATGTAATGATGCATTCTGATTTGGCCGTTGTCAATCCACTATTTACCTCTCTTTCTTCAATATGGGCATGCCAACAACGATCCCACGAGCTTTCAGCTTTGGGAAAGGTTTAAGACATGCGTATATGGTGCTTGACGAGGTGATATTGACTGCGTGAGCCTTGGAAATGGGGGTAAAAGAAGCGATCGTTCGCCCAGGCGGCGCAAAGGGACGCGCACGGGCAGGTCCAACATCCAGGAGTATGTTTAGAGCAGCTTGAGAATCATTCGCTGGGTATCAAAGGACGCGAGGCCCGGTGGACACCGGAGTGTTATACAAAGCTGGCTTCAGGTTATTGAGACAAACAAGAAAAGGAAGTCGTGAGTCTATAGCAGGATACTTAGCTTCCCGCTTGTTAGCGATGATGCTCCTGAACAAAAAGCTAGCGAGTCCTACAGCTCGCGAGGCAGGTTAAGATACAGTCATGGCAAAAAGCAWAAGAATGTTGCGTGTGCGCCCGCCGAGACTATTAGTCGCGTTAGTGGTTGCACATCGAGAACATCTTGTCGATGGTATTTACCTCGAACTCGGTCCTCGAGCAATCTCACGAAGGTGGGAAGCTCGAATTCTACCCTTGAACTACGAGCGCTGCGTAGATTGTGTCACATGTTGAAAATAAACAATATATAGCACAGTTACATAGCAGGCGTTATTAATGAGCATAGGGAAGCAACCCCACATCTCTTGCATCATGACCTAACATCACCTATCCACACATGCCATACTACAAGGTTCAGAGCTCATGAAACACCGGACTGCCTACTCAAATGAAAGGGAGCCACCTATGCAGACGGATGGCTTTAACATGGTCTGCTCGGGAAGCTCTGCCAGTATCCTCGGAAATGTCAACGCACGCTGTGGACGACTTTAGTCCATGATCTCGAAGTCCCTTTGGCCTTACATGACCGGCATCTGGTTCCTCCCTCATAGCGGCGAGCAGCTTCAAGAAATGACATCCCCGCCGATAAAGCACACTGTCCGCTAGACGTCGGCCTCTCACACGAATCAATACATCGGCTCGCTATAGCCATACTGTGACGCGCCTCTCACCTCGATATCATCTGCCAGAGAAGGAGCGGGATGCAATGCTGCTATATTTGGTTGGTAACAGAACCCTCTGAGTCTACCTACGATCAACGACATTCGGAGGCACATGAGGAAAACATGAGCAATCAGTAAGGCTTTTCGGGATTGCCAGGATATCACTCTCTTTCATTCGATCATACCAGCCTTGTTGGCGCTAGACTCCGAGATATCAATGCCTGTGAGGAGCCATCTCGAAATGAAGGTCCGGTCTTGATTGCGGCGGCACCGTGAAAGAACTTGAAGCGCCACGTGAGACTCGCGACTCTTCACTCCCATGGTCCCCATCCGCTTGACTCTCCCGCCAAATGTTCGCCCGTCCATCCCCACCCTTTCGTCGATACATCTCAGTACTATTCTATACTTTCTATCTTCCAAAAGACACCCACTCTGGCAAACTCGAGGCCGACAATGTCGCCACCAGCAAAGCGTCGCAAGCTCGACGTGTCTGAGGAGTTCGAAGTTGTGGTCGGACCAACCGTATGTCGAAATTGCAAGATTCGGTGATAAAATGTTGATGTTCCGCAGACGCGCAGATATCTTTTACGGTGGAAAGGAAGTTCCTGACCAAGTCATCCGAGTTCTTCCGCAAAGCTTGTATGGGCAGTGGAAAGAGAATACGACCAAGACAATCAAACTCCCGGAGTCGCCACCCGGCATCTTTTCGATCTACCTGCAGTGGCTGCACACCGGTTTACTCGTCGTCACGGGAGAACTTGCTCCGCTCAAGTGCAACCGTCCCGGACGCCGCAGCTTCGATTGCCGACATTATTGAATTGGCATAGCTGTATTCGTCTTCGCAGAATTTATCAACGATACCCACCTCCAGAACACCGCCATGGATTTCCTAGTCTCTATCCGGTCCAAGTGCCTTTTCGCGCCCGGTGTCGTTGAGGCCCAGCGTGTCGTCGTAGGAACTACGTCAGGCAGTCCACTCCGCCGCTTCCTCGTGGACTCTCTGACCTATAATGCGAGTTCGGCCTGGTTCATGAAGTCTGGTGGCAAACTGCCCATGGAGATCATACCCGAAGTACTTGCCGGCTTCGCGACTGCACGTGATACTAGAGAGCCACCGGTACATCCCTCTGAGGCTTCAAAGTGCCATTACCATGTACACAGCGACAAATTTCCGAGGAGCAAGTAGCCACCAACTCGACTCTCACGAAAAATCATTGCAAAAGGTCTTTATCCTTGCGAGGYTATGAAAGCAGACAAGGGAAATGCAGGCTTCTGATGCGCGGTTATGGGTTGGAGGGAGCGTTGTATTGCGGATGCATTGCTTAGGATACGATAGCCGATAACCTCATGCGGCTTCCTCGACTCTTGCGTTTTAGGTGCGCCCAAAGATTTACGGTTCAACTATCTTACCTCACTCACATTCACTCTCATTTCGATTCCTTGGTCGATCACATGCGGCGCTGGCCATCATTCAAACCTTAACATCAGAGCTTCCACCTTTCTGAGATCAACGACTTGTTTCTCTTCTTCTGCTGCATCGACTTCAACATGAACACGAACCGACTTTTGGCATCCAAGCACAGCATGTCTGACGATGATACCGCGCCCACACCCGCGGCGAAGCGTCTGAGGTGAATCGGCTCACAGAACTCATGGTCCACGAGGAAGACGCTGACAAACTACAGGCCGGACTACACAGCCTACATCACCGTGCTTGTAGGTCCCGAAAAAAAAGCCTACATCGTTCACGAGAACACCATCGTTCATCATTCGGCCTTCTTTCGCGCAGCCTGCTTAGGAAGATTCAAGGAATCCAAGGAGCGACTCGTCCGCCTACCCGAAGCGAGTTGCGATATCTTCGAAATCCTGATTCACTGGACGTACACCAAAGAGATTCTTATTCAAGGCATCGGTTTCGCGGCCGACCGTCAAGGAATCAGACGATATAGACGCTTGGCCGCGACCTGGGTGCTTGCAGACCAACTCGAAGTTCGCGAGTTACGCAATGCAACGATCGACAGCATCCTTAAGCTTCAGAAAGAAATCAAGGTCAAACCCTCGTTCGGCGCAATGACTATCGCGTACCAGCAGACTACAGAGCATTCGACTTTGAGGGCGCTGATTCGGGACTCTTACACCCGCGGGTTCCCTTCCAAATGGCTCAAAACGATATCCCGCGAGAAGTTCCCTCTTGAGTTTCTGTTTGATTGTGCAGTTTCTGCGGGCACAGGCTTCACAAAGCCGCCCAGCCCTGGCATTTCGAGTAAATGCAGATATCACGAGCATGAGGAAGGCGAGCCGAAGTGCAACTGAAGCCAATGCCAACAAGACGTCTTGAGACCGCGTCACACATCGGATCCSAACAGCAAGCACGCCAATGACACCACGTCGAGGAGACAACTCTGATGGTTTTCGTTATGGCTGTGGTTTGGGACAGACCGCATCTGAATTTGCGAAGGTTTGGTCCCAATATGCACATGGACGTGTTCCTCACTACTTCACATCAGTCGTGTGGCTCCTCCAGCAGTATGAGAATTGCAACCAACGATGGGCTGTTAGCTACTCCTCATTCTACTTTATCCGATGCTCTATCATGCCACCCGGCCCTTCTCGGTCTTCATTCTCAACGATATGATAGAGGACAGACTTCCAAGCATCTATCTGCTGAAATGTATGAGCCCGAAGGCCACCGTAATTCTTCTCCTTCCTGGCTTGCAGATCATTTTTGTGTCAGAAAGGTAAAAGTGCTTGCAAGGAAGTGGAAAACACCCGGTGTGTTATTCTCAAGTTATAGGCTGGTCTTTCTAAACGTTTGAAGGAATGATGCCTCCTCTTAAGTCTCCGTAGAGCGAGATCTGGGTGGAAGATGCGCTGTTTGCCTGTGCTGCACCATTATTCCGTACTGAACGGCCTGCACATGAAACTTGAGGTTTGCTTGGAACAGACAAGATTTTAATGCAAGCAAAGTGAGTTTCGTCTGCGAAAGAGCAATCTTGTAAAGCCAGGTGAAGTCGTGGTATATGCTGCCTGAGGTGCGTTATGCTTATGAATTTACACCTTTGCGCGATACTCCAGGGGTAGAGCATGTCTCAGTAGCTGCGACATCATTCCGTACTCCAGGCGCGTAGTACGTTCCCCTCACAATTACTGGCAGACTCGAGGATTGARAGCTGCTCTTTCGTCGATGAAAGCCATTTCAGATTGACGAAGCGAATCATAAGTCAAAGCTCGCAGAGTAAGTGCAATACCACGATGATGATGTACAATAGAGACCGGACTTGGTTTGATATCAGATAACATCAGTCACTTTGCCTCTTACCTCCCAGCACCTTGTCGTAACATCCAGCTTCAAACAGGAGACTTTGAGACTTTGGCACGCTCTCGCTCCAACGCTTTGATCATTTCCCAATTTCCTTTCACCCACTCGCCGACACCCTCTTCATCTCGCAGCTTCGTCGTGTCTTCTTTACCCAAGAACTTGTACAGCTCCGATTGCTCGTCTTCGTTTGGACTGTTGAGAATGTAGGGGATCTCGCCCTGAAATCCGACCCACCGACGAAAGCTCCTCACAACTTCGGCCAATTTCTTTTCTTTCAATCCGCTGTGTTGTGATATGATCGGCTTTAGGAGATTTTCGACGCTCTGAGACTTGATCTTATAAACGAGTGCAGTGCTCATCCGCTCATACTCCGTCCTTTTGTCAAAGAAGGCCACCGCTTCGAGCGCGAGATCTTGACGCTGGCTACTGTAGCGGGAGCTTGCAGGTATGAGCTGTGGATCGGCTGTATGATTGACGCTAGTCTCCAGGTAGGCAGGTAGCCAGTCGTTGAAGAACGTGCTGTACACTGGCCGTTTGCGTTCTTTCTGTCGCCCGTTTGCGTCGTCTCGTTTAACTTTGATGCTGTCTTTCGACAGAAGTCTACACTGGCATAACCATCGGTAGAGATCGTCGGCGGTATCGAAGCCTTGCTGATAGGTGTCGTATGATAATCCGAGGAAATCCAACAGTTTCTGCGGGTCCTTGGAAAGAAAAAGCTTGCCACATGTGTCTGGGATATTCACGAATGTCATGTCCTTGGCAGCTTCCAGTTCTGCAAGCCGAAGCATGAGACCGCGATCGCATATAGTGAAGCCGAGATTGTGAACCATGTGGCCAAGCATGCCAGACATATCTCCAAACGAAGAATAGAAGCTATGCCACTCGAAAAGCTCCTTCGGCACAACTCCAAGATCGATCTGAGCATACTCCTCTTTCGTGACTTCCATCGATAGGCCAGTCAAGTTGTGCTTGAGTTTGTAAATCGTGAAGCCGGCACTCGCAGATCCATCCATGGGCACTGCAACACTACAGCTTTGCACCTTGTCGCTGCTGTGGATGATGAGGCCAGCAGCGCCGATTTGACCAGCAAGAATCTGCCAGTCTACTGGCTCGTGTGCAGATTCGATAACGAAGTCTAGGTCGCCATAGTCTCTCTTCTCCGGTGCTTCTTTGAGTATATTGACTTGACGTCCAGGAAGATGTCGGCGGAGCTTGAGCTCGTATAGTTGTTTGAGCTGATCATACTTCTTCGGGGTCACACGCGGTGTATATAGCGTTGGAGTATTGCCGGACACAGCATGTGCGAAAGCATTACCGCCCATGATGAACCGTGTGTTAATGTGGACAAGAATGCAATGTCTTCTTCCTCGCAAGTGTTTTCAAGTAAGGTGTTTGTTTGTGTTTGCGAGTCTCGCTGGAAGTTCTTGAACTAAAAAGCGCGAGGGWATGCTGTCACTTACTGGTACTTACCGTCTACCTTGCTGCGGTGAGGAGTTACAGTGAGTCACATGCTTAGCATGTGCAGTCATCAAGCAAGGGCAGCGTTTGCTTCTGACATCGTGAGTTGATAGCATACGAAGTCAAGGATGTTCAGAATCCATGGACCGCAAGGTCATGCAGATATTCGGCTGCCCGCAGATGAGAGGAGGAGGTGTAGTGGGTGCAGCGTGCAAGGAAGAAGACGATAGCAAGAACCTTATTTTCAGCCGAGCACGAGCCGCAAAAAAGTTGCCATTCGCAATCGTCAATTGCCCATTGCACATGCAGACAACATCCAAGCCAGTTCCCTTCCTCCCACCCTCTCTGTAGCCCTCGAGGATGGCGACGCTACACTCGGCCATTCGGCCAAACACATATCTGCTCCTGCGCCTCCCCACGGAAATGCTCAAACTTGTGGAGATTAAGCTGAACACGTAGGTAGCTAGCGACCATTCGACGATTCCTGCGTCCAATACTGAGAAATGGCACAGGATCATCGACGTCGGCAAGCTTGGCTCCTTTCCCTCAAATCTGCTCATCGGTCGTCCATACCACCATACCTACGAACTGCTCGAGAAGCGCGATGGTGAAGGCCATATGCGCCTGCGAATCGTTCCTCCCGCAGAGTTGAACGCGAAAGCTATCTCGGAGGAGGCAACACCGGCGGAGTCACGAGAGGATCTAGAGATTCCTGATGATAGTGGAGGAGCGAAGGATGGCTACGAATATGATTTACATATCAAGAAGAACAACCGCCTCACTGTCGACGATGCTACCCGGCAAACTCTTTCTCATGCTGAGATCGAGGAGTTGAAGAAGAGTGCCGGCGGGAAGGAGGTCATTGAGAGGATCTTGGCAAACCATACTGGTCTGGAGGAGAAAACTGACTTTTCGAAAGAAAAGTACATGCTGCGGAAGAGCAAGAAATACCTGAAGAGGTTCACCGTTCTACCGATGGATCTGGGAAACCTAATCGACTATGTCCTGATCAAGGAGCCGCCTCGAATAATGGAGCTGAGAGAAGAGGGCTTGGGACTGATTGGTGCGTGGAGTCATGCTCACTTTACTGGAGTTGATGGATTGGACACGGCAATGGAGGATGGTGGCGGCCAGAAGACGGGATACGGGAGGTGGCTAGTGGTCGATGACACGGGTGGGTTGGTGGTTGCAGCATTGGCCGAGAGAATGAACCTGCTGCATGCACCCATGCAGCTCGAAGAAGATGAACAGCAAGCCGGATTGGACGCTATCTCAAATGACAACGAGGACCCTGCGCAAGGCGGTGTTTCGCTCAGCCAACAATCGAACGGCGCGATTCCTGCGAAGGAACAGAAACCCAACGGTCATGCCACGAAGCCTTCCCAGCCGGGCATCTCACATCGCGACTTTCCCACTCCTGCGTCGTCAAATTCAATAACCCTTTTGCATGCCGCCGTGCAGCCAAACGTCTCCCTCCTGAAGCATTTTGGCTACGACACTAGTAACGCRTTCCCTCCCGCATCAGCTGAAGACGAGCATCCTCTCCATACGCATCTAAAGCCACTTTCTTGGCTCCAGCTGCTCCACCCAGAAGAGGATCCCACATACATCGAACCGGAAAGTGCTAGCGATGAGATTTTAGCAAGCTGGAAGAGTGGGAAGCGCGGCAATTACTACAAGAAGCGACGTCGGTGGGCAAGATGCAAAGCGATTGTCGACGATGCACGACAAGGCTCTTTCGAGGGCTTGGTAGTGGCGTCGTATATGGACCCGTTGACTATCGTACAAAACACCGTCTCGTTGATCCGAGGTGGAGGCCATGTAGTCATCTACAGTCCGACCATTGAGCCTCTGGTCAAATTGGTGGACCTTTACTCGAAAGATCGAAGAGCGGCGTATATTGCACATCTAGCGGCAGGCGAGACTCCCACCGAAGAGGATTTCCCAGTCGATCCGCGGTTATTGCTTGGTCCCTCAATACAGACCAGCAGGGTGAGGGAATGGCAAGTTCTGCCTGGACGGACACATCCTCTGATGACGAGTCGGGGCGGAGCGGAAGGGTTTGTCTTTACTGCGAGAAAGGTTGTGCCGCTTGAGGGCGGAGTAGAAGCACGAGGAAACCATTCTGGCAGTGGGAAGCGACGTAGAGTCGAAGTTGAGACTCCTGCTGTGATGGAGACTGAGCCGGTTGCGGACGCCGTGAGCGATGCGATCGATCCATGAGCTTGGAGACCTCCGCCTGGAATGACTGTTATTCGAAGGGATTTTACCTCGTGTCTACCACGGTCTCATCGGCCATTCAATTTGCTGCGTGCTCTTTTACGACAACTCTGGCCACCTCTGGCCTGTGTCAATCGCCTACCAGAGCAAATTTACCTGCTGGAGAGCGATTGCTGGATGTCTGTTTGTCTAGGTTCAGAGTATTGACGGCTGCGGTCTGCTTGGGCTCATATCACGGCCAGAGCTGGTATGGACGAGGCCGATATGTCAGTTTGGGTAGGTAGGTAACAATGGCAGTACACGGCCAAGTGTTGTCGTCACCGGCACCGAGCATTCCTTGTCCTCCTTGTCTCAAATGTCATCGACGCTCACTCGATACACTTCTCTACGTAAAAAGAAAGCCTTCTACCACTCCCGGAAAGCTCTGTGGTCTGGYTGTATCTCAGCCTGAACCAAGGGTGGTCTTGAGTGTGATACGACTTTTGATGCRACCGGAGTACTATAGATGGACACGGGAGCGAGGTTCGCATTCTTCGCATATGAAGAGGCTTGAGAATGCGGTGGTCTCCGTGCTGCCACTCACGACAAACTATGCGCAGGGCGCATATGCTATACTGACGGCTGTCCGCCTGTGTTGATCTAGATTTTCGGGACACCAGAGCGAGGAAAGGTACGCACGTGAAGCGCGACGAGAGACCCATATCCATCAATTATAAAGTTCATGTGCCGTCGCAGATATGAGGATTCTTCGCGCATACTCCGAATCAACTCCAAAGACGTTACACGGGCCAATGCGTGGTAGATGCACATGAGCGGTCGAGAAGGCTGTTGGAGTGAGGTGGAAGGTGAGTTTTGTTAGAACGTGGGCGTGACTGCTTCATGTGCTCATTGAACCACTCAAACCTGCCGAAGGTGCCGCACCTCCAGCTCAATACTCAATACCGACAGAACCTCTAAACAGCATCATGTTCAGATCATCAGAACACATCCGACCACAAACCACAATTCGACGGCAGTCGGCCCGCAATGCCAGGAGTTGAAAAGACAAAGAGGATTTCAGAAAGGTGTCGGCTGCAAGCGGAACGCGCAGTGAATGAACAATGAACTCACCTGAACAACAGCTTTCAGCTTCCCACTTGCACATTCGCCGGCAAACAAAAGCAGATTACCATTGCACGAGACGGACGTCTGGAATCACAGCACTGATGGAGGACCTCGTCTCACCCATGCCAGCGACCGAGCCGCAGCCAAAGCTCATCGTCACGCTGAAGCTACCCGTAGTACACGCGCAGGAACCCGTCCAGACGCAGATCTCATCTCGACAGACCCAGACTCCCAGATACCCTGAGCAAGGCGTGCCTGATTTCGATGTGCTGGATACATCACCGACGAAGCCTGGTCATGTAGGGGTGGACTCGCCGCAATCATTGCTTGTATCTTTTCCACTGTCGCCTGCAGCTCGGGAACTCCAGAATGCCCTTCACAAGCCACCTCGTCCAGAAGTCGCTTCAGCGATTGAGGTCGGTGCGTGTGCCATGGCACGCTCGGATGATGCGAGGACTACGGCTGGCGCTCCCTCCCAAGACCTTGGACTAGAACCGGAACGATATTGCGACAGCCATACGACAAGTGACCAAGAACTGGGAAAACAGGACAAAGACCAGATGACGAGCGACCAGAGCGTTGCTAAGGAGCCAGATGCGGAGTGCATCAGAGTATCGAAGCCTCGACCAGCCGATGAAGATGCACTGCAGCCCGATACGGAGGCAGAACCTCTTCAGCAGCGTCATCACACGCGGGTCTCGATCTCGATTAGCGATTTACTTCGTCCGGCCTCTGAAGAACCACCCGCACAAGACATGGCAAGCCAACCTATTGCTAAAGACGCAGATGTATATCCAGCAGCACAGGCAACGAATATCCTATTGATACCACAAAGTCCGACATCTTCAAGTGAGGCGGGCACAAGACATGTGTCTACAATACCAACTGCAGATGTGGTGCCACTTTCAGATGCCCTTATRCAGAAACCCGGCCCAGAGATGGATACCCCAGTCGCTGCAGCCGCACCTGCGCCCGCACCTCAAACTCCTCAAACGGCCAAAGTCACTCTCAGGTTGAGTCCAACTGGCATGGCAAAGGTTTCACAATTGACCAAATTACACTCATCATCCAAAGATTGTGGACGAGACCGCAACCCAAGAAGGCAAGCGACCAGGGCGTATGGCGTGGTCAAGACTCCAGAACGTTCCACACCCAAAGCAAAAGCACGAAAACCACGTGTTGTATCGGAAGAAGCTGCGGTCAAAGCGAATCCAAGGAAGCGCGGCGCGCAAGGTAATGCTGTTCCTGTCACGGCAAAGCGCCCCAAGCTGGACAGCGCGGCTGCAACCACACGTTCTTCTCGCGCTTCCAGTGAGGAGGCGCCAGCTGCCCGGCCCGAGAAGCTTATCGAAGGTCCATCATTTGAGCTGGACCCACTGACTAGAGAGCCACGTCCAATCCGAGATGCTAAAGGTGACAGCATGTACGTCCGCCAGATGATCAAGGTCCTGGAAGTGCAGAGCAAGTCGAGGACCAACGACACCGAGAAGGGGCAGTCCGTGACGATGAAAGCACTTCTGGAGAGGGCCACGTATGCGCGAGAAGATGACGCTCTTTTCCTGACCGCGTCGGAGGCGTCTAAGCATTTGTCACCTGGCAGATTTTGGAACAATGTCATGATTACAGCAGAACAGCAGCCATTGCCCCTGCAGACTGTAAATCAATTCCTCGACGAATTCTACGAWGAGGACGTCCAGGTCTGGATTCAGGACTCCTCGGCTAAGACGAGTAAACAGGCGCCTTCCATCCGACAAGTCTCTATCAAGGCTGTCAAGGAGCGCTTGACGTCGGGCCAGACGAGACACCTCAAGCCGTGGAACCTTCTCGAACTCGCGACACACCATGAAGATGGTCTCCGGCCAAGATTCCTTAACAACGAAGACTGCAGACTTCTGACCAAGCTCAAAATTCCCGCGGCCGCTGACCACACACGACGGAAGACGTATCCCGTTGGCTTCAAGGAAGTCGAGAAGTGGGCTCTGCTCGCCCAGGCTGGCGCCTTGACATTACCACATCAGGATAGCCATGGGTACAGCACGTACATTACGTTGAATGTGGGGCTGGTAGGCTTCGGCTGGCTCTCTTCGCCAACACCCGAAGTGCGCGCAGAATGGAACAAGAAGACCCAGAGTTTCATCGAAGGAACATGGAGATATGTTGTACTCAAGCCTGGGCAGACTGTGTATTTCCCCGCGGGCACCGTGCACTTCGTCTTTCGCCTACCGTCGGCAGGAAACACACTTGCTTTCGGTGGACACGTGCTGCGATGTTCCAACATCGTTCACTGGGTTAAATGTCTGTTGGAGGAGGTACAGTCGGCCAGTGTCACGAATGAAGACTTGACAGATTCCGCAACGGGGTATCTGGAGCGCGTGGAGAAGTTCGTGACCGAGGCAAGGAAGAGGGGTGATGTCGAGCGTTGGGGTGGTGAGGAGAGCATCACGGAATTCCTGAAGCTCAAGGCGAAATTCATGGGGTGGAAGAAGCAGGTCAGCAGATGATGTGACTCTGGTGAAGGCTGGACGACGCAAGCGTGAGGTGCTCGAGCTCGCAGCGGATGCACGGACCTCATGTGCCGGAATCACATGTGACAATCACAAGGAGATTTTTTAGAAGTGGAAGAGTTGACCTCACCCATCTCAGTATTGGAGAATGCAAGGAGAAATGCATGCAGTCATTATATCTGTGTCACTTCCAAATCTGCAGGTAAACCTTTGAATTCCATCATCCATAGCTTCGACGGTTCATGAGCCCGCATACCGCGCAGCTGGAAATGGACACTGTCACATTCCGCAGCTTTTCGAGCTTGAGAAAATTCACTGCATGCGACGGCATTTCAGTTCCAAAAGCGCAAGCCGAGACAAAGTTGCTAAGAAATGCTTTTGCCAATGTCCATCTCTCCTGCGTTTGATGTGATAGGCGAGAGTGTGGACGATAGGAGACGCTGACCGTGCACATCCGATTTTTCACGGTTCCGTAGAGATGCATGGTAGCAACGTAATACATACGTCTTGACGGTTCTGAGTCTTCGCATTGAGGGTTGCATCCTTTTAGGTCACGCGTGAACGTCGGATAAAATGTTTGACGTCGGACAGCATGACTTCCATCAATGCTGCATCTTAGACCCACCCACTGAGGAGTATTAAAGAGCCGGTACCGGGAATCTCCTTCAAGGAGGTGCAAAGATGGTTCCCTTTAGAAGTTATCAGCACAACATAGAGTAGAGCAATATTGTAATGCAAGTAGTGAACTCACGATGAAGGATTCCAGCCCGCCTTCGAACAGTTCATTGGCGACCCCAACACCACCCTTGTGCTCCACGGGCGCTAGAGGACTCTTCACGACGAACTCCACATACWACGTCGCCCAAATCTGATGCAGGACAGTTCGCATGTTTCCGACGCGCGTATCAGTCAACATGACAAGCTTTAATTGGGTGGGAGTCTCAAAGTAGTGCAGCTTGTATTCGCCTGTCCGATAGGAAAGGAATTGGTCGTCGGAACCGCCGAGCTGACGTGCCATGCGGCGAAGGGAGAAGATTGTACCGAAGATGAGTTTGGCATCGTCGGAGAGCTTCGACGTTTGTTTGGCTGAGAGGGGAATATCCTTGATGCTATTGGGCATCGAGGATGGTCTTTGCTGCTGCTGGGGTGTGGTCCATCGCTTCGAGTATATACATTCGGCTGAGAAGGGGGGTCAGTGGGGAGGAAGGATTGTGAGGGGATGTGATCTTGATGTACTGTGCCGGTCGAAGATGTAAAAGGAGTAGATCGACATGGCTGTTGTCTTGTCTTCCGTTCAGCTTGAAAGGCTCGACAAAACCATCAATGGCTGATGGGCAGGATAGCGTGTGTTCCAACTCTTCTTGGATGAACATCGCTTGGGGGCGGCAGATGCGGGCAAACGACGGCGACAGCTCCGGAACGGTTGTCCCCACCTTCTCAGCAGTTCCGTGGGAACGGCGGGCTAGCTACACGAGGAACCTTGAACGCAAGCTGGAAGAGCTAGAGAGAAGACGGCCCTGGGTCTGTCCTTGCCTTTTATCAAGAGTGGATAAGTTACAAATCATGGGAATTTGGCTCCGTGACAGACACCATCCTGCCGCACAGCGACAATGACCTTTACATGAGCACCGCCACCATGGCCCATCACCAAGACAGCAGTCAGCCCACGGCAGAGGGACATGCCCGCGAGGATAGCCCTGCTTCCATGCCTGTGCCTCATCCTCGCATAGTTCCGCCCAGCGATGTATCAATTGCACTTCATCTGCCCACGCCGACAAGCGAGCACCCGCATCCGCATCCGCACCGGCAGCCCGTCAGACATTTGTACGTACTGTGGCGGCGATTGCAATGGCAGGTGAAGACGACGCTGCTCACACGAGTCCCCAAAGATCTGCGCCCACCTATCAGAGCCCTCTCCGCCACCATCGCCGAGCTCCATCCCGATCCAGTGGTGTCAAGGAAACTCGAGACGCTCGCTCCCACTATGGCAGCAGCGACGACGATGGTGGAGCCGTCCACCGGATCAACCAGTATAACATCAAGCAAGAGATAGGGCGAGGCAGTTTTGGGGCAGTCCATCTGGCAGTGGATCAATATGGGACCGAGTTCGTAAGCACATCCGGCAACACCAGAGTGGACGTGGAGGGGAAGTACTGATTGCAGACATGCACAGGCTGTCAAGGAGTTCTCCAAATCACGGTTACGAAAACGAGCACAATCGAACCTCCTCAGGAAACCGGCATACGCCCGGCGCACAGGAGCAGGCCAACTAGCAGCTGGCGGGGGTTTCAACTCGCCTCTACACCGGCAGTCCTCCAGCGATAGGGTCCAAGGCGTAGCCAACGACTCTCTCAGCTTGATCAAAGAGGAAATTGCCATTATGAAGAAACTGGACCATCCCAACGTCGTCTCGCTGATTGAAGTGCTCGACGATCCTGAGGAAGATTCTTTATACATGGTTCTGGAAATGTGCAAGAAAGGTGTAGTCATGAAAGTAAGCGTTGAGGAGCGCGCAAAGCCATATGATCCGGAGGCGTGCAGGTGCTGGTTTCGTGACATGATTCTCGGGATCGAATATCTCCACGCACAGGGTATCATCCACCGCGACATCAAGCCCGACAATTGTTTGATCACTCACGACGATGTTCTAAAGATTGTGGATTTTGGGGTCAGCGAAATGTTCGAGAAAGAGTCCGAGATGCACACTGCCAAATCTGCAGGCAGCCCGGCGTTCATGCCGCCGGAACTCTGTGTGGTCAAGCATGGACCTATCAGTGGGCGTGCAGCAGACATTTGGAGTATGGGCGTCACACTGTATTGCTTGCGGTACGGTCGAATACCTTTCGAGCAGACGAATATGCTGGAGCTTTATGAGAGCATCAAAGCCGATTCGATAACGCTCGAGGATGRGCACGATGCGGCCTTCTCCGACATGATGCACAGACTTTTGGAGAAGGATCCGGCGAAGAGGATCACGATGGACGAGTTGAGGGTATGTCGGCTACTCCAACACCTTTGCAGAATGCTAATTTGACTCTCCAGATACATCCTTGGGTAACCAAAGACGGCATCGACCCGTTGCTTTCCGCAGAGGAGAACTGTGCAGGTCTAGTGGAGCCTCCCACAGAAGCAGAAATGAACGATGCCATCACCGGTAACATGTCGCACCTCATGATCGTAATGAAAGCCGTCAAACGGTTCAAGCGACTGGTCAGGCGAAAACGCCCCGAGATCCTCGAGAGCATTTTCGGACGCGAATCGCGATTTTCACAGCCGCCTCATTCGGTTAAGAGCAGCAGTAGTCGAAGCGTGGACACTTCCAACCGGAATCCTGTGGAGTCTGCCTTGGTAGTGGAAGGTGTGCATAGGGACATTGATAGGGAGATACCTGAACCAATGCGCGAGGCGAATCATTCACATAAAAGCACTGCAGCTCCACAAGACGACCACGGTTCAGCCGACACATCAGCACCCCACAAGGACCATATTGAACCACCTCCACCTTTACTTCGCCAGAAATCTAGCACCTTTCCAATCGATAGAAACGCCAAAGGCCAAGCCCACGATCCACTGGAAGATCGTCTATTCCTCCACATTGGCGCGGATCCCGAATCCACACCTGAGGATCATCAATTCCCGCATGTGAGTGAGAGTCCTCATGGCGTGGACGAGAACATCTACGAGGCTGCATATCAGGAGGAGATGAAGCGCATTCTTGAGACCAAAGACACGGCAGACCTGGTCCTGACACGACGGGTCGAACACATTGAGCGCCTACGCCGCCATCCGAACGTCTTGGCAAGCAGCATCAACCATGCGATTGATTTCGCGGGCTCGACTGGTAGGCGCATACAGGCGCGCGCTACGACGGGTGGTTTTGCGACTTTCGTGAGGGAGGCTAGGGACAACGCTCGCGAAAGGGCGAAGGAGAGGAGCGAGGGTGTCAGCACGCCCAGTTCTGGAGAAGGCATGACTCCTACAGGAGAGGAGTCGCGTGGCGTCGGAGAGACTTCGACAGATCATCCGTCAACGCCTGGCTCCGCCTATAGCGGAGGGCCCGCGAGGCTCAGGGATGTCGCAAGATCTCAGGCTGGCGATGTCCTGAGGGGTGTTGCGAAGAGGTTGGACGAGAAGGCTAATAGGCTTCAAGCGCGAGCGAACAGTGGACACAGCGTCTCCAGTACTGGGACGAGCGGTGCGTCGTCAACTACAGTACCACACGACGCTTAAAGCAATGATATTGCCTTCAAGTCCGGGTCTGGCAGGCTACTGCGCTAGATCCATGTTGACCGCTCATTGTTGGCATTTGAACGGCTACTCCTGTACGAGAGCGAAGCTCGAGCATCTTCGAGGAACGAGCTGAGAAGAAAAGAGCGCTGGCAGCTCGCAATCTTAACTAGTCACTGGATTAGCGGGGAGTTCCCGATAGCGTCGGGATGTTGAACCGTCGATTGATTGTGTACAATGAATATGAAGGTGGCCTTCCGAGGGTGTTCTAAAGCAATCCCTACTGCAGAGATGCAAGCAGATTCCTACGACCTCTCGGACGTACTTTTCGACCTCGCCACTCTCTCTCTCTCTGTTCCAAATCAGCGACGTTTTCCCTAGCAATAACTACGATGTTGAACTTCTTCTGGTGGTTCTGTTTCCTTGCTTGAAAAGGGAACCAAGTCATTGAGGAGGCGTCATCATCAGGGCGAGTACGAAGAATTCCACCGTCTCAGCGTTGGCAGACCCGCCCGATGCAAACTTTCAATTTCGCCTTGAGACTGCCAGACATTGCGTTTCTCGGGCTAGTATTGGTCCAGCTACTGGGACGGGCAATACATACGGGCTGCGCAAAGAATTCTTAGGTACTTCAGAGTGACAAGGATTGGAGAGAAACATGGGAAGCGAGGTGTCTTATTTATACAAATCCACTCCGAGAGAGGCTCTCTATCGCAAATTACAATGCTCCTCCTACTAAAGTTACAATCCACATAGCAAGTCGCACTTTGAGTCCAACCCTTCTCTCTGTCTTGGCGTAATCATCGCGAGACATTGGCGTGGCGTGTTCCTGTAGCCAGCTTTCCTCTTCGCCAAGTCGTCGTTGTAAGTCCTTGTTCCGTGTGACGATCAATGTGTTGGCTTCCAGGTCCAGGGAATAGCTTCGCTTAGTATAGTTTGAGCTGCCGATCAGACTGACACTGGGATTACTCTCGCCGGGTAAGGTGACCCATATGCCTTTGGCGTGGTACGTCCATCCTCCGGGCGTGTTTACTGTTCCCTTTCGCCATTCCTTCACTGTGATCTGCTTGTCCAGTCCTTCTTTGGCGACCGCGTCTAGGAAACGCCGCGATAGCAGCGTGTATGCTGCAGGTAACATGCCACTGATGCCCTTACTGCCGTAGAAGCCATTGGCCCATGGAGACGCCGCGACTACAGTCGCGGAAGATGGGTTTGACTGTAGGAGTAACTTTCGCACCTCTGGTGTCATGTTGAAGTAGCCTGCTGTGAAAGTCCACTTTGAACCCGCAAACTCCGGAGTACCGAGTCGATGGAGGAGACCTGTGAGTGCCGGTAACTCGGTGGAAGTGTCGGGCTTGAGAAGTGGCGTCATCTGCAACAGCGGGTACACTTGTGTATCGGAGGTCGATCCTGGTGATTGAGACCTGTTTTGTGGATTTGCAAGAGGTTGCAGCGCCTTCGTCGCTGCTCGAATGTACGCTTTGGGGTCCGATAGAGGAGCTGGTTGGATGTTGGTCTCCGGCCATTCTGTGACAAAGCCAGCGGGTTCTTTGGAGGGTACAACCTTGTAACTCAGATTGCATACTGTCTGATACAACGTGGCAAAGTAGTCTGTGATCTGCGCAGATTTGAAGACGTGGTACCTGTCCTGTCGATTGGTGAAGTAGTCGTCTGATAGATTTGCTCCGGACATGATAATATCATCATCAATACCGTAGAGCTTCATGTGCTGAAGTCCCCATCCTTCGTTGATTCGTTTGGGCAGTACGGCTTTTCTGGCTCCCGTCAAGTTTGGAGTGTGATACATACGAATATCGACTCGCTCACTACCAAACTCGGTGACCAAGGATGCTAAGAGACTGGCACATGATGGATCTGGTGCTTCTCGCGTTCCTCTCAAGTAATCCGTAAGGAGAGAGACCTTTAACTGCGGATTCGATTTGAGCGCGGTGCGAATTGTATCGATCTGACAATGTTCAGCGGTGCTTCGGCAAAGTCGAATGAGCAACATACAAGCTCATGTTCGCTCTTGCCAATGTACAGAGTTGATAAGTAGATACGCTTCTGTGCGTGTATGATTTTTTCCTACTTTGCAAGTCGGTCAGTGGTGAGACCACGGCAGTACAGATGTTAAATCATGCCTTGAGTGTCTCGTAGAATTCCGCTGGAGACCTCAGAATCTCTATAGAATCCGCCGACACATCGAATCTGGGGGACAACTTGTCCAGCTCACTCGTGATCAAGCCGAATTGCGAGACTGACGAAGATGTCGAACTTGGTGCTGCAGCAGGTGGAGACGACGTGCTCGCAAAGCGTTGCTGAAATGATGCATGGCTCTGTCTTTGACGCGTGCATCGGAACTGTCGAACCACCCGCAAGCAGGGCGCGATACCTCTTGTGTTCATCGCATGCTCATGCCACTTGCCGGCGGAACGATGGACAGGGGATGAAGCCGAGGAGAGCGACGTCTGTCAACCTGCAAGCAGTGTTAGTTCTGCCGAAGAAACTCCGCGAAGATCAGCCCTACGATGTAAGTCCGCCTCAGACCCGCAGCCATTGCTACTGCTCGCTCGACCAAACACCAGCCGCAGCCATGTCGACCATCCGTGAGTATCCTCGCGAGACATCAGCACGGAGAATGTCGCTGACCTATRTGCAGTCCGTACTTTGCGCAACCTCCGCAGCATCGGTCTGAAGGTACTTGATCACTCCATAGATCCCACGAGAGCGCAGCAGCACTGACTTGCTCCAGGAATATGGCCACCAATTGCACGTACGTCTTACTTAGGAAACCACACGATATCCGCCCACCACACCTGCTGACCTGGATCGCGTTCTACAGTATATTGGTATGCGAGCAAGAGAGGGTTCATGGACTGAGTGGTGCTAAGAGGCAATAGGTGACACCAAGCGTGGTACTCTGATTGGAATCGATCGCTTCGGTAACAAGTACTTTGAGAATTTGGAGGAAGAGCTACCACGTAAGACGCTTCACGAACAAGTGTCCAACGTATACTGAGGTCGCGCAGTACGGACACGATGGGTTGACTACAAGAACGACGAATATGACCCGTGAGCTACCCTCAATGCACGCCTACATGTCGCATACGACTGACAGTATGACAGTTCACAGATTGAGCCAGGCTGGTAGGTCGACACCGCACTGCATGCGTAGTGACGGCCGGGACTAACAGACACAGGCACGCGTGGATCTCATATATGGTTGACAAGTCGCCAGCCGAGGACACCCTCCTGCAACGTTCGATACGGGCTTGGGAACCGAAGCAGCATACCCCCATGCTCACGCAGTCAAGGAGTGCTTTCAAGACATACAACACGTACGCCTTTTCGACCTGTACATCTACAACGAAACAAACTCGACATGCTGACACCTGAAATTAGCACCAAGAACAAGTATGCGCCGTGGCAACCGGTAGCTGCACCACGATGAGAAACGCCAGCCGCGCAGGGGGAGGGGAACGGTTGTAGTGCAGTCCCGGGCTGGGTGCCGCAGACAGCACAACGGTACTGAGAGATTCGGTGCCTGAACCGATCCCAGATTATAGTTTCTCGACAGGCAATTGGTGTGCGTGCGGCGTTAGGTGGTTTACTCCGTACAGCTGAGCGGCGGCGTTGATTGCGGACACTCAACGGGCAGTCGATGGCCTGACCTGAATGCAGTGTAATATCATCTGTCGCTTGTACAGCATCACAATTTCCTTGTCTTCAATTGTGGCCGTGCTGCACCAAATGCCACACAGGCGTGCTTTGCTCGGGCACCGAGCCACTCATGTACATCACTGGCCAGAGCTATGGGTTCCCCTCGCACACAGTTGCACATGGCGGGGGCACGTGCATGTTGTCGGGTTGCGTTGACCGTTGAGCCGGGGGGGAGATGGATCTGAATCAATGTGAGTACTCCGTTGTAACGGGATCTTGACGCCAATAAACTTCGAGGACCGTAGCGTTTGTACCACGAAATAATGATTCATCGTGTCGAGGAGGCGAGGGCAAGAGTAGGCCGCATTGAACGGGCAAATGCGCGCCCGTAGCGTCATCTGTGATCGGCCCGCCCGAGTTTCCTAGTCTTGGTTGCGTACGACAAGCAACAACCTTCACCAAGCTGCTCAACCATTACACCCTCCAAATTTAAGTCTATCTCTCCATTGCCTGGGATTGCCGGTCTTGCCTGCTTTTTCTTCGCCCATCAGCAACGAAATTTAATTACCCTCGGATCGACAAACACTCCGCCATGCTTCGATGAACTGGGAAAAAGAATTGGAGGGCAACAACTACACGAATCGCGCGATTGGCTGACTGTCCAGAGCTGTACACCACCATGTTCGCACGCTGCAATGGTGCCATCTGGAGGGGGGACGACTTCTCGCAGTGCTTCCAACATGACTACCTTCAAGTGCTCCTTCCGTTGATTGCGTGCGGCTTTTCGGTCATCTACCTGGCCTACCAGACCTGGGCGGCGAGGAGCAAGTCGAAGCGAGAGGGATACAGGCATCTTAAGCAACATGTCTGGAATGGCAATCGCAACTGCGCCCCAAACCACGACGACTCGGATACCGATGTCGACGAAGAAGAGGATGAGATGCAGCGAAATCAAGACGCGGTGCTGGAGCTGTCCAAGACCAAAACCAATGCCTCGGTTCTGACGCTCGATCGACCGCGAGGCGAATTGGGAATACTGCTCATTGAAGAAGTTGCTGTGCTCGCAGAGCTGGGCATACAGGTCGCCGCTCTGATATTGCAGGCATGGGGTTCAAAKGGCAACGCCGCTACGATCGCCGGCATTGCTGTGTGGTCGTATATCGCGGTGCTAGCGTCGCTACGCTTGCTCTTCTCCAGCACCTCCAAGTGGTCTTTCCCAAAGCTATGGTACCATACTTTCTTTCTCTACGGCTTCCAGTGGCTGTGCGTAGTCATGCTGTTCCGCTCGGAAATTCTTCACCCGCGATCAAGAACCTCAGAGGTGCTGATGAGCATAGACTTTGCGCTCAACACTCTATTGGCCTTGGTGGCTCTCACGTCACGAAAAGGCAATCGAGTCGTTGAACTGGAGTATGAAGGCACGTTGGAACCGTCCAGAGAGCCTCTCGCCAGCGTCTTCTCCCTCGCGACCTTCAGCTGGGTGGACTCGATCGTGTGGACGGGCTACAAGCAGACTTTCGAGATGAAGGACGTTTGGAATCTGATGCCCAAGGACAAGGCCGCTGCCATCCTTGCGGACTACCGGCAAATCAAGAAGACCAACATTCTTGCTTTCCATCTACTCGGGTATTTCAAGCGCGGCTTGCTCATCCAGGCCGGCTGGGCGGCAATGTCTGGGATTCTTACTTTCGTCCCCACCCTCTTGCTCAAGGTCATTCTGGAATATATTGAAGATCCGGAAGCTACGCCACGGAACGCAGCCTGGTTGTATGTCATCCTGCTTTTCATTTCCGGTGTTCTGAACGCCCTCTCAAGTGGACAGGCTCTGTGGATCGGTAGGAAGGTCTGCATCAGGCTACGTGCCATCATCATTGGCGAGATTTATGCCAAAGCTCTACGACGACGTGCAGGCGCCGCGCCCGACAAGGTCCTGGGTCAGGAGGAGAAGAAGGATGAGGAAGGGCAAAAGCAAAAGCATGGACTACTGCAGAAAGTTTTGTCGTTTGGACGCAAGAAGAAGAACTCGACCGAGAATGGCCAAGCGAATGGCGGACAAAAGGACGATAACCCAGCTGAAGAAGGCCAGGTTTCTTCCGGTGCCATCATCAACCTCATGGCTGTCGACTCTTTCAAAGTCTCTGAAATCAGTGCTTATCTCCACTTCCTCTGGGCAGAGACGCCGGTGCAATTCATCCTCGCCATCTTGCTTCTTTACCTGTACCTGGGAAAGAGCAGTTTGGTGGGAATTGGCATGATGGCACTCCTCCTTCCGGTCAATATGTGGATCGCGAAGCAGTTCACCTCCGTCCAGAAGAAGATCTTGGCTGCAACTGACGCCAGAATACACATCACGAATGAGGTCCTCACCAATGTCCGAATCATCAAGTACTTTGCATGGGAGCAGCGGTTCTTAGCTGMAGTAGACGAGAAGCGAGTGGTTGAGATGAAGTATCTCCGGAATCGATACATTGTTTGGTCGGCGGCAGCTACTATCTGGTCCGGCGCCCCGATCTTGATCACCTTCTTCACGTTTATGGTGTATACTCTGGTGGAGAAGAAAGACCTCGTTCCTTCAATCGCATTCACGGCTTTGTCGCTGTTTAGCTTGCTCCGAATACCTCTTGACCAGCTCGCCGATATGGTAGCTCATGTACAAGAGTCCAAAGTTTCCGTGGACCGCATTGAGGAGTACCTCAACGAACCTGAAACCGACAAATATCGTCAACTACTTAATGAGGAGCTTGATGAGAACGGAGAATCAATGATTGGCTTTGAGAACGGCACTTTCAGCTGGGGTGGAAAAGATGACGATGACTTCAAGATGATGGATCTCGACATGACCTTCAAGGTAGGCCAGCTCAATGTCATCATTGGTCCTACTGGAAGCGGCAAGACCTCCATGCTCATGGCGCTTCTGGGCGAAATGAAATTGCTCGAAGGACACGTATATCTACCAGGCGGTCGTAGCAGAGAGGAGCTCAAGCAAGATCCCGCCACCGGCCTGACAGAAAGCGTGGCCTACTGCGCACAGCAAGCCTGGCTCGTCAATGGAACTGTCAAGGACAACATTGTGTTTGCAAGCAAGTGGGATGCGCAACGATATAAGGATGTCATTGTGGCATGCTCACTGCAGAGAGATCTCGAGATTCTGGATTCGGGGGATCAGACGCTTGTTGGCGAGAAGGGCGTTACACTCTCAGGCGGTCAAAAGCAGCGCATCAGTCTGGCCAGAGCACTTTACTGCGATGCCCGACACGTTCTTTTGGACGATGTGCTCAGTGCTGTGGACTCACACACCGCTAAGTGGATTTTCGACAAAGCGCTAATGGGACCGCTCATGTACAACCGAACATRCATACTTGTAACGCACAACGCAGTCCTCGCGCTCCCTCATGCGGAATTCGCGGTTGTCTTGGACAATGGCAGAGTCTCCGCACAAGGGACCGCAACCGAAGTCATCAATTCTGGCATGATTGCGGAAGACCTGTCCAAGTTGGAAATGAAAACAATCTCGCAGCCAATCTCCAGAGTACCCTCACGCGTACCTTCGGATATCGGGGACGACGCCGAGCCCACTGATGCACACGCTAATGGCTCTGCCGTCGGAAACATGAAGAGGCGAGACACCCAGACCAACGGCGATGCTAATGGTGCCCCTCTATCTAAAGCTATCTCCAAAGACATTCCTGGCATGAACAAGGCGGTTGAGGAAGAGACAAAGGCTACCGGCGCAGTCAAATTTACCATCATTGCCTCCTATCTCCGGCATATGGGCGGTGCCATTTACTGGATAATCGCTGCTCTATGCTTTGCGCTCCAACAGGTCTCGCAGGTTGCCACCAACGTGTGGATCCGCCAGTGGGCCAACTCATACAACAAGAACGAGTTCATGATTTCGAAAAGCGGTCACCATGCATCTCCAATCACCCATGTTCGGGCCAGCGCGAGCGGATTCAACTGCCTCCGGAGCGGCTCATGCCTGTACAACCTGCCATTCTGGTCTCAAGAGATGAACAACCTCAGCAGCTTCAAGATTCTCAACTCCGAAGTGGACGTGGGATATTATCTGGGAGTATACGCTGTACTTGGCCTTGCCTTTATGATCATCACGCTCCTGCGTGAGCTTGTCCTGTTCGCTGGCTCACTCAATGCGTCAAAGCGAATCCACAGGCAACTCATGGATAGAGTTACCCACGCCAGATTCCGTTTCTTCGACTCAACCCCACTCGGTCAGATCATGAACCGATTCTCGAAGGACATTGAAGCTGTAGACCAGGAGCTGGCTCCCGTGGCCGTCGGCGTGGTGCACTGTCTGTTCTCTCTGCTCACAACTGTGGTCCTCATCTCGGTCATCACCCCGGCTTTCCTCATTGCAGGCTTCTTCATTGCCATCATCTACTTCATCATCGGCAAGGTCTACATCAACGCATCGCGAGACCTCAAGCGCTTGGAATCCATACAGCGAAGTCCACTGTATCAGCAGTTTGGAGAAACCCTGTCTGGAATGACCACCATCCGAGCCTATGGCGATGAACGCCGCTTCATCCGCGAAAACCTTCACCAAGTCAACACCCACTCTCGACCATTCATCTATCTTTGGGCCGCGAACAGATGGCTCTCGTTCCGTGTCGACTTTGTTAGCGCCCTTGTCGCATTTCTCACTGGCGTGTTTGTCATCCTCGGCGTAGGATCTATTGACGCCGGAGCTGCTGGTTTAGCCATGACATATGCCGTGACCTTTACGGAGAATGTCCTTTGGTTTGTGCGCCTCTACGCAAGCAACGAACAGAACATGAACGCAGTCGAGCGAGTGAAGGAATACCTGGATGTTGAGCAAGAGGCCGCGCCCATCGTGCCCGACCATCGACCCGAGCACAACTGGCCAAGCGAAGGTGCTGTAGAGTTCATCGATTACAGCACACGGTACCGCAGTGACTTTGACTTCGTGTTGAAGAACATTACCTTCAAGATCTTGCCGGGCGAGAAAGTCGGCGTTGTGGGACGAACTGGTGCAGGCAAGAGCTCGCTCGCGCTGGCACTCTTCAGAGCGCTGGAAGCGGAGCAAGGCAAAATCCTGATTGACAATATGGACATTGGGCTCATTGGGCTACAGGACTTGCGAGAGAACATTGTCATGGTACCTCAGGACCCGACCTTGTTCACCGGGACGATTCGAAGCAACCTGGATCCCTTCGGCCTGTTCACCGACGAAGAAATTTTCACAGCTCTTCGGGGTGTTCAGCTTGTCGGTGTTGCTACCTCTGCGGCTCCATCTAGGGTACCGTCAAGGTCGCAAACACCGATCGGTCGATCGCGCAAGACGTCGCCTGTCAACAGCAAGCAATCCCTTCTGATCCAAGCAACGACAGCCCCRCCAAGTCCGACGAGCGCGTCTGCGGCATTCGAGAACAAGAACATCTTCCGCAATCTATCCTCTCCGGTGGCCGAATCTGGTTCAAATCTCTCCCAAGGACAGCGCCAGCTCCTTTGCTTGGCCAGAGCACTGCTAAAAGCACCCAAGGTTCTTCTCATGGACGAGGCCACGGCCTCTATCGACTATGCGACAGACTCCAAGATTCAGGAGACGATTCGCGAGATTCAAAACACCACAATCACGATCGCACACAGACTGCAGACCATTATCGACTACGACAAGGTCCTCGTTTTGGACAAGGGCGAAGTCATTGAGTTTGGTGATCCGTTTGAACTGGTAAGCCGCGACGGAGGAATCTTTCGCGGTATGTGCGAGATGACAGGCGACCTTGACGTCCTCGAGAAGGATGCGAAGAAGGCGCATGATGCAAGAAAACTCATCGATGATGAATGAGTGTATTGACGGCCTGACCCATTGATGTCTTTGGGGGGTTTGACCATGGTGATGGAAAGCTATTCTGTCCCGGGTATTTGTTTCTTTCTTTTTTTGCATGGCGCTCTGTACTTTTCCTCCTGTATCGTACGGCTCGGTTGTTAGCAGCATTTTCATATTGTTTATTGAAAAGGAGCCAAGGGGTGGAAGTTTGAGCGTCGATATTTGGGTGGTCGCTTTGACTCATTGATTGTACATTGTGTAGATAGAGAATTACCATCACGATGATTATGTTACCAGCTTGTCACTCGTCTTTTTTTGGCTTCTCAGTCGAGGGCTTCGCGATTTGATAGTCTTCCTCGTAGCGTCGCCTGAAGGTAACAGCAGAATTGTCAGTGCTGGGTTGCAAGATGGGACATTCGATGCTTCACTCACCAGACTTCAGTGTCACGAATCTCCTTCTTGCGCATCCGCATCATCTTTCCATGTGCGATTAACCGATGGTCTGCTTCGATAATCGATCCGAGCGTCATTCCACTCATCTGGAGGAAACTGTTGTTCTGTATTAGTCTTGTACGTCATGGTAATCCGCGGAGGACTCACACTTTGAACTGAAGTGTTGTTGCTCTATAGACAGGACTGTACGCAAAGCCCACACCCGCTGCTATGGCCGAAAAGACTGCCCACTGTCAAAAAGGATTCTGTCAGCATTTGTACAGCATGCTACTAGTATGTCCAACCAGATGCYCGTGAGAACATGCTCGTGAAAACGTACCTTGGCAGCGCCAACCGCTGCTCCGCGGGCGGCCACCCAGGATGCTTCGTTTATCTCCTCATCATTCGTCAAACTACCGTGCTTCCTCATCACCGTTGATTCGCATCTGCCACAAAAGTGCAATGGCGAAGTTCTGATCCTTGTCGGGTTGCGCTACCCGTGTACTTGGTGACTTTTACGCTTACCAACGATCAAAAGCTTGTTGGTGACGACGGGCGAGAGTGTTTGTAGAACTGGCTTAGCTTCGGATTTAACGCCGCGACGGCGACCTCGCCTTCGACCCGATCTTCTTTCTTCTCTTTCTTCTTCGTCTGACTCTTCAATCAACGGCCCATCCTATCCAATCCCCCTACGCGCTGTGCAATCGGGCAGCCTCCTGAGGTAGTGAGGAGCACGAACGCCACCGCCAATGGCGGAATCGAATACGCTGTCACAAGGCGTACAAGGCGTTCTGCAACTCCCGATCCAGTCGCCGAACCTCGCCCTCTTTCCCACCTACCTCTCCGGCTTCGCGAGCGACAGACATCGGCTATGCGGTAATGCAGAGGKCTGGGGACCTCTGAGTCCATGGCGATACGATTTCACGCCCTGTTTCCTCGACATATGGGTCGTGGTGGTTTCCGTCTGGGGTATTCTAGGAGGGCTTGGTGCAATATGGTGGCTCTACAGGAAGACTTCGTCACAACCTGTACCTAAGAACTGGCATTTCTACACAAAGATCTCCGTCATTGGACTCCTTGCAGCTTCGACGCTTGCCCAGGCGGGATTACAAATTGATCGTTTCTCTGGCTTCTGGTATAGGGATTTCCGATTTTGGACCACGGTGTTGAATGTTGTCAGCTTCGTGGTGATTGGATTCGTACAATGGAAGGAACACTCTCGGATGCGACATCCCCACGCCGTCGTGCTGTTCTACTGGCTTTTCCTCTTGATTGCGTACGCTGTCAAGTTGCGCAGTCTGGTTTCGCAAGAGATGTTCAGATGGCATGTCGCATACTTCAGTATCTTCACTGCGAACGTGGGACTGGCTGCATTGGAATTGATATTGGAGTGGCTTGTGCCGAAGAAGGTGTCTTTGTACGATGCCTTGGGCGACGATGATGAATGCCCGCTTGAGTATGCCAACATATTCTCCAAGCTCACCTTCTCATGGATGACTCCCATGATGAAATTCGGATACAGAGAATTCTTGACCCAGGACGACTTGTGGAATCTCGCCAAGCGTGATACGACCAGGACTACCGCTGGGGATTTCGAGGCGGCGTGGGAACGTGAACTCGAGAGGAAGAAGAAGCCAAGCTTGTGGATTGCAATGTTCAGCGCGTTCGGTGGGCCATACTTCAGCGGAGCTGTCATCAAAACACTGTCAGATTGTCTGCAATTCATTCAACCACAGCTGCTTCGTTATCTCATCGCTTTCGTGCGCTCTTACGGTCCTGGAAATGTCCCGGAGCCGCCCATCAAAGGAGCTGCGATTGCACTCGCCATGTTTGTAACCTCCGTTGCTCAAACCGCCGCGCTGCATCAATACTTCCAGCGCTCGTTTGAAGTTGGAATGCGAGTCAAAGCTGCGTTGACAGCGACCATTTACTCAAAGAGTATGCGTCTGAGTAACGAGGGTCGAGCATCTAAGAGTACTGGCGACATCGTCAACTACATGGCTGTCGATACACAAAGGCTTCAGGATCTCGCACAGTACGGCCAGCAACTTTGGTCCGCTCCGCTGCAAATCACGCTGTGTATGATCTCGCTTTATCAATTGGTTGGTGTCAGCATGTTCGCCGGAGTTGGTGTCATGTTAATTATGATTCCAATCAACGGGTTCATTGCGAGGATTTCTAAGAAACTTCAAAAGAGGCAGATGAAGAACAAAGATGCTCGTACCCGCCTCATGACAGAGATTCTCAACAACATGAAGTCCATCAAGTTGTACGCCTGGTCTCAGGCTTTTGCAAAGAAGCTTAACGTCATCCGAAACGACCAGGAACTTCATACACTCCGCAAGATTGGTGCTGTCACGGCAGTCTCTACATTCACCTGGAACACCACCCCATTTCTCGTCTCTTGCTCAACTTTCGCGGTGTTCGTTGCCACCAACGAAAAGACCTTGTCTACAGACATTGTCTTTCCTGCGCTCACTTTGTTCAATATGCTCGGATTTCCACTTGCTATCCTCCCAATGGTCATCACTGCCATCATTGAGGCCAGTGTTGCCGTGGGCCGTCTGACAGACTTCTTCACAGCACCGGAGCTTCAAGAAGACGCTGTTCTGCGCGGAGACAGCGTTGAGGCTGGAGAGGAGTCAATCAGGATTCGAGATGCAACATTCACCTGGAATCAAGAGGACGAACGAAATGTCCTGCGGGACATCAACTTCAGCGCCCACAAGGGCGAGCTATCTTGCGTTGTGGGTCGCGTCGGGGCCGGCAAATCGAGCCTTCTTCAGACAATGCTGGGTGACCTTTACAAGCTCAGAGGCGAGGTCGTAGTTCGAGGTACTGTGGCATACGTCGCACAAAGCCCTTGGGTGATGAACGCGTCTGTGCGGGAGAACATTGTGTTCGGCCACCGCTGGGATCCCGCTTTCTACGAACGCACGATCCACGGATGTGCGCTCACTGAAGACTTTGCTAGCCTGCCCGATGGTGATCAGACAGAGGTGGGTGAGCGTGGTATCTCTTTGTCTGGTGGTCAAAAGGCTCGCCTAACGCTAGCTCGTGCGGTGTACGCCCGCGCCGACATCTACCTATTGGATGATGTCTTGAGTGCAGTGGACCAGCATGTCGGTAGACACATCATTGATAACGTGCTCGGGCCCAAGGGTCTATTGGCCAGCAAGACGCGTGTCTTGGCTACAAACTCGATCCCTATTCTTCTGGAAGCGCACTTCATTGCGCTACTGAGAGACAACAAGATCATAGAAAGGGGCACTTACGAGCAGCTCATGGCCATGAAAGGTGAGATCGCGCAGCTGATTAAGACTGCAAGCAACGAGGAGTCAGCGGATACCAGCAAAGACGTGCCCGACAGTCCGTACTCGGAAAGCACAGCATTTGCACCAGACAGCCCCGAGGATGAGGATGAGGAGGATGAGGCTGGCGACGAGCTTGCGGTAATGGCACCCATCCGTCCAGGTGGAGGCGCACCGGCGCGCAAGTCGAGCAACATGACTCTCCGGAGAGCCAGCACAGCCTCGTTCCGGGGACCGCGAGGCAAAATGACCGACGAAGAAGAGAACAAGACCAACATGAAGTCCAGCCAGAAGAAGGAGTTCTCCGAGCAGGGCAAAGTCAAATGGGACGTCTACAAGGAATATGCCAGCACGTCCAACCTTCTTGCCGTCGCAATTTATCTGGTCACTTTGATCGGCGCCAAAACCGCTGAAATTGGGGGCTCCGTCTGGCTCAAGAATTGGTCCGAGACCAACGATCTCGCCGGAGGCAATCCTCATGTGGTCCGCTACATCTTGATTTACTTTGCTTTCGGCATTGGGTCAGCTTTCCTGGTCGTTGTCCAGACTCTCATTCTGTGGATTTTCTGCAGCATCGAAGCAAGTCGCAAATTGCATGAGCGTATGGCCCATGCAATCTTCCGAAGCCCTATGAGCTTCTTTGAGACAACGCCCACGGGACGCATTTTGAACCGGTTCTCCAGTGATATTTACAGAATCGACGAAGTGCTAGCGCGGACCTTCAACATGCTGTTCGTCAATGCAGCAAAGGCCATGTTCACGCTGGTTGTCATTTCGGCTGGGACTCCCATCTTCGTCGCGTTGATCGTTCCACTCGGTGCGCTTTACCTGTACATTCAGCGGTACTATTTGAGAACCTCACGCGAGCTGAAGCGTCTCGWCAGTATCAGCCGAAGTCCCATTTATGCACACTTCCAAGAATCGCTCAGCGGAATCAGCACAATTCGTGCTTACCGCCAGACCAAACGGTTCGCCATGGAGAGTGAATGGCGTGTCGATGCTAATCTTCGTGCCTTCTTTCCTTCAATCAGCGCAAACAGATGGCTGGCCGTTCGCCTAGAATTCATTGGCTCTATCATTATTTTCGCTGCAGCTGGTTTTGCGATCATTGCCGTCACAACAGGAAGTAAGCTGTCGTCAGGAATGATCGGTCTCGCAATGAGCTATGCATTGCAGATCACACAGTCACTGAACTGGATCGTCCGGCAAACGGTGGAAGTCGAAACAAACATTGTGTCGGTGGAGCGTGTTCTTGAGTATGCTCGTCTACCGAGTGAAGCACCGGAGGTGATTTCCAAGAATAGGCCACCAAACAGCTGGCCCTCCAAGGGCGCGGTGTCGTTCAACAACTACAGCACACGATATCGTCCAGGTCTTGACTTGGTGTTGAAGAACATCAACCTCAGCATCAAGTCGCATGAGAAGATTGGAGTCGTTGGCCGCACCGGAGCCGGAAAGAGCTCCCTCACACTGGCCCTGTATCGAATCATTGAGGCGGCTGGAGGCGACATTTCAATCGACAACCTCAACACGGGCACGATCGGACTCCTCGACCTTCGTGGACGGTTGGCTATCATTCCTCAAGACGCAGCTCTCTTTGAGGGCAGTGTCAGAGACAATCTGGACCCAGGCCACATCCACGATGACACGGAACTGTGGAGTGTGTTGGATCACGCTCGACTCCGTGACCACGTAGCTGCAATGAACGGCCAGCTGGAAGCTCAAATCCATGAAGGAGGTTCGAACCTGAGCCAGGGGCAACGGCAGCTTGTTTCGCTCGCGCGGGCCCTGTTGACTCCCAGCAATATCCTTGTGTTGGACGAAGCCACCGCTGCCGTTGATGTAGAAACAGATGCCATGCTCCAAACCACCCTACGTAGCAACATGTTCAAGGATCGCACGATCATCACCAGTAAGTTGACTCGGCATATAAACTGTCTCGCTAAAGCTGACCTCTTCATAGTTGCGCATCGCATCAACACCATCCTCGACAGTGATCGCATTGTGGTATTGGACCATGGTACTATCAAGGAATTTGACACGCCTGCGAACTTGATCAAAAGCAAGGGACTGTTTTATGAACTTGTCAAGGAGTCGGGATTGCTCGGCTCTAGTGTGGATAGCTCTGGTGCCATCTTGTAGTTTAGCCGCTACGTACTGCAAAAAGTAAATGACAGATATTGATCAGTCACTGTGTTCTCAGCTATCTTCGTTCCTCCAGGTCAATGGATGATAAATTGTGCACCTGTTGATTTTTTGATTGTTCCTTCCCTTCTCCATATGGCATGTACTGGTATGCAGATAGATGCAGATGGCACAAAGACCACCTGCCGCGCCTTCCAGGACGGTCAGTGAATGGCAGAGCTATATTCGGAGACGAGGTTGTCAGAATCACAATCCTCCTGGCGCGCGAAATCTAGCACACTTACCCCAACCCTAACCCTAATTGGTCACGACCAGCCTCTGTATCAACATCGGTCGACGGAGCACAACCAACAAACAATAGTGAGATGCAGGCATGTGAGCTTGATGGGTTGAACGGCTTCTTTCACAATATTGGGTATGCTACACGAGCTGCGTGCAGACCATGTAGTGCTCGCGGACATGGCGCTGCACCAAGCTTTTCCTACTGCACACACAGCAATTTTCCTGCTCAATCGCTGAGCTCAATTGCATCATCCTCGTTGTGCCCAACGACCTGAAGTGCCTCATTTGGCTGCGGCTGCAAGTACCGAGAAGCGACCTGCGGCACAAAGCCTGGCCCGTCATCGTCGTCTTCATCCCAGCTGCCCTCYTCAGAGTCGTACTCCATCTCATCCTCGGCATCGTCGCCTTCCTCCTCGGAGTAGAAGCCCGCGTTAGATTCGCCTGCACCAGTGTCGCGCGCTTGGCCTTGACCCTGGTCGCTCTCAAACTCTTCGCCGTTCTCGCTATCGTACTCTCCGTTTGCGCCATCGTCATACTGGTAGCTATCTGGCTGCGCCTCTGTCTGCTCGTCGTCGCTGGAGAGCTCGCCAGCGAAGCCGCCTTCCTGACTCTCATTCTCCTCATCGTTTTCAGCTAGCATTGCGAAGCGATTCGCAGAAGTTTTTGGCTTGAATTGTACAGCGGTATCCGACTGCGAGTCGTCTCCGTCGCCATCGCCGACTTCCACATTCATGCCGTTGTCAAGCATATTTGGCTCGTCGTTCTTTGCCTGGTCCTCGTACTCATCGTCAGACACTGACGGTACTGCCTTGGAAGCAGTTTGCGATGGCTGAGATGCTAGTGATGGAGGAGCGAACGAGCTTGGCCCATCCTGCGAAGGCTGGACAAAACTCCGTGACAATGCGCCTTCAATCTGTGATTGCTGGATGGTGTTGTCGTACGTCATGCTGTTTGTTGCTGCATCGAAGGCAAGAGCTTGCGACGGCTGATAAGCATGTTGCGAAACGTCACCGCTCTGCGAGATAAAAGGACTGTTGGAGACAGGTGCCTGTAGGAACGGGTTTGACGAATCTTGCGTCAACGAGTCCTCAAGAAACGGGACTGGAGCACCGCTGGTGATCGGAGGCGCAGGCAATGATGCCTGGGGAAAGAAAGGCGTGTTGGAGCCGAATCCGGACCCGTCGAAGCCATTGAAGTGTGCATCGTTGATTCCCAATAGATCGTCAGCTGGTGCGGCCTTCGAGAGAAAGCTAGATGCGCCAGAGATGCCATTGACACCGTTTGGCATGTTCGGCTGAGAGTTAAACGACGGTTCGATAGCGTCGGAGAGTGCGTCGGCGCCGATGTTATCCTCTGCAGAATGATCGAAGCCGAGCCGATCTGCCTGCCACATAAAGCTCTCCGCTCGCTGGGACCTCGATGCTATGATCTCGCTGGCTCGCTCCCGGGCACGTCCATATTGCTCTCTAGGAACGAAGCGACTCTCACGTAGTCGATATGCCGGAACTTCGCGGTCGCTCAGAGATGCACCGAAGTCTGAGTCTGCCTGCGATGTCTGAAGGCGGATTTCAGCTCGAGCTCTTGCCAGCGATGGCGACTCTCTGTCAGACAGGGAGCTCGCACTGCGACGTAATTCGCTCTCCTTCTCCACCTCATTCCTCAAAAATGATCCACTTTCTCTCAGTCCCTCTCTAGCAGCTTTGAGACGCGCAAAGAGGGCTTCATCCTCATCATCAGCTTTTGATCTCACTGACCGCGTGGACGGCGGCCGCATCAGGCCATCGTTCCTCTCACGAAGCTGATCTGAGCTTGCCCGCAGTAGTGAGGTGCTCGATTGCGAACGCTGCTCCGTGTCGAATGACTCCGAGCGTGGCCGCTTTGTGCCCTGCCTGGTTCCCGTATCACCATATGTGGATGGCTTGACTCCTAGTGCCTTCATGCGAAAGTACGGAGACTTGGTTGTGCTGCTGCGGTTCGGCGCATCGGTGGGGAGGGCGAAATTCAAAAAGGACGAGCGCGCAATGCCTGATGACTGCGGCACACGCCCGTGGTCGTCAACGTGGCTTGTGCTCTTCATTCGCTTATGTCCATTTTCGGTCGAACCCATCGCTGAGTCGGGGCCTTGAGAGGACACCGATCGCTTGCTGCCAGCCTGAGCCTGACGATCGTTTGGGAATCGACTGCTGCCCAATGTCGATTTGTACATGGCATCCACCATGTCTCGTCTGCTCTGGTGACTTGCGACCGAGCTAGCTTTACTGCTCCTCAAACTGGAAGCTGCACCCCGGATCTCTTCGAAGCTCAGACTTTCGCCGTTTCGCGACTCGTGGAGCCTCTTCTGCGCTCTTTTCCTGCGTTCTCTTCCCTGTTTAGCAAGTCGCTGCCGACGGCAGGTATCTCTCCACCTTTTGCCATATTTGTCTTGCAAAAACCACGACCGAAATTCGTCGGCTTCGGCGTTCATGCGCTCCCAATAGAGATCCTCCTGCACCTTGGTGATGACTTGTTTTACTGTGTAGTCGACGTACTGTTTGAGAAAGCCAGACACAGGGTCTGTTGTCAGCTCCTCAGAGAGCCGTGCAAGCAAAGCGTCAAAGCTAGGTGCCGCCGGTTGGATGTTGATGGGCGATTGTGCTGCTGGCTTTGTCTGAGTGAAAGACGGCGGAAGGGCTGTCTTCTCCCTGCCCGGAAACAAATCTTCCACCGTGGGCTGTTTTGTGGTCGCGTGACCGATCAGCGACGCGCCCGCGTGCGATCCGCTTTCATCACTGAAAGTGAAGCTATGCGACAGCGGACTTGGTTTCTTGGGTTTGGTGTCTGGCAAGTTGTTGATGGATGAGCGGCGCGGCGGTGACTGAGAGCCAGTGTTTGTGTCTTGACCGCCGTGTGTTGTCAATGTTGATGGAGGCTGTAGCGGAGCAGCGAATGGAGTCGAGGCTGTCGTTGATTTAGAGTTCATTTCTTCCGGCGCGGGATCACTAAGCGCTGCGGGCGTGGACGCAGGTGCAGATAGGTCGCCGAAAAGGGAAGGCACAGTCTGCGCTTGAGTCTGCTCTGGCTTGGAAAAGCTAAAAGACGGCGCTGGCAGCTTCTCTTGCGACGTTACGGGTGCAGAAGGGGCCAAGAAGGGGTTCGTCGACGTCGTAGCCATGAACGGATTTGAAGAGGCAGCAACATTGCCGCTTTCTTGCTTGGGCGCAAACAGGCTTGGTGCAAGGCTGGCGGCCGGCTGCCCAAATGGCGAAGTAGATGGCTGCGCAGCTGGCTTATCCAACGTCTTGTCAGGGAACGCAGTGGTCGGCGAGGAACCCGCGAGACCAAACAAGCTTCCAGGTGTCGAAAACGGCGATGTCCCTGCTACGGCTGCCTTTGGCTCTACACCTGACCCCGTTACCGATGGGCCCAGAAAACTGAAAGTCGGCTTCTTTTCACTCGTTACTGTAGGCTTCGCCTGGCCGAACGATGTCACCGGAGGGGTAGGCTGTCCAAATGCTGAAGGCTTGCTGAGTGACAATTCGCCGCTTGGTTGACCAAAGGTGGAAGGTTTCAGCTGTCCAAACATGGTCCCGGAAGCATTGCTTGTTTGTCCAAAAGGCGACGATGACATGAAACCCGCTGGTGTGGCATTTTTGGGCTCTTGCACTGTCGTGCCACTGGTGTTTTGATTCTCGGGAATGAACAGCGATTCTGGATCATCCTCGCCTGAGCCACCCGTCTCCTGTTCCTCCGCCGCGTTCGTCATGTCCTCATTCTCCCCATTCTCATGAATCATTCCAGCGTTGCGTGCCTGTTGGACGTTCATTCCATCAATGACAGCAGCCCAAGATCGACCTAGCCGCTTTTGTTCAACTATCCAGGAGCTCTCCTGTATAGACTTCCCAAAAGTCGGGGTCTGCAGAGTCTTGCCCGCGACGGAACTAACATCCAGATAGTCTTCGTCACCGACCTGGTAGAATTCGAGGTCGTAGAGCGCACAGAATGCAATCAGTTGTTCATCGTCATCGAAGTAGAACAGATCCCGGAGATCATGCATGCTCCATTCTGTGTTGGGGCCAAGCTTCCCGTTGACGGGTTTCATAGGCCGCATTGCTCGTATGATAGACCTTAAGACCACGTCTCTCAGAAGGTGAAAGTAGATCTCGGCAACGCAGGCCTGTAGATATGAAATCTTAGATGAGTTCATCACCTTCCAGAAGCCTTCCCAATCCTGTCGCGCAATAACATGCTCGGTAGCAAGTGCCTTGAAAGGCCCCAGTCGACGGAAAGTACTGCAGGCAGCAGCAAAGAGCGACAACGCGGCCTGTATTTTGCGGTCCCCGAGGAGAGCTTTTGGCCAAGTCTGGACGCGATCTTCGGTATCAGTCTGCGAGCTGTCGAGCTGGAATATCACACAGTATGAGCGGAACTCGGCCTCATTGGTGAGCTCCAGCCGTCCTCGGTAGTCGTCATAGTACTGCATTAGTGAGAGCAGTGTTCGGTCGAGTTGCTCACGTTCTTGCTGCGGCTCATACGTCGTTTCTGCCCTACGCGCTGCTTGTTGCGATTCTGGCGTTGCCATTTGATGTAGTGCCAATATGTGGAAACGCGCAATCCGCTCGAAGCACTCGATTGCAATTCGAACATCGTCCAGTTTTGTTACCTGCTGGATGGAAAAGTCGTTTCGTATTGCCCTGGTCCGATCCCAGATGAAGCCGTGTACCGAAGCGAGCGATGGCGCGTTGGCGAGAAGATCCCGGAAAAGATAATCACAGGTCGTTCTCAGTACATGTGGAGGTCGAAGGTCAGAAGGCAGCTGGTCGCCATCTCCAGCTCCGGGTCTCTTGAACTTCTTGACCATCCGTGCTTCGACAGGCAATGGGCCACCAGGCGCATAGGCAGAGTGATCAGGGTCCTAATCCAGTCAGACCGCGTTCAAATGTGTGTGTCTCCAAACACGTACCAGTTCTTCAGGCGCAACGCTGTTCTGATACGCTCTCTCCACCCTCTCCCATTCTGCGCACATGTCCAGGCACGTCCCAACGGGTGTCACAGCGTCTGATAGTAGGCGCGCCTGCCCCGGGGCACTGACAATACCCTGCCGCTCCGCATCCTTGCGCTCCAACTCGCGAATCTTTTTGAGCTATACGGAGTCATTCTCTGCGCTCCGTCAGTTGTATCAAGGGTACGAGAAACGCACCTGTTCGTATCTGTCCTTTAATAGACCTCCTGCCATCGCGCCACCGTTCGCAGCTCTTCTTGACGGCGGCTTAATGAAGGCATTGCCGCGCGATGTACTGCCTCCTCGACCTCCTCGAGGTACTTGAGCTCCACTTCCTCGGGTTGCTGCTCCAAATGTTCCTCGTGAAGATCCAAACCCTCCTCGCGCGGGACCACTGGGCACATTGCCATTGGGATTCGATGACCTTGAAGGTGCGCCGCGCGGTGATGCAGCCGGTCTATTCCCACGACTGCTGCCGCGACCGCGTCCGCGGCTTGGGAACGACATGATCGTCGTTGTTTCGCGTGAAATGATCGGACTGTGGCGTCATGTGTGTGGATGTGTTGTGTCGATGTTCACGCTTGATGGTGTGGCACCCCCAATGATTGTGGCATGGCTCTGCTTTGCTCAMAATCCAAATTCTTTGTCGTTGTACGCGTGCATACCCATGCGGCCATCACTCGAGAGCGTGGATGGCTGACTGTGCAAATGATCGGCACTAGCGTGATCCACAAATACCCGAACCTTCTCAAGAGCATGTGACATTGCTCACAACATCTTTGCGCTGCCTCAAAGTCCTCTGGAAAAGYACCTGTAAAGGACGTTCTACAGGCGTGAAGTGAGTTTAGAGTCAACGGTACGCGTACGTATAGGACTATTTCCGACTAGATTACATTTGTTTCTTACTGAAAGGAGCTAAAATGGCAGATGCGTCTCCCAACAAAGAACACTGAGCAGCAACACGCACATTAAGTAGGTATCCACTCCAATGGCGAAGATCAAGTATTTGGGTGAGAACGAGGCGGAGTAAGTCCCATTCATTTTGGAGTATCAAATTTAACGCCAGAGCACAAACCCAACTTCCATCTATCCTTTTCCAGTCATCAGCCATCTAATCGCTCCATAATGCCCGACTAATGCGAGAAAGCCATGGAAAGTCATCACTTTTCGTCAGGTTTCAAACTGACAGACCTTAGACACCACCGGATGCCAACATCTTCTTGCGTAGATGGTTCTTGTATTGACCGATAGAGCCGTCCCACCTTGTGACGGTCTTGTTCTCGCATACCATGATGTCTTTGGCAATCTTGTCGAGCAGCCTGCGTATTGTTAGCAAGGATTATTGTATATGCTTCATTTCATCAACGTACCTGAAGTCGTGAGAAACGACGACTACGCCTCCAGAGAATGCATTGATAGCGTCGGCAAGGGAATCAATGGTGGGAATATCCAAACCGTTGGTGGGCTCGTCGAGCAACAACATGTTGGGCCCGTCGATTGCCAAAAGCGCGAAGACGATACGGCTCTTCTGTCCTTCAGACAGGGTGCCCATGATGGCGGTCTGCGACTCACCAGACAGACCATACTTGCCAAGCTGCTGTCTCCAGTACTGGTAATCTTGAGAAATGGCAGGGTACTTGTCGCGCACGAAGTCGAGCGCGGATTTTGTGAGATCAAGCTGTTCAGCAGAGTGCTGGCTGTACATGCCAAGCTTCAAGTGAGTGTGGCGGGACACGGACCCAGAAGTCGGCGAAAGCTTGCCTGTGAAAATGCGGAGGAGAGTCGACTTGCCAACACCATTGGGTCCGACAAGTGCCGTTCTGCTGTCCATGTCAACACCAAAGTCAAGGTGCTCGTAGAGGTTGTCGGTCGTCTTGCCGGAGTAGGAGAACGTGACATTGTCGAGGGAGAGCACTGGAGGCGGGAGCTTCTCGACGTCTGCGAAACGGAAAGAGAAGACACGATCCTGGTGCACTGGCTGAATGAAACCATCGGCCTCCATCTTGTCGAGAATCTTCTGCCGGGACTTTGCTTGGCGCACCAGGTTGGCGTAGGTACCAGCCTTGGAAATGAACTCCTTGATGTGCTTGATCTCGTCTTGCTGCTTTTCGTATGCCTTTTGCTGGTTGACCTCCTGTTCGCTGCGAGTCTTTTGGTAGGAGTCGTAGTTACCACCAAAGTAGAAGATCTGCTTCTCTCGCATGTCGATCATGTTTGTGCAGACACCGTTGAGGAAATCCATAGAGTGAGATACCAGAATGAGTGTGCGGTCCCACTTCTTGAGGTACTCTTCAAGCCACACGCAGGCCTCGAGATCCAAATGAGCAGTTGGGTCATCGAGCAACAGGAGCGATGGGCGAACGAACAGCGCCTTTGCGAGCGCGACACGCATACGCCATCCACCTGACATGTCCTTGGTCTTCTTATCCATGGTCTTCTTGTTGAATCCCAGGCCGGTCAGAATGAGCGATGCGCGAGTGTGGAACGTGGAGGGGTCCATCCCATCAATGCGCTCATAAATCTCCTCGAGCTTGGGGCTGTCAGGGCCATCGTCCTCGAGAATCTTCTCTGCCAGGTCTTCCAGTCTCTTCATCTCAGCCTCGGCCTGGTTCACGACCCATTCGAGCGCACCGACGTTGGAAGGCTCGGCACCCTCGTTGAGAAGATAAATGTCGAGGTGATCGGGGAAGGGGAATTCGCGCATGTCGATGGCCTTGAGGAAAGTCGACTTTCCACATCCGTTCTCTCCGAGAAGACCATAACGGCGGCCGTAGTTGACCTCGATTGTGGTGTCGTTGAAGAGAACCTTGCCGTGGAACACAAGCGAGGCGGATGTGATTTTGACGTCGCGACTGGCCGGGAGCGAGGCCAGCACACCGGTGGTGACACGGTCGGAAATTCCGTCCTTGTCCTCCTGGAGCTTCAGCTTGGCCACCTTTGCGGCCAACTTGCTCTCTGCAGCGGTGGGTGCTGGCTGGCCCTCGTCGCTGTTGTCGCCTTCGTCGCCGTTGACCGAAGATGCCTCTGAGGGTACGGCGGAGGCGTTCTTGCTAGCCAACTTGCTGGACGGGGTCTTCTTAGCGGGCTTGCCATCGGCGGCTCGCTTTGCCTCTCGGGCTGCTTTGGATGCGGAGACCATCTTGTGCGGTAATGATGGTGGGGTTGTGGGATGAGTTCAAAAGTCTCAGGCAAAAGATTTCGAGGGTCAAACGGCAGGAACCCCACCAACGACGTAGGTCTCAAGTTGGGCGAAATGGTGGCTCAAAAGTCGGCCTGTGATTGGCTGAATGGTTGGGACAATGGAGACCGCCCTCACTTGGAGATGTTGTTGTAAATTAAGACGATTTATCGTATGTTGATGTTACAGCTCATTTTTTGGGACGAGAAAATGGCCAAACCTTCGTTATATATGGTGATTTGTTTGGAAGGAGCTCTGCAGAGGAAAGATCTCTTTGCTGCAGGTGATCACGGTTYAGTGAAAGCCTGATGTTCACACTACTTTACAATCATCGATAAGAAGATCAAGGGCTATTGAATGTCGCCCTACCTATAGTCGCAGAACTCGTGGTCAGACATGTGGAGGGAATAAGTAGAATCTGAAGGCCTTTGCTATCCACTGTACATTGACATGTACTGAGCACAGGCGCGCTAGAGCCGAATTTTGAACAATTTACCAAATGGACAACCGTATCACCTCACCTCCGCTCCGCTCTGATCGACGAAGTGTTCACGTCTCCCACATCCACACACAGACACAATGGTGATCAACCCGACATATCTTGCGCAGCGGACGCGGTCTTGTATGTGTCTTATTCCGAAAAGAGAATCGCGCAGAAGAACAGCCAGCTAATCGCGTGACGACGTAGCTGTAAACTGGAACGATGCGAAGTCGAGGGTGCTGAGCAGTTATCGGGACTGGCTACGGGCGGTATGTGCATTCTGAGGGGAGATGGATACGGAAAGGACGGAAGACACATGGTGAAGACGGGCAAAGAGCAGGACACGACACCGGCGAGGAGATACGCAGTGCCGGACACATGAACAGGATGGCTGACACGCTCGGTGCGCTCCCAGGGCCCAGAAAWTCAACAAATGTACTCCCTCAATATGCCAGTTTCGGCAATCCGAACCAAGATTCGGCAGGAGTTTGAGCGGCATCGATATGTGTCAAAGCTCAAAACCACAGATGTTCTGCTCTTCAACAGTCATGCAGAGTTTCAGGTACGTGCCATAAGCAACAAAGACAGGAGACAACATCGCAAGAAAACACACGAATGGCGAGCCATGGTACGCGAGACTAGGGCTGATTCAAGGACATCTACAGGAGACACTCAATTTCTGGAAGCAGCTCACACATGTACTCAAGTACTTCCGCGCAGAAGAGGAGCCCAAGGCACAACTGCCAAAGAACTTCATCCAGGGTTTCATCGAGGTGAGTTTGCAAGTTGAGTAACGAAGGAGCTTTGTCGGGAGAGATCGCTGACGATGTTCCTCGACAGGGACGGAATTAACGTGGTCACGGTGCCGAGGTTGTATACCAGTGTTTTGCACAGACAGAAAAACTTGTACAAAAAAACACCCATTCAGCTATATTCCTGGCCTCCGTGGGACCGTGGGACCGTGACACCTGCGAACTGCAGCGCGGCTGCAGTCAAGTCATCGCTGATCAGGCTTGTCAATGGTAATCGGCGAAGTAATAGATATTGTGTGAGACTACTGTTGTTCTCACCATGTTCGTCGGTGGCGGTCAGACTGGCCACTTTCTTTTGGCATGCACCGTTCCTTTTTCTTCGAACCATTCTCACTTTCGTTACAGATTTGACATGAGCTGACACGAAAGCAAGAGTGCGGAGTCGAGAACAAGCAAGGGAACGCGGTAGACATATGATGAAGCTCGTTTTCATTGCAAGCTCGCTAAGAAATCCAAAAGAGCGGCACGAGCTTGTAGAAGCCGGTGAAGTCGCCTCTTCTATGTGCAGACGCTATGCATCACTTCATAGTCCTCTCTGGTAAAAGGCCGCTCTTTTGATTTCAGCGACGTGACAGAAGTTTGTAAGAGGGGGTTTCTAGTGCGTGGACCGCTATCGCTCAGCAGATGCGAGCTCCTTCATGGATTGTGGCAAGAGCAGGAACGACGTCATGCCTTTTTTGCTCTCTCTATTCATTTCAATATAATAATCTAGTCCTGCAGCAAAACATTCCTCGGATGAAGGACATTGATGAACGAATACTAAAACCTCATCAGCGACAACCCCATCACGAGCCACTCGTTTTAAATACTCACCTCAGCACACCTAGGCAAACTGTCCTCTGCATGCAAAGTCACAGTCAACAAGTTCAACTCCGTCCAAACAGGTCTCAAACCACACGCCTCCAGTCGTTCCCACCACTGCAAGAACTCCGGAAAGTCAGGTCGATGCAGTTGATCCGCCAAGCCCATAAGATGAATCTCAACCAAGAATTGCCCGATTGGTAGGGGCTGACCCGCGAAGTCTTGCATGAGTTTATCCATGGCAGTGAATTCATACTGTTCAATGTCCATTTTGAGGATGTCAATGTACTCCTGCAATGTCATCAGCAAGTTCCGAATAGCGAAAATGGAGGACCCATAGCCTGGCATATAATCCACTGCTCCAAGGAATCACCTGCAACTTACATGTCCATTCATGTCCATGATGTCCTACCGCATGGTCAGCCTCTCTCTGGCCCCTCTCCCCCACTGAGATGGACTCACTTTGATGGTATAAAATGGCGGCTTCCTTGTCCCTTCCGACTCTCCCGCAACACCCGCCTGCAGAAAATGTGCCCTGCTCAGCTGCTCCGCCTCCATACTCAAGAGTTTTGCCGAGAAATTCGATACTGAGTAATCCACTCCATAAAGCTCGCACTTTGTTCTCTCCAGCATCTCTTCCTCGAAACTAGTCTCATCGTGCACGCCAAAGGAGTAGATGACGCAGGGCTTTTRAAGAGCTGGAGGCTCATAACGTGAGAGGCCGCACATCCTAGGTCCTCTTTAGCACAATCGTATAATGTGCTGAAGCATCCAGAAATTGTACGAACCACTTTCCACCATCGCCCAATCGACCCACACGCCGCATTTCATGCGGACAGCTAAAGGTGGGCGGGAAATAGTCCCAGACTGTGAAGGGGTTGTCGGTGAATACTAGCGGAAACCTATTGCGATACATCATCAGCAAATATCTTTAAAGCCGAAGGACACAAGAACAGACATCGGCTTGAAAGGATCCACAAAAGCGTTGTACATCTCATGTCTTTTCGTCACGCTGTCTTCCCATATTTGCTCCGCAACCTCTAATCTCTGTCGGAGACTGTCCGCCAGGAACGAACTTTTCAAGTCATGTAGCAAGGGTGAGTTACGGACTTGTCTGGCGATTATGAGCGTGCACAGGAGGGTCCCAAAGATGCAGAGGGCTCTCGCGACTGCTGGGTTTAGGGGAGAGATGTGAGGCATTGAGAACAATTACGAAATGCAGGAAAAGCTCAAGAATATCACCTTTGGGGAAAATAGTCATGGTAGGGGCGCAGAAAGGCGCTCCTTGGAATGTAGGCGATGACGGAGCCAAGATCCCTTGCCATGGGCATTGCTGTAAGGTATTAATAGCCAATGTGGAGAGCGTGCTTTAATTGTTGGGATGAAATCGTGCGCCGTGCGTGTCATAGGAAACTCCCCCGCCGTTTGGTTCTGAGATTCAGGGGCTCGACCTGAAGTGAATGAAGAAGCTCCACATCAACCCCTGCGACTTGCGATGCATTGGTCTGACGGATCCGATGACAGGACCTCCAAGGGCGATTGATTTGGAATGCGCGACTGACACTGGTATTAACATCTTCTTCGTCTCACCAAAAGTATTGTACCATTATGGAAGGCGCTCTGCCAGTGTGCAAAAGATCGGAGCTCCTAGCTCAGGTTCAACATTACCTCTTCGTATGTGATTTTCGTGCGTGAGAATGTATTTCGTGTACAGGTATCAGAAGTCATAAGCCGTGTCCGTATCTCTTTTTTTACTTCAATACAAGCCTGCGAACGTCGGCATCCTTCCACCACCAGGCGTCTGTGGAACACCCATCCTCCCCGCTCCACCACTCCCTCTCCTACCCTTCTCATACAACCACTTGTTGTTCAATCCCACACTCGCACGATGCTCCTTCCTCCCTCCACTAGGCGAACCGACAGGGTTGCCCATCGCCTCAAACTCGCTGACCGTAAGTGGTGAGCTGCGGTTGCTGGTATAGCTCAATCTCCTTCGCGGTTCACTGCCTTGCACACCATAAGGTGATGTGTTTCCCTGCATCATCGAATTTCCAAAGGGTGATCCTCCACTCATTCTGAAAGATCCATTACCGTCTACTGGAGTGCCTCGCCCGCTCAAAGGACTGTCTCCACCTCCCACGCGCAAACTACTGCTTGTGCTCTGGGGAGTCGCCGAGCGAGAAAAGCGCGGTGGGGTGACGTACTGCTCCTTCTCTTGTGGTGTCGCTGAGCGGGTCATGGGCGGAAGCCCTAGCAGCTGCCGTTGATGTGGAGTAAGAGGAACATCCTCACACGCATCGGGAGTGAGAAAGAGCGGTTTGCAGGCGAAGAGCGCGTTGGAGAGGCAAAGCAGGCGGAAGGCCCAGAGGATGTAGCTGGGATAGGGCGCGAGGGATTGCTGCCAGGGGTATGGGAGACTGGGGAAGAATTAGCGTCGAATATGGAAGAGAGCCTTGGCTGAACATACGCTACAGAGAGGAGGTGAGGAACGAAAAGTGAGACGAGTATGGCGGCGAAACTGGCGAGGACGGCTTGCATGTTGCGCGTGTCAAAGTTGGTCGCGTTGCGCCGGCGGCTGACTTCGTCCATACGTGGATGTTTCCAGCCAGAAGATGTGTTGGGTGTGGAGTGGGCGACATTTGGGGTTCGCGGCGAGGAGCTCGGGGCCGGCGGTGCTGAGCGGCGAGGTGTGAGATGCAGGATGGGCAGCGAGTCTGTCGATGAAGATGTTGTCCGAGTGAGAGACTGCTGCGAAGTCGACTGCGTCRATGCGGTGGACGACATACTGGCTAATGTGCTGTGATGTTAGTCGTTAGTAGACGCTCGTGTTTCCGCCGTGTCACTCGTTCAGCGCATTGTTGTAGTCGGTTGCTACGAAGCGGGAGATCATCAAAGGGAAGACGCGGATCAAAAGTTGATGCTGCACAGACGCGAATCTAGCTCCTTTCACGATTCAATATTTAGCGACTGATTTGATTAAAAGCTGGAGCTCCGCCGGCCTCAGCTCCGACTTTCCTCACGTAAGGTACCTTAGCTAGCTCGACCGCAATGTCAGATTGGTCTATCGGGTCATTAAGTTACATACTTCTCACGAGCTCGGAGGGCATCTGACTTGCACACAATCGGCATTATGGCCAATTCGACCCATTCAACGCTGGAATCGCTAGATTCGGCCCTTGCGTCGATGCTCGCCGACTGGTCATTCTCCACCACCGCGTTGGCCGTTACAATCATCGCTTTGCTCCTCTACCCGCTGTTTACATCCTCCGATCCCGACACACACCCGCTACTCCTCGCACGTCAGGCACAAGCCAGTCCCGTACGCAAGCGTGGTCAGTCAGCTTTCTACCGCAGTCCGGAGAGTCCACATGGATACCCACTCAAGTCGGGCCTCAATGTCAAGGACGCCGGTGCCCCACGATGGGCCAGTGGGAAGGATGGCGACTTGCGTGATGTGTGGCGAGAAGTTGTGAGGGGCGGGAGCGTCGGTGCAGATGGCAAGACGATCCCAGCAGGACTCATCATGAGTGTGTTTGGCAAGGCAGAAGTGGTCGAGCATCAAGCCGAGGAGATATCCAAGGAGATCAACATCGTGGGCCAAAAGTTCAAGAATGCCGGCGTGAAGAAGCTAGCCATATATCTGCCCAACAGCATCGAATACCTTATAGCTGTCTTCGGTGAGTTCTTGCGTAAAAGGTAAGGAGTATAGGGATTGCTGATTCGGCTTGCAGCTTGTACGTTCTATGGTATCACGCCCGTTCTTCTGCCATTCAACCTACCGCATTCCAAGGTATACGAGCTCTTGAACTCTACTGAAGTCGATGGTCTGGTCGCCGCAGCGGGTACCCTCCCAATGGACGAACTTACGACGCAAGTCTCGACCCTTCGACTCCTCACGTGGGTTGTTGAGCCTGCCAGCCGGCATATCGACTGGAACGAATTGCCTGCCAAAGCCTCTGATCGTGTGACTGTTAACGTCTGGCACGATGTCATCGAAGCAGAGAAGGCATCTGCGAACAGCTCTCTCCCACCCAATACGCCTGATGAGACCGTTCCCAACGTCATCACGATCTGGCAGCCTGCGGATATCCAATCGAAGCCCACGATCACATCCTTCACTCAAGCCAACATTGTCGCCGCGACGGCGTCACTCATCACCGCCATTCCTCTACGACAACGCCTCACCCCATCCGATCTGGTCCTCCCAGCCGATCACTTCTCTCACTCCTACGTCCTCTGCAACACGTTTGCTGCTCTGTTCGCCCACGCTTCCATCGCCATCAACAGCGTCGCCGCACCAGGCGTGGATCTTTCACTCGCCTCCCGTTCTGTTTCACCCACCGTAATTATCGCTTCAGCTGAATCACTCGCGACCCAGTACGCCCGGGAAACGGCCGGCGTAACCAGCGCTTTGCAGAAGTTCGGAAAGTACACTCAAGACCAGACCGTCTCCGCAGGGCGCATGCCGACGGATGGCCTCCTCTTCCGCCTTCTCGCGCCGAGTAACAATGAACCTGGCAAGCTACGCCTCATTCTGACCAGCGACCGCCTTCGGGACTCTCCTGTTCTGACGAGTGCGATGCTCAGCGATCTCCGAATATTCACCCGCAGCAGAATAGTATACGCGCTGACTGCGCCTGGAGTTGCGGGTGCCGTCGCACAGACTAACGTCTTTGACTATCGTAGCTCTGCCGGGAGCGCTCACAATCACTTCGGAGTTCCTCTGGCTTGTGTAGAAATCAGGTTGGAAAGTGGGAACGATGCCGATTTGGAGGGCACGGAGCCAAAGGGCGAGATTGTCGTCTCCGGGCGCAGTGTTGTAGGTGGAGAGACGAGGTTGGGTGTAAAGGGGAGGATCAGAGAGGATTGCACGCTTGCTTATGCTTGAAAAGCCAACTGAAAGTGGATGTATGAGAGATGTGTTATAAACAATCTGTACGCAAGATTTGTGCCTAGGTACGACTCCGAGCCGATATTATCGCACCATCCTATCGTCCTTGTAAAAGCACCGGGCCAAGTTATAGCCTGCGAATCAATCTTTCCACAAGTTCCAACATGAAGCTCGCTCTCGGAACATCCTGCCGTCTCCAGAAAGTTTAAAAATCCTTCACATCGCAACTCCAAACCTCACCTTTCTTTCCCTCATCCCGTGATTAATCTATCTCACATCGACATGACACACTTCCGCCCGTGCATTGACCTGCACGCAGKATCAGTGAAACAGATTGTTGGTGGCACGTTGTCCACCAACAATGCCGAACTGAAAACAAATTTTACATCCGAGCATCCGGCCGCGTATTTTGCTGAACTATATCGCAAACATGAGCTGCGAGGCGGACACGTCATCATGCTCGGGCCTGGAAACGATCAAGCTGCCCGTGAAGCTTTGAATGCTTGGCCTGGTGGGCTGCAAGTTGGTGGTGGTATCAAAGATACGAATGCAAAGGAGTGGATTGATGCTGGTGCTGAACGGGTACGGAAGACTCTCGATTTTCAATTGTCGTACGAATGCATACTGACGTGCTGTAGTAGGTCATAATCACTTCATTTCTCTTCCCTTCTGGTTCGTTTTCGTTACAACGACTTCAATCCGTCCTTGTGGCCCTCGACGATGACCCCAAAAAGCTCGTCATCGATCTCAGCTGTAGACGCGTGGGTGAAGGGTGGAAGGTTGCCATGGACAGATGGCAGACAATTACCGAGTTTGAGATCAATAAGGGTGCGTACTGGGGAGGCTATCTTCTCCCCAACGTGACGGGAAGCTAATGCATCGGCAGAGAACATCGCGATGCTGGAGCCCTACTGCAGTGAATTTCTGATCCATGCTGCCGATGCCGAGGGTCTGCAAGCAGGAATTGACGAGAAGCTTGTTGAGTATCTCGCGTCCATATGCACCATCCCGGTCACTTATGCAGGCGGCGGAAGAAATCTGGAAGATCTGGAACTCGTTCAAAAAATCAGTGGCGGAAAGGTTGATCTTACCATCGGGAGTGCCCTTGACATTTTTGGTGGGAAAGGCGTGACCTTTGGGGAGTGCTGTCGCTGGAACGAGTCGAGAACAGGCTGACACGAGTTATTTGCGATCTGAAGTCCAATGGGCGACTTCTGAGCCATACCTCACACCACAAGCAGAGTGAAGACATGATAGAACGAAGCTTGGATCAACGATCTCCGCCATGCTGCTAATCCATGATCGGCATAATGTGCGAAAAGTGAAGCGTGCAGACCTATACCCCTCGATTAAGCGTCCAAATCACCCACACTTGGCAGAAGCCTTTCAGCCTTAGCAATAGCCACAGGGGATCTGGCCACACATCTGTATACCGCTCGGAGCATTGATAGTGCAAGATCTAGCCACGCGCCGGAGGAACCCGAGCCCATGCAGAGTAAGCCTCAAGGCAACTGGCAAGCAAACGTGAACGGTCCAGTTCCAGGTCCCGGGCTCATGGTACGCACCTCGACTGAATGATTTGTGATGGAAATCCTAAAGCAGAATAGAATCTGCCCCGTACATTGGTCACTAGCCTCGGACAGGCGCCTCGTGAAGTGGATGCACCGGACTTTAAAAAGGACATATCTGTATGGTTCCCAACATGTCACAACGCCACCTAGTGCCTGCGCAGGCTAGGCTTTGTCGCTCTCCGGCTCGATGTACATCGGTTCCCGGAGCACACGTTTGGGTTTGGCATTGCGGTACCCCCTAGCGCACCGTCGCGCACGTGGTGAAGTGGCGATTCCCCACGAGTTACGAAGCTTGGTACACCGTAACGGCTTCGAGACTTGGCCGGCACCTCTAGCTTATGCGTAGTCACTCCCAAGTTCGGCTTCCTGCAGAGACGCGGTGACAGAAGGCGATGGCAGGATATTGAACGATCTTTCACTATGGCATGTAGGCTAAATTAGTCACATCACCCATTTCTGTGGTAGAGTTGTCACCATTAATCGCCTAAGCCATAAGATCGAAGTACAATGGCAACGTCGATGTTCTAGAACGAAGCGCATGGAAAGCTGAGAGCACCCATGACACCACGAGTCGTGAAGTGCTTCTTGAAGCAGACTCCACGAGCTACTTGCTCTGCAGAATGCGGAGAAACCTTGCCGGCACTAGATCGTTCTTGGGCCAGCGCATGTCGCCTGTGAGTCGTGACTTGTCAATTCGAATAGGACCGACTCACCGCGGAGAACATCTGGAGAGTGGAGAAGCCCAGAATGGTTCGACGCAGTCAGGGATGTACCCCAAGACTACCTAGGGTTGTCACACGTGCGAATCCTTGGGGAATTTCATCTCGGCTCCGGCGGCCGGCCATCCACTATGGGGTAGAGATATGAATCTCTATCGTTCTTCCATGCGTCATCATCGCCGTTTTCACGTCGTCTTCGAACCCTCACACCAGCCATCCAAGGCCAGGCGTCCATGCACGATGCGTAGATGATTGCAAAGAAATCGGAACCGAGGCGGACGTTGTTGGCGTTGGTAGTCTCTCACGCTAGCTCTCCACTTCTCCACCTTACCCGAGGTGGAGGTTGCATCGCTGCTTGGCAAGAAAGGATTTTTGAGGCAACACGGACGGGCAGTATCCAGATTGGGTAAAAGAGCCTGGTTCACACGAGACAATCTAGGATGGCTTTGACAGGAGGCCGTCCGGTCAGCTTTCGAGTCTGCCGTCGCAGCTGTGGGCACTTTCACAAGCAAACAGCTCAGGTCTAAAATAGAGCTAATCCACACACCTGTATGCAAGATTCAGGCACAGTCTGATGCACATGTGAAAATGCGCTGTCGCACACATTTTGAACAATTGTTTCGGCCATACCACAGTCTGGCGTGTTTCTCGTACGTGTCTCATAAGGTTTGGGCCTGAAATAAGTTGCGCGATGGTGTGGTACCATTCGCGACCATCTCCGAACTTTCGCCAGTTTAAGCTCCCAAGATTCTCTCTGCCATAGTGGTCTTGGAAGTATGGCCATCATGGCCGTCCACCAAACGAAGTCTGAGCCATGTACGACAGGCGGCACAGGCGAACAGGATGTGAATCTCCGGGGTGCAGATGCAGCTGATTCGCACACATCACACCACATTGGCGACTCGCTGTCAGGTGGCATAGACAGCGGCTGCTTTGATTCCAGAATGGGGGACAAAGACCGGCCGACARAGGCACCGAGTACGCAGCTAGATGCAACCAAGCTTCAGAAGGATTCCGACAGTGGCATGAAAACTGACGCCGACGGAAGCAGCGTGAAAGTCGGGGTGCATTCCGCAGCCCTCGCCGGGCAACGGGCAGAAAGCCACGCTTTCGCTGCGTCCGGTTCGGTTGCGCATCGTCATCCCTCAGCGGCGTAGTGAAGTTGAAAGTGAATTTGCAGTTCGCTGTGCCGCCGCCGTCGAACAGCTGGATCGAGAGCGAGGTCGCGTGGACGCGAGCTGAAAGCCGTCAATTGGCTCCGGAGACCAGTTCAGACGCCACCGCCCGCATCGCCCGCATCTTCGGAGTGGACTAGCCGGGGTCTAGAATCTGGGGATTAACCACATTCGGGCACGTGGTAAAAGGCAATTTCGTTGTTCACCCAGGGCTCCACTTAAAGTTCAGGTCAGCTGCAGATGCACGTCCCCCTCAAACTAAAACCTCGAGCTTCTTTATTAACCTACCTTGACGGCACCACTTTGTTTTCGTCTTCGTGTTTCCATCCACAACAAACCTCCTCTCCCCACCCCCAGCTGCATCGCACTTCCTCGCCTGCATCGCGCTTGGGCACTCATCATCGCATCGCTTTCTGCGCACAACCTAAGCATTGCAAACAAGATGGATCACCACGAGAGCAACGACATTGAGAAGGCCGCGCGCAACGGCTCGATCATCGCTACCGCCGATGTCAACCTGACTGAGGCGCCCGTYACCTGGAAGGCCTACCTTCTCTGCGCGTTCGCATCCTTCGGTGGTATCTTCTTCGGTGAGTTTGCTGCTCCTACTGACAACGCCCTATGAAGCTTGCTAACTCGCCACCTCCACAGGATATGACTCGGGTTACATCAACGGTGTGCTCAACTCTCGCCTCTTCATTGAGGAGGTCGAGGGTCCCGGTGTCTTCCTACCTGGTGGCACGAGGGCCATCAGCAGCAGCAACACTTCGCTCATCGTTTCTATCCTCTCCGCTGGTACCTTCATTGGTGCCGTCATGGCCGGTGATCTCTCCGACATGATCGGTCGCAAGTGGACCATCATCATGGGCTGCATGATCTACATTGTCGGTGTCATCCTGCAAATGGCTGCTGATGGCCGCGATCTCCTCGTCGCCGGACGTGCCATCGCCGGTATCGGTGTCGGTTTCGAGTCTGCCATTGTCATCCTCTACATGTCCGAGATCTGCCCAAAGAAGGTTCGYGGCGCGCTCGTGTCTGGATACCAATTCGCCATCACTCTTGGTCTCCTGATTGCCGCCTGCGTCAACTACGCTTCCCGCACCCGCAACGACACTGGCCAGTACCGCATTCCAATCGGCATCCAGTTCGCTTGGGGTCTGATCCTCGCCGGTGGTCTCTTCTTCCTCCCAGACTCCCCTCGCTACTTGATCAAGAAGCATGGTCTCGGTACCAGCGTCAACGACCCCGCTCGCAAGGCTTTGATGAGAGTCCGTGGTGTGAGTGCCAGCGAGGCTGACACCCACTCTCGTCTCTTGGTCGAACACGAGCTTGCCGAGATTGTCGCCAACGAGTTGTACGAGCGTGAGCTCATGCCTGCTGGAGGCTGGTTCCAGGGCTGGGCCAACTGCTTCCGCGGTTCCGTGTTTGACTCCAACTCGAACCTGCGCAAGACCATTCTCGGAACCTCTCTCCAGATGATGCAGCAGTGGACCGGTGTCAACTTCATCTTCTACTACTCGACACCTTTCCTCGCCTCGACTGGTGCCATCGACAACACCTTTTTGATCTCTTTGATCTTCACCCTGGTCAACGTCTGCTCCACTCCAATCTCCTTCTACACTGTTGAGAAGTTTGGTCGCCGCACGCTCCTCATCTGGGGTGCATTCGGCATGTTGATTTGCCAGTTCTTGGTTGCCATCATCGGTGTCACGGTCGGATTCAACAAGACCCACCCTATCGGTGTGGATGAGTTCGGCGCTCCCATTACCCGCGCCGACAACATTTCCGCGGTCAATGCTCAGATTGCATTCATTGCCATCTTCATCTTCTTCTTCGCCAGCACTTGGGGCCCCGGCGCTTGGGTTCTGATTGGTGAGGTGTTCCCACTTCCAATCCGCTCTCGTGGTGTTGCTCTTTCTACCGCATCCAACTGGTTGTGGAACACCATCATTGCTGTCATCACYCCGTAAGTTTTCCTAGCAAACTCGCGCGCATGATCATCTTGCTAACATCGATCGTAGGTACATGGTCGGAAAGGACAAGGGTAACCTCCAATCTTCAGTCTTCTTCGTTTGGGGAGGACTCTGCACATGCGCTTTCGTCTACGCCTACTTCTTGGTCCCAGAGACCAAGGGACTGTCGCTCGAGCAGGTCGACCAGATGATGAAGGAGACCACCCCTCGTACCTCCGCCAAGTGGCGCCCAGCCCAGACTTTCGCCCAGTACACCGCCGAGAAGAGCGGTGTCGAGAACGTTGAGCGCGGAAACTCCTTCTCGCTGCCCGTCGGCGACTCCAAGGCCCTGGCCACCTCTCACTAGATCGTTTGGCACTTGCAATTGCATTAATGGACAGGCGTAAATGATACCAAAGAAGCATGCATACTGGAGCGGTTTGATAATTGGGCGAAGGATTGTTGTCTGAGGCGAAGTCTTCATCTCGTCGGGCTTTTCCAGCAAGTCCTGCGCATAAATGGCAGCAGTCCTCTCCTGTAGATGAGTTACGAATAAAAGTCACCATCATGAATTCATTGAGCATTGTGTCATCATCTTTACCTTCGGGGTGTGTCGTGTTCCCGGCCACGAGTAAGGTATGCTCCCTGAATCCCGTCTCCTTGTTGGCGGCACGACGTGGCTTGGCGGCCGCGGCCGCAAGCTGATATTGTAATGCAAAACGTTGCCCTTGGGACACCTCCTACCGGCAGACATACTACACGAAGGAACCTGGCATCCAATTCGCGTGGAAAGGATTTCTCAAGCGCGATCCAATTGCCCATGACCTCGCTCCCTTCTGTATCCTCAGGCTCACAAGCTGCAGCCTGCATGCTGCATGCAAGCTGCCGAGATTGAAGGCACACAGACTGTAGCTAATGATAACTAAGAACGCGGACAGAGCGAGCAATGCGTTTCCTGGGTGACCGTTCTGGCCAGGCATGCCGTGGTCGCTTCGCGACATGTTGTGATTTAGCGGGTCACAGTACCTACAGTACAGATCTGACGCATACTGACATTCCTATCTCTAGACACCCCTTCGTTGCGCTTCAAATACCCCTGCCGTAATGTGGTGTTCCCTGGATTTTGAGGTGTTGAGAGATACCACCTGGCAGGAGAGATTTGATGCTACACCCTGCCCAGAGCGTTTCAATCTATGGACGATCATGCACGCTGGCGCTACCTCTCTACTATCTATTGGCTGAGATCAACCCACCTCGGCGGATCTTTGAGTCGGATCGGGGTATCTGGGGCAGGGTCTCACGACCATACGACCAACTCCTGCCAATCGTCTTCGTCTCGCACGAAGATTCTTCGACACCAACAACGTTACGGCAGGGGGTCCGAAGGGCGTTGTAAACAGCGGAGAACATACATTCTCACCACCAAAAGGACATCCATATTTTTGCTAGAATAAACACGCTTGTAACGCCGAACGCCGGCCAGCACATCAGAGTGGATCTTCATCCAGGGCAATCCTTCGCGGCATCCCATATCAAGAATGTGCCTTGAGCCGGAGATTCTATGCAAGAGCGAAGTTTTCACAGGCGATGCAGCAAAAGTAATGAGACCTTAACGCCGAATCTGGCGCTGCGTTGCTATTCAGGAGATCAAGGGTGGTTGGATGATATGGATTCATAGACATCTGAGGCCCAAGGTATGTTGTAACGGGCCTATAGTTTAATTGTGCTGTTTCCCGAAAGAACCATGAGGCAGCGAACGCAATGGGCATACCGATGACTACACAGGACTCGACAGAGCCGCGTCATTCAACGCCAAATTTCCGAGGAACGTGCGATGAATGTAAGAGCMGCAAGATCCGATTTGGAAAGCAAAACCCGTAATGCGAGTTTTGCAATGGACGAGGCCTGGCATGCCAATGTGCTCAGCTAGCAGGGCAAGAGGAAAGAAGAAGCAAGAGGGAAGCTTCTTCATTGGCCCTAAAAGCGTGCCTGCAACGACGTCTACCGGTGAATCTACACTGCGACGTGAGGGCATGTAGCTTGCCGGGGATACAGAAAGATTCGCTGATGTCTCCACGACATACAAAGCCAAATCCGATCTTGATTCTGCAGCAATTATCAACATACATGCTCTTCTTTTGCACTTCATGGAGCTACCTCGTTGACTGGATCCAGTTCTGCCGGTGTACGAACCCAAGGGACTCCATCGATTGGCAGCACCCGGTTACATCTCGCGTCCCTGACAACACCGTTAACGAATGAGGGCTGCCGGCTGGATCAGAGCTATATGTGCTCGAAAGCGGAATCTTCGATAGGCTTCAAGACCCAATGACCCTTTGCATTTTGCCACTGTCCCCGTGGCTACGCGACCAAAGCGCGGCTGATGTATCTTGGCCATCGGAGCAGACCAGGGCGTTGAGGAAGTCATGTTCCCCTATTTCGAGGCTAGCTGAGTAGACGAGCAGGTATAAGCCACCAAGGCCCTCTTCGCTCGATCGCGTTTAGCAAGTATGCCATCGCATATCCAGTCGCCCTGGCTGACAATATCGAAGTCGACCTAAATCACAATGAATCCGCTTCGAAGGCGACGTCGTCGGCTTTGTAGACGATGGCGCCCCTTTTAAGATCGTCACACAACAGAAGAAGCGTGCGACCGTTACGGCGTACGGCAACTACTCCTACAGAGGAGCAACAACCACAGCCGAAGTCCTGAACCAAAGTGATCGCTGCTTATTTGTCAGTAACAAGTGATTCATCATTAACACCGCAAGGTCGACACATCAATGACATTTGATCAGTGAGGAAAGAGATATGCTGATTAGCCCAATAGTGGATGCACCGTCAAGACCTGGAGAGGAAATGACTGCCGTGCAACGCGGACAACTATCTCACAGAAGGGACATTAGTCCCTTTTGTTTGGTTCGTCCTCGATCAGGTATTAGATGCGGTTCCAGGAAGCCAGGTGAAAAGGACAGCCTTAAAAACCGTCCACGTGGTCGCTGCCAAATGGAGTTTCCCGTGCTCTGCGACGAAAGCTGCGGATGGAAGAAATACTTCGCAGGCCTTTTTCCGACATAGTATGTAAGGCGCTTGAAGATGTCGAAATTTGGTTTCGAGCAGTGAAACTCGAGAGAGTCGCCGCTCCTTTGACGGACTACAGGCTGCGCTGGAACCAACTTATTCTTTCGAACTCTTATTCTGTTACTTTTCCTGTAATTAATGCTAAGTGAAAGCTGTCTATGGCGAGATCTGGTCGTCCGAGCAAGCCTGGGCTACCAGTTCATTGCTGAGAGCTGACAGGGCGATTTGAGAAATTTTCAAAGTTCAGGGGCTAGAAATCGTTGACTTGAAGATTACCATTACTGAGACTTGTCGAGCAGTCGGACTCCTACTATACGCGCTGTCTCGTGTCATGATTTTGGGACATGGCTATCGTAGTGATCGGGGTACAATAGTATGATGGCCCTGCGTGCCTCTGGCCCGGAGTTGGCAGCGAGGGAGACGAATACGTGAAGTCGATTGAAAGGGGTGAGATTTTCGCCGGGTAGCCGGCACGAGCCCAAATGCGATTGAGTCAACCAAGGACAAGACGTTGCCGAAGTTCTCCAACCTTGGAGGTCTCTCCCTCAAGCCGATGCTTCCGGACCAATAATTATTCGTGTTATATGTCAGACATCATTTGCCATGATCCTTGTCGCACAGCATGCAAGGCCGCTGCAGATATGGAGTGCTTGAACGAGGATATACGAAAGCCAAATTTTGATAACCCTCAATAACAACCCACATCCCCTTGGGTTTCCTTTCCTGCTCTCCGCAGATTCTGCACATCTGCACAACATGTTCGCTTTTCTCCAATCCCATCCTGTTTTGGCGCTGGGATGCGCAGTCCTACTCGCGTCTGTGGGCCAGCTTCTTCGCAAAGCTCATGCCCTCCGTTCGCAGTCCCGAAAGCTGGTGAGCGCCTCATTCACCTATCTCACAAGAGATAGATTGCGTAGGAGAGGAATTGAATCAATTCACTGAGTCTCCGTAGCCTGGACCTCCCCACTCATGGCTTTTTGGCCATGCGAAATCTATGAACGAAGTTGCATCCGCTCTTCCTCGTGCCGTACATCCTCACCGTCGGTACACCTCTTCATTCTCTCCCAAAAGACACATAGCTGACGGGCCACTATATCTAGTATATGCAAACTCTCTAAGGCAGAAATTCAAGCTAGGCTCGTTCTTCTACATGGACATTTGGCCGTTTGTAAGTACACCACTGCTGCGTCGCATACACCCACGACCAGTGAAATAGGGTTGTTGCCCTACCTGTAGCATGGAAGAGTGTTACGATTTCTTCAAGAAAGRCAGCACGATCAAGAAGGCCTCATTCGATTGGACGTTTGGCTCCCTGCAAAGCTGCTCCCCTTTGTTCTCAGGGCCACTTGCCCGCGAGCGTTATCGTCGGTTCAACAGGAGAGCTGTTACATTTTCACCGGCCCTTGCACACATCATGCTAACCTCTGCCTCTGTAGAGTGACAGTCTCCWCGTGATTTGCGATCCTGAAATCTGCCAGCAGGTCGCGCTAGATACAAACGTGACGAAACATCGCAGTTCGAGCGACTTCCTCAAAGATCTAGTCGGCCCAAATGATATGGTATCCACAAGCGGCGCGGAGTGGAAGAAGTGGCGGACGATGTTCAACCCGGGTTTCGCAACTCAACATCTCATGACTCTCGTACCAGGCATCGTGTCCGACGCGGAGATATTCGTCAAAAAGCTCGATGAGCATGTCGAAGCTCAGGACGTCTTCAAGTTGGAAGAAGCAACAACACGTCTGACAGTCGACATCATTGGAAAGGTTGCCATGAATCTTGACTTCAACATGCAGAATGACGAGAATGAATGCATCGCAGCTTTCCGCGAACAAGTTCAGCTTATCCCAAATGGTCTTACTTTGCTGGAATGGTACAATCCGTGGGGCTGGTTTCTCCGCTGGAGAAACCAAAGAATTATGGTGGCCTACATTGGCAAGGTACTGGATGCAAGATTCGCAAGGCGACTAGCTGATTCCGAGGGCAAAGACAAGACACCGTCACGGAAAAGTCGAACTGTACTAGACCTAGCGCTCGATAGCTATCTCTCTGGCGAGACTGACTCCGAAGAAAAGGTCGAGCATATCCGAGACGGTCCCGCTCCAGCCATGGATAGTGCTTTCAAGGCAGGTGTAATCACCCAGATTCGGACTTTTATCTTCGCGGGCCATGATACCACGAGCTCAACACTATGTTACGCTTTCTACCTCCTCTCGAAGCATCCATCTGCCCTCCAGCGGATCCGGGCCGAACATGATGAAATTCTCGGGAAGGATGCAGATACTGCAGCGGCGGCGATCAAGGCGAATCCCCATCTCCTGAACAAGTTGGACTATACTCTAGCAGTAATCAAAGAGACTCTTCGGCTCTTTCCTCCAGCATCCGCTCCTCGTGCAGGAGCCAAAGATCTTTTCATCCGCGATCCCAAGACTGGTGAGATGTATCCGACAGAAGGATACCTAGTATGGCTGGTCCATCATGGAGTTCACTACAACGAGGATGTATGGGGACCTACGGCAGGCTTGTTTGATCCGGACAGATTCATGCCTAGTAGAGCTGGTCATGTTCCAGAGGGTGCTTTCAGGCCGTTTGAAACGGGGCCGAGGAATTGCTTGGGGCAGAATTTGGCGATCTTAGAGTCGAGAGTCGTGCTGGCGTTGACTTGTAGGAAGTTCGACTTTGAATTGAAGCTCGGAGAGGAGAGCGAGAAGAGGGCAAAGATGTGGACGCAGGGAAAGCAGGACGTCGATGGTGAAGAGATGTATCAGGTTCTTATTGGAGCGGCGAAGCCGCGGGAGGGAATGCCGGTGAGGGTGCGAAAGGCGAATGTATAACGTACACCGTCTCTTTGCATCGTAAGCTGTTCATGCATACAGTCCTCTCCAGCATCCTAGCGCTCGTGCGTTAGCGACGGATCAGATCTTTGACTGCTGCAGTAGAAGAGAAGCCTTGCCACGTCGATTGTGACGTGTCGCTCTTGAAGTTCTGTACATATTTGTCTATGCKCTCGCATCATGCTTCAGCCGTGCTCATTCGTTTCGATCATTTAGGGTATCATCAAATCATGCTCGCTGTCCTCCACACACCAGAGTAACTCCTCGCAAGTCGAGACCATCTACTCTGCCTCGCCGACCACAATCTCGACCGGTCCACCACCCCCAAAGCCCGCTCCTCCAGCCTCTGCGATCCCCTTCTTGGTCTTCGCCTTTCGCTTTGCCTTCCTCTCCTCCTTCTGCCTCTCCTTCTCACGCTCTTTCTCTTCTCTGGCAAGCTCCTTCTCCCTCCTTTTCGCCTCCTTCTCATCCACGACCTCCTTGCCCACATTCTCGCTGTCAATCACACTTTGCGCGTGTTGCACGCCTTCGTACTTTGTAAACTTCTCCATTGCGAATCCAGTTTCGCGCGAATAGTGCTCCAAAGACATTGGCGTCTCCACAATTCCGGTCAGAGCACGATTGATCCTGTTAGGATCCAACTTCTCCTCGCGGTTGAACTTGTTCTTGATCATACGCCGGGTCTTTGGTGCGAACATCTTCGATATGATGAAGAAGTCTGTTCCAAACATGCGCAATGCGTCGTAGAACTTGTCGGTCTCATCTTCGCTCCAAGGGTCACTTTTCGACTTCCACGCTGGCAGGCGATCAGCAGGATCGCGGCGGTTAGCATTGAGATGTGTGACGCGGTTGAAAGTCTGGGTGAGATCGGTAAAATCCTCAACAGGAGCATCGCTGTTTGCCGCTGCCTGGGCAGCAGCGTCGCGGGTGAAGGTGAGTGTATTTTCATCCGTGACAATGTTACCATCCGCATCGAGAACGAAGCCAAGACCGAGATCGTCGTTCGCCGGTGCTGCAGTTGGTGCCCGAGACTGCGAGCGGCGGGCTCCGGAGCCATCAAGCTCAGCGGTGTCTGCAGGACCTTCTACCGATGCTACAACATCATCTGATGGGTCTGCTTGCGGTTGGAGTTCGTTTCGAAAGCTGGCGACGAGAGCATTTGCTGCGTCGCGACGGTCCTGGGCGACCTTGTCCCAGTCGATGTCTTCCATCTTCTTGCCACGTTCAGATTTTTTGCCGTGGTGTTCATCACGAGAAAGCTCCCACATAGAGATGGAGTTGGGATCAATTTCATGGAGCTCGGGGTCGGAAGTCTCACCCTCATCGTCATGATTCACGGTTTCATCTGGCAGCTGGCCTTCGCCCTCATTCTCCGTTGCGGCCTCGTCGCCTCCTGTGCGGGCAGCGGCCTTGGCAGCTTTCTTCTTGGTCGCCCTCTTCGCGCGCGGTTTTCGCGGCTTCTTGGGCGGTGGCATTGCTGCTGCAACATCTCCTTGGTCTTCCTCTTCCTGCTCATCCTGCCCCTCAGTTTCGTCGTCGGAGTTCTGAATTGTGGCCACGCTCATTCTGCGCTTTCGTCCAGCGATCGCTTTTTTCGCCACGGGCTTCCGCTTCGCTTTGGGCTTCGGCTGAGCTGCATCAGTCTCCGCGCCATCGACTTCGCTTGACCGAAATCCTTCGTCCTCCTCCGCACCATTGACAACAGCTTGAACCTTTGCATTACTCCTCGTCGAGCTCGTCTTGGCCTTCTTCGCGGGTCGTACAGGACCCGTAGACGATTTATCCGCACGTGCGCGTTTGGCGCTGGGCTTGGAGACAGCAACAGGCCTGGCTGGAGGTGGGAGTGTGGTCGGGTCAACGGTAGCTGGCGTGGCAGAAGATGCAGACGGAGGCACGTAGTTAGAATTGGACCTTGCGCCGGCATCCTCAGTGCTGACTACCACTGCAGTATCCGAATGCAGTACAGCAGATGTCGCGTGGAGACCGTTCTGTCGTTCTGCCTCCTCCTGTTCGGCGACTTGCCGTTCTTCCACGGCAAGTTGCTCGTTCCGTGCTGCTTCCCGCACTTCGGCCTGTCTTTTCTCCTCCTCTCTCAAGCCTGCTTGACGTGAATTTTCCTCTGCTTGACGCCCTATTGCCTCCTGCCTCTGCCTCTGCCTTTCCTCCTCCTCTCTTTGTTCCTCTAGTACTTTTTGCTTTGTGGTCTCTGCTTGTGTCGCTTCCGGGATGGGTAGCACAGCACTGGAAACAGGCTCAGAATCACGTTCACGACCTACAGCCTCGGCCTCTGCTGTCTCAGCAGGTAAATGAGACGCAACATGCTCTGCGACAGTCTCGGGAGGTGGTGCTGTGGCATGATTTGCAGTTTCAACATCACTCTCACGCGGCCTCGCTGCTTCCTCCTGCTGCACAAATTGCTCAACCACAGGCGTTTGGGGTTGGGTCTGTGTGTGTTCTGGTGACGGTGGAGCAACACTCGTCGATGGCCCAGCAGCGGATGGCGACGGTCCAGGCGGGGCTACGGCGGCAGCGCGTCGTCGCGGTGCAGCCTTGGGCGCAGTGGCCTTTTTGCCCGGCGCAGCGGAACTAATCAGTCCTGGCGGCATTGTGGCATTTCTCACAGCAACGTGATGTTGGTGTCATGTCTCGGAATGAGAAGCGGGACGACAAACGTTCGCGTTCATGCGTCCGTTGGTAATTTCTTAGTAACTAGCTTTGTTTCTCTTCTTAGATCATCAACCTTCCTCTCCTTTGCAGCTGACTCGACAAAACGCTTCACCACGCACACGACCAGCAGCAGCAGACAGCCACGCGCTTCAATAACTGGACACGCCTCATCACATCTGGCTTGCCCATGGATCGCTCTCGCTGAACTCTCTTGACGGGCGCAGACGGCGCCACAGGCCTACGCAGTGTCTTCAATGCCAGCCACAAAGGCCCATCACTATCCGGCGCTCTCACCTCTTACCAAGGACGAGATGGACGACCGTAAAAGGTCGCTCATCGCCGATGTCGAAGACCTCGCTCCGAGTCGCAAGCGGCTCAAAGACGAGAATGGCGCGGTGATGCGCATGGACGAGCAGAAGGAGCGCGACGTGGAGGTGCGCGGCCACTTGTCTATTAGCCAAATGGCTCGGTTCTACGTACTGACTTCTTATGTGTAGGACTACCAAAAGGACGCCATACTGCGTCAAATGAAGGAGTACAAGCGGCAGAAAAAGGACGCCGACGAGCAACTCAACGAGCTGCAGAAAAAGGCCGCGCACCACCACGACCATATTCGCATATGCGATGCCTGGCTCGCCCAACTTGTCGACGAGATCCGCGTCCTCGCCTCGGAAATGCTGCCCACCCCGCCGCCCAGCGCGACTTCCTCCGCCGGTATGTCAGCCCTCCGCCCTGCCTCCGCATACATCACGTRAGAAAAATTGTACTGAGAGTGTCATTAGGGGAAGAGATGTACAAGTCCGCACTGCAATTTGAGGACAGCGCCGCCTTTTCGGAGCACCTGAAAGCTCGTTCAGGAAGCATAAAGGGTGCCATCGCAGAGCTATTCGGCCGCCTACCCTCGGCCAGTCCTGATGTGGAGGACCTTCGCAAGCGATTGAATGACCTTCTCGCCAAGGAAAAGGAGCATGCCGTAGAGCTGCGGAGGAMCATCGACGAAAAGGACTCTATGTATGACCGTCTGGAACAAGCAATGGGACGATACATGATCGCCGAGAGGAAGCTCGATCGTGCCAAAAGTGCTCAGGTGCAGAAATTGGAGAGACAGGCTATTATGGGCGGCAATGGCGATGTTGTATCACCGACTACCTCAAAGGCTGCTTCTCTACCAAAGCGGGAGCACTCAGAACCCAATGGAGAAATGGAGAATGGTGTCGCTAGTGCTGAAGCCGAGCTTGCGCGCAAGGAAGCCGTTGCTGCAGCTGATAAGCAGAAGGCCCAACTGGAAGAGATTGAGCTTGAAAATGAACGTTTGACCAACGAGTTGAGCGCTGCCAGGACAAAACTCGCAAGCCTTTCGGACGATAGCTACGCTGAGACTGCCCTGTTCAAGAGCTTGAAGTCAACGCACGAAGATGCCATTCGTCGTTTAAATGATCTTGAAGCCACCAACGTTCAGCTCCGGGAGGAAGCCCAAAGACTGCACGCAGAGCGAACAAACTACAGAGTGCTGATCGATGAGGAAAACCGGACTCACACCAGCGAGACTGAAGCAAATGCAGCGCGCGCTGAGACAGATCTTGCACGCATCCGTCATGTGCGAGATCAGCTTGGTTCGGAGATTTCAATTCTGAAAGCAGCGGAGGAGAATACGCGGAACGCCGTGGCCGCCACGCAGGAACTCGCAGAAGCGCGCCAGTCGAGAATCTCCGCGTTGGAGTCACATGTGCAGAGATTACAACTCCAACGCGGCGAGTTACAAGCAGTAGAGGCAGGAGGCGACACAGCGGTTGACGAAACAGACCTGGAAGCACTCAAGGCGAAATTCCGTACCCTGGAAAGCCAATACGCACTTCTCAGCAATGAGCTACCGTCAATGGAAGCTGCATGGAAGAAAACGCAAGCGCTGGCGAGCAAGAAGATTGAGGAGATTGCAGAGTGGGAGGACCGCCTTTCTCGACTAACCGCCGAAAAGTCCAAGGCTGACCAGAAGTACTTCGCGGCTATGAAGGCAAAGGATATGCGAGAGGCGGAACTCCGGGCGTTGAAGTCGCAGAATGCACGTTCCTCGGAGATCGTCACGCAATTGAAAGACGGCGAAGCAAAGACCAAGGAGCTCTGCGTGAATTATGAGCGGCAAATTGCGGCTTCCAACGAGGGTTTATCAAGATTGGAGAAGGAGCACAAAGCGAGCGAGAGCAAGCTGAAGGCCACCGGTCTTGAAGCCGAGGGTCTCAAGAAGAACATCGAAGAGTTGAAGGCGCTTGTGGGTGCAAAGGACAAGGACTCGCTCGCTGCAGCCAAGGCAAAGCGCGAGGCCGAGGAGGAGCTCGAGAAGGTGAAGGTCCGGCTGGAGGATTCCAGGAAAACCCTCGAGGAGCTGAAGAAGACTCGCGCGGCTGTGGGCGCGAGCGACTCCGACGATTGGAGGGTAAGCTCAAGATCCATCCTCATGATGACCGCTTTGATGCTAATTTTGTCGCAGAAAGTCGCCATCTGTCCAGTCTGCCAGACCAATATCCGAGATACCACCATGAAGCTATGCGGGCACGTCTTCTGCAAGGACTGCGTGGACAAGCTCATTGAAGGCCGAAGGAGAAAGTGTCCGAGCTGCGGGAAAGCGTTTGGAATCACAGACCACATGCACATTGTGTTGACCTGAGGATGAGGGCGACATTCGTGTATGAGGATGATGAATCGGAGTGCAGGTCCAGTGAGTGTCCCGGGTAGAATCCCGCGAGTGACCACCTTACATCGCCAAAAAAAAAAGGCGCAGACCGTCCGATCACAATCTGCAGAGGCAATCCCCAATGCACAGAGCCAAAAGGCCGTGTCAGAGGAGCCTATTTGTCTTCTTCTTGGCTTGCCTCAAAATCGAGGGAGTCGAGTGTATTTGTAGGAGGAGATGGTCCGAGCTATTAGCGAAAAGCAGAGCAAGGCTTCGAGATGGGAGGAATGAAATGAAAACACTGAACACCACGCTCGTGACCCCGGCTTCTGAGTTTGTTTGCGCTGCTTCATGGATGTCAAGCCCATTCATGAGGAGGATGTGGCTACACAAGCGCGGCTTGATACAGCTGCATTCCTCTCCGGCGCCACACGTCTGGCCGAGAGGATCGTTCGGCCGCTTGACCAAGAACGTCCTGCAAGAGCCCGGTAATGGAAGACGCATCCCGTTGCAAAGTGTTGCAGCCGCGTCAATGCATTGTCCGACACAAGAATTGCAGTTGTCGTAAGGGCAACATCCAAGCTTGCATACACTACAAGCAACTGATTATTCCCATAACTCAAGTCATCTCAAGCGGTATAAATCGACTTGGTAGACATCCGGCAGACTGTAAACATTGTGTTCAACTCGTGGCAGGCTCATGCTGTCGAACGGGACGCTACCCCAACCCTGACCCTAAAGCCCCCTTGGGCCATCACTCGAGACCTTTTTCTCTTCATATTTGTTGGAAACTTTGGGGCTATGTTATGTCTCCTTGAGGTCGTGATGCTCCTTGCTTGTGCGAAATTCCGGTGAGACCTGTCTTTCTGTGGTGTTTTCAGGATTGATGCCCTGGGGATGTCGGTGCCAGTTTGTTCTACTGACCACGACACCATCTCTGTTCACTCACTGCCACACGGACTACCGGCTATTCCAGACATCCAGTCCCCTTCTATTCATCATTCTTGACCCTTCGTTACTCATTGCATCCCAAGTCACTGGCTATAAGACCTCGCAACATTCAATCAAACTCCGTCAGGAAAGCACAGGGGCACGGGACGAGAAGTCTGCAACCAGCGAAACACTGGCCCAACAAATGGCACGAGCAGGCAGAATATGGTACAACTATAATACCAAGGTCGGCACATGTTCACCCACCGACGCTCGCCCAAATCCTCAACGAATTTATACGAACACGAACCATGTACGCCACCGAAGGCGGTCTCACGTTGAAATGTAAGCAACGTGGAAAGAAGACCTGTGACAGTTGTACCAAGGCATGGGACACCTGCGGAGGATGCGAAGATGGTGGGAGGAGAGAAGATCATTGTATGCGAGGGTGTCATGGTCGGTCTGTACACTGAGTCTGGAGATAATAGGAAGGCCATACTTGCAGCGTCGGGATGCCTCAGTCTACGGCACCAGTACAGACGCAATTTACATGGGAGACTTATGTGAAGAAAGAAGGGTTGTTCATGTTGGAAGGAAGCAGGGCACAAGAGCAGTGTATCATTACTGTATATGCTTTTGTGTAGTAACGTCGTGAGTGCATAAGCATATCGTAGAACATAATCATTATCGTAACATTACAAAAGAGAATGTCTCTTGAAACCTCGGCCAGACGTCGTTCGGCTCCTATTCTCGGTTGCCCTTCTCCGTCGCCAACGCTCGAGGTGATACTGTGATGGGACAGCGACGACGGAGTGACAACCTTCCACGCGGCCGAGCACGTTCTCCTCATCGGTTGTCGAAGGTCCACTTGAAGCTGATATGCATGAGCAGTCCGGAAGTCATGCTTGCATTAGGGAGAGATCGTCCGCTGACTGTCTGACGTGGCAAAAGGTGGCTTGCCCAGCCCCTGGTGGAGCCTATCGGCACATGCTTTGTCTCTGGAAGTGAACTCCAGTGTCTCTGTACAGTCTTCTAGGTAGTGGTCGTTTGACCAGTCAGATAGAAAGGTTGCCGCCCAAAGGATGTTGTTGATGTCGTTGATGTTGTTGTTGGTGGTGRTGGTGGTGTGAGGGCCAGTCATCGCCGGCACTTGGCGATACTTGTCGTGCTAGATTGATGGAAGGTGATCGCGAAGACAACATAGACTGGATGAGAAGCTCGTCATTGCCATCATGTCTTCTTCGACTCAAGCTGCGCTCGCAACTGATCAAAGTCTGGGAAGCTGGTGTAGCCGGCCCGCTTGAGCATGCAATCTTCCCAGCTGGTCCGACGCCCTGGGTGAGAATGCTCTGATGGCGACGGCAGCGGGCTCACTTGCGGACTCTTCCAGCCCGGTGAGGCTGACCGGGAGACAACATCAGCCAAGGTAGAGGATGCGTTGCCAGAGAGCGACCTGCTGCCATCCTGTTGCGTGCTGTAAGAGTGCGAGCGGTTCAAGGTCGCAGTCACGGTAGATTTCGATTGCTTGAATTTGCCAGACATGATGGGATGGTATGTCAATTTGAGCTGGGTTCCTGATGCGAGGCTGTAGGAGACGGTGTTGGCTTTGGAAGTTGGGATGCTGGGAAGGTCCGTGGTAGCKTCGTAGATGCAAGCGTCGATTGATGAGAAAGAGGTTTGACGGGAGAGAGCCAGTACATGACCTCCCACTTTCACTTGCCTAGCTCGGGTATCGATACGTTGTACGTACTAATCGTAGAATGTTGCCCGCGCAGGCCTGGCACCCAATCGTTCGATGCGGGTCTACGAATCGGGGTCTTTGCCAGCACTGCTACATGTCTGGCTCATTTGGCCGAGAACGAGCTGTCAGCGTTTTACTGGGCTATGCAAGCTGCCGGCGAGCCGCTCGATTTGCCGCTGACTTGTTGGGAGTGTCGCGTGAGATACGTGTGACGGTTCGGTCGGTCACTTCCGCAAGTTTTGTTTGTCTCGCGAACATGGTTGCCACGAAGCAGGTGGAGAAGTCAATCCCTGCTCGCCCCACTGTCAAACTGCAGCCGACGAGCTACCTCCAAGGATTGCAGTTTTCGGCTAGATCATTCGAGACACCGCAAGTTCTCGCAAACAACAGTTCAGCTGATGGGACTCCAAGGCCTGAAATTCCGATGCGCTGGTAGATGCCGCTAGAGGGCCGAGGCGTGGATCGGGGGGCTGCCACGCTTTCAAGACTGGGCCTTCATGCGTTGGTAAGTTGACGCGGCTCATCGGACCTGGGGCTTGAGTTGCTAGCTGAGCGGCCTGCGGAGCTACACTGCCGGTCTGACTGGTCAGGAACTCACAGGAACCGTTTTGAGCAGGGTTACTGCAAAGCGGGATCTCGCTGAAAGCATGGGTGTTGGACCTAGCAACGTTGGGCACAGGCTAAGTGAGTAGCAAATGTTCCCATAGGCAAACGACACTGCAAGCAATAACGAATCGCGCACACCGACATGTTTGGACGATTCGGTGTGAAAGAGAGAGGGAGAGAGAGAGAGAGGCAGACTTTGCCCACAGACCCAGACGCAGCAGACGCAGAAGCGGGCAGACTCTCCGCGGAGCACTCGCTAGTACATCAGCCAAGGCAGAATTCTCCGCGGCAATCAGCATCATCATGAGGCGGACAAGCATCTGTCGAGCAACATGAGATGAGAGGCATGAGAGTTGGAACATTTCTGCAACCTGAGCAGAGATGCTGTATAACACAATTTCCCGGGCTTTTGGATTTGACCCCAAGATCAAACATCGAGTGTCGCACGCGATCACAGCATGTGTCAAAGGAGGTCAGCAAAACGGGTTGAACAGCTCGCACCAGCTTTCCATTGGCCCAAGACGTTATCTTGGGTAGGCTATTCTGGGCCACGTTTTTCAACGAAGGTTGCTAATTGATGTGTGCCGCATGTGTTTCCCATTACTTCCGCTATGCTTCGTGCTGGGCGACGACAGCTGGGTCGAGACGTACTCGCTACGTGGCAGTTCGGACGACTCCAGAATCCCGATATGTGGTTACATAACAAGGTTAATGCTGTGTCGGGATAATCCGCTTACTGTGCCCGTGGCCCGTGGGTAGCATTGATCAATGGTCGACATCCTCCCAAGCACGCCCTTTGACGTTGTTGAGCTCTTCAATGGTCATAATCTTGCCCGTGGTGACTGAACTCATGGTTAGACAGACATAGTGCAGTGTACTGAAAGTAGAATACTCACAGTATCCAGCATGGATTTTGGCGTCAATTTCGACTCTGCTGTCTTCCGGAATCATGTCGTCCGGAATTGGGACTCGCTCGTAAATCGGAATGCCCTGTCGAAAGATCAGCTTCTGCATTTGATGACAGTACCTCATGCATGGTGAGTCTACGTAACGTACCTGCTCAACGATGGCGTCGTGCTTCATGTTGGACATTGACATCATTCGGTCAATCTTTGTGATTCCCAACCAGTGTAGAATATCAGGCATAAGAGCTTGGAATCTCATGTCCTTAACACCAGCGATGTTTTCCGTGCGCTTGAAGTATTCCGAGGCGCGGTCAAGCCCACGCTTACGAGCATTGTACACCAAGTACTTGGTGACCTCGCCCAATGCGCGACCCTCCTTACGAAAGTAGATGACAACGCCGCTGCCGCCTTTCTGCGCCTCTTTTACCGCCTCTTCAATGCCGAAGATAAGATACGGTCTGCAGGTGCAAATGTCAGACCCGAATACATCTGAGCCATTGCACTCGTCGTGAACTCGGAGTGCGAGCTTGACATCCGGATTGCTCATCTTTTCAGGGTCGCCAAAGCAGTACACTGTCAGTCCGCCTATTGGTGGCATGAACAATTTGATGTCGTTTCTTGTGATCAATTCTGGGTAGCTGCCACCCGTGTGCTCGAACAGCGATCGCCTGAGGGTGCCCTCGTCGATTCCGAAGCGTTCAGCGACACCCGGTAGGTACCACACGGGCTCCACCGCGAATTTTGTCACCGCGAGCTCGCCTGTCTCGTTGAGACAGATCTTACCGTCCGGTACTAGTCTCCCTTTGCGAACGCTCTCCTCTAGCTCTGGGATCTTCATGTGGGCCTGACGACTGTTAGTGATTTGCACAACAAGTGAACGATCACTAGTACGTAAGATCACCTTCTCTACGCACGACTTACCTTCGTGATGGCGATTGTTGGTCTGATTTCCACGTTTTCGTCCTTGATGTAGTCCTTGAACATCCATGGAGCAAGGTGGCCCAAGGGATCCATGGCAACAATCTTCTTGGGGTCGTGCCACGACGGGAAAGGACCGAGAGTAACCGCAGGCTCAGTGTTAGTGAAGTCCGGCTTGTGATCTGTGTCAATCTGCTTCGCAGCTACCGCAAGCGCATAGTAAATGCTGTATGATCCGCCATGCGCGCCGACAGCATTTCTTCTCCGAATGGTGCTAGGATTACGAGATACCACAACTGGACCACGTTTGCGAGGGTCTTTGGCACCCCACTCCATCGGTAGAGGATCTACACCCGCTTGTCCAGGGTACGAAGTAAGGATGATCTTGGATGTTGTAGCACTTGGTCGTCTTGCAGGTGGGGTTGCGGACTCTGTGTTTTCGCTGGATTCATTTGCAGTCTCATCGATGGAGGGAATGCCGTCCCGCTGATGGTGAGCATTTGGGGGCAATTTGGGGCTGGGCAAAGATGCATCGTGAGCCGTGCCGTCCTGAGCCAACTTGACACCAGCTAGAGCATTGACGCGACCGTTTATGGCTTCCACGGTGGTCCCGAGTACAGCATCATTCTGTCTGAGGCTTGCTTGGCCTTGTTCGAGTTGGTTGAGCTTGGCTAAGATGGTGTCCAGCTTCTGAGATAGATCTGACGATGAGGCCATGGTTGATCTGCAGAATCAGAGCGACGGAAGTACGAAATACGCTCCTGTTTTGAGGTTGCTTGTTCTAGTAATGAAACCGTGTGAAACAAGACTCGGTAAGGGAAGCAAAGCTTCACAATGTGGTAGCACAGCGACGAAAGGTGTWGGAGATGCAAAATGATTTGCTGCAGGATCACACAATTGATGCCAACACGTGGAATGTATCAATGATTACGGGGAGGTTAGATAGGCGGAGATGGCCGTTGGGACACGCGCCTAAAGTCATGTGGTGAGTGAGTGGAAAGCCGACGGTTAGTCAGCACCCGTCCACCCGCCCTAGAAGGCAGGCGCGTCATTCCAAAAGGGATCCTCACATCTTCGTTCTCTGCTCGCAATCATTTCACCGCATCATCCAACCATTCAAACCTTCAAACAGCAGCCATGGTATGCATACGTTCTCCGCAAATCCGTTGGTGGTTGCTGATGATCGTAGGGAAAACGCAAGTCGTCGTCCAAACCTCAAGGTCCTAAGAAGGTACTTTCATGCGCGCTTATGCGCCAGCGCGTCTGTCCATTGACTGACACCCCACAGAAAGAACCGCTTGCCACCACCTTCAAATGTGTCTTTTGCGCACACGAGAATTCTGTAACCGTCAAGATTGACAAGAAGCAAGGCGTCGGCAACTTGAGTTGCAAGTCATGCACTCAGACCTTCCAAACCAACACCAATTGTATGCGCGTTGACGTCTATGCGGGATCGAGCTAATGATCGTGTAGATCTCACTCAAGCCGTTGATGTATACGCCGACTGGATAGACGCCTGCGACGCAGTGGCCAAGGAAACTGCGAGCGCTGATGCCGCTACTCGACCGATACAACCGCACCCGGCTTCATCGCGCACGATTCCCGAGGAGAAGGGTACGGAAGAAGATGATGGATTCATCGACGATGCCGATGCGGATCCGGAGGAGGATTTCGGCGAGGACTGAGAGTCTCGGGGATGCAGAGATGCAGCGTAAGGAGTTGAAAGCTTAAAGCATTTCCCAGCAGTCTATGCTGCCGCTGGAAGACCATCGAATCACGATACCTGAACGAAAACCGCAGGTCGCATAATGAGCGACGCAACCGCGATGTGTGGTGGGTTGTGCTGCACGACCGGCGAGCTCGAACGAGCGGATCATGTGCGATGTTCGGTAGGACAGCTCGCACCATGGAAAAAGACCAAGTCTTTTGACATGACCGTTGGGTTTGCGTCCCCGAGAATGAAGCGGAAACATTCTCCTGGCGATTTAGCGAGTACCATTGAAATGGAATGGAATGAACGCCATTAGCATTGGACCCTCTACAGGACGACACGTGTCTGTGATCCCATGCGCTGTGTTGGACGCAGTGCAATGACAATGTTAGCGGAGAAGTAGACCCTCTACTAAAGCTTCCTCCTACAAGACTGACACCATTGCTGACCGTGTCGTAGTGTAAGTTGTGCTCTCGATCATAGAACGCTGCTGGTGGAGGTGGACATTGAATTTTGGAATCGGATGCGAAATACGTGGATTTGCGAAGCAGTGGAAACCAACTATTGCGATCTGATACATGACACTTTGGCTTCAAAGATGGTGCAAATCTAGTTGGGTGTCATGAGAGAATGTATGGCCGGCGGGAGACGGGATGCTTTCATGACTGCCCCAAAATGTAAGAAATCCCGACTGAAAAGCTGATGAGCTTTTCGAACTGAAAGGCGCTGTCAGGAAACGCATCCCAATGCTAGGCCACACATGAACACCCATTCTATCGGTGCGGTCTCATGATGATAGTTCGCAGACCTCATTTCCTCAGCGAGGCACGTGGTAAGGACTAAGGCCATGGAAGTGATATTTCGCCCTTTCCGCATCACCACCAGCAGCAAAAACCTACATCAACAGTCCAAGACACCAAGCACATTCACAAATACGTATCGCACTAGCCGGACAGCCCTTTACCATCATGAGCACCTTCCTTCGGCCGAGAGAGAGCGCGGACGCCTCCGGTATTGAGACATTGAGATATCCTCGAAAGACCAGCACGGCGACTATTCAGAAACTAGAGCCTGACCCGCCTAGCTCTCATCAGCAGCCCAACTTCCTGCCCGAGCCCAATCCCACATTCGACGATGGACCCGAGCGCGAGAGACAGCAAGCAGAGTTCGTGCGCGGAAAATACTTGCCCTGGCTAGAGTGGAAAGTCAAAGTCATGACGGCCTGCCAACGTACAAATTTCCTAGAAACGTATGCGGCTGGCAGCCTGCTGCAGCAGCAAGCCGTACTTGCGTATTGGGTTGCTTACCCAGAGCATATTCCTACTCGCGGCATCTGTCACTTGCAGGCGGCGAGGGAGGAACGTGGACTGAACCCCGAGCTCGATCCATCGAGTTCCCTAAGGAATTTAGCGATATTTCCTCGGGCTTGTCGTGGAGAGTCTGTCTTCTGTCCTGCCGAACACGTCTTGAACGCGAACGTAGGACCGAGAAACGAGCTTTCGTCCGAAAACGAGGCCACGTATGCAGTTCAGAAAGAAGAGCCGCGCTCAGAAGGCCTGTTAAGAGGCATTGGTCGATGTATATGGACGGGATGCGCCCGCCTTGGCCGCGCGAAGTCAGGAGATGGCAAATGATCGCTCCCTTACCCTGCCATTATCAAGTCGCGAGCCAGGAGAGATGGTTTCCCATCGATCTCTCGTCCTGCTGGAAGGCGGACTCCACTAGGCTGGCGGCTTCTCAAATGGTTCGGAGTGATTGCAAAAAGTGGCACACTGGAAGAGAGCTGCGGCCAGCAATGCTCCAGATGAGCACATAAAGTGAGATCGTCGACATCAATAGCAACGTCGATTCTCATCTCGACAATTAAACCGTGCCATCAATTGATCCCTGTGCAGTTAAAGTTTCGCCCTTTGATAAAGACAGGTTTGGACGCTGACCATTCTGCGAAAAAACAAGTCATGGACGGCACGTTCATAATCAACAATGAGCATCAAGCAGCTCCCAGGCGCGATATCGTATTCGTGTGTATCCCCTCAAAATCTATATCACTGTACGCTATCAAAGAACGCCACGCCACGCCACACCAACGCCAGAGCCGGGTATAAGTACTGTCACATCACCACACACTTCGAATTGCCCTCCTTGGGCTGTCCGGCCTCTTGGCCTTTCTCGATCTCGCCAATCATGCCCTCAAAGGCCTTGCTCACGTTCTCGTTGAACCTCGCACTGGCGTCTATGAATCCGCATCCCAGCTCATCTGCCAGCTTCTTGCCCTCTGGTGTCTGCACCTGCCGTGCCTCGGGTCGTAGATCGGATTTGTTTTGGACAATCATGATTGGGACTGTGTCGGCGCCCTGTGTAGAACGTAGTTGGWCAGACAAAGTTTATCTCCAGGAGAGAAGCTTTCCTGCATACCAGGTGATTGAGGATCTTGTCTCTGATGATTCGCACCATCTCGAAGCTCTGCTTGCTCGCCACCGAGTAGACGATCATGTAGCCATGTATTCCAATAAAGTGCTTGTTATTGAGAATGGTGTATTCATCTTGACCGGCAGTGTCGATGATCTCTACAGCAAAGTCCTGGTTTCGGTACCGAATGACTTTGCTGAATGTGTTCTCAATGGTGGGGTAGTAGGAGTCGACAAAGTGGCCGTCCACGTATTGTACGGTCAACGAACTCTTGCCTGCAGTGAGGTCGACTCGGTGAGCACGTGTTTTGTAGTCGAGAAGACGGGATACATGCGCCACTAACCGACTGAGCGGCTGCCCACTATAGCCATCTTGCGTTGCTTCTGCTGTGGCGGCATCTTGGGCAGGATGTCTTGCGATGCTGCTGCTGCTGCGGATGCCCCTGCGGTTGTTGGAAGAAAATGTTCCCTGGCGAGAGAGAATTGTTGGCCTGCGGTGGTCTGCCGCCTGCGAGAGAGCTTGTAGCTCTAATGCCTCAGTAGTCCGGAAGCTTTCACGTAATAGCTTACTCCCGTTGACCAACTATTGCTCTAATTGGAGCCTGCTATAATTGTAGCGAGATATGTATGATGCCGACTAGACGCAGTGGAATGCAAAAAGGCAAGCGCAACAATCAAGGGTAAGAGCGTGTCGAGGGAAGAACAGCTTTCACGCTCTGGCGACCAGGACCTGGCACAGAGACTCCTGTCCTGTCTCGACTTTGAACCTAACGACGTAACATCGCGGGCCACTTAGCGGTAAGCAACTCTTCTCGGGTGAGGAAGAGACGCGCCATGGCACGCATCCTTGAACGAAGGCCCGTTTGCCCGGTTTAACCGAGCGGCTGCTATTCGCCAGAACGACTGGAACGGCTTCGAGAACGCGCTACGCCCTGTAAAGATCCGAAAATTGGATTCTCGCTCATGGCAGTCACATGTAAGCCGAAAAACACCGATTCGTGTGCGAACATGATCATACGACGGGTTCTGTTGGAAGCATGTGCCCCTTTGCTCGAAGTTGCTCGCGAGCACGACGAGCCCTGTTCGACATATAAAGCGCATGGAGAACTTCGGCGTTCGCGATCCGTCTTCGACAACGATGCCGTACGATCCGTGCGAGCCAGGAAACACATGTCAACCATGGTCCGGGTCGGACGGTACATCGGCTTGTGTAACGGGAGGATGTCTTGAATCTTGGATCCTGGCCATCACGATAAGCACGACTACGTATAAGGTGATCCTGATGCGTTTTCCGAACAAGACATCATCAATCAATGAGGGTATTGGGTATCTCGCAATGCAATCAAAGTCAAACAACTGCCAACCTAGGCAGCCAACGAGCCTTCTCGCTGGCCTGTCTGTCCTCCCAATTGAAACCGGGACGATCGTATCTGGACCTCTCAATCCTTTCAACGCCTGTCGATCTCATCCGCTTCAGCCTCCGCACTCAGTCTTGACAAAATGCCATTGAGTTTCTCTGTGAAGGAGCTCCACACCGCGGTTCCCTCTTCGCCTTCGAAATTGAGGTTGTCAACCTTCTGGTGGTGCAACACGAACTCGTGTACAGCTTCGACTAGTCTCTCTAGCTTCTTACCCGGAAGTCTGGACGCTATGATGTGCCTCGTCTCGCGGTAGCGACAAAGATTGGCTAGAACGACTGCTAGGTAGCCGAAAGCGACATTGGTAACGCCGTCCTCTACGGACTCTGCCTCGAGCGTGCGCTGCTGGCCTTTTAAAAAGGTGCCAACAAGATTCGACAGTACAGGAACTGCCTCCTCGGTCGCTGCGTACTCGCAAGCGCTCGATCTTTGTTCAGTCAGATTGATCATTATGCCCATTGTAAGCACCAGTAGATCCAGACTGATGGTCCTCTGACTCTCTTCCTGGTCTTGAGAGAGTGCTTCGAAACCATTGGCCATGGATTGAAGCAGCGCGACGACCGTGTCTGGCCCTGCAAAAGCCTTGCAATTCCTTTGATTGCCATTGGTGAGATGGAGACAAAGTCGCAAGGTCAGGAATCGGAGCTTTTGCGCTTTGTCGTTGACCAGGATCGGGAGCGCGACCATGTTCCCCAAGCATTTGGTGAGCTCAGCCGGCCAAGCAAGATTTATCGTAGTTGTGGAGAGCGACTCGAGCAGCGACATCGAGAGCGTGACCTCGGCCGGGATGTCGCCGCTGCGAACTAGGTCGATCTCAGTCTGCGAGAACAGCACCTCTTGTATGGAATCGTGGCTCAGTATCTCGGATTGATCTCCTGCTCTCCGGAGTTTGGCCGCCAGAAGATCGAGTGCCCTCAGCGAAATAGTGCGCGAGGTGACTAGAGTTGGAACTGCGTCTCCCCAGATCGCTTGCTGCTCTGTGACACGCCCAATGAAGTGGAGGAAGTCAGACTGTGCGCCTTTCGACATGTTGTTCCGACGCTCCTTGACCAGCTTTTTTGGATCAGTACGGTTGCTGAGCATTCGGACTAGCAGGGATAATGCGCCTCCATCTTTGAGCGACTGAGCTGTGTGCTCTGGTGGAGCGCCTGCTAGAATCACGACAATAGCCACAGCCAGAGCAAAGTCGGCGATATCATCGGGTGGCGCGACACATTCTGACAAGAGCTGCTGCTCGAAGCCTTGTGTATAGAACTTGGCGGCAAAAGATTTGTCTGTTAGCTTATTCGCAACATCGATCAATGCCGATCGCCTCCTGCTTCGGGCTTTGATATTGTGGTTAGCAACGTCTTCAAGCAGGCCACTGATGTCGTCCATGAAGCGCCGGTTGATGCCACCTGCGCGGAGCTCGTGAATTGTTCGTAGTCTTCCCGCTGCTCCTTCGTCATCGCTGTCTTCCATCTCGAATGACTCCTTCTGCGAGGTTGAGTTCGAGTTTCCAAGACCATGCCAGTGTGTAATTTTTGGACGGTGTTGTGAGTCGGTAGGCATGTTGAGCATCAGCTCTTCCTCGAGACTCTCCTCCTTCAGCCAAGTGACCTGAGAAGCAGCATACGTGAACTTAGGCCTGCTGTTCGCGGCGGTTGCTTGACTGTGGCTTTGAGTTCCTTCCGGCGTTACATCCTCACGATCGCCAGCGTCATTCATTTCCACGTCGCTCGCATCAGTAATGTCCTCCTCGGAAGTCCCCTCGTCAGAGCTCTCTGCAGATGCCTTCAGTCGGTCGACCAGCTTGGTTCGTGGCCGACCAACGTCAGAGCTCGACTTGGGAAGCATTCTCGAGGCCATCCCTCCAGGCCCTCGACGAGTGCTTGTGATTTTCAATGCTTGCATTGGAAGCGCACTTGGAGAAGGAACTGCGGATTCGGCATGTAGTAACTCGTTAAGAAGATGACTTTGATTCTTTGTTGCGCCTGTTCTGAAGGCCGTTTGAGGCGATGCTGGGTAACGAGCATCACTATTCTTGTCGGGCGTAACTGCTGTGCTGTCCGTGTTCAAAGTAGACCGTGTGTCGTCGGTATTGTCGGCATCTACAGGAAGCATCTCATTCAGTCTGGCCGGCGCCGAGACTCCCTTTCTCGGCGAAGAGTGTGTTGTCAGGTTGCCACGCCGATTTCGTCTTGGATTAGCAGCCTGATTAGTTTCGGATATCGCTGCTGTCGCCGTCGAGACGTCAGCACCTCCTCCTCCGGTTTCTGGTTTCTGCAAAGTGCCATGCAATGGTGACTCCGATGATATGCTCATCTCATGGCTATCGCAGCTTGGGACTGACACATCATCCATTAGGATGTCGCCGCCTTCCGTCTTGTTGGAACGAAGACGCTTCCGTGGTCCCATTACGGTATGCGGTCCTCCCTGAGCTGTCCTTTTGAAAGGTTGGCATGGTTTGCTAGCCTCAGTGGTGACAACATGGCCTGATTGACGCCGCTTGGCCTGTARTCTAGCAGCTGCACTCGATGACTTGGGGCTAGGCTGCACAGGAGGCGTGGCACTTTCTCTCGACGGCGAATCCGCCAAAGGCACGAGAGAATCAACAGTTTGCGACTGTTCACTCTCTCCAATAGCCCTTACGACACCTCTACCCGAAGTTCCAATATCGTCTCGCCGGGCAGTGCCCGATTCGACTACCTTCGCCTTCTCCCAGGGCGCAAGCTGCACATCTTCTTGCCCCCTCTCCGATCTTCCCTTGCCGCCTAATTTTTGAACAGACTGCCTCTTTACGGGCGAGATGTCATCTTCAGATGACTCAGATGAGGGAACATCCCATATGTCCTCTTTGATCGCGCGGCTCTTCGACGGTTTTGCCTTCAATCTTGGGCTTTTCGGCTTGGTTTCGCGTTTCTGAACAGAGTATGACTTCATTACTCCAGCTGATCTTGAAGTTGTTGGCTCCACAATGGGAAGTTCGTCCTCGTCCAAGGCGTTCAGATTCCCGCTGTTCCACGTGTTGACGGAGCGTGAAGGCTTGCCATATGTCGCCTGCTTCCGTCGCCGCGAGACCGCCGCCATGATGCCAGAATCGTCTTGGATCGTGTGTGGGAGATGATCGCATGAGCAACGCGGTCAATTCGAGACTATGACCAGCATGATGTATATCGTTGTTATTGTCGTCGCGAATGCAGCGGCGTTTGTCGTGAAGAAAGGTGTATGCGTTTCGTTGTCGCGAAACTGAAACACGCCTTTCACGCACTTGGACCCTTCTTAGAGCAGCTCCCAGACTAGGTACCATGTGAAGTCGTCACGCGCGTCGATGYGAAGTGAGGTGTACGCGACTGTGGAGTCCCAAAGGTTTTAGTCAACATCAACAGCAATAGAGACACGAGAGCAGGGATTGAACGGATCTAACCGTCTTTAGCCCCGCGATAGAGCGGGTATAGGCGAACTCCACGAACTCCACTCTATCTTCTTCTCGCTGATAATTTATGTGTCGATCAATTCTTCACATATAGGGCTCTCGTGAACTCTTAGTGACATACCATACCTCACTCAGCCCCGAAGTTTCTGCCTTCACCTCTCCAGCCAGCGGCAAACATCAAAATCGAACATCATATTCTCCCCCAGAGAACTTCGACAATGACCGAATCAGGAAGGCCATCGCCGCTGATCAGGGCCCCCAGCCAGCAGATGGGACCTTCTTACAGGATGTCCGAGGACAAGCCAACCGCCACAGTATCGACCAACCCCAAGATCAGCAACTTGCACATTCTGCCTCAATCGCCTCAACTCATTGCTCTCCTCACGTATGTGAACCATTTCAACATCTCACAACATACTAACAGGGCCCTTTAGGATGCTCCGTGACAAGAACACCGGTCGGGCAGACTTCATTTTTCACAGCAATCGCATTAGCCGTCTTCTGGTTGAGGAGGCTCTCAATCATCTTCCAGTCCTTCCACATTCAGTCACGACTCCTGTTGGCCACACATATGCCGGCGTCGAATTCGAGGGCAAGATTTGCGGTGTTTCGATCATGCGTGCTGGTGAAGCTATGGAGCAAGCACTCCGCGAATGTTGCCGGAGCGTTCGTATCGGCAAGATTCTCATTCAGCGAAACGAGGAGACGAGCCAGCCGCAGCTGTACTACGACAAGCTGCCTGAGGACATCAAGGATCGATGGGTGCTTCTCTTGGATCCGATGCTCGCTACTGGAGGCTCAGCTTTAATGGCTGTGCAGGTTCTGCTGTCCAAGGGCGTGCCAGAAGAGCGAATCTTGTTTTTGAACTTGATTGCTAGCCCTGAAGGAGCGCAGAACTTCGCAGAAAAGTACCCGAAGCTGAGGGTCGTCACTGCTTTTGTGGACTCCGGGCTGAACGAAAAGAAGTGAGTTGAGTGGTAGCCTGAACGATTTCCCATACTGACAACATCATAGCTACATTGTGCCGGGACTTGGCGACTTTGGCGATCGTTTCTACACCCTTTAATTGGATCCGGACTTCAGCTTAGCAGTGGAGGATTTTTCCAGAGTACATGTGCATCGAAGAGAGCTCGAAAGTATGGTCGGTTTCTCGTTGAGAAGACCTCAGCGCCTGGGTGAGCTGACATTTCTCACGCCACGTATTGCAGAGGCTGCGAAATGGGCGAGACTTGCGCTACCGCAACGGCCAAAGTTCTTCACTCATCCGAATCTGCTCGATCGAACATAATTACCTACCTTGGTAGAAACCACATGCGGTTAGGATGGTAGAGCGTGGGAGAGGCACTCATGCATCCAACAACATACCTTGTGGCCATGGTATGGAATGGTATGCGATGCTCGTCCGCTTGATCAAAGCGCTCACCTTGATATTCTACCTGCGAATATGAAGCAATTCTTGATCCACTGCATCTCCGGAACCTCGTTTCATCGCTATCATGTCTTGACCAATATTGATATTTGAAAACTCAATCATTAGCAGACTCTCCCTCATCTGGCGGAGATTAGTGTTGAGTTCCACAGTAAAGACATGTATTCGAGGCCACAAGATACCGTATTCCATATGCGTGATCACTATGAGGTGGGCTACCGACAAAGTTGTGGTCAGTGTGAAAAGGAGGCCGATTCTGTTATCTTCTCTGTCCCATTCAGCCCTTCTCGTTCTGTGCTCTCACTTTCATTTGATAAGTAACTCGCCAATGGAGTGATGTGCCCCTCTCATCCTACCATCATGCTGCCGAAGCTCGCTTTCACGTCGCGCGTCTCTTCGCAGGCAAGGCCGACGACTTTGCACCGCGATCCAAGCGGGGTGGCCGTGCAGAGAGATTCAGCCCCTGCCGACTCATAGAAATGTCTTGCAGGTCTGGGTTCGCCGCGCGGCGCTCGTAATGCATAAAAGGAGTCCACGTACCCTCCCCTCGGTCTTGTGGCAGGGCCATGAATCTGTCAAACGCTTCGGTGTCGTTCAGTCGGCCCAATATACTCTTCCATCTGCGCTGAGTCCTTAAGGATATTGTGGGAGCACTGTGCCTAGCGGTGAGGCGTTCCAAACTGTTGAAATCTGCTGTGGAAATAAAGCCCCTTTTACCACCCCATGAGCTACGGTGTAGAGCTGCCTTTTCCTCTGGAGATGTGCAAGCTTTCTCAGAATCAGCTTTAGACCATGACGCATCGATCTCTTGGGAACGCTGACAAGCGTTGCGACGAATGTCATTCTCATTTCCGGATGTTCGACGGGTAGAGCTGGCGGGAATCAAGGCATGGCGAAAGACTTCTTCTGCAGCCATGTTGACCTGATAGGAGCTGTGTTCGATTCTACGTACGGAAACAAGCGACTCTTGAGCGTCGAGGAAATGTCTGAGAGATGAGATAATGCCCTTGATTGAGGAGCGCAGTTCATGTTGATCTAGGTATTACAGGTAGCTTCTGTGCCATACAAAGAAAGCTCCTACATGTTCAGCTCAGGCAATCGCATGGCTTAGATTYTCCGTGTCGTTACCACAACGTGTTTGAATCAGCGTATGAGCATTGCTATCGGTACCAAGTAGATTCAAGTCCAGTCCATGGCTCCTTTTAAGTGGCCGTCTGTGACGAAAAGCGGTAGACTGGCGAACTTGCATCGCCGAATCCCATATCAGATAGCGGCTTGCTTATGGGTCGACGAAAGAGAAGGAAACCACCTACTAGCAATGGCGAAGAGACTATAATATCCATTTTTTCAGGCAGGATTTGCGGGGTGATCGATTACAGGAAGAGATGTGCGCGAAGGGTGGCTCGACTGACCAACAATGGGCCCAGGCCCAGGCAACGGCCAACGGTCAAGCCTCCCGAAGAGTCCTGATATCAGGAGCTTTGAGATCGCCCCGAGCTTTTTTGCTGACGATTGCGTGGATGATTTGGTGGACCAAGATGTCAAGACTGTAATGTATCTCAATAGAAAATGCAACCATACCTTGGAGCTGCGTGTATACTTTGTCCGGACATAAGAGAGTCGTGAAGTCGACAAGGGGAGAATTAAATATGCACTGTGTGAATGAGAAACTGCAGGGAAGCTCCAAATGCAGGTTATTGTTCGACTTTGCTGATATGCCGAGTCTTTGCTCGTGGGCGTATCTTGATTTAGGCGGTCACCGCATGTTTGATCTTTCCGGAACGATATGCAAGCGCTGAAATTATATGAAGGATCAATGACGGAAGCACTGTGTAGATTTGCAAAGCATGAGACGATGTCATGTGAAGATGGATGACTGGCAATGCGGAGGAGAGCACGGACATGTCATGAGCTTCGAGACACTTCTAAGGTTTCTTCGGCAAAAGTTGCGATTGAATCTCTCCCGACAACCACCTCCATCTCCATTTTCATCTCCGCCATCCTCTCCCTCCTCACCCTCACCTATCGCCCATTCTCTGGAATCATTGGATTTGGGATCTACATCAAACCGCCAATATGCAGCGCTCTCTCACATCTCTCCCACGCGGACTCGCACGTTCATCACGGATACGCTCTGGCCCACTCGTGCAGCAAAGATTCGCACACAAAGAGCTGAAGTTCGGTGTCGAGRGCAGAGCCGCTCTCCTAAACGGTGTCGAGACGCTTGCACGAGCTGTTGCGACCACCCTTGGTCCCAAGGGGCGAAATGTCCTCATCGAGTCCAGCTACGGCTCGCCCAAAATCACAAAGGGTATGCATACATCTATCAATGGCACACTTACGAGCAGCACTGACACCTCCTCATAGATGGTGTAACGGTTGCACGAGCCATCACCCTTAAGGACAAGTTCGAGAACCTCGGAGCTCGTCTGCTACAGGACGTGGCTAGCAAGACGAACGAGGCCGCCGGTGACGGTACCACTACCGCCACCGTCCTCGCCAATGCCATCTTCTCCGAGWCCGTCAAGAACGTCGCCGCCGGCTGCAACCCCATGGACCTGCGCCGCGGAACCCAGGCCGCCGTCGAGGCCGTCGTCGAGTACCTTCGCGCCAACAAGCGCGACATCACCACCTCTGCTGAGATCAGCCAGGTGGCTACCATTTCCGCCAACGGCGACACACACATCGGTGCTCTTCTCGCCAGCGCAATGGAGAAGGTCGGCAAGGAGGGTGTCATCACTGTCAAGGAGGGCAAGACTATCGCGGACGAGCTTGAGGTCACCGAGGGCATGAAGTTTGACCGTGGTTTCATCTCTCCATACTTCATCACGGACACMAAGTCGCAGAAGGTTGAGTTCGAGAAGCCGTTGATCCTGCTCTCCGAGAAGAAGATTTCCGCTGTGCAGGACATTGTCCCAGCGCTCGAGGCATCTCAGCAGCTGCGACGACCACTGGTGATCATCGCCGAGGACATTGACGGCGAGGCTCTTGCCGTCTGCATCTTGAACAAGCTCCGTGGTCAGCTTCAAGTCGCCGCCGTCAAGGCACCTGGATTCGGTGACAACCGCAAGAGCATTCTTGGTGACATCGCTGTCCTTACCAACGGCACCGTTTTCACCGATGAGCTCGACATCAAGCTTGAGAAGGCCACCGCTGAGATGCTGGGATCGACTGGTTCCATCACCATCACCAAGGAGGACACCGTGATTCTCAACGGCGAGGGCACCAAGGACATGGTCACTCAGCGCTGCGAACAGATCCGCGGCGTTATGGCGGACCCGACCACCAGCGACTATGAGAAGGAGAAGCTTCAGGAGCGTCTCGCTAAGCTCTCAGGAGGTGTTGCCGTCATCAAGGTCGGTGGTTCCTCTGAAGTCGAGGTTGGTGAGAAGAAGGACCGCATGGTTGATGCTCTCAACGCCACGCGCGCTGCCGTTGAGGAAGGTATCCTCCCAGGTGGTGGTACCGCTCTCCTCAAGGCTGCTGCCAATGCCCTGAACAACATCAAGACCGCCAACTTCGACCAGCAACTCGGTGTTTCAATCGTCAAGAGCGCCATTACCCGACCTGCACGCATGATTGTCGAGAACGCTGRTACCGAGGGATCTGTCGTTGTCGGCAAGCTTATGGACGAGTATGCTTCCGACTTCAACAAGGGTTTCGACTCCCAGAAGGGCGAGTACACTGATATGATTGCTGCTGGTATCCTTGACCCCTTCAAGGTCGTCCGCACTGGTCTGACTGATGCATCCGGCGTTGCATCTTTGCTTGGTACCACCGAGGTTGCGATCGTTGAGGCTGCTGAGGAGAAGGGTGGCGCACCCGGCGGCATGGGCGGCATGGGCGGCATGGGCGGTGGAATGGGCGGCATGGGCTTCTAAGCTCGTCGCTCCAGAGGTCGAGAGAAAAATGAGTGCGCCATGATACCCACGCCGATCCCCTCCGATTGTACAAAACGGTAATATATACCGCTACGCTTCTCGCTTGTGYATTTGCAAGAAGAACTTGATAATCTCCGCTCTGTCTGCATGGCCCGGCGCGGATTTTGACGGAATAGGCACGTCTATGCTGTGGTGGAAGGTGGAATGTATAGGACTAGATGTAACATAGTGTTGTTTGATTAGCGTTTTGAAAAGTCGTAGAGAATTGTGAATAAACCATCGTCTCAACCCAGCTGGCACTTACGATGCAGACTGTTATCATGGCATGTGAGAGGATCATAGTAATACACGATTTCTATACGGACAACAATACATAACTCCGCTCCAAATCGGCAGTACGCCGCCACGCCCGCTTAATACCAATCCCCTATTATTCCCGGACCCATCTATGTTGCTTGATGTCTGACAATCAATCTTGCTCCTATCGCACTTCGTAGGCAACACAATTGGAGTGTAGGATATGTCGTGTCATTCGATTGGCATCTCTAATGTTCGCTATACATCCTCCCCGATTTCCAATCAACGCAAAGCTATTTCGCCTCGTCTGCTGGCTCGTTGGTGCATAAGTGCTTGACACCCGCAGAATAGGAGGAAGGCCTACATTGTGCATCTTCGTCAGAAAGGCATCGCAGAAGTGGTGTGTTATCCTTACGCCATATATCGCAACCGCAGAGAAGACTGCTGTGGCAACTTTGCCACCATCTGGAGGATCTTCGTGCGAGCCGACTAGGGAGTGATGGTTGTTGGCGAACATGCCTGCTACTCATGTCAGATGGGGACTGCTGCACGGGGCTCTGATCGCTGCGGTCGTAGAGTGCTGGTGATGGACGTACCGCCGATTGTGCTAAGGATTATGATGGCGAACACGGAGATGACGATGCTGTTGTCTCGGCTTAGCAGTGTCCTTCAACATCTAGCAGTCCACGCAGGATAGCGGATACCATGTCCATGCATTGAATGCGCTCACGACTGGCTTCATATTTGCAACGCTTCGTGCCCTTGAGAGGCTGTTTTCGGGTTATAGGATTCGAGCTTGGGCGCTGAGGCGTTCAGTCGTAGTTGAATGCGTGATCGGCCTGCGATGGTCCTCGATGATGTCGTGGTGGTGGAGGCGGCATGGATGAGGTGTTGTCGGCCAAAGTCCTCTCGGCGTCACCCGCCCGCCATGCCCGCCTTCTCGAATGCAAGCTGCCTGGGGACACCACCAAAGCATACGCAACAAGTGAACATTGCTTGAAAAAGAAGACCACACACACACACTTCCCACCAGCTCGCCAATTGCAGAATACAGAGCTTGCTTGAGCACGCCTGTTAAGCGAGACTCGTGAATACTCAGCTAGCATTGCGACCACGTCACGGCCAACAGTAACAACATCACACCAACAACACAATGCCAGCCTACCACTCCGTCTTCCTCGACGAACCGAACCAGCAGCTTATCGGAAACTTCGCCCTGCTTCCTCTCCGAACACGCACACGAGGTCCCGCACAACAGCTTTCACCTCTAGCTGGCATATCTGAACTCGACGTAGAGCCCAGCAATGAGAGCTACGACCCTCTCGACGAAGTCCTGGCCCTTTTCCGCGCAAACACCTTCTTTCGAAATTTCGAAATCAAGGGCCCTGCAGACCGCGTACTTATCTACGGAATTCTCTACGTGAGCGATGCATTGACGAAGATTCGTCCTGGAATGAGCCGGCGAGATGCGGAAAAGGCAGTGATGAACTCCGCGCTGGACACGAACTTTGCTATTCCAGGTGATGCAGGTTTCCCTCTCAACCAGATGTTTGAGCCGCCACGGGATCGAAATGAGGCCGAGGTTTTGAGGCAATACATCATGCAGATGAGGCAGGAATTGGCAGCTCGTTTGCTGAATAGAGTGTATATGGACCCTAGCGGGCAGCCGAGCAAGGTGAGTCTTACAGGGCAATCGCTGTGCTGCGACGCATTCGGGATAAACCATCACGGAGACCATTTGCTAACGCCCGTTTTTAGTGGTGGCTGAGCTTCTCCAAGCGGAAGTTCATGGGCAAACAACTATGAGGGTCCAGACGAGGTTCATAGATCGTATCATGGGTGTGCAGAGCTGCGGCTCAATTGTAAGCTCGTGCAACAATTTGCAGTGCTGTGCCGCTTCAACCGCATTCCTGCGGGCGAAGTTACCCACCTGGCCTCCCTCAAGTTGGCGGCCTCTGAACAAGGCCTCGCGGTCACAGCAGTAGCACAGAGATGCGAAAAGTCTCCTGAGCCCTGGGTAGAAGACGCTATGGTTGAAATGATAAGCGAAGAGCCAACGTCATCTTCACACACGATCACATATCAACATTGAGGATACAAAAGTCGCTGCGTAAATCGCAGATATGCAAAACGGGACATAGCTCTGAGATTCACAGCCTTTGCATTGCTATGCGAAGGCGTGCTACTCACTCACTGCTCATCATGCTTTGGCTGAGACTGCACGTGATGCATCTGCATCCGCATGTGCTCAGCCTCCGCCGATCGAGACTAGCGCAGGGAAGGGCGGGAGAAGGCGGCAGAAGGACCACTTGACAGGGCCAACTAAGCCTCCACATGATCCTTCGTCTCCTCCTCTCGCCAACACCCAAAAACCAGTGGATAGAGGTTCCAAGTGACCGCATTGATCCTCCCGTGTGGCTTCTCCCAGTCATGGCTTGCTCTGCTAAGCCTCGCTCGTGTCATGCTTTCTGCCTTTCTCTTAGCAGACATAAATGAAGGTGATCCGTTTCTCATTGCCTATGTCTTCTCTCCACATATACACTCAAACCAAAGCATAAACAACCATGCCGAATAGGTTGTCTAAATTGTTCTCTCCCGACAAGGAGAAGGAAGCACTTGCTGAGGCGGAGAGACGCTCAGAGGGCTCAGGCTCACAATCACCACCACCGGGCTATCAACGAACGCGAGCGGACCATGAGCACGACGAATTCGATCGCGACAACGCAATCGACATTCCGGACATCACTGCCGGCTTTTCTAATCTTACGATTTCGAATTCCAAAGATGGTTTCCCCGCTACAGAGGAGGTCATAGCCCACCTCAAGCTACTCGAATGCTTCTACAGGCTGAAGCAATCGGTCGCCTCCCAGGACGGATTGTTCGAGATTTCGGATGGACTCGTTACCAGTCATAACCTATCAGACGGCGAGAGTACTGCAGAATGCCTTGCGAAACTAGCCGAGAAGCGATGGTCTATTTATGTTCAGCGGGCTGTCTATCGATATGAGTCGTGGTTGTGGGCAGTCGATCCAGGCGCAAGGGCGCCCCGGAGATCCGCACTTGAACGCGATGCAAAATCTGGCTCGCTTTTAGAGGGTGGCCAGACTTTGCCAATCAACAAGCGTAACCTCCCTCCAGTGGATGTGCTCATGGTCTGGCATGCCCACATGCTGAATCCGCGAGCCTATCTTGAGGACTGTATGAGACAGGGCCGAATGGACTTCTGGYGGGGCGGCATGCCTTGGAGTGATGTTGCAGAGAGCATCGACTCGGAGACCTTCACGTATGATGCCAGCGCGCCGGCGCAGAGCAAATGGAACTCGTCCCTGGACTCTCCCTGGGATAATCTTAGGGATCCTGATTCGAATAGAGTTGTCAACTGTAATTCTTGCAATCAGGAGAATCATGTCCGGTGGACGACTTGTACAGAAGGTCGTTTCTCCAAAACCTTTACTTCCCTAGAGGACGTCTCGCGAGCGGTCGACCAGATGCTCTCTTCTGGAAGTGGTTTCTCCGACAAAGGCTTTCTACACTTCTGCAGATCCTGCGCGCGGCCAATCACCCATGAGTCTCTGCAAGCTGGTAAAATGTACAGAGACATTGAACTGCTCATGAAGCACGACAAACCGCTTGGCGGGACAGTGCTTGGTCTTGCTGGCATCCCTAAGCTGGCATTTGGCCGAAAAGATGATATCCTCGACGCACCAAATATCTTATTCCGCAACGGACTGGGGAAGCATATTCTGTATGATCCTGTAGGACGTCCCGAATCTGTTAGCGACATCCGACAGCGTATCGAGTCAGCCATGACTGATCGTGCGATTATGCGTGCAGCAAGAGGCGGCACCAGGTCAGGGGCGCTGCTGAGAACAGATCGAATTGCATTACGCAAGATGATGAGTCGCTACTGGGACAACGGGAGTCCCTTCGCACTCGATCTTGTCGGGGCAGTTGTTCGTCAGGGCAGCTTCATCGAGAAGATGCACAACATCGACTGGCTCCACTCTCCAGCTCTTCACGGTACAGTCAGTCGATTGATTGAGAAATACGCAGTCTTCATGAAGATCTTGCGCATGTGCCCGCCGAATCAAATGGCGGTTCCTACCCTCGATGTTGATCTGGCGTGGCATACTCATCAACTCATGCCACGAAACTACATGCAATACACAATCACGAAGTGCAAACAGTTCGTCGATCACGACGACAAAGTCACCGAAACCAAGCTCAACGACAGCTTCGCCTGGACAAGCAAGACTTACCAGCGAATTACAGGCCAGGCATACTCGGAATGCACGTGCTGGTACTGCGAAGCGATCCGCGAATCGCACACCGGTGCCGCCAGTCGTCTGCTGGGCGGAAACAATGCGAGAATCATAGATCAGCTGCACGCATCAGGAGACCAAGACCCACGAAAGAGTGTGCATATCTCCGCCCACAATGCAGTGCGTCCCGACGATGATACACATACTGTTCTAAGTAAGAAGAAAGCCGCTGAGTTGGAGAGGCAATATCAGAAAGCCTGCGAAAGAGCCATCAAGAAGGGGAAGCCAGCGCCAAAGAGGGACGATTACTACTATTCAGATGCCTATGGTTATCCCGTTTACATACCTGCGTACAGTCCATACGTGGGATTCGTCCCGTACGCACCGATGTACTATCCTGTCACGCCAGGATGCATGGCTGTAGGGGCGGGTGCTGCTGGCAATTGCTGTGCTGGTACGTGTGGTGGTGGAGCGGCTGCTGGTGGCTGTGGTAGCGCAGCTTCTGGTGGGTGTGGAGGTGGAGGTAGTGGTGCTGGCTGTGGTGGTGGCGGCGGCGGAGGTGGAGGGGGAGGTTGCGGAGGTGGAGGTGGAGGCGGAGGTTGCGGTGGCGGAGGAGGAGGTTGCTGAGTCTCGATAGCACAGGTTTACGACTCAACGATTATACGATTGATGGCCATATTCTGACATTAAATCTTCCTCATGTGACCCGAGCAGTTGGATAAGAGCTGCAGTTGACATCAATAACAACATGACTGGGTAGTGAACATAAGGCGTCTCTTCGCATAGGGGGGCTTTCACAGAGTCCTCTCAAGTACCCCAGCGCTGTGCGCTGGCAGCGAATCAGTTCTCGCAGAATCACAGCGAAAGCAGACATCTGGCTGTTCAGCATGAATCCCGCTGCAAAGACACGCTGTATATCGCCGACCTAAGAATTTTACATTTAAAAGCAGTCCGCTTTAGCTGCCCTCTGGAGTTTCTAGCTCTGCTCCCGTTATCTCTAGATCGAACTCCGGGTTGACCCAACTCGGCTCACCACTGCTCGCTCTCAAACGTCCACCGAACATCTGCAGTAGTGCGAAGACAGGTATACAGAAGAACACTGTGATGATCGCATGACCCGCAAATGTCCAGGTGAAGCCAGCTGCATCAAGCCAGTAAATGATGAAGAACGGGTCAACAAACGCCGACAGATTGAGTATGACAGCGTAGAATACCACAACCGACATACTTTGCATTGGGTAGGCATCGACCACGTAAGCGCAAACTGATGTGTTGCCCATTTGGATGCCTGCGCCGACTAGACAGATATGTGTAAGCATGGACCGAGCGGTTAAGGGTTGCAGTAAACACGTACTGAAGGCGAAGGCCACCTGACCAACAATCCAGTGGTAGTCGCGATCTATGGAGATACCCCAGATGATTAAGCCGATGCCAGTGAGGATTGCTGCTGGATATACAAGCCAAATACGCATCTCCGCATTCTTGGTCGTGCCAGGGCGCGAGGCGAGCTTGACTAGCAACCAGTCGCTCAAAGTGCCGGAGAAGAAGATTTCGGAGATCAAAGTACCTACGATCAGACCGATGGAAAATAATCTAGTGAGTGACATGTTAGCTATCACGAATTTGGTCAGAAAGAATTGACGTACCCTTGTGTCTGTGGCGTATAAGTCGCGTACGCAACCGGGATGAGTGTGATCACCGACAGAATCCACCAATACCAACCAAAGCAGTATGTAAAGATGGCGATTGGCACCGCAGCATACTTGAATGCCTTGACGAAACGTACTGGTGTGTCCCAAACCTTGGGATGTTTCATCCCCGGCACTGGCTTGACGTTTGCCAATCCCAAGCTTTTCGTACGTTTTATTTCATCAACTCCGTGCGATGGCTGGGTACGTTTTTCGTTCTCAGAAGTGATCCCAGCTCTTTTATATCGCTCCAACATGGTCTTTCGAGGATATAGCGTTTCTGGCAGGAAGAAGATCTCGGCGATCAATACCAACCCCAGTAAGATTGCCGTGAGCCACTGAACCCATGCGGTTCCTGCCAGATCCACGTAACCTCCTATGAGAGGGCCGAAGAGGAGTCCTAGATCGATTGCAAGTACCCAAAGTCCGACCTTTTGACCCCGTTCATGCTCGAAGAAGATATCGTTGATGATGGCGAGTCCGACCGTGGCAGCGGGAGATACACCGAAGCCCTGGAAGAAACGAGCAGCCATGTAGCCCGAGTATGTAGGGGCGAGAGCGGCGCCGATTGTTGCAGCTAGACCGACAACCGTACCCATAATAAAGACTGGACGCCGTCCGACGATATCAGCTGGSGAAGAGCATATTAATGGACCGAGAGCTAGACCCAGCGCTGGAATGGCGACGGTCCAATTGATCTGTTCAAGGGATGCGGCGTATTGTGTCTGCAGCGCAGGGAAGGAGGGTACGGTTGTCGTTGTGATGTACGTGAATAAGAAGTATCTGGTTCGCAGTTAGTCGGACGGGAACTGCGCTTATAGAGGGCTGAGTAATGTACAATGCCATCACGATACTTAGTATCACATGCTTCTGAAGCCATGTCCAGTTGAGAGGGTCGAGTGCGTCGCCCTGTACTGGTTGAGGGAATAGATCGAAGCCATGTGGATCAAGCAGAGTGCTTTCTGCAGCAAGAATGGTGTTGTCTGCTTCGATAATAGGAGAAGCTGTAGAGGAGAGGATTTTGTGCTTTTCCTCGTCTGCCATATCTTGATGCTTGCGGGGCACAGTGTCTTGGAAGAATTGGAAAAGGAAAAGAGAGGGGAGAACCCATATCGCCCTATCAGCCGCCATGCAGGAATCGTTACATTGGTGTGTATCAGCCAGGCAAAGCCTGTGAAGATTGTGAGGACCTCGCTTCGAAGTTTGTGGGCTGCAGACCGGGGCTTCTCTGCTCGTGCATCCTTGAAGTCCAATGGTTTGGCTCCAGCATCCACAGCAAGCCTCTCAGCCAGAAGCTGCTCCTGAAAACCCAATCGATGCCTGTGTGCTCCCTCCTACTCAGAGATATGCCGACTCCAGCCCTACCTTCTAATAAGCTCCGGAGAATTTAAATAGTGAGACGGCAAGTGACATTCTTGTCCTTGGGAGGCGAACTGCACAATAATTCGCACCATGAGAGAGTCTTCCCAGCTCGTCGGAAGTGGGCATTCTTGCATCCGCGCTGGATCGATCTTCCCTGAATATCCTTATCGCTCTCACAAGCCACCAGTCAGATAGCGGAATGTGGGCCCTGCATTTCATGATACTATAAGCGAAGCAGAAGCTGATAGTGCTGACTGCAAGTGATTGGGAGGCTGAAGTACACGGCGGCCCCGYCCGACCGTCCCGCGCGCTAGTCGCAATGGATTGCTTCGACAAAAGTTTTGGAATGATCGATGTCCATAAGTTAGACCGACATTATTCAATACCATGGCGCACCCGACAGACAAGAAGAGGAAGCGACAGTCGAACGGTGTGGATACACCCAGTAAGAAGGTCGCAATTGATGGCAGCGGCACAATTGCTGTCACGCATGTCGACGACAACGGTCTTCACCCGGTCTTGGTCTCGGCGCCTGGCATGAACGCGCCCAAAGTTGCCTTCAAGGGCTATTCCAAAGCTCGCTCCTCGAAGAAAGCTGCCAGCTCTCAGGACATCCTCAAACCGGCTACACATGAATTGCTGCTTCAATCTTCACAACACCCGAGACTTGACTACACTGCTGCCACTTCCACCGTTGACCCGCACCTCTCGCACTATGTCGCCGTGTTCGACCCAGCTACAAAGCAGCTAGAAGTTACCCCGGCACATCACTTGTCTCTCCGTAGCACGCTCCGGTCTGAAGCAGCAGAGGTGGAGCAGGAGAACCTCAGCTACTCTCGGCAACGCGAAGCACTGGGCCGCGAGTTCGGGACGAAGAAGGCCAAAAAGGCCATTGCTAGCAAGACAGAGAACGCAATAACGAACCCAAATGACACAAAGGGAAAGGGTAAAGCCACAGACGTACAGACGGCGATTCTTGACTCGGTCGCGGACACAGCAACAGGTCCCGGCGCACAAACCGCTGAGCAACAAGCCGATGCTCTTCTCGCTGCGAAGCCCATTCCGAAGCCCAATCTGCATGCCGAAAGCGTGGAGGAAGTCTACCCACTCAGCACTCTGATCCCCGCCCAGGATGCCCAGAAAGTGCCCATCAAGGACTGGCAGGACAAGATCCAGGCAGAGGAAGAAATCCAGTTCAAACACCGCTTCCCAGCTGGACGTGTTGCAGCAGCAGTAAGCTCCGAAGACGTCGACAGGCAAAAAGCTTTGCGCTACCTTACCCTCCTTCTCGAATTCTACGACTCATTAGCCAACGGCGGGCGCAGTGCAGCAAAGAAGGTGCCAAAGAAGGAGGTATTTGCCAAAAAGCTGGCCGATTGGCCGCCCGCGCTTGTCAGCAGCGTGCGAACTCGCTTCACAAACGACAGTGGGTCTGAGTTGGGAAAGTGGCAGCTTGACAACCTGTGCACGCACATATGTGCATTGTCGTTATATGTGGATGGGTGGACAACAGACACGACACACTTGAAGGAGGATCTGAAGCTGGAGACCAAGGTCATCTCGCAGTACTTTGTTGAGTTGGGCTGTAAGGTGACGGCACCGAATGAGGGAGACAAGACGAGGCTGGGTCTGGGCAAGGCACAGGCGGCAGTGACGAGGATGGCGAAGCTGAAGCTGCCTCTGGAGTTTCCGAAGGCGAGGATGGGCAGGAGGAAGTGATTGTGATGCAGTGTCGAGGGAACTCGTAACTACACGGCATCTTTGTATGGGATCGTACTGTCGGGGAAAAGCAGCGGGCGAGGATGTTGCGAGGTGGATGATATGGGAATTGAACAACCTTGAAGCTCACCAATCGTTCTCCTCTCACATCTCTAATGCGACATTGATCGAGACTACAATCCGGTCCGTGTGTAAGCAATTATTAGTCTCGTCGTCTCTACCTTACTACTTTGGAACCGGGCTTGGCTCCGCGCAGAACGAAAGCAACGCGTTCGGACCAGTTCGGCGATGACGGCCCATGGTCGAGAACGTTGAGCTGACATGGAAGTCATCCTGGCAAGCTGATGTAAAAAATGTAGCGCCCCGAGCAAGGAAGGTACGACTCAAAGACATCCATTACTATTCTTCCTTCTCCATCTCAATTCGTAGCCTCCTCATCCAACCTGATGAAGATCGTCCTCACCGGCTGCACTGGCTTCATCGGAAGTGAGATTCTCCGACAATGCATCGCCCATAATTACATATCCCACATCTACGTCCTCACCCGAAGGCCCTTGGCCGATAGGTTCTCGCACACGAAGGTCACCCAGCTCCTTCACGAAGACTTCGAAACGTACCGCTCAGACCTCCTCAATCGATTACGAGAAGAAGGTGTGGAGGCATGTATATGGGCAATAGGAGGGAGAGTACAGCAGTTCAAAAATCTGGATGAAGCGAGGAAGGTGAATATCAATTATGCTGTTGCAGGTGCGGAGGCTTTCGCGCAGCATTTGGCGACGGCCTTGACGCCGCATGAGGGATATCCTAATAAGCATCCCAAAGCTGGGGTTAAACGGTTTCCGTTCCGGTTTGTGTATTTGTYAAGCTGGGGTGCGGAGCATGATCAGTTCAGGAGATTGTGGATGTATGGGGATACACGTAAGACTAAAGGTGCCGCTGAGAAGGGTTTATTGGAGGTTGCGATCAATTCGCAGGAAATAGGTGGTCATAGATGCTTTGAGGCAATTGCTTTGAGGCCCGGAGCCGTACTTGCTGGTGGAGGGGAGAACATGACTACTGTGATCGGGTGGGTAGCGTGTCTGGTGGCACTTTGTGCGACGCGAAGAAGTATGCTGACAAGATGGCAGCGAGGCTTTCATGCCATGCATTGCGGTTGAGCGGCTTGCCAGAACCGCCATCAAGACAGCTTTCAACGGTGGAGAAGGCATGAGTATCTTGGAAAATGCTCACTGCTTGGGTGAAGGTAAGTCTTTTTTTGATGTCAAAATCCCAATAGTAACGCAGAAATTTCTGACACGCTTGAAGACTGGGCCATGATAAATTCCATCTCATGAAGCCAAGCCYCATGCCCGCCACCTTATGGTTCTTCTGAATTCTCCGCGCAGCCTGACGTGCTGCTTTGAACACAAGACCGCTGGAACCAATCGCATATGTAAACAGCTGGAATGTGTCTTGAACGTGTCTGGTGCACTATCAAGTAAAGGGCGTGAAATCGGAGAGGTCTTCCTCATCCTCTGCGTCGACGTCGCTCTCCTTGAAGTAGCCAAGATTGGGCCGGTTGGATTTCGAACGAGCGATGCTGGGGCGAGGACTGATAATGTTGCCCGGCGTGTGGACGGGGCCGTCAGTGTTCGGCGATGCGATGGCTGCCTTGACGACCATATTGTCGTCCTCCGAGTCACTGACTTCCTTGGTGTACTTCTTGATAGCACTGCGGCGGCTTGGGGTGGTGCGCTTTGGAAGGGGTGTGTCGAAGTCGATCGCCTTCTCCGCCTCAGAGTCATCGTCGGCCGACATCATTTCGGAGCGTGCCCGCTTTCCCTTGCTGACTGGAGTCTTTTGCGGACCATTCGGGACTCTGGGCTTGCTTTTTGGGGTAGAGACGGCCACGGCACTCCTGCCAGAGCTGCCACCGATCTTGCGCTTCAAGGCAGCAACATGCTCCGACACGGCTTTGGCGGTAGGATGGAAGTCCTCATCTGCTAGAAGATTGTCAGTCTTAATTCCGCAGAGATTTACCAGCGACATACGAAAGGCCTGCTTCCACTTAGTCGCGAGCTGACCGAAGTCGACTTTGACGTCCGCGATGATCAGGAGCAGGAGATTCTGGTCGCGAGCCGGGGTCCACTTCACGGCCATGATGGGCGTGTCTGTGATCAAAGTCAGCTGGTATGCAGAGCTCGAGTGGTGTGCAGTACTGACTAGGAGGATGTTTGGTGTGTTTGGGTTGGTCCGCGAAGAGTTGTGGCGAGCTGTGATACTCGCAGCAGGTGGATGTCTGGAAGAAGAAGGTGGATAGAAGATTTGGAAAAAAGAGTGTGAAGCTGACGACAGCAAGCGGCGACAGCTTCTGCGAACTTCACGCGCGTGGGTCGAATCAAGACCGCTTCACTCTCACTTCAACATCCGAATTGTGGGAGAGCGACTTGTTGCGTGGCAACGCCTCGTCTGGCAACCGCAAGTCTGAAGTCGCATCTCTATGCAAGCACTATACGCGTGATGGTCTACGTGTTGGACTGGCGATCCCTGGCATAGACTGGGATCCCAGGCCGAACGCGAGATGGATGCCTAGGCTCACGCAACCCAACGCTCGGACAACATCGTGATCAGAGGTTAGAGGAGAGGTATGGGACACCCTTTCACTTAATCCACATCCTCAGCCTTTGAATGTTGTCCCAATCCTTATATTCTCAATCGTAAAAGGCACACCTCAAGTGAGATACAAAGTAAACTTCACTGATCAGTTCTGCAACGGCAGGAGATCCTCACAGAAGAATCCACTTCTTCCACTTCTACCCCTCCACAACCTTTCTGGTCACTTCACAAACATCGACACAACACCACAACATCACAAGTCCAACCCAACTCACTCACCCAGCCTCCACCCCATCAACCTCACAGGTGTTCATTCAGGAATCAATCATCGATCATGGCAAAGGGCACTACCGTCAACTGGGACAGCCAGGAGACCTGGCAGCGTGTCGTGGCTAGTATTATCGCCACTGGCATCAAGGTGCGGCCCTCGCCGTGCGCAATTTCAAAGTCACAGCTGCTGATGCTCTGTCTTCCTCACACCTAGATCGACTATCGCCAGGTCGCTCTGCACTTTGACACCACGTACGACACTATCGAGAATCGTTTCCGCAAAATCAAGAAGGAGGCGGCGGTCCTCAAGGAAGAAGTCGAGCGCGGAGATCGTGGAGAGAACGCCGGTGGCCGGAAGTCTGCCCCCGCCACCCCGCGTAAGCCAAAGACACCCAAGAAGGACCCCCTCAGCAGTAAGTTGACATCAGTTCGCGACACCTCTGGACGCGCTAACGTTAGTAGCCGTCGAGAATGGCCGTGTTGCCAAGGTCACCCCCAAATCTGCCGCCAAGCGCACCGTCAAGCAGGAGGTCCTCGAGGAGGACGCCTTTCCCGATCTGCCAGATGTCGGCACAGGCTTGGCTACCGAGTTCGCTGTCAACGACGAGTTCTTCCCCTTGACTTGAGCCATGGCATCGGCCCCCCCTTAGCATGGAGTTTTGATATTCACAAGAGACCGATCCAACTGATCAAGAGCGGAAATGGTTGCGAAAGCATCATGCGGCGCTTCGATATGCAGATACCGATGAACAAATGCCACAAAAGTGAAACCTCGTGTATGGAGAGCCCATATCATCACATCAGGTCGCCGCATTACTTACAGTGAAGCTCATGATGAAGTGCTGTGAAGCTCTGTGATGGAGTGTGAAAGTCCGTCATGTGCTGTGAAGCTCTGTGATATACACAAGGAAGTACGTGTCTGCTATAGACCGCCAATGCCTGCGCTCCTTCGCGCTGGATGCACTGTGGTGATCTCTTATCGCTATGTTGGCGCCACCTGGAGTGATTTACGCACGATTTGCGAACACGTCGATGCGCACTGGACTGCGACCCCACAATATGACAGTGAGAGAAGCACCTTGTACCTAGCTATAGATGCTGACCCTGGGTATTCGACTGGGATCGTCTCCCAGGTTACGCTTGGGTTTGCGGCGATATTCAACGGAAGTTCGAGCTCTTCCGGGCTGCCGTCTCCACTGTGAGTCAGAAATCGCTGGTAATGATGAGCTCTCTCGATTGAGATAATCTGGCAACGACTCATAGATCATCGATGGCGAGGAGGGGGGCGCGAGTTTATGTGAATGAGGCGGATTATGAGGTGAGGTTCGTCCACTTTCGCACAGACCACAGCGATATCGGCGTGTTCAATCTCTCGCTCCCGCGCCTTTCAATCAGTCGACTAAAAGTTAAGTTACTCGTTGCTTGACAACGACTCTTGCCCTTCTGCTCAAGACCTCCAAACCCCGGCTCTTCATCTCCTTCTCTGTTACTCGATGAAGTGCTGTGGCTCGAGATGGCCAGGCAGAGGACGACTTTCGACGACGTCGGAAGTTAGTCGTAGGCTGCAGGAGTGCACGCCAAGATGATCAATCAGCTCGTCCTATCCGCCATCAGCTCCGCCGCTTTCTTCAACCGTCTTTCTTATTTGTTTTGCTTGAGATCAAGATGCCGCCCGTTTCGCTATCGTCACTCGGAAGAAAACAGCTCATCACCTCTCTTTGCGATCTTCAGATTCCTAGCACCATCCAGTTCTCGCCCAACGCCCAGCAGATAATCTACTCAACGAATCTAGCATGGAATCATCGCAAGCTCAAAGAACCCTCCCAGGCCACTCTATGGCTTGCAGACACCGGCAAATCAGGCTCTTCCCGGCAGATTACATCCGGCCGATTTAGAGACCACTCTCCACGATGGAATCCTAATGGACAGAGCATAGCTTTCATATCTGATCGTGCTGCCCCAGGTAAGAAATGGGCCATATACGGATTGAACATCGGCAATGGAGCGCCTGAAGGCGAGGTCTATTCCGTTACCGATACGGAGTCTGATCAACAGATCGCTGGCTTCGAATTCTCACCTGACGGTAAAACAATAGCGTGGATTTCTGCAGACGGAAAGACTCCAGACCAAAAAGCTCGCGAAGAGATCGGTGAAGACATGCAAGTTTGGGGCGAAGACAGGTCGTATGCTCGGCTGCGCATAATCGATATCTCTTCGAAATCGACCACCGTGCTTATGGGCGAGGTGCCCGAGCAACACGTTGTTGGGCTCAGCTGGAATCCACAAGGTGGGCAGATTGCCATGGTCAGCAATCGCTCTCCAGATATCGAAGAACCATACAAGACTGGCTCAAAAATTTCCATCCTGACGTTCAAGACCTCGGCCTGTCTGGATGTATGCACATTCCCCAACGCGCTCCAACACGTCGCTTGGGCTGCAGATGGCAAGATATACTTCATCTCGGGCACACCGGAGAACAAAGTGTGCGCTGGCACAGCGGTATACGCCGTCAACCCGAACATATCGAATGAATGGGAGAGGATTGCGCATGGCGTGGTTGATGACGCCGAAAGGCTGACAATAGTTAGTGGGAAGCCGGTGGTACAAGTCCAGCATGGTCTCAAGGATCAGATTCACCTCACCCCTTCACAGAAGCCCATCTACTCTGTGCAAGAGCGAATTGAGGCTTTCGCTGTTGCTTTCCCACAGGACGGCATATCTACACTCATAGCTGTCGCGACATCATCGATCAACAAACCCATTGAGGTCTACACCACTTCCACATGTGATGGAAACCTGGTGCAAATTTCATCCCACGGGGCAGCCTTCGCGGGTCAGCACTTTGGAACATGCGTCCCACTGTCGACTCGCTCGGCCGACGACGAGGTCGAACTTGACAGTCTCTTCCTTACCCCTTCGACGAGCCCTGAGCCATCCGATATCCCCATGCCGACGATCGTCTTGATCCATGGAGGTCCAAATGATCGCAACACAGAATCTTTCAATACTTACTATTACTATTGGACGGCCTATCTTCTACGCCTTGGCTACAGCATTCTTCTCACGAATTATCGTGGCAGTTCGGGCAAGGGTGAAGCCTTCGCCTCGTATAGTACACTGGGTGTTGGAAAGTGGGATTATGAGGACGTGGTTACTTTGACCAACAACGCCATCAGTCTAGGCTACGCCGATCCAAACCGTCTTGTCGTTGGCGGTCTCAGTCAGGGAGGGTTTTTGACATATCYCTGCAGTACAAGGAATGGATCCCGATCTCCTTGGAAATTTGCTGCCGCCATTCCCCTGGATGGAACAATAGATTCTGATGCCATGGCAATAACATCTGATCTCGGCTCTACACTAGAAGGGGAACTCAGCGGAGGCCTTGCACCTTGGAACATGGCAACTGATGACACTCGTACTCGGCAAGCGTCGGCTTTGTGGGAGGTGCATGATGCGGTGAAGAGGAGCAGAGAGACGGGAGAGATGGTCATACCACCCATGCTCATCTTGCATGGGGAAAAGGATGAAAGATGTCCAATCAATCAAGCTTGGGGTATGAGAAGAGCTCTGGAAGCTCATGACCTGCCGTACCAGTTTGTGATGTACCCGCGACAACCGCATGTTTTCATTGAGAGAAAATTCTGGCTGGACTTGGCGGAGCGCGTTGGCTCATGGTGCGAGAAACATATCGGGCCTGGCTATTAACTATTCCAAACCCAAAGTTTGAACAGAAAACAAGAATATTATAGGAATCTCGCGTCAAGTCCATGCGCTCCACATGGTCGCTCTCAGCAGAGTGAGTCAGTCCTGAATATACCGCTTTCGTCCAGCCGATTCCAACTTTCCATGCATTTAAACCTCGTGCTCGACGCAATACTCTCCTCGCGTCCTTTTCTCAGACTTGTCATGAATTTACACACGCGACGCTCGAATTCGAAAGAACGCCTCACACATCTGGCCCTCCCCGACTCAATCTGCCATCCTGGCAACTTCTTCTTCTGTCGAAAACGGCGTGGCGATCAGTAATTGCTCCCAGTACCTACTTCACCACCAAAGTCAGTCGTCGAAAGGGACCATGAGATATCATCATACTGAGACAGCGTCTTTGCAAATCTAAAATACAGCCTCCCAGATCAGTAAGGCGGGATGTTGAGAAATCTTGTAGCTGATGGCAATTCTCGAAACCTTCGGGCAGTCGAAATTCTGCGCATCGTCATTTAGGGACCTTGGATTCACAGGCACAAGACGCTGCAAGGCGGTCGAGTGAAGTTCCATCATGAATTGAAGATTCTCGAATACAACAGCTCGTGTCTCCCCATCCAAAGGTCCATCATCGGAACCGTAACAGCTGCTCCATCCACCGCATACACTGCCTCTCCTCGCTCCAATTCCTGCTCAATACAAAGACAAATACACCCCTTCAACTCCGCACTAGCAAGCATAGCCTGACTCTRATACGGGCCCATAACACTCGCTCTTACTCCCGCACTCAAAACCGTCTTCGCATGGTTGAGCAAGAATAGATAGCAAGTTTCATGTTCTGCGAGACCTAGCGCCGCACACACAGCGCCGAAAAGTGGAGCAAAATGCGCTTGGGGCAGCATTCCAAATCGATCTTTGATAGGAGTTTTCATCGAGTTTGCGAATTCTGTAATATTAACCCCTTTTCCTTGCAAGGCGGCAGGAGAAAGTGCTCGTTCCCAAATCGCAAGTAATGCTCTCCCTTGCGTGATACTTGCTCGTCGAGCCACGGTACATGGAGAACTTGCATCGAGATCATTGTCCAGTTCCTGGAGGGTCGTAGTATTATGATAGGCGGCCAGTACATATGGCAAACTAGTCGTGGTGATGTTTGAGATTGATTCTGTGAGGAACTGGGAGAATGCGGTAGTTTTGAGGATCGTGTTGGAGTGGAGGGAGCTGTGATTGTTGTGTGCTAGAAAGGACTCTAGTCCTGAGGAGAAGGCGAAGGATCCTAGCGGAAGGGCGGAGTCTGAGAGGAGAAGGAGGGCGTGGAGGGAGGTCATTTTTGGTTATTCACTCTTGTCGCTTACGGACAAGCGTGGTTTCCTAGTTCGGAAGGGAGCAGCGGATGAGGTGAGTGAGTGAAGGTCGGGTAAAGTTCGGTTGTGGACTGCAGAACCGGCGATAGAGATCGCGTATCCTCAAGAATTAGGTGGATTCCAATGCTGCGCTCTCGGCACCTGATATCGAAGGTGGATTGCCGAAGATTTGATGATGCGCGTGCTTCCATACTCCGTACCAGCAAAGAACATGGCTAAATCCAACAGCCGATATCGGAGTCGGCCGATAGGCCAACCTGCGGTCCCATCCTCCCCGCGCATCATCTTTATTTTGCCGACATCATTTGGGTCTTTCTGTACCATTGACGATTTTCCAAGACGAAACTCATCTCATCCGTAGATTCCTTGACAAATTACCAGCAACCAAAGTCCAACAATACAAGATGACTTCCCAATGGCAAGAGATATCGGCCAAGGCCAAACAAAAGGTCTTGGACGATATTCCCTCAGAATGGCGGATCCCTACAGACAAGGTCCCTGGAGATGATGTGCTAGATGTGACCGGCATCCCAGCTCAATGTGGACTACTCTCTCAATTGGACCTCGAAATCACAGAGTCATTCGCAACGGAAATTGTAGCCAAGATCGCCAAGGGAGAATGGTCAGCAGAAGCAGTAACAACAGCATTCTGTAAACGAGCTTCAATCGCTCATCAACTGGTACTATGCTTATACCAATGTTCTTATTCACGAAGCCATCCTAACTCTGATCCCAGACAAATTGCCTGACAGTAATCATGTTCGACAGTGCCATTGCTCGCGCCAAAGACCTAGACATCCATTTCCAAAAGACAGGAAAAGTCAGCGGACCTCTCCACGGCCTTCCCATATCCCTAAAAGACAACTTCAATATCCCCGGCTTCCCCTCTTCTGTAGGTTTCGCTTCTTGGGCTACGGAATCTATGCAACAAGAGAGCACAATCGTCACCACACTGCGAAACCTAGGAGCTGTGGCGTATGTAAAGACAAACGTTCCCACAGCGATGATGATAGCCGAAAGCGTCAACAACGTCTATGGCCGCACCCTAAATCCTCAAAATCGCTCCATGACGTCCGGCGGCTCGTCAGGCGGAGAATCTGCTCTCATTTCCATGCGAGGCAGTCCTTTGGGAGTCGGGACGGACATTGGCGGGAGCCTACGAATCCCAGCCGCCTGCACAGGTATATTCACCATCAGGCCTTCTTATGGCCGTTTCCCGCATTTTGACGCACGGTCTGGTCTTTCAGGCCAGGAAGCTGTGGCGAGCGTCAACGGACCTATGGCAAGGAGCGTTGCGGATATTCGACTTTGGGCGGAGAGTGTTGTGGGAACGAAACCTTGGTTACGAGATCCTAAATGTGTGCCGGGGTTGGAGTGGAGGCATAACGAGGACGCTCGAGGGAAGGTGAAGATCGGAGTGTTGTGGGATAATGGTATGGTGCAGCCAACTCCGCCTGTTAAAAGGGCACTGAAGGAGACGGTTGAGAAATTGAAGGCAAAGGGATACGAGATTATCGACTGGCCAGCTACAGATCATGCCGAAGCAATGGAACTTCTAGGCCGGTTTTTCGTCTCCGATGGTGGGAAATCCATCGAAAAGATCCTCAAACCTGTCGATGAGCCTTGGAGACCTGAGATGAAAGGCTACGAAGACGCTGGAGAAATTGGCGTGCATGAGTTATGGCAGTTACAATCTCGCCGGACGGCTCTTTGTAAGAGATATTTGGATCGCTGGGAAGCAGCTGGTTTGGATGCGATTCTGGGACCTACGACTCCATATGCTACAACCAAAAACGGCGAGTTTAGGCACGTGGGCTATACCGGCGTGTTTAATATTCTGGATTATAGCTCCACATCCTTCCCTTGTGGGGTGACGGTTGATAAAGAAAAGGATTTGCTGGAACCAGGAATTCAAATTCATGATGAGCTGGATGCGCAAACGCAGAGAGAGTATGATGCTGAGGTAGCGCACGGGATGCCTGTGAGCTTGCAATTAACAGGAAGAAGATTGGAAGAGGAGAAGATGTTGGCGTTGACGGAGAGGGTTGTGGAGGACTTGAAGGGATGATCGTGTAGCACCCGAGGTTTTTCAACCGAGCACAAAATTTCCAAGGGAACGATCCTCGATCTGCTTCTCCAAACTCTCATCACAGTGATTCATCTAACAGCGTGCCAGATCAGGCATCGTATTCTTCGACTACCTTTATTGCTTTCTCGTGACAGAAAGGGAGATGGCTGAGACAAAGCCATAAGCATGTGGATATACGACCTTCCCACAACCTATAAATCAATCATCGTAATGCGCCAATCCCGGCGCCCTGACCTTCTTTGCGGCTCTCTTGTTCGCCTTCCCGTGCTTTCGATTTCCCTTCAACTCGCTAATGTCCACATCCTTCTCCAAAGCCTTCATAACCTTGGCTTTCCTCCCGGTCAACTCCTTGTTTCCACCCTGAAAACTGTATTTATAGTGAAAAGGTTGACTCATCTTTCCTCCACTCTGTCCTGGAGCAAAGAATGCTTTATCAAGGACTCCACCCTTCTTACCGGGCTTGTTTTCCGTGATATCGGCGTCTTCATTGTATTGAAGGAATTTAGCACGTCGCTTTTCGGGGAGATGTGCGAGATCATAGAGCTCGCGGTTGAAGTGTTTGCCATCGATGGCCTGGTCCTCCTCTCCTGCTTTGGGAGGTGGAGGGTGGCAGTACAATAGTTTGCCCTTGACATAGTCTTTCAAAACACCTCGAGCGGCACGACTCTCGTCTGGCTGTCCCAAACCAGTGGTGTAGAAGCCTCGGGCTCGAGCATGTGCTCGGAGAACTTCTTCTCCGGTGGGTATTCCAGTGCCGCCCTCTTCGATAGGTCTAGTGATTATCCGCATTCCGTAGACCGCTTCGAGGAAGTGCTGTGGAATTCTTTGCGCGACCAATGTGCTTGGACCGGTGTACTCTCGTAGTTGATCGATGGGAAGGACACCAGCGCAAACGAGCTCGGCTTTTGTGGTTGCAAAGTTGGGAAAGACGAGACCAGGACAATCGCAGAGTACGACTCGTGGTGAAAGGTGGATGGTCTGGAAATGCTTGGTCTTACCGGGTGTGGCTGAGACGGAGACCTTCTTGGCACCCAGCAGGGCGTTGATGGTGGATGACTTTCCAACGTTGGGGTAACCCACCAAACCGATCTGGGTCTTGCGAGTGGGTTTGGAGGGATCTGTGTTGCGGGGCTGTTTGGGCGAGTGTTCGAGAAAGAGAGCTTCGAGGTCGTCGGTTGTGAGGATACGGGTCTGCTCTTCTAGAGAGAGGGTCGGAGCTGCCGTGGGAGGGGTGGGTTTAGTGGCGGTGGATTCTTCTTCCTCCTCGTCAGACCAGTCCGAATCTTCCTCTTCGTCATCCTCTTGAAGGTCCATCTTCTGAGTCTGTTTGGTGAGGTCCTTTGCTTCTGGATCGATTTCTTCCTCCACGTCGCTGTCGTCGAGTCCGTCCCCATCGCTCTCCTCTTCACTGGACTCTTCTTCTTCACTATCCTCCTCCTCATCACTGCTAACCCTTGCCTCATCTCTCTCCTGTTCCAGACGAGCCTCATTCATCTCCTTGGCCAACTCAGCWGAGAAGAATCGGAAAGCAATCTTCCTCTCACTGAACCACTTTGCCCACGCTGTCCTCTGCTCGAGAGTCATCATGTCCGCCTTGTTGATGAGGAGCAAGTTGCGCTTCTTGCCGCCATCCTGCTCCGAGACGTACTTCTCCAAATCCTCGCAGCGGTAGAGAAGAGGGTTGCGGGCGTCGACAATCTGTACGACCAGATCGGATCGTTCAATAACACGCCACAGTTGACGCCAGACCTCCAAATTCCGCTCGAAGGGTGTCATCAGCAAGTCATCCACCTCCTGCAAGTCGGCCAGTCCTCTCCTCCACGAAAGTAGACTCTCGCGCTCCGCCAATTCCAATTCTTGCGGAGTGGTATCCTTATCCCACGCCGGTCGTCGAGGGACGGTAAGCCTCGCTCTCTTCGCATTTTGCTTCTTGACCACCCCGCGCTCCTCCTGTGCCGACAACAAGTAGGGGTTCTTCTGATCGGCGTGGATGACCTTGACATTGTTCATCTTCTCCGCTGTGAAGTCCGTGCCCGCCAATTCAGCCGTCGACAAGAATTCGTCGAGCGCGCCCTGCTCAGTGATGGAGCGCATCTTGACCCAGTCGGCTTCCTGCGCGGCGTTTGTGACATATTCGTTGCCCAGAGGATCCTTTCTCTTGATCGCTCCCGCTTGGTTGCCACGGTGCATGTTGCTGTTCTTGCCCTTGCCGAAGCGGTCGTTCATTAGGCTGTTGCCCAGCCCGACGGCGTTCTTGCTCTTTGCTAGGACCATCCTGACTATTTCTTTGTTGGTTGAGATGAGGGTAAGAAGACAAGAAGGCAAGAGTCAAGATGAATACATGTAGGAAACTTTCGTCATTCTTGGCGCGGGCGGCATGGAGGGGCGAAAAAGGCGGGAGTCGAGCGGCTTTAGCCGGACAGATCTGCAGGGTCCTGGTTCGYGTGAAGACGAACGTGACGGTGACTTCCTCTTCACACATAAACAATCATCAGGTAAGTAACGTTACTGTACGATTCTCATCCGAAGACAACGAAATACAAGGCAAGTGAAACTTTCACAATCTTTTCAGCCCATGTTATCTCCATCTGCATCATCACGCCCGACTCAAGACAATGGAAGCATCTCAAAACAACATCTACGACACCGACTGGTATCAGACCGATTGGGTGTGGGGACCCTATTCAGTTCACGTCGCTACTAGAAAGGAATGGTTCACCACCTTCCACGACTTCAAGAGCAAAATCACCGTAGATGGGCTAAATCAATTCGATGTTCTTGGAGTTGGCAATGTTGAGCTTGAACTCACAAACATCGACGACGGCGGCCAGAGGTGTTACCGAAAAATCATCCTGAAGGACGTTCTCCACGTCCGCGACCTCGCAGCCAACATCTTCGGAGGCTCACAATATCATCCTRCTGGTGTCTCGTATGAAGTCAAATATTCCGAAGACGATCATCTCAGCAAGCTGCCAAAGATCGTCGAATGTCAGGCTGCCGATGAAGTCGGTCGACTTGACAACACCGCGCGTTCGTACGATCAATGGTGCGAAAAGCCTCTGCATATTGTGCCATCGCGGCGCCAGCGTGATATTGTCGGAACTGCTGCCCAATGGGCTTCTGGGGTGGGACATGGTCCCCTCATCCTAGTCAAAAACTTGGGAAAGCTCTGGCTCAAGGGACAACAACTTGGACACACAAGTATGGCAGGTTCGGAAGAGTGGCCAACGAGTTATCCGACTGCGGACTGGGACAGCTATGAGCGTGAAATATGGCAAGCTTCTGCTGGCTTTGAATACACGGACGAAGGGAAGACGTGGTTGAGACACCATCACGGCAACGAGCTCAAATATCTTCGAAGGTTCGGCTGCAGCATATACGACGTAGATCATCGAGCTGCGGGGAGACATATTGTCTCGAAGATGCTGAACTATGACGGTTCACGTCGGGCAGCACTGGCATACTTGTACTACAATGCTCGGCAATCAGAAGGGCAGACCGCCAACGACTTCTATACATACATGCAAGGTCTGGAGGCATGTATGAAGATAGCCTCTATGTCTGTGATGGATCACAGCCGGGTAGAGTTCTACTACAGCAAACTCCGTCTCTCGAATGGTTGGTTCGACGATGCGGGCCAACGCCTGCAATACGATGGCGGAGCTGCTTGAGGCAGCTGATGCCGAGGACAGGATCAAGGACGCCGAAGAACTCGAATGGAGGAAGAACAGAGCACCGAAGACAAAAGGGTACAAGTATGTCCGAAAGACTGCCGCGGTTCAGCGGGCGCCAACTTCCCAAGAGAGGTTGACCGCACGGCAAGAGAAGCTCGCCTCCACGCTTGAAAAACTCACATCCCATCTCACCAATCAGCAGTTCACGCCTCAGCAACTCCAGTGGATTGTCACCCACCATGGTGATAGTGGTAAGTTCATGATAGCCAAGGATCTCGTACCTTGGGAGAAGGAAGACTGTGAAACGGCAAGACAAATCGTGCAAACTGCGATCGCAGCAGAAGCGGAAGACCACGAGGCCGAAGATGGGTATGATGTAGAGCGGGTCCTAAATCTTCTGCGGCAGGTCGCGCAACGCGATGGCTGATATCGGCAGAGACTGCGGATCAGGGGAAAACAAACAAGGTTGACACCTACTTAATATGATATTATACGAAGGACTGCGAAACGGCAAGCAGCCGAACATCGCTCTGTTGCACTCTATGCCGCCCATCGCGTTCGATAGATTTGCCGTTCACGGGATCCCCACAAAGGAGGGCTGAGAAAACGGTCACTTTTGTACACACAGTTAACGCTGCGCTGGTAGCTCCAGATACCCATGGAAATTGAGTAATTCTCAAAGGCATAGCTATCGACATTAATCAACACTCCTCCCTCCTGCTCTCAACAAACTCCACAGCGTCAAAGAAGCTTCTCCGATACCTCCTTTCTTGCGTCGTATGGTCGACAAACATCAACCCATACCCCTCGTCAAACCTCCCAAATTCCCAACTATCTCCCCAATTCCAATTGATCGCTCCCAAAACCTTCACTCCATCTTCCCAAATCGCCTTCAACATCTCACTCAGATAGCTAATCGTATACTCACTCCCGGGGACATTGTACAAATTATCCCTCAGTTGTCCACCCGGAGGCGGCGGAGGCTGTAAGCCGAATTCCGTGATGACGATGGGGAGACCGTAGGTGTAGTAGATGTAATTGAGATTTGTGCGCAGAGACGAGGGGGCGGTATAGAAGACAGGGTTTCCAGAGGGATCGTAGCCGTATGCCCAGCCCGTGGGGGTTTCCATCGCGAGGTTCAAACAGAGTGGGTAGGCGTAGGTTATATTGCTGTCAGTACCGTGACTTTCAGCACAAGCCGTGAGATTTGAGGATGCGGGGAATACGGGTGGAGCGGTATAGGCGTCCAAGGCGATGAAGTCGATTGTGCCTTTCATATAAGCGAGGTCTGCCGATGACAGAGGGATGTAGTCGGAGACTGCTTGTTTGTAGTTCTCGGGATAGTCTAGTCCCAAACCTAGAGTGCGGAGGAAAGGTCCCAGGTAAAATTCCGAGAAGAAATTGGCTGCTTCGACGTGTGTTTGATTTGATGGATCTGCTGGAACGCCTGGAGTCACACCCATTTTGAGAGAGACTTTTCCGATACCTTGGAGAACTTCGCGGTAGTAGTGGACTACTCGGGAGTGACACCTCAAGACTGTATTGACTGCCACACCGTTCGAGGCACTGGCTTGGGGCTCGTTAATTGTGATCCAATAGGGCACACGGTCTGCGTAATGCGACATTACGAGTGTGGCGTAGTGCACGTAGGCGTCTGGATGGGACGTCAGCTGTTTCCTTCTGTCTCGAGAGATATACTCCATATGCATGCTTGAATAGTACCTACCTTCAAAAGTCGCATTGGAGAATCCGGAATTGCCGCCCAGCCCGAAATTGATCTTCGTCTGCAGATACTGCAATATGTACTCCTGTCCGCCACCATAGAACTGCAATGGCGTATCAAAGTGGAAGAGTGTCACCACAGGCTGCATACCCTTTTCCAGCACAAAGTCAATCATATCCGAATAGTGTGAAATCGCATCCTCGTTGACTGGCGTTCCCGGCAGCGCAAAAGGCAGAATCCGCGTCCAAGGAATGGAGAACGAATAAGTCTTCAACCCCATACTCGCCATACGTTCAATGTCCTGTTTGTAGAGATAATAGTGCTCATTTGTCACATAGTTTGGCTCGATCTTGCTCGCGCCGCCGGTAATGACTGATGCGAATGACCCAGCGCCGGCCAGTGAGAGTACGTTGGCATACATGTCTAGCCGGGATGGCGTTTTCCCATGGTCTGCTATGGCACCTTCACATTGGGCTGCGGATCCCGCGGCGCCGTAGAAGAAGTCTTTTGGGAACTTGTGCGAGTTCGACGGAGGTTGGAAGACCAGCGGAGGAGGGAGGGCCAGCTCCGAGGAAGGAATTGGGGTCGGAGAGACAGTGGTGGAATACATGCCTCGTGTGAAATTTACAGGATTGGCGGCATTCCAGAGAGATGTGAAGGCCGCTGTGCCGTATGGTTCATCTGGCGTTGCTTCTGTCGCCGTCGCCGTCGCCGTCGCAGTACTGTTCGATAACGAAGATGTGCTACTGATGGGCGTCCAATTCGGCCAGGTCGTGGTGGACAGGTTCGCGAATTGTGCACTGACGCTGCCGTATGGGAGTGCGTAGGTGGTGGTTGCTGACTGGGCGGGGTTCGAACTTGCGAAGCGTGTGGTAGTTTGCGGATATGAAAAGGTCGATGCTTGGTGGTAATCTGGCGAGGTGCATGTGGATGAAGCATTGTCTCCCGCTGATGCTTGGAGCGAAAGGCAGGACAGGGCAAGACCTGTGATCCATCTTGCGGAAGCCATTGCTGCCTGGGGTCTTGATCTTGATGGAGTGCGGACGCGCCATCTTTTTGTTCTGCGCGGTGGTTCGCTCTTTATGAATTGAGCCAGGGCTTGAGCTTAGCATCGCGTGCGAACGCGTAAAGCGCCTCGGTGACGTGCGAATGGGCGGATACCGTATAGCGTAGGAGAARCYTTATCTAGGAATAATGTACCGGCAAGTTGATACGCATAAGTTACGGCGTCTTGATGCATCCATGGATCGAGTGATAGTTCAAGCAGTCCGTTGAGGTTCAATTGCTTCGATTGGTCAATCCTGCTGAGCAGTGAGGACGAAGCGGACAGGCAACGGCCGCTATCACTCCGATGCATCAAGACAGTGTGCTGTACTAGCTTTTCCCTGTGAAAGATGTTCATCTGTGATGCAAGCGGGAGGGTGTGCTTTGCCGGAGATTAAAGGCAGAATTGGATTGCTTTGCTCGTCAAATTATTCTCGACACGTCTCTCACTAACATGTCAGCGTCGCGGAGGAGCGGTTTGCCTCAATGTGGATATTCAATGCAGATCTTGCTCGAGATCGTCGAAAGTTAGATCCACGGTAAGCCATCGTCCGAATGATTCTGCGCGTCGCTCCACCTCGGCAACATTACTTCTTTAGGAGTATGCTGAGGTGGGCGAGAAAGATGGAAAAGAGAGAGAACACGGTTCAAGTTGTGCTGGGTGCTTGTCTATGAATACTCCAGCTCGATGGTCTTGTCATCGGGGAGTTGGTCGAGGTTGGACGCGAGTAAAAAACGCATAGACTCATCTATCGTGTCACTCTTGCGAATCGAAGTGTCTTTGGGCGTGTAATGCACGATATTGAAACATTTCCAGGTTGACGATGGTACCGAGTACGTAGGTAGTTGACATGGAGTGGTTTGAAGATTGCGGATGATCTTCGTTCTGCCGAGAGGTACGGCGCGTTTTTAAGAACAACTCTGCAACAATCCTTTTAGGCGATAGTGCGACGCTAGCATTATAGGGTATTAGAACCTCGGTAATTGAAGGTGTATTCCGTACAATAAGTAACAAGTAGCGTAATTTAATGTGCGCGTATAATGTCCTCGCTTTCCTTCTTTAAAGTAATTTTATTTAAGTCTACGATACCTAAGTAATAATAGTCTACGATACCTAAGTAATAATAGTAAGGATAAAGTAAAGGTATAATAGCATTACGCGGGCAGCTACATAACTCTTTATATAGGTAAGTAAGATCTCTAAAAGAGCAGCAGGATAAAGACCTACTGCTCTTTTAGCGACTCTTATTAACACCTAAACACTAATATTAACACCTACTACTCCTACTACTACACTACCCCTTTACTACTTACTTATATCCTCCTCCCTCCTCTATACTACCCGTATAAAAGCCTAAGAAAGCGAAGAAGCCTAAGTTACTATACCTATAGCTAGGTTATATCGATACTACGAAATACTAGAGGCCTAGAACTTTCCCTAAGGATCCGGATAATAATAGCGAATACGGATATTTTAAGTAGAACTTTATAAGAATATAAGCTAGGAATTTAACACTTTAAGAGTAGCGCTAACCCGTATAATAGCTTAAGAAAATAGGATTCTCCCTTAACCGCGAGCAGAGGGAGATAATAGCTAAGCCTATTACTAAGCACGTCGAGATCTATAATAGCTTTACTAATAGGATCGATAACATCCGAGACCGTCCGAACTACGTCGACGCCTTTCTAGTTACGAGCCGGTCTATATAATTCTATTAGAGAATTATTAAAGTATAATAGCTAATAATATCGTAGTAGAAGAATATTAACTAAGGAGGAGTATTACGGAGATTATAAGGAGCGGAAGGACTACGATAGTAATATAATTAAAGGCCTAGGGCTATTTCTAGTATATTTCCTACCCGTATAAAGGTGTTCGACGCTAACGAGAACAGCGCTATATAATCTAGCGTAGATATTTAAACTTAGCCTATAGCAACTGCATCTAGCGGGGAACTAAGAGTACCTACTAGTATAGCGATAGGATAGCTAGCGAGAGAGCCTATTAGGAGAGGCTAAAGGC